TTAAGAGTATATTTATAGATTATAGGGCTAGCCTACTAGAATTTTCTTTAATAAAAATTTAAAATTTATTAGTAAATTTTAAAAAGCTTTATTTAAGAAGTATAAAGTTGCTTTAAGTATAATAATAATATATTATTTATTAGTAGATAAATAGGCAGAAAAAATAAATTAAACTATTAAAATAGTACTATACTATTTATTTATAAAGTAATATAAAGAAAACTAGAATAAATATATTATAGAAGTTAAATATACTTTTAATATATCTATTAGCTTTATAATAGGTATAACTCTTTTTAAAACCTTCTATAAAGTTCTTCCCTATAAACTACTTAATCTTTTATTAGCTTTAATAATAAATAAATTAATAGAAAACTTTTTATATTATTATTAATAAATTTATAAAAATATTAACTTTACTATTTATTTAATATAAACTAAAATAGCAATTATATTTAATAAAAAATATAGGCTTTTTAATTTAGAAGACGTAGTATATATTAAACTAGTAAAAACTAAAACTTTTAAATATTACTTTTTATATTTTTTTTTATTTTTAATAAAAAAAGTAGGCTTTTTTAAGATTACTAATAAAATAAGAAAACTCGCTTACTAACTTAAGCTTCCCCTTCTATAAAATAAATATACTTTATTATCTTAGTTATTTACTTTAAATAAGCTTATAATAATACTTATAAAAGGGAAATCCCTTTTTTAAACTTATTATAATAGATAGGAATAATAACTATATTATTAAAAAATATTTTATTATAAAAAGTAAAGATATATCTATAGATATAAAATAAAATAGAAAAATTATAAGGAAATAATTTTTAAACTTATTTAAAAGCTAAAAAAGGATATCCTTTAGGTTATTAAGTACTTTAAAAAAAGGTACTAAAGCTAAATATTATTTCTTAACTTTAATAAATAAATTTAATATAACTTTAATTAATTATTACTTTTAATTTTTTTATTAGTTTTATCTTCTATTTCTATTAATATTATTATTACTTTTAAGTAATAACTTTAATAAAAACTATTATTTTAATATATTTCTAACGCTTTATATACTTATAAATTATAATAATAATAGTAGAACCTAAATAATTAATATTAGGAAAGGCCTAGTATATAATTTAAGGCATTTACTTAATAATAAGCTTTTTACTTATTATAATTATATAAGCTTTAAACTAAAAAACCTTATAAAAATAAAAATCTAATTTAAAGTAAAAAAGCTTCCTAGAGATATTAGGGAAGCTTAGCTTTCTAGCTAAAAACCCTATACTAAAAATCTTTTAATAAAATTAGAAGCTATATAACTCTTTATATTATATTAAGTATTTACTATTTAAAAATAATTTAATCTTTTTAAATATAAAAGTTATAAAATTAATATTAATTTTAATAAAAATAATTTATTATAAAAACTATTTATAGAATAATCTTTTACTATCCTATTAAGCTAAGTATACTTAGCTAAATATCTTTAAAAGTAATTAAATAAGAATAGGCAAATAAAGCTATTATAAGACTATATTAATAATTTTAACTTTACTATAAAAACTAAGCTTTAATAGTAGCTTAATTTTAACTTTTTTAATAGAACTAATTTAAATAATATTTCTAACTTAAACCTAGTTTTAAATCTATATCTTATATTTATAAATAAATACTAATATAGAAAGATATTAATTATTATTAAAGTTATAAACTATAATAATTAAAATTAATTAAATATAGATATTTTTAACTATACTAGAAAGTAAATATTAGAAAAGGCTAAAATAAAGGTTTTATAAAGGCTTTAACTAGGAAAAAGCTGCTAGTTAAACTAGTTTAATATTTTTAAGGATAATTATATATATTTTAAACTTTAATAAATTGTTAAAAACTTTAATTATTTTACTTTTTCTAGCTACTTTACTTTATTAAAGTATTTTAATTACTTTAATTAATAGCTATATTATAATTAAATTATAAATTTATTTAGCTAAGAAGGTATAAATAAACTTTTTTTTAATAAATAAGAAATTTAGAATTAATATTATTAAAGAGGATAAGTAATAATATTAATAATAGTCTTTCCTAACTCTTTACTACTTATTATTAAATAATTAATACTATTTATAAATAACTTTTTAAAATATTATAATAAAATATTAAAGTATTACTAATAAGTAGATATTATTATAATTTTAGATTACTATAATATTAATTATAAAAAATATTATTTTTTATTTAAAAATCTTAAAAATATTTTAAAAAAATTAAAAGTTAAAAAAAAAAAGTAAGTAAAAACTATAGAAATAGTAAAAATACCCCTACTTACATTTTAGCTATCTTTAGATATAAAATTAGAAATTATTAATAAGTTTTATAATATTTTAATAAATAATTAAATAATATATTATTTAATATATAATTTAATTTATATTTAAAGAATTTACTATTTTTAATTTAATAGTAATAATAAATTAATATTAGCTAAACTTTTTATTAGTATTAGCTATATAACTAAAATATTAAGAATAAATAGAATATAGTATTATCTTTATTATAATATTTATTAATACTTTAGAAATAAAAGTACTTAAGCTAAGAAATTACTATAAATAGCTATTTTTTTATAAGAATATTAATATAATAGCTAATATCTAAGTAAAAATTATATTATATAGTATAATACCCCTCTACTTTTATATATATTAATTAAATAGCTTTATTTAAATTATAAGCTTAATATTATTTTAGCTATAGAAGTTATAACTATTATTAATACTATAAAAAAAAAAAAAAAAAAAATTAAAATTAAATAAATAATTATTATTTTAATAAAAATATTATTAATATAAGAAAACTTTATTATAATTAAAAATATTTTTATAGATTTTTTAAAAAATAATAATAATATAATAAATAATATAATTAATAAAAGTACCTTTATAAACCTATTAAAAGCTAGCCCTAAAGATATATACTACTAGGATAAAAGAAAAGCTACTTTTTTAAACTTATTAGTTTTTTTTTTTAATTATTCTAAAAGCTAAGTAGTTAAAGTTAAAAATAACTTAATATATTTCCTAAAAGGTAAAGAAAATATAATAAATAATATAATTAATAGAATCGCCTTTATAAACTTATTAAAAGCTAACTTTAAGTTTAATTATTACTTTATAAATAAGTTAAAAAATTCTAATAATAAAATATAACTAGTTTAGAAATATATACTATAAGATATAAAAATACTATATTAATAAAATCCTTTATTTTAAAAGAGTTAAAGCCTACTTTTTAGATATATAAACTATATAATACTTTAATAAGCAGCTATAAATTATCTAGCTTTAAAGTATCTTATTTCCTAATTTTTATTAAGAAATTTAAATTTTATTATATTCTATTTTCTACCTAATAATCTTTTGCTTTTAAAAAGGTAAAATCTATATCTCTAATAAAAATTAGTACCCTAATAGATGGCTATAAGTATATAATATAATTCTCTAACTTTTTTAGCGCAAAGTTCTTATATAACTATTCCTTTAAAAGGATTTCTAAAGTTTTTAATAAGTAAAAGTTAGTTTTTAAAGTCTTTATTAAGTATATAATTTATAATTACTTTTATTTATAATATAGAAAAATTTTAAAATATAGGTAAAAAAAAGTTAATTAAAATAATTTAATATTTTTCTAATATAATAAAATATTTAGCTAAAGCTATAAATAGAAGTAGAATAGATAATTATATAGTAAGAATAAATTTTAATAATTTTATAAATATTAATTTTAAAGTATTTCTTTAAAGCTATAAGTATTTTTCTAAAAATAAATTTAATAATTATTTAGATAAATTATAAAAAAATAAGGCTAGTAGTTTATAGGCTAAGAAAATACTTATTTAAAAATTTTTATAATTTAAATTTATATTAAAAGAATATAATAAATAGGATTTTTAGCTAGAATCCCTAGCTATTTAAAAATAGCTATTATAATTTAACTATAACTTACTATTACTACCTTTGTTTCTATAAAAACTAAATAAACTTAGGCGTTAGCAAAAACTTAAAATAGTAATTAAAACTAAGCTTAACGATAACAAACTTATAGAGAATATATTTAACTAATAAAAGATGAGTTTCCCGCTATTTATTGTAAATAATGCCCCGCTATTAACCTCCTAAGAGGAACACGCTATTAACTCCCTTAAAAAGAATTCTTAATATCTACTTTAATATTATTTTTTATACTTATAGATAAGCTTTTTTTAATAAGGGTAATTGTTATATATATAGCGCATTGCATAATACGCTAATAGCATTAGCGCCTATATATATATTATTTAAATTAGGTTTCTAGAGAAGAATAATATAATATCCTTAAACTAGATATAAGCTCTTAATACTTTATTTTAAAATTTTAATAATAAATAATATTAAAAGATAATATATAATAAAATCTTATATTTAAAGACTTATAAATTATATTAATAATATATAAGCTTTTTAGCGCAAGCGAACATATATTTAGGTATATTTTCTTATTATAAAAATTTTAAAAAAAAGAAAAAGATTTTAAAACTTTATATTTACTATTAATATATTATTTTTAATAAAGTTAACTTTATTATAATCAACTATAGCATTATAAAAGCTTGTACTTTTAATTTTATGTTATTTAAAGGTATATTGGTTAAGATATAAAGGATTTATTCTGGAGGGCTGAAATCTCGGAGTTAAGGCACCCAGCAGCCGATGGGATAGTGCGCACAAAGCGACGGGTGAGCCAAGGCCTGACGCCTTGCCCCAAGAGGCTGCGCCAAATTAGAAGCAGGAAAGGGCGCCCGTTTCACTAGGACGAATATTATTCTGCCGAATCTTCATTTGTCGAGGTCCAAATCGCAAAGTGCCTTTCATCAATTTGACCAAGAACAACAACAGTCTGGAGTATTGGCTAAACCATCCAACAACCAATCATTCAGATTCCAGCCTGCAGCAAGTTCATTTCGTCTCCTTTGCAATCTTCTCCATCTCCTTCACATATTCACCTACTTCCTTTGCCCCAACAAGCGTGATGTCTCTTCTCCTGCCTTCTAAGACAACATAAGGCACTGAATCTACACCGTTGCCGGCTTGCTCTCGGATCAACATCTTCGTGTCTTGCAGACCCTCATATTCATCGTTGACGAAAGATTTTGCTTTTGCTTGATCAATACCTGCGTCAGTGGCCGCTTTGGTCAAGGTTTCTGCCGCTGATGGATGCTTCTCTTGCTCGAAGAATTGTTTGTACAACGCTAGACGTAGGTGAGCTCTGCATCATTACCGTTCATAGGAAGTCGTTCATACAGTCAACAATGCGATCTGCTGTGTCCAGTCCATCCTCCTCTTGATAATGTTGGATCAGTCGATGAGCATTAAGGGAATTTGCTATGGATCCATGGAATTTGAAGTGAATGCCAGCATCAACGCCATTCGCTGACATAAGAAGTTTGTACTTCTCCATTTGTTCTTCAGAGCCATGAAATTTTGTATTTCTATACCTGTAAGGCGTTGAGCTGCCAGTAATTCAGGCAGACGGCTAGCTTACCACTCGGATACATCTTCACCTTCTTGGCTTGCATCAGGATAGAGCTGGTAAGGGAAATACTTGATCGTGAATTTGACATCACTTGCAGAAGAAGATGAACGAAACTGATCCAGAGCTTGAAAAACAATCGCCTTTAGCACCTGACAGGACACAGCGGGTAGACTGTGGAAAGATGAAGGGGAAAGCAAGCGCTAAGTACCAAGGTGCAGTCTGATATGAGCCTTAGCCTATATTCAAGGAATTTCTGAACATTACCTTTTCTTTGCTAGATAACACCTGAAAAGTCTAAGTCCTTGTCAATCAGTGGAAGTTGCGACGACTTACCAGCCACACGTGGTGTCTAGCGTAAACGATATTTGACTTTCGTACATCTTGCTGGACCTTTGAGCGTAGCTTGAGAGAAGATGAAAGTAGACCTTGACCTCAGCTTGTCAAGAGAAGGCAGCTGAACAATGGGGGCAGTTCGCAGGATGATCCACATTGGTCTTCGGGAACTTCCCCTCACCCGAACTACCTTAACTCCCATTACGTATCCGCAAGCCTTTGTGCCAGGCTAATGCAGGAACAGAAAGGCACGCAACCCTCAAATTTTCTACAACCGGTTTGCTTGCTAAATGTGGTGGCCGTTGAGAGACCAGCTGAGGTTCTTTTTATTAGCACAGAAATTCCATTTCTAAATCAATGGATTATTGAATCGAGCTCGAGAGTGCCAAAATCTATCTGACTTAAAAGGTCATTTGCTCAGTTTCGACATGAAGAGAACTTGGCGCTCATAGACCGATTGTTGACGAGATCAGGAACAGAAAAGGCAGAACAGGAAAACTGTGGTACAGAGTAAGGAACGTAAGGTCAAAGCTTACAAGGTTGAAGATTGAAAGTGGCAACTAATGTGTATTGTTCTTTGACACGGTTCACAAATGACAACCTCGAGTCCTCGACGTGCACATCGGGTTCGAAATGATTCCACACAGCAACGAATTGCCAGGAATTTGTCCACCTACAACGCTGCTTCTTCAAATAGCTAGGGATCTAATAATATCAGAAGCTATGCAAGGTAATATTAGCGCTTGGAAATGGCAGCTTCGTCTTCGTATGACCCAAGCCCCGTTCAATCTTACCTTGCTAGCAGTACCATATTCACTTCTCAGGTGAATTCTCTTACCCATAGAGCGAAAGACGGCATATCGTTCTTGTTGAGCTGGTGTGTAAACCTCCTATTCCGGCGATTAGCGCGTACTAGCGCCCTCATCACTGCAATTGCTTCGTACTGGAAGGTGCAACCTACCAAATTTCTCCTCCGTGACATCTCCTGCACTCACTCTCCATCGCTCGTCCACATACAACTTCTTTCGTTCATCCACCTCTTCACCTCGGATCCCTAGCATCACATTCGTTTGGCTAAGCAATCAAAGCATCTCACACAATGCGTACCGCAGCTTTTGTTGTTGCTTTAAGCATGTCGGCAACACTCGTCGCGTCGCAAGTGACATCGTAAGCCTGTTCAGCCCTTTTCTCCTTTCATATGGCATCTTGTTGACAGTAAGTTCATCCAGCAATCCGGACGGATCATTCACCTGTGCCAAATCAAACGCTGCGTACTGTGCCAGCAGTGGCTTCCTTACGACCAACATCATCATTCGCTGTGACGGGTCTGGACATGGCATTCCTGGAAATTGCAATGACAAGTAGGGTTTCCCTCCTGACCTGATCGTAGAGTCTGGAGTTGACCAAACCTGTAGTCTTGCTGCTGTTCCCCCGCTGGGTGTGAAGTACTCACCATGTAAGCATCTCCAGTCAGCTTTCACCACGCACGCCTTCGCACTCAGAATTTGAATGACACACTTCTGTGACTTTCCTCTTTAGCTTGCGTTGAAAGACTGATCCTCTCCTCGCAAGACGACACTCGCTGATCCTAGTCAGGTTATCAATCGTCGCCCACAGCAGGAGACGCGCTATGCAGCTACAATTGCATTGCTTATGGCGCGCCCAACGGCTCATTCCCTGTTCCAGGCTGCACAAGCGGTACACCAAGTGTAACCACAGTACCCTCAACCACCGTGACCGTCACTCCAGGTGTCACAACTGTACCCTCGGCCACCGTGACTGTCACGCCGGGCAATACAACGACAGTTCCATCAGCCACAGTCATCGAGTCTTTCAGCTACTTACTCAGCCTCATCAGCAATCCTTCTCGAATCTCCAATGGTAGCGATCCCTCAGTTGCTCCATATCCGATTTCTGGCGGTTCTGGCGGTATTGCTGGTACTGCACCCTCGGCTACGGGTAGCGGGACTGGATCTGGAGGAACAGGTACTGGCGGTGTACCCGCTAGCCCAACTGTTCCCTTCATTGATGCTGCCGTTGCTCAGCACAGCAGAGACATCCTGCTTCCGGCACTGGGCGCAATGCTCGTCATTGCTGCGTACCTCTGAGGCAGTATGACCCAAAAGTCCGCGAGGACATGGTGAGAAGGAGGGGTTGTGAAGCGAGCACTGCTGCAAGTAAGCCTCGCAAAATCTAAGGTGGGAGATACTTGCTGATTGAGATCTTAGGTAACAAGCTTGCCTGTCATACTGTTGGAATGTGCTTGTACGTTAGTGTCTAGTGCTGGAAGAAGGGGAAAGGTTGACTGGAAAGCATGAGGTAGCTAACACGAAGCACCTGTACCATAGCACAGATTATTGCATACTGAAAAGTCCCACTAGAGCTCACCCCAAAAGTAGGGGCTAATGAAAAGCAAGCTCTTCAATTCATTGACGGCTATTCCAACAGCATCTCCACCCCTGTTTGAAGCAAGAACATCCCATACAACCGTAACAATGCCATCTCGCTTCCTTTTTCGTGTACTTGGTTCCAAGGGTATAAGACAACATGCTAAAAGAACAACCCGGTTTCCTGGCAAGAAAAGACATGAAGAGAGAGGGAGAGAAGTTAAAATCTACTCATCCCTTGCCACCACCGTGTATCGTACCACGAGAACGCCGCCAAAGGGTAGGGAGCGTGCACAGCACTCCTCCCCGCCCCCTTTTTCCTTCCTACGATTTTAGCAATGAGCGTGCGCTATACCCCAGAACGCCGCTGTCATGCCAAAGGTGCCATATATACAATCCTATTCAATTTCTGAACCATACCATTGATCACTTCGCACATGTGCATCGCTCATCGCTCATCGCTCGCTCACCGCGACTTCTGCGCCTGTGATAATTGTTAGTAGCCGTACACGACTGAGCAAAATGGACATCCAAGGAGAGACATACCAAGCTGGCAACAGCTGCCGCACTAGCCAGATCTGTCCGTTTATTACCTGTACCACCACCCGTCGCCATTGGATTGCCGACGCGCTGATTACTCGTTACGCGGGGCAGTGCGCTCCCAGCCGCTACTGCGGCGCCATATGGTCTCTTTGTGCCCGTAGCAGCGGATAGCGGGGCGGAGGTCGTTGGCTGTACGGTATTGATCGTGCTGTTTCGCTTGTGCGAAGGTGTTCGCTTGACAGGGGAGGAAGTGCTGGAATTGCTCTTTGCGATATTGGCGTTTCTGGCTATGGTGTTTGGTGGTTCAGGGAGCGGGCGGATAGAGGCACTGGGAGTTTGTGAGATGGAGTTGTAACGCTTTATAGGTGAAGCTACGGCGGTGGCGGGAGCAGTGCGCGGACGATTTGCAGCGGATTTAGCGGAGCGGCCGGCGATGAATTCGTGGTGTAGAGCCTCATCTGGTCGGAGGCGTCGATCTGGATCCCAGCGTAGACAGCGGGTTATGAAGTCGAGGAAAGCTTCGTCCTCGCATTTGAGGGCTTGTTGAAGAGATTTGCTACTCGGTCGGCGGCGTTTGCCTTTTGATGAGACGGTGATGCGTGGTTTGCCAAGAGAGTCGAAGAATAGCTTCTTACGAGTGGACTTCTCGATGAGATGCTTTTCTGGGGGACCAAAGACCTCCATGATGCACGAGAGCTGCTCTTGCTCGTTTTCGCCAGGAAAGATAGGGTAGCCGGTCAACAACTCAGCAAGAATGCAGCCGAGAGACCACATGTCTATGGGCATTCCGTAGGACATTCCAAGGATGACTTCAGGTGAGCGATAGAAGCGCGACTGTATGTATGTGTACACCTTCTCGTTCTCATGGCAGCTACTACCAAAGTCGATCACCTTGACTTCAGAACGTGCTGGATGTGTGAGAAGAACATTCTCAGGTTTCAGATCGCAATGGATGACCCTCTTTGATTTCAGAAGGACCAAGCTTGAAAGGAGCTGCTTTGCAAAACGCCGGATCAGCTTCAGCGAGAAGCCACGGAAGTCGTGACATTTGATGAATTCGTAGAGATTCATGCCGAGGAGCTCAGTCGAGATGCATAGATGATTACGGAAGTAGAATGATTGTGTAAAATTGACCATGCAGTGTTTGTTGTAAGGATCCTACTGTTTGTGAGTAAGTACGACGAAAATGACAACAAATGACTTACCCATTCTCGTAGCTTCTGTAAAATGTCAACTTCAACAAGAGCTTGCTGATGGAATCTCTTCTTGTTCCTGATGATCTTGATTGCAACTAGTCCTCCGGTCTTGTGATCAATGCAGCGGACAACTTGTCCGAAGCTCCCTTTGCCAAGGATGTCTACGATCTCGTATCTGTATGCGAGGTGGTCGCCACTCACAATATTGTAGTCGCCTCTGTCATCGTCGTAGCCGAAGTTTGTACCGGTCTCTGTTGGATCGCCAATATGCTTCTTAGCATTTTGGGTCCCGCAAAAGTAAACATTCCCAGCATCAACAATCTCTCCCCTTTCAAAAATGTTGAGCTTGACCATCTGCTTAGCTCGTGTAGGCGATACTCTCTCTTTGGCAGTTGCCCTGCGAATCAAAGCATCCAGTTCCTTAGCTGCGTTTTCGGTTTCTTTCCGCTTTGACGCAAGTTTCCTCATTTCTTCCTCAGCAGACATATCATCACGATCAAGGCCGTTGTCTGTGGTTTTAGCTTCACGGAGGAAATCCTTTAAGGATGAGCCAGCTCCATTCGAGGCACCTTCAAGGATGGACCGAGCGGTCCTCTTCGCAGAAGGAATGGCTGCACTGGTTGAGGATTTTGCCGTTTTCTTAGGCGTCTCTCCAGAATCCCAAGTGCTGCTCCGGTTCCTTTCGTGATGCACTACTGTACTTGAATTTGAGGCATTTCTTGAGCGAGTCTTCTGACTGGGACTCGGAGTTGTCGCGAAAGGACCACTCCAAGTCGCTGAAGCTGGTAGTCGAGGCGGAGGCATATCATCATGCTTGGGTGGCTTTGGTGGCATCTCAACATCACTATCCGCTGTAGCTTGAGCCTTGGAAGTGCTTCTTTTGCGCGTCAAGCTCAGCTTTCGACGCAAAGTGGTGCCAAAGGACGGAGTACTTCGATCAGCTGGGCTTGGTGTACCAGTATTGTGTTCGTCGTCTCTAGATGCTTTTCGTTGCTTCTGCAGGCGCGGCCCGTTGGGTTTGCTCGATTTCACATCTCGAGCTACGTCAGCCGGATTTGACGTTTCACGGCGAATGTTTGTGAATTCGCCACTAGACTTTGGCAACGAGCACGACACGAAGGGAGACATAGCTGCTCGGCCTGCATATGCGGCGTTCGAGTCAGGACGATTAGGGACCGTAGTACTAGAGCTGCTTGAAGCCCTGAAGGGAAGGTCACTTCGAACAGCGTGATGCGAGCTATTACTCCTTGGCTGGATAGGGATCGGTTTGCTACGCTCGTCATAGGGAGTCCGTGAAAAGCTTGCTTTAGACGCGGTCATTGGAGTAGCAAGGACTGCCCTGGGCCCCTCTTTTGGTGGAGGCGTCACTGCACCTGGTTCTTTGGAATTTGAGCCGTCATATAGTGCTGCAATCTTGTTTGCAGTAGGAGCGCTCAGCGGGAGGAGGTTGAGGGGCGGGAGTCGTAGAGGTTGCAGAGTCCGTCTATTTGCAACATTATTACTCGGTTTTCTCTCCGTCGCCGGCTCTGCGTGACTGTAGGCCCGGTGTTGGAAAGCACTTTGTGTCGGCTTGCCTACAGCTTCCTCTTGCATAAGCGTGCTTCCGCTCGTCGTCGAGCCACCGGTCAAGCTTGACTTCCGCAGTGTAGCAAATGGATGCGGGATTTCCTCCTTAGGGGATTCAAATGCTTTTGGTATAGCTGGTACTGGAGGCACTGTTTCTTCGTCGCCGAGGGTCAAATTCTCAACACGAGATTTGAGAGTTGGCAATCTCGATATCGACAGATTTTGAGACATGCGTGTAGAAGCGGCAGGCGCATTGTTCGAGTTGTAGCTTGTGCTGGATGATATAGAGAAGCCAGAACTGTAGGACTTTCGATTGATGTCAGGCGTAGTACGAGATGATGAAGGTGTAACGCTTTTCCGCGGCACCAGAGAGGGCGAGGGCGCTGATGGCATGCCAGCGGAGGATGGCGTATCCGGCTGTGGAGTGGGAGGTGTGAACGGTATTGGAGGCGGGCCAGGCATCATGGACATTCGCTTGAGTCTTCGAGCGTCGGTTGGGCTAATGGTGCGCGCAGCTAAACCAGTAGCGTGAGCACTGTTGGGCAGCACCGACATTCGCTTATTGGAAGATGGAGTTATAGTTCCGTGACCATTAGGTCTCCCAGGAGACTGCGTGTGCATGCCTGCGAAGACATCCATATTAGGAGACATACCATTAGGCGTAGAGGGGGTATCGTGCGACTTTCGCGTCACTGCTTGAAATGACTTGGCTTTTTCGTACCGGGATGACTCGAAATTGGCGGGTTGAGAGCTCATCAAGACTCCATCGTTCGGGTTTGCGGTTGTTCCAGTCAAACCAAGGCCAGCTTGTGCTAGGCTAGGCCTTCTCGGGCTTCCGTGCATGTCGAGACCTGTGGTTAATATACCAGGTCCTACAGATTTCCGAGGTGTGCCGGCAGGCGTGGTGGCCATGGTAGTGCTTGGGAAATGGCTTTTTCGACGACTCTGTCCCGATGCTGATGAGACTGAATTGGAAGTAGAGTCTGCGTTACTTTGCCCAATTGAATTGTACTGCGCGTTACTGGTTTGCCGGCTCGTAGGACCTCCGCCAACTCCATATTTGGTGCCTATTGCAGCAGGATCTATAGTCTTGGATTGGTTCCTCATAGTCGGCCTCTGAGTCGTAGTAGGAACTGTGTTGATAGGATCGAGATGCTTGAATGTGCTCCCTCCAGGAGCAGGGAACGCATCGATGTCCGGTATGTCTGAAAAGAGGCTCGAGTGGAGGTCATCAAAATTGACTGACGGAAGGAAGTCGAAAGAGCCTGATGGAGGCCTCGCTTCACCCGTGGCTCTGGGAGTAGCGGAGGCAATGCTATAGCGAGATCCATTGTTCAGCGAAGTTTGTCGAGAATGGGTTGAGCCTCCGTTGAGAGCAAAACTTCTTGGTCCACTGGGGCCTCTTGTCTTCGAGCTGTTATCATACGCAAGCTTGGCGTCGCTCAAGGGCTGTTCCCTTGTGACCTGGGAGTCCATGTACCTCTTGGAAGGAGAGGCCTGCAGAGTATTCGGCGCCGCTGGAAGTTTGATCGAGGACTGACGACGTCGGCTCGCAGCAGTAGAAGCAGTTGGATTTGGTCTAGTTGCTGCTAATGGTGTAGGTTCTGGGGGTCGAGCTGCGGGGGTGCTACTGGGTGCCTGTTTACGAAGTCTCCTGGACATTCTTCCTTCTCCTAAAAAGAAAATCAGGTCCATCATTTCGAAGGTACGCGTCAAGTTGACGGCACATCAAACAGGGCTTACCTCCTGACGAAGAAAGCTCTTCTGTCCGAGACATTTCCTGAGCCCTCAATTGTGCACTCTGAGCGGCTTCGTAGCTTCCCGTATTCTCCTTGTTCCTCCTCTTTGGGTCTGAGCTTTGTCGAGGCATTGCGGAGCGGTCCGAAGGCTCTGTGGAAAGTGTCCGCGGAGATAACCAAGATCAAAGCCAGATGTCGAGGTTCGTGCTGTATGGTCAGGTAGTGCTCGCAAGCCATATAGCGGCTTTCATTGTCCGTCACCACAGGGCAAGGCGCTCCATTTCCCTCCGCGCCTGGACGACCCGTTTTCCCACGAATGTTGCAAACGCCAATCCACCACTCTGTGTATAGACGCCTGGGAGTGCACTTGGAGCAGTTCGGGTCGTGCAGAGGATTATGAATGAGCTTCTTCAAACAATCATATGGAAGGGGAGCTTATTCCTGCAAGGAAGTCGGAAGCGTAACGGGAGATCTGATTGGCCATTGTCCGCATATGCACAAGTGCAAGGGTTGACCCTTCATCCCTGCCAAGCTTTTGCATTTCAGGAGAAGACAGAAATTGCAGCATCAATTATCAGGAGACGTCATCATCAAAATCATACATCTTTGCCCAGAGACTTCTCTTGTATTTGTATATCACTTCGTGAATAGAATTCGATATGCCTTTTTTATCCAAGGGGTTTTTCTTGTAAATGAAACTGATTATCACTGACTTAGGGAGCAGCTGACAATTATTTATCGATCAAAAGAGACTGTAATCTTTGTAAAGGGAGTCTCCTTAAAGTGTGATATGTTATTAGTTACCCGCGAGACTGCCTGGCGAAGATTTGCGATTCAAGAATGGAAAGGATTCTTTAGAATCACGGTCTCTCTTACAATATGATATCTTTATTGATAGTCCGAGAGAAGGCACGCCGCCGCTTGTGACGCCCTTGAACTACGCAATGGATCCGCTAAGGGTCTTGGAGAGCTGTAGGCCCCTTCATAAGAGTGAGTGCATGCCGGCTCATAGAAGTAACGATGCTCTGTCATCACAAATGAGGACTTCGTGACTCTCTTTGTGCTCTGTTGCTTGGATCGTGTGGTCTATTCAAGGACGTATTCTACTTGTACATTGGACGAGAAGTTATACCAAAGCTTGGTAAGTCTTCTATTCAGATCATGCGTCCTTCACCTGCGTATAATCATGCTGCTTGACAATCCACTCATTTTCATTCCACTAAGAAGGCGTATACCTGGCGATACTCTTCGAAGGCGCTCTTCCCCTTTCTCTGACGCCTTTCCATCGGCATCCACTGCGTGCCTGCACGTGATGATCCATGCGCAAGCTGTAAAGTCCTTGGTTCCATGCGGCGAGCGAGTTATGACTTTTAAGTCATAGAAATCGGGGTTCTTCTTTCCGGAGAGCTATTTAGTTGTCTGATGTTGAAGTTACTCCCTTTCGACGCCTGGAAAAAGTCAAAGGCCGCTATTCAGGCGCAGACAACATTCTTGAGGGAAGACCGAATTCCTTTCGCCTCTAACAACTACCTGATCTTATCTGCGGAGCCGAACTACCTTGTAGCAATGTATCGCTCCTAATGGACGAGTAAATAACCGTGTTCGGGGTGCTGGTGAGTTGGACCCATTTTGTCGACGAGCTGGGTTTTCGCGCATTCATGTGCAAAAGAAAAAAAGACGGGGCAGAAAATGGCAACCTTCAATCATTGCCGAATTGAACTGGCTCCTTGGGCAAGACCGAGTTTCCAGCAGAATTGTCATGTCGTGCTGAGACATGAGCGAAATGCCGGAAGTGCGAATGCACTAAAGGTCGTTTCATCAGGCGTACAATCCTGATATCCAATCATACGCAATAAGGACCGGAGATGCCTTTCTGTAGCAGTATTCCAGCTGTTTATGCAACTTGCTCCATTCATGAATAGACAAGAGTATTGGGGAGGTGATTAGAGGGTCTATACAGCAATCAGGAATTTCCAAGGGCGTTCTCATACGTATCTAAAGTGCCCAGTCAATAATTCGAGGCGAAGCTTATCTGCTATCGGTCTGGACGCATGGGAACGGTGTCTATGTATGCAGAAGAGCCCATTACGCTGCATAGATTAAAAGACTTTTCCCGTTTTCGGTCGTGGCGGGTGATGTGGAATGCCCGGACGAGACTTACATGAAGCCAGAGCATAGAACCCCCAACCAATAGTGAATGGAGATTAGTGTTTCTTGAAGGATAGTCATAAAAAGAGCCTGACTCATCAACTGCTGCCGAAGCAATAACAGATTGTACGGGATTGCTGGCAGAGTAATGATAGCGAGTACCTGAACCAATCCCAAAGTGAGACTGAACCTCGAGATATGAAGGTAGACGAACAAGGCATGGAAATGATGATCGTGAGAACGTCGGGCAGTATGAATGTGTGATTCACGATATGCCGTAATTCATCATGATTTTGCAGGTGTAAGTTGTTGTGTCTGCATATAGTAGAAGGTCTTTCTCTGTCGTTAGTTGGCTGTCTCTAGCCCATTCCTCCTGAATTAGCTCGACTAGTCGGTCCCCCACGTCACCTGCTGCAGTAATAGCAACACGTACGGATTGTCCCAAACAAAGCCGTTCGACTGCATTCTACCCACGAACCTGAGCTTCGCTCGTTCCTATGCACATCTATATCTGGCTGCCAGTGGACATCATATCCACTCTTTGTCTCTATCGATAAGCTGCGGGGCATCTCAAAAGTCGTGAAGTGGCAGCTCCAAAAGGGGATCCCTGCTGTGATGCATGTCCCGACGCAGCGCTCTTGAAGCAATATGGGCTCAGACGCCGAGTCCATCAGTCAGCCTAAACGTAGAGACAACGAATCTTCGTCCGCAAACCCTACTCCTCTCTCAAATACACCCACCTCTTTCCGCTTAGCAACTGGTGATCAACTCCTCAAGGAGGGAAGCATAGCTAAAGAGCATGGAGAAAACAGTACGTACGGCGTACAGAGCCTACAGGATGCGACTCGCGAGACTTCTCCAGACATGTCCGATCAGAGACACCCAGTTGATTATGATGGGCCAGGAAGCAAGAGTGATGTTGTTGAGGGACATTCGATGCTATCTACGTTGAAGCCTCAAGCCAAGTCACGTCAGAGTAGTGTCGTTTCTCAAGATACATCGCAAGAACCTTCAGCGGAAACGGGCAACTCGTCGCCCTCACATCCTCACCTCCAGTTGCACACCTCAAGCTTAGCGCCTTCTTTAACTTCACTCTCACTTGATTCTCAAGCCCCACTCTCATCTCTGGCTAGCAGCCCTAAAACTGATTCGAGCCGATCCCTTAGGCCCTCGGATGAAGACCTAGACGAAGGTGGTAGCCAAGCGATTGCATCCAGTAGTGAAGATGAAGCCCTCCGTGTGGCAGATTTGCAGGACAGCGCTCCACAGCTCATCATGCCTAGCATCAAGATGCCGAGTCGAAGACCGTTTACCGACAGAGGCCTGGCCATGGGACGGCTGAAGATACTACTTGCTGGCAACTCAGGTGAGGCTCCCCAACCTCTTACTAACGCAGACAAGTGCAATACTTACGACGAGCGTAGGAGTCGGCAAGACTTCACTCATTAAATCAATCGTGCAAACATGTGCTGATGTTGTGCATGTTGATTCCCTTCCAAACGGGTCGAGTTTTGACAGTCCTGCAAGCACCAGGACTAAGAGAATGCGAAGCTTAGACCAATCTTATCACCAGCCAATCACCGAGATCTATGCCAGCACGAAGCCATACCCACATTGGTGGGCAAATGCACAAAAGTCTTCGCTTTTTCAAAGAAAGAGTATGGGTGACACCGTCCTCGAGCGAAATCTTTGCTTTGTGGATACACCCGGGTACAGTGCTGGCATGTCAAAGCTGGCGACCATGAATGAAGTCACAGAATTTGTGGAAGATCAGCTGCAACGATCATTCTCTGCGAAGTCAGGTGAGGGGGATGTGGTAAGCCTCTTAAGTGGTCATGGTGGATCGCTAGTAGATGTTGTCTTCTATTTGATATCTCAAGGTATAGCATATGAGATCTGACCCTCTTCAATTTGTTAATCGCCTTTTCTAGACTTGACAAACGAAGACACCGTCTTCCTGCAGCGATTAGCTGCTCTAACAAACGTGGTCATTTTGATATCCAAATCCGACAACCTTTCGCTTGAAGAGATTGAAGTACTGCGACGTTCAATATCAAAGCGCATACAAGACAAACATATCAAGACGTTTGTCTTCCCAAGCGAACACATACAACAGGGCCCTTTCACCGTGTGCTCCACCCCAACAGAAGACGATGACAACATGGACGCAAGCCTATTGATGTCTTCTGAATATGTTGAGCCTTTAATCCCATCAGAGCTTGGTATTCTGATGGAGCAGATGCTCTCGAAAGACGTCGTCGCCTGTCTACGGCATCACGCAGCTACGAAGCTGATGCAAAGACGTGGTAGCTTTTCGGCTCCGGAGACGCCTAAGTCGATCGTTCGTGCTGCATCGAATCCGATCTACGCATCTCTTGATACTTCTCACGGTGCTGAATCAAGACTGTCACCCTACATGCAAGCTCAAATAACGGATTATACGCAGCACGAAGGACAATTAGGGAGGCTCAGGCTTGCGAAATGGGCTGCAGACTTGCAGAGGAGCTTACAAGACGAGCGAGCGAAATACGAGGCTCTGGCAAAGGGCGAACGAACTGTGTGGCTTAACGAGAGACTTGATGACTTAGACAAAAACGCCGATTCAATGGATCGGAAGGGACAAGAAAGGCGGCGCGGCCACAAGAGATCTGGCTCCGTATACAAGTACGGCTTGGCAAATTCCCATGATCCTCTAGGACTGCTTCGACTTGATGAATTTATCAGGGAAAGAGGCTGGCTAGCACTCAGGATCGCAGGCGGCTTCGGAATTCTTGGCGCCGTTGCTGTTTGGTGTGCGAAAACTTGTGTTGGGAATGGCGAGCGAAACTGGGCATGGGTAAGAGATGAGCCGTAAGGGAATGACTGAACGAGCCATTAAGGGATATTATGATGGCGCCTGTGAGGGTTGAAATGTGCAATTACGTCGTCCTAGGGGCTGAGCTAGGTCTAGCGAGCTCTCTACACTCTTAGACTCTATAGCTTAATCAGTTCTTCAGTTCTTGGGTCAATGGAATGAGTTTGTGGAAGTACTCGTTACTGTCATGTTGTGAAGCAGCCCTCCCTGGACCCCCAATTTCGTGGACAAGGCTTGGCGCTAAGATAGAGTGCCTTATCTTAGCCTGCATTAGCGCCCGCTCTATCAGCGCGTTCTCTTGGCCAATGTTTAGAAAGACGCGAAGAGCTCAACCAAAAGCTCCTTCCTTCGACTTATTCGCCGATTCGCCGGGTTACATCTGTCCTTCTGTACTTTCCCTCAGGCGTCTACAGCTCGCAGGCCTTTGGTCGGTGCTGTTTGCGTAATGGCAGACGTAGCGTAAGCACTCCGTGCATCCCGACCCAAAACGTGTAAATAACATTAATCAGAAGTCTGCTACACCAAAAGGCAGCTAAAGTAAATCCAATCAACGATGGCAAACCTACCACCATCAAGGTAGCAATCTTGAAGGCTGGAAGAAGCTCTGATGAAGATCTTACCACCGAGGATTTTCTCTGGGTCAAGTGCAATGCCGTAAGTTTTATAGAAGTTGTATTTAAGCTTCAAGTTTTTCTGTTAAGTCTCATCCAGAACCTTGATTTGAAGGCAGTTGTACTTGCGTATTGGTTTAATCCTCTGACCAAATGCACAGAAAATTGTTCTCAGTAAGATCCTTCACCAATATCAGATAAAGCAAGGCGCCGGTTCTTGGGACTTGAAATTAGCGGGCAAACTTGTGAACGTGGAAGACACTATAGGCACTCATGACATCCATGAAGACGGTATCGTCGTCTTTGAAGCTGTAAAGAAGCTTACAGCATTATTGCAACCGGAACGGACAGCAACGCAGAATCCATTATCGCCTACAGACGGCAATGCCCCACGTTTGTCCATTCCACCAAAACCCTTTACACCTAGCGGTGTTGACGAGAACTCGACGTCTCAGTCACCGAGAACATTGAGTAATCTGTCACCGAGCGACCAACGATCTGCACCTCATCAGTCAAATCAATATACAGCCCACGTTCAGTCTCCAGCCCATAGCACAAGCCAATTGTTTCCAAGCACTCCTGGCTGGGGCTTCGGCTCCCTGCACTCTCAAGTACCGTCATCAACAAGCTTATTGAACCACTCAAATCCATCATCTGCCTCAATCGGCATTCTCAAACCTGAGCGTGTAGAACCATATGCCTCTTATGCGTCTAGGTCGCCCTCTTTCGGGGCATCACCTGGTGCAAATGATCAGTCAAATACCTCAGTCTTTTCTCACGCGCCTCTACACAAGTTCTCGCGCCCTCCAACCCCGTCTCACGGTCAAGCACTAGTTAAATCAGAACCTATCAGGTCTCAGGTTGATGAATACAGCGAGCGACAGTCAAAGAACTTCCAGCTCCAAAATCTAATCAAAGATGCGACGCCTCAAATACTTGAGTCTGCTGTCGAAGCTAGCGTAGAGCTGCTCAATGAGTTGAGAGGCCCGTTGCTTGCTAAGATTGACGACAGTCCAGACGCTGAGCAATGGTTGCAACAAATTGATGGCCTCAAGAAACAGGCTGTCAAGACTAGGACTGTTATAGGTGTCGTTGGAAATACCGGAGCAGGCAAATCCTCTGTGATCAATGCAATGCTGGAGGAGGAGCGACTTGTGCCTACTAATTGTATGAGAGCATGTACAGCATGCGTAACAGAAATCAGTTTCAACCACGAGGAGGCGCAGCTTTACAAGGCAGACATCGAGTTCATTAGCGCCGGCGATTGGGAAAAGGAGTTGAAAGTCTTGTTTCAAGATCTACTGGATGGCGACGGCAAAGTCTCACGGGATTGTACAAATGAAGATTCTGTATGTCCGAGTCACTCCAGACGAAAAAACATTAACCCTGCTGTCTGAAGATAGGCCATGGTCGATGAGGTCTTGCTGATATACAACGTGATTAGGACGCTGGCATTGCGTATGCTAAGATCAAAGCCGTGTATCCTCAGAAAACGAAAGAGGATATTGCAAATAGTAGCGTTGCATTGCTGATAAGGGAAGTCGCCAATACATTGGGCAGCACTCGCAATATCAAGGAACAAGATTCATTGCTTTTTTACAAGAAGTTGCAGAGCTTTGTCGATAGTAAGGAGAAAGCTGTAGGCAAGAAAGATAAAGATGGGAAAAAGCCAAAAAGGGAGCGTGAGTTGTGGCCTCTGATACGCGTTGTTCGCCTTTATGTACGATCTCCAGCTTTGTCGACTGGAGCCGTGATTGTGGTAAGTATGCTCTGAAGTTGACATACCCGATTGCTACCCTCAATACACCCTGGCGAGCCCCTCAACATGTTATGGGTGTTCAATGCTGACGGAGGGACCAACATAGGATTTACCAGGCGTTCACGATTCGAACCAGGCCCGTGCAGCGGTGGCAGAAAGCTACATGAAGCAATGTACTGGTATGTTAGAAGCTCTGATCAATGGCCTCTTGGCTGTACATCTCCTAGTAGAAAACTTGGAAAAGCTAATCATGCATTGTATAGGGCTGTGGATTGTTGCCCCAATTAATAGAGCAGTGGACGACAAAGCAGCAAAATCTCTACTTGGGGAATCGTTCAAGAGGCAGCTGAAGATGGATGGTGGCTTTAGCTCGGTCACCTTCATTTGTAGCAAGACAGATGACATATCCTTGACGGAAGCTCAAGACTCGCTAGGCCTCGACGATGAGCTGGGACCTCTCTGGGAAGAACTTGATCGCCTTAGTGCAAAGCGCAAGGGATTGAAAAAGCAGATAGAGGAAATGAAAGAGACAAAGGCTGTCTATGACGAGGTCGGCAATGACACAGACGAGCAACTTGAGAAATGGGAGACGCTCTTGGAAAACCTCAATGATGGCAAAGAAGTATACGCCCCTGCGAAACAGTCTTCTAATAAGAAGCGCAAGGCCAGCCGCAAAGAGAAGCCAACCAAGAAAAAACGTAGAACTTATTCGAGCGGGTCTGATGATAGCGACTTCGACGGCGAAGAATCAGAAGATGCGAGCGATGTCGACGATGACAACAGTCCATCAAGCCCGCAAGATACGAGAGAGCCACTAACCGAGACGGAAATTAATAACAAAATTCAGGAGCTCAAAACTACGAAAAAGGATAGCAGGAGGCAGAAGAGGGAACTAGGGGACACAATAGCGACTATTCGCAAGGACATTGCATCAATCGAAGATGAAGAGGGGAGCATCGAGAGTAAATTGTCTGCTTTGTGCATATCAGGACGGAATCAATATTCCAAAGGTGCAATACAGCAGGACTTCGCAGCTGGTATAAAAGAGCTTGACCAAGAGATCGCAGCGGAGGAGGATGAAGAGAACTTCAATCCTGACAACGAGGTACGAGACTACGAGGAAGTAGCTAAGAGGTAGAATCTTCCTATCTGTAAGCATAGTTGAAGCTCGCTGACATTTTCGACAGTCTTCCCGTATTCTGTGTCTCCTCAAGGAGCTATCAAAAGTTACAGGGTCGCTTCCGAAAGGAGCCTGCAGTACCAGGCTTCTCAAAATTAGATGAAACAGAAATACCAGCACTTCAGGCTCACTGCGAAAAGCTCACAGAAACGGGCCGAGCAGCAAACTGCCGTTCATTCATCAACAAGTTGAGTCAGTTGCTGAACTCGCTGACACTTTGGGCATCGAACGATGGTACTGGCGCCAACTTGAGCGCTGACCAACAGGCCCGGGAGGCAAGATATCTTCAGAAGGGGTTGGATGGGCTTGAGACTGTAAGTCCAGCAAATGGGAGCGTCGCCATGTAGGAGATCCTGCACTTTCAATACCTGACAGCTCACCCCTTTGTGACACCGCTGCTTATATTGTTGAGGCCTGAAAAGCTGATGCCTTTTTCGCTATCTAGGCACTTGAAAAGACCGTCAAATCTACCAGATCAGAGCTTAGGGACGAGCTCACAGACAACATCTTTGATAAACACGAGACCGCGATTTCGGCCGCCTCCGGGGACTCAATCTCTACTACGCAACAATGGGGGTCGCCTGTCAATCGTGAGAACCGCTCAGCGGGTGGATTATACGTGAGTTCTCAAACTTTTATGCGGTTTGAGCGTAGACTGATTGTTCCAAGTGGGCGACCTATAAAGCCATATCAAGACGTTCTGGCGTCTATACGAACGCTCAAGGCTTGCATGATTGGAATGCTCAACTGACTGCGCCGCTCATCAGGGTAATCGCTCCTGGGTGGGAGAAAGTCTTCACTCGACGTCTACAAACGGTCCTCAATAATTTTGCGCGAAGTGCTCCGGCTGCACTTAAAAAGTTTCACGGTGAAATCCAGACAAGGGCTCAGACGATGGGAACCGGTATTGCCCAACTTTCTATGCTGTCACACCAAGTCAGCGTCTACGAACAGATTCTTAAAGACGTGGGCAATCAGATAAAAGACATGATTATCGCACGACAGAAAGATATCAATCGGGAGTATGTCCCTGTAATCCAAACTCTGATGCAATCCTGTTACGATTGGTGTGTCGAAGAGCATGGTCAGTAATCATTTGACTTTTGACATTGTCGGACGTAAGCTAACAAAGGCCAAAGGCACCGGTTGTTTTGCTCGGATGAAAGCATATATGAACTCTTACGTTGCAGAAACTCGTCATACGATGTTTCAACAGAGCGTTGATGAGGTGAAGAGTCAGCTCGAGCTGTTGTTAGAAGACGCAGAAGGACTGCTCGATGACAAGACTGATGAAGTCTTCATCCAGATGAAACGTGACTACCGTTCGGTCCTTGGTGGCGGAGATGTACAACAAGGCAAGGAACTTCCCAAAGCCCAGAGACAGGTACGACGAGAGGTAAAGCAAATTCTACAGAACGTTGAAAATCGGATGAAGCGAGCCATTGGTCTTGAGGTCGAGGAAGCCGAGGATAGCGTCAAGGATGAGGGAGAAGAAGCCCAGGATGGGCAGGATTTGACTGAAAGCGCTCACACTGAGCGTGGTCATGGTCCTGTCAAAGAGGAGCCTTCCACCTCTCGTCAGGACAGCCAAGTATCAGATCCTGAAGAGCAAGCGTCCGGCAAATCCATTTCAGATGTCAAGAGTGAAGCATCGAACGACTCGCGACGCGAATTCAACAGTGACGAGGAAGGAAGTGCTATCGAAGATGGATCAGATTCAACGTCGGGTTGAGTCCTTATACCATACTAAACTTCCATTCAGCATCTTGTTCTTGAGGTTCTAGAAAAAGGTCTTCAATTGTCTCGGATGAGAGGCATCCCTTCGGTATATTAGACACCTTACAAAAGCTCCCACGAGCACAAGCTTATAGGGACACTTTCACGATCAGGCCTTGTCGATCCAGTGTCGGGCGAGAATTACATAGGTAGAGAAGCATATCTTTCAATGCATGCACATTTAATAGTACTTGATACAAGTTGCACAATCTATTCGAACGAGATTTACTAGGGGCTAAACCTGATAAGGTGTAAAGGAATATGGATTGCCCCAACGAGGACACAGGGGAGGATGCGTGGTACGTTTTCATTTCTTGATATCTATAAGCGCAAGGAATATATGATGACAAATTTGGCGTCTCATCCGAGGAAAAACATCATTTACTTAACAAGCCATTTGCAGATACCGTACACGTAGGCATCCTAGATGAGCTGTTGAAACGCGCGGTTGATGGGTGAGCGTGGCTTGACGCCCTTGTAGAAGTCCACGGTCTGCACAGCACGCTTGGCGATGCCGTCAGGTGTGAACTCGAATTTCTGCAGGGAATTGTCAGCAGGCGGTCTACTCGAAGCCTAGTTGAGTGCAAGTGTACCTTGTAAACGTCCTTGTATGGACCGCTTGCACCGAAGCGATTGAGGCCGAATTGCTCATGGGAGTATCTTTCCCAGCCTAATGTGGACATGGCCTCCACACTCATTGACGGGATGCCGTCCGGCAGGCATTTGAGTCGGTAATCTTTGGACTGTGCGTCGAAGACCTCGAAGCAAGGTATTGATACTACACGGGCGGTGAGGTTCTTTTCCTTGAGGACTTTGATTGCTTCAATACAGATGCAGACCTCGGAGCCTGTGCTGACAAGTGTGATGTCGGCATTTTCGGCTTCAACTGAGACGTAGCCACCTTTGATGGCGTTCTCGATGGTTGAATTCTCCAATTGTGGCAGATTTTGCCGGGTCAAGGCAAAGATACTCGGTGTGGATTTCGAGGTCAAAGCAACGTAATAGGCTGCACTGGTCTCGTTGCCATCGGCCGGGCGCCAGACCATCATGTTGGGAAGAGCACGGAAATGGGCAAGAGTTTCGATAGGTTGATGCGTTGGTCCATCCTCTCCGAGACCAATAGAATCGTGTGTTGCGACGTAAATGACACGATGGTGGGACAGAGACGACAGCCGGACGGATCCAGCGGCGTAAGAAACGAAGTTGAGGAACGTTCCACCGGACGGGATAACGGTACCATATGCAGAAAGACCGTTCATTACGCCAGCCATCGCGTGTTCTCGGACACCATATCGAACATAGCGACCCGCTCTGTCCCCAATTGATTTGCCTCCACTTTTGAGGGTATCAGGCTGGAAATCGACTGCATTCTTCCACCTGGTGTTGTTGGATCCGGTCAAATCTGCGGAGCCTGAGAGAAGCTCCGGTACGACTTCATGAATGGCTTCCAAAACGGCCTCGGACAATTTTCGAGACGCTACATCCTTGTCCCCTGGCTTGTATGTGGGTAGCTTCTTCTGCCAGCCCTCCGCAAGCTCCCCTGTCAACCGTCGCTTGAGCTCAGAGCCTAGGTCCTTGTGCTCATCTGTATACTTCTCAAACAGCTTATTCCATTCGGCCTCTTTAGCTGCGCCCTCATCTGCATGTTTGTGATATTGGTCATACACCTTCTGGGGCACAACGAATGACTCGTCAGGGTTGAAGCCAAATTTCTTTTTGACTTGCTTGCAGTCATCCTCTTTCAGAGCATTGCCATGAACACCACCAGTACCCTGGAGGAGAGAGCCAAAACCGATGGTTGTGGTCAACTTGATGACAGATGGCTTGTCGGTCACATCCTTTGCAGCTTGTATTGCTTTTTCAATGCTTTCCAAGTCTGTATCTCCTTCTTTCACCCATTGAGTGTGCCAGCCATAAGCTTCGAATCGCTTGAGAACATCTTCGGTGAAAGCGCATATAGTATCGCCATCTACGCATGATTAGCCCGCTCGCTTGAATTCTTGCTAAACTCACCAATGGAAATGTGATTATCATCATAAATCATGATCAAGTTGCCTAGCTGCAAGTGGCCTGCTAGACTGGCTGCCTCACTTGCAATGCCTTCCATGGCACATCCATCTCCGAAGAAGGTATATGTGTGATTGTTGATAAGATCAAAGCCCGGTTTGTTGAAGACTGCTGCAGTGTGTGATTGTGCAATCGCAAGGCCTACAGCACTCGCAAAACCTTGGCCTAATGGACCTGTCGTGACCTCGATACCGGGTGTATCGAGAATCTCGGGATGTCCAGGAGTAATGCTATCGACTTGCTATTTGGGCTTCGATCAGTTTTTTTCTCTCGTTCCGAAGGGAGCTTGCTTGTCATACTCGGAAAGCTTTGAGGTCATCTATTGAGACCTTGTAGCCGAAAAGATGCAGTAAAGCATACTGTAGCATACATCCGTGTCCATTCCTGTTAGAAGTGAGCACCGGTTAGCAGTTGATCGCTCTCCGTCATTGAAAGTAAATGTCCCTCTTAGAGCATTTCCACCCTGAACACTTTACTGGGTTTGGTGGGGGGAAGCTTTGGTTGCCGAAATCTGAGAGTGCCGGTTGACTTACGACAGGACGAATCGATCTCGGTTCAGCCAATGGGGATTGCTTGGATTAAAGCTCATGAATTTGTTGAACATAACATGTGCCGCCGGGGCAAGGCCCATGGGGGCTCCGGGATGACCGGAATTTGCTGTGAAGGTAGCATCGACCTAGCAAATCGAAAAAAGTTCAGCTTGCTATTCGCAAATTATATACGACGTAGTTGAGAGCTGTTGAAGCAATGATAATGTTCGTTTCGTGCGTCTGTTTCTGGAACCCGGGAGACATACCGCGAGGAGTCGGATGGTGTTGATGGCAAGCTCATCATCCTTAGTGTATCCCATGGTTGCGTTCGTGGTCAACTGGATGATTCAACTGTCCACTTTGATCCAGATCAAAGGAAGATTGGTGAAAGTTGTAGGCGAACGAAGAGAAGGTGGGATGAAATTTTGGCGGATAAAATACGTCAATTGGTTGGTGGGGCGCTTGTAGAGCCAACAAGGCCGCCAGCTACCGAACGGCTTAAGTTAGGATCCATGCCATTCGTGTGCAGAGCTATGCTGCATCTTTTTGCCCAAGATGAATGAATCTCAGGAGCACTTGATCTTACGGGATCGCAATCGAGTTATGAAGGAGGTATTGGTGCCTTGTAAAGTGAATAAAACCAATATGGCTGCCAATGATAGAATGCGAAGGAGGAGACAAAGTAAATATAAATTGGAGAATAGTATTGAGACCGCAAGGTAGGTTTCTTAGAAAGTGTAGACCTGACTTGTAAAAAGACCAATTTCCAATGGAGAATGCTTCGGGGATGTAGTTATTCATTTCTGTCCCAACTCCCTAAGACGCCTTGCTTCCTCAATGCTCCTTTGATGAACGACTTTGCAATATGGCGACCCAACTTTCCCCTTATTCAAGCGATAAACATTCAAGAGCCTCGTCGTCGAATTTGATATGGCAATTTGCCATTTTGTTCCATCTAACTTAGTCCCTTAATTCAAGTAGATATACGCTCTAAAGTCGTATCTCTGCGAGACTGTTGGCCCTTTGGCCATATATGAATCTCCTTTCTTCTCTGATGGTACCAGTAAGCACGTACCAGGTTCCTGGGTGGTATGAAGCGCTCCGTGAGTCTGTCTGCTCTGTCGTACCCCCAAAAGCAACACCGCGCGCTGATTGGACAGTCGACCACCTTGATTCGTATCTATATTCCCCTTCTGATTTCTTGTGTCTGAGGGAGATCCAAATACTTCTTTCCTCAACTCGACAAACACATTCCCATTCCCACTCATCTCTTCTCGAACACACTCGGGTCGACTACACAAACGACGACCAGACTTGTAACGATCAATGCCGCTGCGACAAAGGTGATGAGGAAGACGCTTCCTCTGCTAGCAGGAAATTTGCCTCGCATAATCCAATATTGACTCTCAAAGTATCTTCTTCCGCCGACTAAAAGAACCACAATCGCAATGCCCAAAAATGTGGCTCCCAATGGCTTTCCTACTTGCCGAAGGTGGTATCCTCCAGCCGTATCACTAGGCTGGCGCCCCTCGCGACGCTCAATGGTCGTGTTGAGGCGGAAGAGCTGGGTAATGGCAATGCCGATTGAAGCGAAAGCAAGGGAGGTGCGGAGCCAGGCGAGGAAAGTCCGTTCTATTTCCCCCCAGGCTGTCAGCAAAGCTTTGAGTCGGCACATACTAGGTGGTTGATGTGATGGAGATGCGAGTAATGAGTAAGAAGGGGGAACGAGCGCGTTGGTTATGTGTATTTTGCTGAGCAAGCTCGGTCGACTGGACTGGGGGAGTTGAGAGGAACGAACCGAGAGCCAAATGATCCCTCGCAGTACTCCCTTTGTTCTCCAATTCAATGCTGCCATATTTCTCAGCTGTATCTCTTATCCATGCCGTCAACCTATGTGCCCCTTTGCGCTCTACTCCGGTATCGGAGCAGCCCTCATTCCCTTCATCATTAGGCTCCTGACCTCTCTTGCGTCGCTTCCGCATGCTAGAGGTACTACTTCGACTGGGGCTCTGCGGAGCCGGGCCGCCACTGCCATCATAGCGCTTGCTCCCTCCGCGAGGGTGTGTGATTATAGGGGTGATTTCGTCGGCGGATGACTCGTGATTACCACTGACATCATTGCTCTCAGCACGGTGGGAGGCACTGGATGTTATGTCAGGTTGTTCACGGATCTGAACACTGCGGGTGCGCGGCAGCGTTCTGGGCGATGGTGAGCGGGTTGAAGAGGCCATGGAGTAATAACGGGAATTATAGGGAGGGTGAACGGGGGTAACACTATGGCTGCGACTTTATCCATACATAACGAGAGTCGAGCTGAATGCTGATAGGTATGACTGGCGTAACGCCTGTACGAGCGAGAATGATCTCCATTCTCTCTCTGCACAAGGCACCAGAGTAACAATGAAAGGCTGGCAAGTGACGATGCTTGGCGTTTATGGCCTAGGTAAGTTAGCTCTAGGGTATTCAAGGGTATAGCTACGGGGGCCCGCTCTGGCGAATTAGCGCAAACCCAGGCGCAAAGCAAAAGGGGCACCAAAAAATCTAAATTGAGCTATCCTAGTACTGCATTATCTTTCTCTTTCAATAATAGCAAAAGATAGGGTTGTCTACTCAGGTCGATAATGCTGCGACAGCATTTTGGACTGCTATGTAGAGGAAGGAGATTCAAGGGACAATCCGCGAAAACCTATTATCATATCCAAAAAGGGCATTTGAGATTGTCTTCTACATTTAATTCTCATTTCAAGCGGCCTAAGACGACCACTCGGTATCGTGTCTGGGGGTCTCTCATCATTTCATCCAACATCCTGGGCTTTTGCTACTACAATTGGTTCAAGGCACCAGTTTTACTAGAGGGGCCCTTCCCGTCCGGTGTACAAGATAAATATGAGCCCTGTCATCCCTCATGTAACCTAGATCTGGTAGAATACATGCTCAAAGAAGCGTCAAACTCCTGGTTACCTAGCAGTAAGTGGGTTCTCTTGTTTCTCTCATAAGCAAGAAAGTTCTGTTCGTCTATGCTTCGTCCTTTAAAATGTGGATAATTATGGCCGCTTGAAGAAACCTGGATGCGTTCTTAGGCGAGCAGGAATGGCTGTACAGATAGTGGCCAAGATGAGCCCAATAGGGTGCACCGGAAGTCTTCACGGTCAGTCCGCGCTTGCGTTGCTATTCACCTACTAGACACAGCCCGGCTATGTGAAAGCTCTGAATATACTGTCCATTTACTTTCACTGTGGTCAAACCATTCAAGGCCAGTCGAGGAAAGCCACCAATGGTCCAAGATTTATATCGTCAATGACGCTGACTTCTCAACACTTCCAGACACCGTAGTTAGATTAGACCATTTTAATTTGCCTGCGAACATCCCTTGTGAAGACTACTCAATATCTGCGACGATAACGAGAGGCAGATCCGGGTTTAGGGATCAATTTGTAGGAATCTTCGACGGACATGCGTAAGCAAAGATCGCTTTAACCTAAATCAGTTGACAGTAGATATTGACTGGCAAAGGGGTACTGCAACAGCACAAGCGCTCCATACATACTTGTTGCCATATTTATATCATCGGCTGTCGAGTGACGAGAACGACTCTGCAAAGATGGATCGAGTAATAACGCAAAGTTTCTTACAATTGGATCACGATATCATGTCGTTGGCTGCTAGGGCAATCGATCAGCCAACTTTACTAGCCGATGCTAACGCCATGCTGGAGGCTGCCTATTCCGGGTCCTGTGCCCTTGTTGCCTACTATATTGAAGAGACGCGTTCTCTAAAGGTTGCTTGCGTTGGTGACTCTCGTGCTGTCCTTGGTCGAAAGAACGCTGAAGGGATATGGGAAGCCATACTACTTTCTCATGATCAGACTGGCCACAATGAGGCAGAAGCCAAGCGACTACAAGCTGATCATCCTGACGAACCCGATATGCTTAAGAATGGGCGTCTACTTGGCCTTGCAGTTACGCGTGCCTTTGGTGACGCCCGTTGGAAATGGTCACAAAAGACACAGGAAATTGCTCAGAAGCGCTTCTTCGGTCCAGAACCTCGGGTACCTTTGATTTCCCCTCCATATCTTACTGCTGAGCCCGTGATTACAACTACAGAAATCTTCCCAGAGCGAGGCGATTTCCTAATAATGGCCAGCGACGGGATGTGGGATAATTTAAGTAGTGAACAAGCAGTGAAACTTGTAGGAAACTGGCGTGATACGCATGATCTGCTGAAGGAAGCAACCCCTTCAGGGAAGATTGAAATCCCAGACAGGTGGGCGCCAAGTGACCTCTCAAAAACGGTAAAACCAAGCGTGGACAGGGAGTTCACAAAGCCAAAAATTCTCTCGGAGAAAGATATGGTCAATGTAGATGATAATGCGGCGACACATTTGGCAAGGCATGCCTTAGGAGGAGGTGATCTGGATTTGTTGACGGGCTTGATCTCCTCGTCACCGCCGTGGACAAGGAGGATGAGGTTCGTCTCTGCCAACATTGATTTATCCCTTAAGCACAGTCTGAAGCTGAATTTCACAAATACAGGGACGATATGACGATTGAGGTGATGTTTTTTGGGGAGGATAAGAATTCGATCCAATTAGAATGAATGGCTACACTAATATTCCGGACATGTTATCGACAAGCCATAACTTGCTCGAAAAGGCATAGATTCTAAAGAGCTTTCTCCTACCTATCGTCAAACTAGAGTTGTCCCACAGCTTGCTGGGACGAAGTCTTACTTGTAGAGAACGTCTTGTTGGGGCTTGAAAACAAAGTGTTTTGCGAGACACGTTCCACGCCGAGCTAATTAGCCTTGAGACTTCTCCCCGTGAATTTCTGACGACAATTGTCGTTTCTGATCATCTTTGTTTGATTTGATTGCCAATCCGAGGTCCTTATACACGACATCTATGCGATGGTCGTCAAAACGTGGTGACCGCCGAAGAAGACTTCCAGATGAGGTAGTAGAAGGTATGCTGTCCATGTTTTGGTTTTCTTATATTCGGAAGGTTGAACTTAGGGGTTGTCTCTGTTATATGAGGGCCGATTGTCAAGTAGCAAGGACTGAAGATGGGCAATCAAATGGTGTTAAGCAACTGGACAATGAACTCTCCAATGAGAGAGGTCTCCAAGCTCGCTGTTGTATGACTATTGGGGATAATGTCGTCTTGACGTGTAAGTAGGATAATCTATTGAGCAGAGACGCAATATGAATCCACAAGGACCGTACACATTGTAGCTTTACAATAAGAGAAGGGCTTGTTTTCCTTATACAAAGAAAGCAGGACATTGGAACAAGCGGACTGCAACACCTCTTGTTGCTCTCTCGACGTGTCGATGATGGCTAGCCAATCAGCTTGGGGAGAAAAGGACAAAGATTTTCACTTCAGACTGACACGCGGACTTTATGATGGTTAGCTAGACAATAAGTGTTCCGTACTCTTACCAAGTACCGCACCTGGGATTCCCACTTCTCCAGATACGCGTCATCTTAGTCACGATGCCAGATTATACAAGTCACCCAGGCTTCGTCATCAACAACGCAGATAAATGGTGTTCTTGTCTACGATGGAATGGAGTACAGAGACGAGTGAGTCTTTGGCATAAACCGCTGGCGAAAGAGTGATTTATTAGAAACCCTCTGTGCACAACGGAGTTTAAGTATACGAAAGCTTTCAGTAGTATGCACCTTATGTTTGAATGATAGTCTGGAAATAATAAGAAAATATTGAAATTGCAGGGCTGGGGTCACGGCGGCTTGGGCGGCCGGCCTGGTGGTTCGCAGCGGAAGCTAAAAGGCCTAGTCAGTAGTCAGGGATTCTCGCCGCCTCTATCTTCTCTCCTGAATCTATCTCATCCCTCCCTTTCCAGACTGCGGTGCGGACCTACTAATGTCTAAAGTATTATTATTCTTGTCTTCTGGGCTTTCAGATCAGACCATAGCATGACGGGACAATCGACTACTGACAGGGATCATTGCTACGTTGGCTCGATTCCAGCAATATTGAAAGCGAGGATTACGGATCACATAACCGCCTGGCCCTCCCTGGCTTACAACCCCTCCTCTAGGACATTGTTTGAAACGCAAGTAAGGTGGAGATTGTTTTACCAACAATCACACCGTTCATCTATGAGGCTCTCATCTCGGAGCATAAGCATCCAGGCCCCTGAGCCGCCCAAGAGGCCTGTCCACTGCTTCATGTTGTTAGCCTTTCTACGCCTTAATTAATCTGCCACATCTCATATCTCGGCCATCTCCCCTCGTCAGGGGTTGAGGGGTTGAGGGGTTGAATGCTGCCAGACAAGAGGAAATCGAGGCCGTCCAAAAGGTCCGTTTTGCTCAGGATGGCCTGCTTCCGATTGGGCCCCATGAGGAGCACTTTGACGCCTTGTTTGAAAAGCCATCCTTGTTCAATCTTCTATCTCTTCAAAATGCCACCTCCGCCGCGATATTGCCTTTTCTGCTGTCCGTCCTTCTGCTGTTGCTGCTGAAGTCAGCATTACATTCATTTGTTTGTTTCTTCGAGTCTGTGACTCTCCTGGATCGTAGGATCCCTTCCAGTCACTCTTTGATCTTGTATTTCTTATATCCAACACATCACATACCTACCTTGACCAGTCGTTGCTTGTTGAAAACATTTGAACGCGTTTGCAAGAATTTGAGAACGGCAGAATGCATACATTGGCCCAGAAGGCGACGGTTGTGACCATAATTGTCCTGCTTGCGGCTTCCAACTATACGCTTGCCTATGATCTCCATGGACCTTACTTTGTCGTTGGCTCGAACGATGCTCCGCTTGTCTCGGAAAGACTCGATCCTGTATAACAAGTCACTCTCTTGCGTCTTGTCCCAAGCTTATAGAGTCGTCTTCTTACAGATAATATTCCCGGGCCAGACACCGAGCGCGCACACGCACGACATTCAGGGAGGGAACGGATTTGCGGCAAGTTGGGACTATGAGACCGCAGTTGCCTCGAGTTGCAATACCATGGGTCCAAAGAAAGATCACAGCAACTACTGGTATCCGGCTCTATATCACCATGGCGCCGATAACCAATATACGAAGGTGCCGTCATCGTTGACTGTATACTATCACTTTGACCCCGTAAATGGTCAGGCTCGAACGATGTTCAACCATAGTCAAAAGATCATGGCTGGCAATCCATTTCTGCGGCATGATGATTTGGCCACCAACAAAGCAACCAAGTCTATTCAATGGTGGTGTAAGTGATTGTTTCAGAGAGCAATTTTCATAATGCAAGCATAATGTCCGGAGTCAAAAATAGTCTTTGGAGTAATATTACGAGAGACAGGTCTCTTGGTCTCTTCTCCCCGTCTAAAGAAGGATTGCTGACTCCGATTTCATAAAGGTCACGGCCCTCCTAGTGGCCCGGACCCAAAGCAGAGGGTCAGTTTCCCTGAGGGCGTGACTTCTTGTGGCAAACCATACGCATGGCCGGGCTTCTCGGCCGAAATTTGGTTTCCTTTCTGTTACGATGGTTCGGATGAGTTTGATGCTGCAGATCCTAACAAGCACGTTACGTATGGCGACGGAGATAGTCCGCAAGGTGGGAACTGTCCCTCCACACATCCTATTGTCTTGCCACAGCTATTTATGGAATTCCATTTCAACATCGAACAATTCAAGGACGTGAAGAAGGCGGAGAGGCCCTGGGTTCTGGCTCCGGGCGATCCAATTGGCAGCGGTATGCACGCCGATTTTGTAAGTCATGTCATCATGTTATTTTCGGGCGAAACCTCTAACGGTGGGCACAGATCAATGGCTGGGAAGACGGAACAGGAAGTCTTGCAGACGCAATGTCCGTTGACTCATCAGGAAAGACCAAGTGCTACGTAGGGGAGAGCGGAGGGGGTGCAGGAGAGTGCTTCGAGTTAGTCGATGATGACACAAAAGCCAAATGCAAAATCGCACAGTCGAAGACGGAGGATGTCGTAGGCCCATTCGCTTCCCTGCCTGGGTGCAATCCTGAGCAGGCTGGGCCCGGTGATGCTACCCCTCAGTCAGGGAATGGCTGTGTAGGTGGAGCCTCATCCAACCCAGGTGGCAACAAAGCCCAGCCTCAAATTTCGCAGACCACGTCCATGCCGACGCCTGTCTCATCTACACCAGAAGTACCACAACAGTCCACCCATACAGAACCTACGGAAGGCACTCAAGGAAGCACTCAGGGGAACACCGAGGGGAACACTAAAGGAGGCTCCTCAAGCACGAGCGGTGGTGGCAATCCTGCCTCAGTCTCCATTACAAACGGCGATACCTGGACTTATCAAGGCTGCTATTCCGACCTCGTGCCCGACCGTAATGTGCGAGCACTAGGAACCTGGGGAACAGGCGCGACTTCCACTGACTGCGCCACTCACTGCGTCGGCGCCGGTTTCAGCATCTCAGGCACGGAATACGGTGGGCAATGCTTCTGCGGCAACGCATTGAAGCAGAGCAAGAAGCTAGATGACGGTCAATGCAATATGCGTTGCAAGAATTCGATGGAGACGTGCGGAGGGAATAGCGCGTTAAGTGTTTATGCTAAGCAGGGAGCCAATCTGGGATTGAAGAGGCGGGAGCATTTGAGACACCATCTCAAGCATCATGGCAGGTCGACGTGACGGGCGATCTTTTGGGTGAGCCTGTCTTGTACAAAATTTGCATCTTGAACCTCTCTGGAGAGGGTTTTTGACAATTGTATATAAATGCTTCATTTCTTACATCAACGACTTGATAGTCGTTCTTTCTCTCCTTCCTATTGCATCAATAAAACAATGAAGACGTGCGTAGTGAATGGCATGCAGATGATGATCCAAGCCGCTGTCAGGCCAATGATTTGTACAAGTCTATCTGGAGGCAAATCAGATACTAACGGCTCTACCCCTTTTCAGCACTCTCCGCCGCCTTGTCGACCTTGTGGTTCAAGCTTTCGCCCTTTCGGACATATACCATCCCTACTGGATCATTATCACTCTTCAACAAATCCCACTGTCCGATCCCCAGCTCCTCTGGTGCCCTCCGCATGCCTCGACCGCCGCCTCCCACGATGAGATTGCCGGGCCGGTAATTCGGATCAGCCTTCATCCGCTGAATAGCTGAATGATGGATCCAAGCGTCCTCTGGGATATCCCTTACCTCCCCCATGGGTAATGGGAATGAGATAGCTTTCCAGCTTCCGTCCACTTGTAAATCCATGCGTCGGAAGGGGAGATACTCCATGATTTTCCAGCTGATGACAGAAGCATGCGTGAGACCGTTGTTGAATACAAGGCAATCGTGGAGCGTGCCTTTGGTGGCAGATACCTCGAGAGTATGGTGGAACACCGACTTTTTGGGCGGTTCCGGGGCCATGCCTGGAGCCCAGCCGAATTGCTCTTTCTCAGATTTCGGGCTGCTGAAGATATTCATGTCGCTGTCTGATCTCGTAACTGTAATGTCTGGTGGAGCTGGTCCTTGACGTTCCTCCGAGAGCTCCTCGCTGTTGAAGGTGTCATCGCAGCATTTCAATTCAACCATTTGCTCGGCATCAAATTCTAGCCCAGCGCGTTGCGCTTCGCGCACCATCCAAACCAATGGTACATGGCTAAGCGGTGACTCTTCTTCTTTTCCTGCGGGCCATCCACCGCCCAGGTCTGCATGACAACCAGGAAACCATAGTTCCTGCAGCCAGGTCAGCTTCGTTCTCGGTCATCCGAACACGGCATTCTGAGCAAAAGAGCTAACTCGCAAGACTGCTCCCAAGGCTTGTACTGGGTTGTGAGATGGAACTATGAAACCTGAAATTTAACGTACTTCGATATCGGCTTGAGCTGATTCATCAATCTCCAATTCATCATCAAAGTCCTGAAGCTCATCGGGAAGGTAGCTTGAGGCTGTTGATCGGAGAGAACTAGTCTCTGGGCTAAGGGTATCTTGTCGCCCACGTTCTCCTTGCAGTCTCTGCGCTGGGCTTGTGGATCTGCCCCCGCTTGTGCCTCGAGCATTCGATCGTCGTCTGAAGCGATCTGATGGCTCTGTGTTTGGTTTCAAGCCGTTTGTGGTCACGTTGCGATGTGTATCCGTGGGCATTGGCTTTCGTGCGTGCCGGAAATGGTGTTGGTGTACATCGCGCTTTGAGGGGCCCTTAACTTCTGAGATGAGATCTTGCCGAAATTTCGCTCTCCTCTCATCAATGCTGACAGCGTGTCGTATAACTTTCGCAGAACTCCTGGCTGTATATGGAAACTTACTGCGCTGCATCCACGCATTTTCAAATCGGGGCACGCTGTTGACCGTGTCAAATAGACCGAGGAAACGGATGCGCCTGACAGGACGACCGAATGTGACCCGAAAAGCTTTCAGAAACCTAAGCATCTCTTTCTTTTTGGCCTTCTCTTCATCTGTGCTCTCATCACGTTCCTGCCATTGCGAAAAGGATTTCCAAGCGAATCGTGCCATCTCCTCGTTGCCTCGGCTCAGGAGACCAACATGGTCTAACATCTCTGCCAAAAATCTTGCAACATATGCTCCTCGACTGAAGCCAAAGAAATATATATCATCGTCATCGTAGCAGGACATGAGGAATTTGTATGCACCCTCAAAGAATGTCAGCGTCTTTGGTTGTTTAGGAGACCAGAGTTTTGGAAAGATACCATCACATGGTCATCAAACGATGTCCCAACAGCTGAATCTTTCGCCTTCATGTACCACGAGTGGAATCTTGCCATTGTGCTGGTATGTGATAGAGACTTGGTGTTCACATAAGTGCCAATTCCGGGCTGCTACTGATCAGCCCGTCTGACTGAGGCATCAAGCCATTCTTCTAGCTGACCTGATAGTAATGTTTATCGCCATTATTGCGGTCAAGCATGCGGTATATCTTCAGGATATTGCTATCAGTGTCCGTGCCTTGGAATTTGTTGCCCGTGCCATCGAAGCAGAGGATGATGCGCTTGCGTCTCCGAACGAAGGGAGCTCTCTCCTGTGTATTTGACGAGCGACGCAGATTCGAGTTCCGTGGTACCTCCATGCTCGCAGAGTAATTCGGGTCCGAAGCCGAGCCTGAGATGGAGGAGGTGGACAAAGATTCCAAGTGACCGTGGATGTCCAGTTGATCACGAAGCTGAATTCGTGTGGCTCTACACGGAGCTCAGTCTCACAGGAGTTGGAGCGGCAATTGGACTCGGCTGATCGGAAAGCATGAGGAGAGGCGTGTGGCGAGTACCTGTCATTAGCTGCATCTTGACCGTTCTGAAGATAGCTTGAGGTAAGGGATCATCGGTTGTTGCAGGTCTCGAGGCTAGCATCCTTGGCTGAAGTATACCATTGTAGAACAAATAGCTCATTCTGGCACAGATCCATTGCAGTGAACTGTGCCAATTGGTCAAAACTGCAGTCATTCTTGAGCCCGGCTTGCTGCATTTTTGCAGGCAAGGGAGAGGTCCTTTCGAGCGTAATCGCTGGCTAGTGCAGAAGCTCCACCTGCTCGGCTATCGAAAGGAGACGGTCAGATGAAGCGGCTGTAGTCCATTCGCCGGACTTCATTAGTCCGGTTCTTCTGACTGGGTGAGACAGCATGATAAATTAATAATATGAGGGATTGAGGGCGGGCTTGGGGAACAGTCGTGCCCCGAGGCGGACTAGCTCGATAAGGTCCAATAGATTAACCTTTCCCTTCCGTATCCTTATCCTACCCGCTACTTTAGCCTGACACTTACATGCACCCTCAACGATCCTCGCAGCACGCCTGCGGAGCTTCAACGGTGCTGCAGCCCGCCTTCAGGAGACAAGAAGGACACCTCTGGACCTTATTGACCTCCGTTCAGAGTGCCGGAAAGCCACGGTCGATCACTCCATGTTGCACGAAGCCGCGACCGACACGTTCGATCGCCCCACTTGAATCTACCTTTTAGCGGAGCAAGCGACTAGCCCTGGTGGTGCTGGCGCTACGCTTCACCAACGGAGATGTTCGGTCGACTATCTGCAGCCCCCAGCTCGGAATTGCAGATTCACTTTTCTCCATTTACCAATCAGTCCAGCTGTGTAGATCGTTACCCGGCATGATACGCGCGACCATGGGTCAGCGGTGGGGACGGGCGCCACATTGGAGATGCTCGTTCTAGAGCCTGAACCGTGAACCTCGTCTGTGAGGGGACATTGAACTCCCGAAGCTCTGAGCCAGTGAGCCTATCTGGAAAGCTGCTGAATCTAAATTCCGAGCTTGAGTAATTGTATGAATCCCATTGGTAGGAGAATTGATTGCAACGGTCCTGTTGCCCCTCCATCGCTCGTGTGCTTTGCTTCGGTACTTTCCCTTTTCTTTCACCTTCCTGCTCCTGCATTTGTTTACTCTGTACTGCAACGCGCGTGAAGCTTCGCAGAAATGCTTCGAAGATTCTCTACCAAGGTAGGCTTGGGTAGGAGTAAGAAGGAGGAAGCTGAGGGTTCAGCGAATGGAAACACCAAGTCTGCAACCAATGGAGTGGAGAAGCCCACAATGGAGAAGCGCATGTCATCCTTTGCGCCCCTGAAGTCGTCAAAGAAGGCAGAATCGGCCGACAACACGGCCAGCAGACAGAATGTCGAGAGCTCCTTTCACCAATTCGCCCAATTGATACATGCTGCCCAGCGCCCATTGCCCAATCAATCTGGAGACGGAGCTTATTTGGACCACGCTGAGCCCACCGGCCTGATGGGAGACCTCAAGAGGCTGGGTTTCAAGGATGCAAAGACTTTGATGGATGTCATGAAGAGTAAGGCGACCGGCGAGCTTCAGGACGACAAAACGTACATTATGGAGCGGACAATCCAAGTATGTATTTCGACCATGTTTGGGGCGAGAAGAATAATTGGCTGACGAATCCCAGCTGGTCGCAAGCTTGCCCACCCTCTCAAAGACCAGGAAAGACCTTACCAACGCCTTCATTGACGAACTTTGGAACTCGCTGCAGCACCCGCCTCTGAGCTATCTCGGGGACAAGTTCCAATATAGGTCAGGAGACGGATCATACAACGTGAGCTCTTATATTTGTATCTTCCACCCTTTCCCTCACTGACCCTCGTGCAGAACGTTATGTACCCGCATCTAGGCGCTGCAAATACTCCCTACGCCCGGTCTGTAATGCCAAACACCATATTCCCTGGTGCTCTGCCGGACCCAGGCCTCATCTTTGACAGCGTGATGGCGCGAAACACTTTCAAGCCTCATCCCAATAGAGTCTCTAGCGTGTTTTTCTACTGGGCTTCTTTGATCATCCATGATCTCTTCCAGACAGATCATCATGATTTCAATAACTCCAAGACATCTTCGTACCTCGATCTTTCCACACTTTACGGTGACACGCAGGAAGATCAAGATCAGATTCGGACGTTTAAAGATGGCAGACTGAAGCCGGATTGCTTCTCTGAACAGAGATTGCTGGGTTTCCCCCTGGTTGTGGCGTCATGTTGATCATGCTGAATCGCTTCCATAACTATGTTGTGGAGCAGCTTGCATTGATCAATGAAGGCGGTCGATTTACTAAACCCAATGAAGGCTTGTCGGCGGAGAAACGAGAAAAGTCGTGGGCGAAGTATGATAATGACCTCTTTCAGACCGGACGGCTCATCGTTTGCGGCCTTTACATTAACATCACGCTTCTGGACTATCTCAGAACCATTGTAAACCTTAACAGAACCGATACAACATGGACGCTTGATCCTCGGGCGGAGATGGGACGGATCTTTGGCAAGGATGGTACACAAGCTGGTGTCGGTAATCAAGTGTCTGCAGAGTTCAATTTGGCTTACCGGTGGCATTCATGCATCAGTCAGCGAGATGAGCAATGGACCGAGGAGCTCTACCGAAAGCTTTTCGGGAAGAAAGCGGAGGATGTCACGCTGCAGGAGCTCATGATGGGACTTGGCAAGTGGGAGCAAAGCCTTGACAAAGACCCATTCAAGCGGGATTTTGCTGGCTTGAAAAGAGGTCCAGACGGTAAGCTTCCAGACGATGAATTGGTGGAAATATTTGTCTCGTCCGTGGAAGACGTTTCTGGTGAGCTGCTGCACAAAACCTTCCGTCTTTGTGACGATATTCTAAGCCGCACTAGGCACATTTGGACCAAACAATATTCCAAAATGCCTGAAGGCTATCACTATTCTCGGCATGCAACAATCACGCGCCTGGAATCTTGGATCATTGAACGAGTTTCGCAAATTTTTCGGATTGAAACCGCATGAGACCTTTGAGGATATTTGCTCCGAAGTAGAGGTGTCAGACCAATTGAGAAATCTGTGAGATACCTACTAAGACAAAAGGGCATTATACTGACGAGAAGTAGGTATGAACATCCAGACTGGGTGGAAATGTATCCTGGTATGGTGTCCGAGAGTGCCAAAGTCCCCATGGTGAGTCCTTCCTTTGCTACTACCTCAACCATGTAGCAACATTTCCTCGTATGTGAAGAGCACATGCCTACAAGCTTGACACCTGACCATTCCAATCTTTTGTGAACGATTCTGACTGTTCCATCAGGTTCCCGGAGCGGGCATCACACCGAATTTTACTATTTCAAGAGCAATTCTCTCAGATGCCGTTACCCTTGTGCGCGGCGATCGATTCTACACCATCGATTACAACGCAAGAAATCTGACGAATTGGGGTTACAGCGAGGTTCAATATGACCTTGCGGTACAGGAAGGCTGCGTTTTCTACAAGCTATGCATTCGAGCATTCCCGAACCACTTCAAACAAAACTCGATCTATGCGCACTACCCGATGACCGTGCCTGACGAGAATCGGAAAATCATGAAAAGTCTTGGGCGCGAAGAAAACTACAATTATGATCGGCCACGTCGTATGCCCGAGCGAGTCAACTTCACATCCTACAAAGCCGCCAAGCACATACTGGAGCACGCTCAGCAGTTCAATGTTGTATGGACTGAGCCGTTCATCTTTCTCATGGGAAAGCAAGGCGGTGATTTCATGCTTAGCGGTGACACTGCCTTCCATGCCAAACAGCGCAAATTAATGGGAGAGTGCCTTTACAGGGACCAATGGCAGCAGCAAATCAAAGATTTCTACGAGTACATCACTTTGAAACTGCTGAAAGAGAAAAGTTGTAAGATCGCTGGTATCAACCAGGTTGACATCACCCGAGATGTTGGCAACTTGGCGCACGTACATTTTGCAGCCAATGTTTTCTCTCTGCCATTGAAAACGGAAGATCATCCGCACGGAGTTTACTCCGAGCAAGAGCTGTATATGGTCCTAGGAGTGCTCTTCACTTGTCTCTTCTTTGATCTTGACCCGGCAAAGTCGTTTCCTCTCCGGATGGGCACAAGGTCTGTGGTCCAACAGCTGGGGAAGCTGATTGAAGCAAATGTCAAGATGGTCAATGCCACTGGATTTATCTCAGGCATTGTCGACAGCCTTCATCAGGACCATACTCCGCTTAAAGATTATGGTGTACACATGGTGCGCAAGCTGCTGGAGAGCGGACTGGGCGTCAGCGAAATCACGTGGTCCCAAATTCTGCCAACGGCCGGTGCTATGGTGGCGAACCAAGCCCAAGTATTTACGCAATTGATCGATTATTATCTTTCCGACAAAGGGAAACAGCACCTGCCTGATATCAATAAGACGGCCAAAACGCCAGGCCCGGAAGCAGACAAGAAGCTTTTACACTACGCCATGGAAGGCATTCGGCTCAATGGCACTTTCGGAGCGTATCGACTTGCCACAGAAGATACGACTCTCGATGACAATGGCCGGCAAGTCAAGGTCAAGAAAGGTGACAAAGTCTTTTGCAGCTTTGTCAGTGCAAACCGCGAGGCCGAATTTTTCCCTGATCCAGATACCGTCAAGCTTGATCGCCCGATAGAGAACTATATCCATTACGGATTGGGTCCACACGCCTGTCTTGGCGGAGAGGCAAGTAGGACAGGCTTGACTGCCATGCTCAGGGTCGTCGGCAAGCTTGATAATCTGAGGAGGGCCCCTGGTCCGGTTGGGGAACTGAAGAAGATTCCTCGACCTGGAGGATTCTATGTCTACATGAGATCAGACCACGGAAGTTACTGGCCTTTCCCAACAAGTAAGCCTTCCACCCTCCTCGCTTCTACCTTCCACAAATGTATTTGCTAACGCCAGCCACAGCAATGAAAGTACATTGGGATGGTGATCTGCCACCGCTGAAGAAGTTGTAGGACGTGGAGAAAGATACCCGGAGCCGGACGGAAACTGTAATGATTCAGCGCGACCATGGAATGGATCGACTTGTTCAGCAGAGGATGGAACAGCAGAGTATGTAATCTAATCTAACCTATTAATTTTGAATAGCGACGCTTCTCGAGGGCGGTCCTTTGATGTTTCTCTCCTAATGACTGCTTGTTGGCACGCCTCAGTCATATCACTCCTGCCCCAGAATGTTTCCACGTGGTGTGTGTGATTGCGTGTCCTGCAACGCCCAAAATTGCCATGCCAGCCAAGCCGTAGGTAAGCGCGACAGGAAACTTTCATAAACTTGTGCAGCACAAGGGTGGGCCCAGTTTTCGGCACTCATAATTCAGCGAAATGCCTAATCTCCAGTCGTACCTTCCTCTAAGAAGTTCAGGAACATCTTCATCCAGCAAAATTGCCCCGACAGCACAGCCAGGACGTGTACGTCATCTAAGACAAGCACTCAAGGGTCTTTCACCAGAAACTTTCACGGCGGATGAAGTGATTTGATCGGTTTTCCACTCCAAGTCAGCGTGATCACTACCGTCCCTCCCCCACATTCGTAAGCTGTGCTAAGCCAGTCGCCTAGACCTCGAAGAGTTGGTACATCCGCAACGGCAGGGATTCGAGGTCAGTCTGACGGTGTTCGACCTATGACCAGTCGCCTTTCAATCTAATCGTTCCATCGTTTCTCGGCCAGCGCGGCTGTGGCTCCGGCTAGTCGTCACTTTACATATGCCTCCGAACAACTCTATACCCTCCGTCTCAGGCGATCAAAAACCCAATCCCACAAAAAAAACCCTTTCGCACAATGAGAAAGTCACGGCGACATCATACCCTGATGCGCGTCAGACAAATGTACGGCATCAAGCCGGCATTGCAGCAAGACGTTCCGCGGAAACCCTGCAACGCCGACGCGCCGTTACAAGCACATCAGCATCCAGCTCAGCACGACCCCACTTAGAAATCAGTCTAGGGCCAGTCCAGGCACCTTTAAACCAACATTCTCACGAAGCTCCGCCCAAAATTCTTACAAGTCCTGCAAGCCCTCCCACTGCCCCCATTGTGATCCCCCAGCGCAAGGATACATTGGGCAGGCCTGTGACGCCACTGAGTGGTCGACCACGAGAATTCAAAGCGACTGATTCAGCTGCTTTCCTGGCTCACAAAGTCAAATATTCCTCATCCTCTAGCAGTCAGGATTCGAGTGAAAAATCGACGTCACCAGCGAAGCCCCATAGCTTCGAGATTTCTACAATGGATCCTCGCTCTCGTCCCAATGCTGTCCGCTCGTCAATTGATCGCCACGCGTCACCGTTGTCCCCTACAAGACCAATTCCTAGGACTCCCACCAAGCGACAGCAAGAGCCCGGTGCTCCGCATCAACATCTTAATCTAGCTGGCCTGCCCGAGTTTCACCCTGCCAATTTCCCACTTACCGGGCATAATGCTCCAGTCCCACCTCGCACTGCTCGGAACATTACTTCAGCGTCGCGGAGTACCCGTCCTGTGAGTACTGGCTCGGATGCACAGCAGAAACTCCAACAATATCAGCGCAGCGTCGTGGCAAGTTTCTCACGAGCTGTCAACTCGCCGAAGTCACCCCGCCTCGTGCCTCAAGAAAGTCCCAGTGAAGCCATGACGCCACTGCAGCTAGAAGCGTCAGGCGATTACTTGACGGCTGGGTCTCGACCCCCCGTTTGAGTGCAGCACTCACGAGAGAGCATGTCGAGAGACTGGTCCAGATAGAGAATGAAAGGCGGCAGCATCCGGAGGCAAGGTCGGGAAGCTTGAGTCCTGCCTTGAGTCCAAATATCAGTCCTGCCGTGAGTCCTGCTTGAGGCCATTCGTACGGATTGGTTCTTTCAGTACATTTTACATTTATGACCAAAAGCTGTCGTTGTCGATATGTCTTCAGCCTAGAGGACGGACAGTTTTAACACGAGTGATGGTGATGCTAGAGCAGATGGCACTGTTTGACATGGGCCCTTCCCCAAAGCAGCGGTACCTTCATTCAATGTTTCATGATCATGCACTTGCAGGAAATCAGCACAAAATGCTGCAAGGGTGGAGACGGCTGGCTCCACTGAGATCAATTGCGTTGTTAGGCGTTGGGAAGGCTATAGAATAGACTTGATGCCATATCTCTCCGCCTGGTTGTTAAAAACCACTAGGCCAAAAGTCTAGACAGTTGAATGTCTACTAGGTTACTATATCTAACACTGGTCCGGGCGACGAGCGCGTTCATGTATTGAAGATATAGCTAGCGTCCGAATGAATTGACAGCAAGTAACATATATTCTATCTCCCCGAATCTCAGCCACCGAAATGTGACATATACAATGTGATAGTATGCACGTGAACGACGGAGACTTTGAAATCTATATTAAGAATTGAAGGCCACTGGTGGGGGGCATCTTTCGCGGGCCCTAGTTTAGTCATTTCAAACCCTTCACTTCTACCTGACTACTGCGGACGGTCAGGCAACTCCGGCAGTAGCTTTTCCGAACGCTTCGGGACGATAGGACTAGGCTCCTATTGCCTTCACCTTCCGAGTAAATGGGTCTCTGTTGTGCCACAATGTGGGAGATCAATGGCTTTGATGTCGGAGAAGATTGCCAGCATTGGCCGACATGAGATGAATTGGCCCAGAAGTGCATCATAGCTCGTTGTCATGAGACTTACATTCTACGCCTCATTCAGAGCTTCGAATTAAACAAAGGCTTGAATAAGCTTCATGAAGCGTACATGGCCAACGTTCGATTGATCGAGCGCTCGTCGGAAGAATGGGAAGAGTGGATGGATTGGGACCAAGTGTCCGAAATCGGGCCTCAAGAGAAACAAAACTTGGCCCTCAAATCGCCTAATGACAAAAACCACCATTCATGCTCGGCCCACTCAGGCGTGGAAAGCGATCGCTCGAGGAAACGCAAGTCATCTATAGGGAGCTGTGAAGTTTCTACGAGTCCCAAGAGGCAAAGCATGGAGAAGGCAACTGCCCAAAACAAAAGTCATAGCCTTGTCGAGAAACGATACCGGAACAACCTGAATCAAAGAATCGCCGAATTAGAGATCCGACTTCCGAACCTCAGAGATAACAGCCGGGCGAAAGCATGGCCTGACGAGTCTCCACCTATTCCCAAACACAACAAAGCAATTGTTTTGACTGAGGCAATATCATATATTGATCAGCTCGAAAGGCAGAACAAGTACTTGCAACAAGAAAATACAGCTTTACAGCTACAGATGAAAGGCAGAGATGCAAAGAGCACCTCCCATCAAGAGGTAGCTGCAATGAGCGAGACGCCACTATCGAGAGGCGAAGATGTTTCTACCGGGCAAGATGTGGGTTTGAAGGTTGCGGCGCTGTCCGAACCCGTTCAAGGGCTAATCAAGGTGCCTGAGGAATGGAGAAGACTATGGCGAGGCGAGCTCAAGCCTTATTCGCCTAACGAGGGCCAAAATAATAATGAGAATGAAAGAGACAGCGCTGAAAACAATCTTAGTCAATCCAAAGGCGGAAGGAATATTCGTCGCTTGGTGGTTGGGTCCATAGCTGGACTAACGCTAGTAAATGGGCTTAATGGCAGCAGAAAGGATCATTCTAACATGAGAGGCTTGTTTGGTTTGCCATTAATCCACCGTATGGCTCGACTTCCACGAAATTTCTCGAGCGTGACATCCTCACCGTTCCACCTGTCATCTGGACTGGCGGGTGATTGTAACCTTCTCCAAGTCTTCCTTAGGGCAGCTCTACTATTTGCAGTGCTCGGGCTACTTCTTTTCATCTATCTCTTCACTTCAAGGCCACCGTCACGAAAGACGAGCACAACATCAACTGATGTATCTGCAATTTCTCCAGCATCTCCACTGGAAGTCCGACAAAGAGCTTTTCTCACTGCATTGCAAACCATCTGGGTTCCTCGACACCATGTTCTTCCAGAAATGCTCGCGCTGAATATTGAGACTGCCGCGTACATTATCCGACAGCTGCTTGGCTGGCAAATGTATTCTTGGGCCACAGGTCGTAGTGAAGAAGAGGAAATCGCAAGGGTCAGAGCTTGGGACATTTGCATTGATGCACAGCTCTCTGGCGGAGACACAGAAGTCTCGAGGAGTAGGTTGGTGTTGTCTTTATGGGCTTCCGGTACACTACCAAAATCACCCGCAAGACTAATGTTAAAAGCTTTGCATATAAGAATCCTCTTCTGGCAGCCATCAAGGTGGAAATGGCTTACGGATCTTCTTCATTGCGCCGCAAGAAAGCTAGCTCAGTGGCAATGGAGTAGGGCCCAGGCTTTACAGCAAAAGCTCGATGAGGATTGTCAAGCGGAGACCAGGAACGAGCCTCTTACGGAACATTTGCGCGCTATCCTTCCGCTAGCTAGCGAAGATGTCCTGGACGATGCAATAGTCCAGCGAGCCCATAACTTGGCTTGGAATACATCTACCTCACAACGAGACTGCGGCGAGAGCATGACCGAGGACAACGTTATGCGTGGTCCTTTGGATGCACTGGCATCTTGGTATAGTAACTCGTTGCTCACAGAAATACTCCGGTCAATCGTACAGCAAGAACGCAACGAGGAGCTGATTAAAGACACCCAGTACCAGCTGGAATTGGCCGTCATCTCGGCGCCCTCTGGGTCGCTTCCAAAAGCAAGGGCACTGGCCGCAGAAAGTGTCCTTGTTGAGGCTGATCGTGATGCTGCCCTAAAACAGTTGAAAGAGACGCTTTCACCAGCTGCCTGTTTTAAGAAAGGGTTCACTACCAGGCAAGGGCCCCAGATAGACTCTCTTGTGAAGGAGGTCCCATTTCCAGACGCCAACGATATCGCATTATGCGTAGAGCTCGCCACAATGTTGGAGAAGCTACAATTTCCTGAACACCCCAATATAGATCTGTCGGAAACGGTTGATCAATTACTCAACCATAAGACAGGCATGCAGGCGAGAGGCCTGCTTGGCTGGACTACTCTCTCGCAAGCGATTATCCAAACTTACAAAGTTGGCTACGGGCACCAGCTACGGCCTCTTGTCGAACAAAGTGTCAAGCAATTGAAAGAATCTAAGGGTATAGACCTGCAAATCAGAAACCATCTGAATCTGGTGCTTACCGAAATTGCTACCGGCGTCGCTCTTGATGAGGTGAGTAGTAGACGTTATAGTGGGACGTCTAATGACACGTGATACGAGAGCATGAGTGATGTTGATGATCATGTTAATATAGCAGACCCTGTCTGTGCGTTGTGAGCCTAGATGATTAGGAACGAGGCTATGTCCTCTACTATAAAACATTGCTATCACAGACAATCCTCACCGAAGCTTTTATCTTGTAGGCAGGTTTCTGTTCAACATCTCGTTGATGTATTCTTTATTTCTTCGCATCGACAACTTGAGGGTCGTACTATTCAATCGAACATAAAAATTCAAAGGGCGGTCTGAGTTCGCTCACATATTTCTCTGGATCATTGAGGAGAGATTTGATTATCAATTGGGTTTGGTGAAACATCATATTCTACGAACAGTCAATGGGTATCACCGCGCTCACTCCGGCAGAGTCCTCATCGCGCCTTCAAATGCAACCAGCGCCACCGCATTTGCAGGGAATGCTCGCAAAAAGCAAGGCAAGAACCCTCTCCAGTACCCTCTAACCCCATTTTTCTGCCATATGTCCTTTGCGGCGTCCTTCCATTTTGGAAAGCGCCGCTCCCCATCATTCAATGCGCCCCCCAAAGGGTCAGTCATGATTCGCTGCTTCACCACATCGGAGGGGTATGAAGTCAGCCAAAATACCTGCGCTGAAAGCCCGCCCGCCCAGAAATTTACAGATGGCGTCGAGAGGTTTGTATGACTGGAGAGCATTCTGGTGAAGATGTCGTACGATCCCCACCAAAAGAAGAAAAACGAGCGGAATACGAGGGTTGCACTGAGGCCGTGGCAAACACCTCGGATACCGTGTGCACGATATATTTTGGTAAGGCAGTCGATGGGGCCGCTATATAGGCGGTTCTTCTTGTCTGCTGCGTATTGGACTTGCAATCGGGCTTTGATGTGCTCAACGGGCGCGGCGATGAAGGAGACTGTGGCTCCTGCCATGACGCCCGCAATGGCGTGCCCAATGGTGGGAAGTTTGGCGTAACTTTCACGCTCCTCTGACACACCTTTCTTACTTGATATGCTTGCAAAGCGTGGAAGAAGTGGATTCGAGAAGACGTTCTCAAGAAGGACGCGGCGGTAGAAAGTGAGGGAGCCGAGCATCACAGAGTCCATGAACATCCATCCTATTAAGGGAGGTGTTGCACCTTTGTAGAGCCCTCTCAAGCCCTCGTTTCTGACTGTTTGGAGGAGGCAGTCCAGGGGCCCATTGAATTGGGACTGCCCGCTAGTTTGCAGTCGGACTTTGATGGTGTCAAAAGGGTGGCCAAAGGTCAGCTTTGCCACGCCCGAGGAAACGCCAGCAACGAAGCCTTTGTAATTCTTGTGCTGAGGCTTCTTGGTCGATAAATCTGGTGTAGACGGGGGAAGGTAGTGGTCTGCATGTCTGCTGTCTTGCTCGTCGATCGAGGTGTCAACAGCCGACATTAGCAGTCACTAAGGGATTGAAGCAATGAAAGATGGACAAATGTATCAAGAGATGACATCTCGAAGCATGACAAGATGCTCACCATACTCATTGTCAGATCCTGTCCATGGTCGAATTGATCTGATAAAGCAAAGCTTAAGATCTGCGGCATCTGTCTTGAAATGCGTCATCGATCTGTATGGGCTAGGCTCTCCGCCGTTAGGGCACCCTATTCCTCCTATTCGAAGGATCGTTTTCGCAGGCGCGAATAAGGATTACCAATGGACAACCAGCAGGATGCACGAGGCTTTGCCCCTCTACGCACCTCGATCCCCCGCTCATCGTCTTCATCATCGTCCTCCTCCTCAACTAAACTAAAATCGAAAGACGATGAGCGAGGCCAGTGAAACTCGTGCTACCGAATCCAAGAAAGGTACCGAACTACACACGGCAAATCCCTCGAGTGCTTCGGCTGATTGGAATCAGTATGGACGACCCTGATCACCAATACAGCCTACCTGCCTGGTCTGCTTGCACTTGAGTACTCGCTGAAGAAGCAAGGCTCAAAGTACCCTCTGGTGGCGCTCTACACAGACACATTCCCTCCAGAGGGTCACAAGGCCCTTGACAATCGAAAAATTGCGAAGCAACATGTGAAATACTTGATGCCATCTGTGCAAAAAGACTTCACCAATGACCCACGTTTCTATGACTGCTGGAGCAAGCTCACTCCTTTCTCGCTCACGAAGTATGAGAGAGTCGTGCAGCTGGACAGCGACATGCTTGTCTTTAGGAACATGGATGAGTTGATGGACCTGGAGCTCGATCCGCCAGGAATGAGAGGAGACGGGGTCAGAGTATTTGCTGCAAGCCATGCATGCGTGTGCAATCCATTGAAGAAACCTCATTACCCCAAGAATTGGTAGGTCAAAAGCTAACAAGCATATTGGGGCTACTGAAACCAACGTTCCCAGGACCCCCGAGAATTGTGCATTCACAACACAGCACTCACACCCAGAAGAAGCACAGACCAAAGGCGCTCCACCAACGGCAGGCCTTGGAATGCCAAACGGTGGGCTTCAGGTTGTCAATCCCTCCGAGGCCATTTACAACAAAATAGTGGATCACCTAGCGTCAGATTCGACTATGAACTTCGACTTCGCGGATCAATCACTGCTGTCTGACTTGTTCGGGGGCCGTTGGATTGCTTTGCCGTACGTGTACAATGCGCTGAAGACTTTGCGAGATATACACAAACCTATTTGGCGTGATGACGAGGTCAAGAACATGCATTACCTGCTGACTCCCAATCCATGGGATGAAGAGGAGGGAAAGGAGACCCAAGAGACATTCAAATGGTGGTGGAAGTTGAATCGGGAGAGACTTGATCTTGAGAAGGAGAATGGCATAGCCGATGGCTTCTGATGCTCGGTTGGGCTCGGCTGTTCGTTTTGTTCTCGCTCAGACCCAAGCACAGGCAGTAGACTCTATGTAGCAGATACAGAGAAGAACCACATATAGCTGCCTTTCCTAATCTACAATTCCCCAAAGACTGTTTGTCAAATTGCATGTGGAAATCACGTCTAAAAATGTTTGTAGGCTACGGTATCACTAAGATAAGCATTGCGCGCCTGAATGGGCTTGGCGGCCGTCCCCTGACGGAATCTTATCCCAAAGAAGACAACGAATTTCGTAGGATCGTTCTCGACTATCTTGCGTGATGAATGCATACATTGGCAAATGGAATAGATTTGATACGTTGCATTGATCGATTTGAAAAGAACACCAACATGAAGTCTACTACACTGAGGTAGCGAGGCTGTCCCAAGCAGCTACCCAGACTAGGAACACCCTCTGACCACAGGCGCAACTCTCTATTTAGCATCCCTTTTCTCCTCTCGTCATGGCCATGCCTAGAGCAGTGCGACGGACGAACCCTATCACAGTCATCCTAGCAGCTGTACTCGCCATCGGATTCCTATTCTTCATCCTATCGCCCGCGGGTGATTCAGTATCAGTATCAACAGCGAGACGGAAAATTGCATCGGCGGCTGCTCATCCTCTATCCCCACCTACTGCCCCATTCGTGAAGGAGGAAGCAGGAAGCCAAAGAAAACCGCCTCCAGTCGTACATTACCACCTAAATAATGTCACGACGACGACAGATCCAATAACGAACGAAGAGACTGTTCTTGTTCTCACCCCTCTTACTCGCTTTTATCAAGGCTATTGGGATAATCTAGCGGCACTCACATATCCACACTCTCTGATTGCTCTTGGCTTCATAATACCACAGACGAAAGAAGGTCACGCCGCTACGCAGCTGCTTCAAAACGCAATCGCAGAAACTCAGAATGGGCCGGAAGAGAAACGTTTTGCCAGCATCAGCATTCTGCGGCAGGACTTCGATCCACCAATACAATCGCAAGATGAAGCAGAAAGGCACAAGAAAGAGAATCAAAAGGCGCGAAGAGGAGCTATGGCTCGGGCGCGGAACTCGCTACTCTTCACCACTATTGGTCCGTCCACATCATGGGTTTTGTGGATCGACTCGGACATTATTGAGACCCCTAAGACTCTTATACAGGACTTGACCTCTCATGACAAACCTGTTCTAGTGGCCAATTGCTTTCAGCGTTACATTAATGACAAGGGCAAAAAAGACATTCGTCCCTACGACTACAACTCGTGGCAGGACAGCCAAGTAGCCGCTGATATGGCTGCCTCAATGGGTCCGGATGATATCATAATGGAGGGCTACGATATGGCGACGTATAGGACTCTGATGGCTATGAATGCAGACACGAATGAAAGCAGGGATCAAAAGGCTATCATTCCGCTAGATGGTGTCGGAGGAACAACGCTCATGGTGAAGGCCGAGGTGCACAGAGATGGTGCGATGTTCCCACCATTTCCATTTTATCATTTGGTGGAAACCGAAGGATTTGCAAAAATGGCGAGACGGTTAGGTTGGGGTTGCTGGGGATTACCAAATTATTTCGTAAGTCCGACCATTCGCTGTCTGGACCAACTTTCTACCTTTACTCATACTATTCTGCCAGGTCTTCCACTATAACGAATGAAAATCCACGTCTTAACCGCGCATTCTGTTCGAGGTGGAAGCACTCGGTAAAAACTTACATTTTGCTGGATTGCTATTACAACATCTGTCATAAAATAGGGCGCGGCGTTCATTGCAAAGGCGAAGGAGAGCTATTTTACGAAACATGCAGCTCTAACAAGTTGGACATTGGGGGTATCACAGACTATAGATCTTTACGGACATAACTCATTTCCGCTTCCAAACGAAGAATTCAAATGACATAAACTTGGACGCTTGTACAGCCGTATTCTGAGGAGTGTTGTTCCCCGAGTACTCTAAGCCGCGAACTCCACGCTAAAGACCTCTGCGAATCCTGCCGCTGTGCTTTCCACGATGAATGTCACCCCGTATTGGACCCAGCATCACCACCAGCTCCAAACACCACCTTTGCTCTTTTCCCCCTCCACCACTTCATTTTCAATGTGCTTCTCCATCTCCAACCCAGCCCCCTCCCACCTTCTCTCCTCACACCAAAACCTACAGACACCCTCCCAAGCCACTTTATCCTCCCTCACTAGCCCGGCCGCATCCACATTCAAGGGACTGTCCGGATCCGGCCACCTCAACATATCTCTCACCGCCTCCAACACTTTCACAAGCGTGTATGTTGCCGCCCACCCATCCTTCTTCAGCAGATCCAAACAGATCTCCCCGGTCTTGAAAGAGATGTTCGGATGGCAGCAGGGTGTGATGAATCTGGCCTGGGGAGGAGAGAGAGGGTAATTGGTTGGGATGTGGAGGGAGAGAAGCCAGCGACCCTGAGAGTAGGGTGTGGAAGGGGGACCGAGCAGAATGGCGCCCCATTGCAGGAGATCGGAGTCGGCGAGGGGGGAGAGAGTGGCTATGGCGGGTGAAAGGGGAGATGGGGATGTGCGGAGGGTTTGGAGCTCGCCGGTGAGACGCTTGAGGCATTGAGGGGTTGGGTTGGAGGGTAGAGGGGTTGACATTGCTGCGCGAAAAGTGGGTGAGAGTGAAAGCTTGTAGTAGAGCTCTTGGAGCTTAAGGTCGTGGATGCCAAGGCCGGGGCTTGCGAGGCGCTAGTGGCTTCGTTTGTGATGCTGGAGGGAGGACCAGCCTCCGTTCTTTTGCGGTTTTAATGATATCGTGCAAGTCTTAAGTATGAGATCAATTGCACTCCTACACCATCGCATCCGTCCTCGAACGCCATGGCTGCAATCGAAGACGAACGATCAAAGCATCTAGACAAACAGACTGACACTTGCTACCATCATTTCATCGACATACATCAACACCAGGCTGCTTGGCTCAAGCTCAATAAGTTTTGGACACAGTCCAGGTCTTCTTCTTCCCTCGGCAGGCTTGACCCCCCCATGAAAACAGCAACATCGTCATCTACTTCCGGAGTCCTGTTCTCTCTGTTACTTACTTTAGTCGCTGATGAGTGCCTTCTAGAATTTCCACCGCCAAATAGCGAGCTACCGCTTGAGCTTTGACTCGGTTCACGCAAACTCTCTAGCAAGGTGCGAGCAGTCTCTTGGTCTGTCACCGGTCTCCGCCGTGGCGGGGGTGGTCGCTGCTGAGTGCCAGGAACCCAATTCTCTTTGTCTGAATCTCCGTCCAGGTCCTCGAGAATGTAAGGCTGAGAATAGGACTTGCTATGCTTGGGCGCTGGCTTATCGTTCCTTTGTTTTTGAATATTGCTGCTCGTTGTTTGCAACTTCGCAACAGAAGATATTGAGCGCTCCAACTTCGGCTTGCTCATTTTTTCATTTTCAGTTTTGTGCCTCTTTGCTGCTTCATTTTTTTGTATTGTTGCGTTACGTTTATTTGCATTTGATTTCAAAGTCAACCTCTTGCTGCTGTTTGACCTCATCAAGCCAATCACTGCTGTGGCTGATCCGCTCTCTTCCCTCTCAGCTTGTTTAGACAAAGCATCTTGAGCCTGGTCGTCACAATAGAACTCCCATGTACGAGCATCTCGTGACCTTCCATGGGTTTGGCGTCTCGACTTCAAGCCAGGTAGAACATCTGATACACTCAGGCTACCCACAGGATCGACAGCACTAAAGCTGCGGAGCAGACCTGGTCCTCGTGAGCGTCTGAGTTGAGCCGTCAGTGACGCATTTGCCCGCGGAGGGGACGGCGTTTCCCCTGTCCTTGGCATCAAGAGAGCTTTGCCGTCTTCGTCCGTTGAAAGTTTCATTAATGAAGACGTCCTTCGCAGACCTTGCGCTTTTTGAACTGCCGATTGGCTCTTCGGGCATTCTTGACTACTATTCAGGCTTGAACGTGGTTCCCTGTTTAGTGGAAGGCTATGATCATCATGTATGATGAAAGAGGCACTGCGACGATTTGCATACGAGCCAGGTCGGCGCTTGCTCGGAGACTGTGACTTCAGGATGTCGGCTGAATCCCTTGGCCGCATGGTACCTGAACTGTCCAATTTGAAAGTCTGGGTAATACCCTCTGATTCTTTGGTATTTTGAGCGCTTGGGAAAGCATCGATCTCATTCCCCTGGGACAACAACTGCTCATCATCATTCATGGCGGCGATTACACCTATTTCGGTATTGTTCTGATCGAGTTGCGTCATACTACTTTGGCTCGATGGGTCTTGTTGACTACTCAAGACATGGAGGACACTTGAGCAAGACTCCGAGAACGTATCTTCTTGACTAGGGAATGAACTTGCATCAATCTCTTGACATGAGGAAGGTCTCGACTTGCGGCGCGTCGATTGCCGTCGATTTTGGAACCATATCTATGAAGCTAATCGTAAGATGCCGTCTTGCGCGAAGCGTATCATGCGACACAAGTGGTACTTTGAAGAGCCACGTACCTGAACTTCTTTCTCGCCAAGAGCGACGTGTTGGACAATCTGTTGTCTAGCTAATTTGTCTGGCTTTGGATTGAGCTTAAATTCAGCCTCCAATATCGCATGGTCTACTGGGCTGAGAGAAGTTTGTCAACAATTGCTTGTAATGTTTACACCGCTTTCTTACCTTGTTCGTTTACGCTTCTGCCTCGCAAGACGATGGTCATCCACGCTAGGAGGAGTACTATTGCTCAAAGAATCTTGCGAGTGAACAAGAAATGCGAAATTGGCCTCAGAAGGCACATCGCTTTCGATTGATATGTCTTGGGATCCTCCCAATGAAGGATCATTGCTGGTAGCAGCCATAGCCAATATGTTTAGAAAAATTCATGCATTGTGCAATGAGTCATACAGCCACTGTACAATGCTCCGATGACAGTGTGCTTGAGGTAGATACGGTAGTAGAGATAGAAGAACGCGTCAGGTATATAAGTCGCGTTCTCGTCCAAACCAGTCGGCGCCAAGCCACTAAAAGTTGCCGCCCTCTTCATTTTCGGCGACTTGACGAGTTTTGAACAATGGTCCTCAGCGCCGTCTTGCACCGTGTCGAGTTCATGATTAGACATGGTTTGTGCAAGATGCATTGTTAAAATCTCGGCACTTCAAGCATTCGCACGGCATTCCGTTCGCCGTCGATTGCAGCAAGTTTTGCGGGATACACAATGTCAAGCACTCACGAGGAGCGCACATTTACTGAGCCCAGGGGACAAAACTTTCATTCTGTCTATGTGAATGACATTCAGCAAGTCAAGACTGATGTGCGGCTGCTCCGACTGCGTAAACGGGATTCTAACGAGAATATCAAGGCAAGACCTGGCAACTGGAAGCTGTCTCCCTGATACTGGAGCTGAAGCTCATAGGGCAGTTTTCCCCTGGTCAATGGCTTGACGTGTTCGTGCCAAAAGTAACACAGGCTGGTGGCTTCACTATGACCTCAACGCCACAGGATGAATCTGGACAAGATGGATATCTTGAACTCGCAATTCAGAAGGCACCCCATAACCCTTCAGCAGCGTGGTTGTGGCAGGATGCAAGCAAGATAAAAGGTCAGAAATTGCTCGTTAGAGTCGGCGGAAACTTTGTCTGGCCGCCAGCGAAAATACATGCCAGTGCCATTTCCAAAGTGATCTTTGTGGCTGGCGGAGTTGGGATAAAGTACACCTACATTTTTCATTGCCGCGGTTATATTCTATCCAATCCTGATCTCATGCTGACTGTCGTGAAAGCCCGCTGATTTCCATTCTCACGCATCTTTGCCAAACAAATACTTTGCCTGCTGATGTTGAGTTGCATTATTCAAACCGCACCTTGGTGGAATCCGTTTCTTCGATCTTATTCTATTCTCGATTGTGCAGACTTTTAGGAGGGTTTGACAAAGTGAATTTTCGATTCACTTTTTATTGTACAGCCGAGGATCAGGATGACCAAGGCATTGAATCCTGGAAGGCACTCGACGCCCAGAGTTCGACGGACAAATCAACAAACTTCGACTCCATCGATATCTGTATCGAAAGAAATGACATTGAGAAAGTCGGCCGTCGTATGAATGAAGGCGATCTACGCCGTGCGTTAGGACCAGCTTCTCATTCCGCTGGAGTGGTAGCGTACGTATGTGGACCGCCCGCAATGGCCGACTGGGCTGTGACCTCATTGGTAGACCTTGGACTGGCAGCTAACAGCGTGTTCAATGAGAAGTGGTGGTGACTGCTTTCCGTCTTGCCACTGAAAGTTTCGTCTGTGTCGCTGCAATTGCTTCTAAATGGCGTTACCAGCAAATTCTCCAGATTTTCAGCCGGATCTCGGCCAATGCTAATGAATTGTCGAAAAGTGCACGTCTGTTCAGAATGTTTGGGATACTTCCGTCGAGCACTGAGTGATGATCTCAAAACCTTTGGTCGTACTAAATACGCGTCCTCTTACCGAAAAACATATCTTGCAGTGTCTGGTCTATACTTCGTGATTGCCATGGCGAACCTGACTGTCCGCACAAGACTGTCATGATTGCTTCGTATCCAATTTCTCTTCCCAGAGGCACCTTTCGCATCGGCAAAAACCTCCCAAGGCCCCAATAGCCCATTCTCGTCTCTCCTTCACATCCAAGTCAATATCACAATAGTGATTCAAGACTTCATTGCCCTTCTTGATACCACCTTCTCTTCTACCCTCGCCCCAATGCACACGCTCTTCCGGCTTTCTTGCCGTGAAACCTATCGCTCCTCTCTCCTCGCTTTCTAGCTCCACTCCCTCCAGACCCCATTCCCAGCGCACATTAGGCGCACAGCTATGGTTTGCCAAGGACCACAATGGATGCACGCCTGCTACGTCCGGGCGCAAGGTATGAATGTTCATCTTTGCCGAAGCGACACCGCGAAACTTGGCAAAGAGAGTATTCAGAACCCAAAGGTCGTAGCGCTCCAAAGTTGCGGATGCAAACGGATTAATGCCCATGTTCGTCATGATATGTATGGGATTGGCAATGTTGTTTTGAAAGTCGAACGGTAGCTTACGCTCTACGGAGGTGGAAGCTGACTCAAAGTCGCCCCAGAGGAACTTGACATGTAGCAGGTCTAGAGGATGCTTTTGTTGGGTCTCGGCCATTGCTATAGCACGAATCACAAGGAGAAGATAAAGCGAGTCAGTCGATGCCGCAGGGGATGGATCTTTAGCCACGTTATCAAAGTCCTCAATGCCACAAACAGCGGGATGGTAGAGTTCTTGGGCGCGGTCGTGACAGTTTTCGGAGCAGAAGTATATATCATCACATGAAGAACATGCGGGGAGGGGGTTGGCTAGTGAGATCGGTGGTAAAGGTGCTGAGCACGCATCACAAAGCGAACCAAGTAGACGATTATTGCTAGTCAGGATACTGGGTTCCAGAAATAGTCTTTCGGCCGGTGCAACATCTTGAGCAGCAAATATTCCTAATTGTTTGATACTTGACGTGCTCTGGACTATATGCCCATCACCATCGCCCGTACCCTTTTTGAGGCTGTTGAGCACTGGGAGGTCGATAGTACGAATCTCACATTTGGGAGCAATCTTCTGCAATTCCGCATTTAGGAATGACAGAGATTCTTGAGAGAACCTGTCAGGCTCGTACTTATTCCATGGATAGATTTCTCGACGAACAAATGCGCTTGGTTTGAAGCCAGGCACAGCAACAAGATGCCCCGTCTTTTGAGCAGAGTGGGAAATTGCAACTGTGGAACGAGAGTAGCCAGCGTCGATCATACTCTGATGCAGCGTCTGCAAAGTCTCATGGTTTGGGAAAGCCCTTAGTCCACGCTCCACAAACTCGAACGCGCCATACGGGTCACCACATTTCTCCAGAGCATTAGAGAGCAATACGTATGCCTCTACCGCTATCTTTCCGGCGGAGATCTGAACTCTGTCAAACTGTGAAGCTTTCAGTTCCTCCGACGAGAGAGCAAAAGCAGGATCTTCCGATTTAGTAACAGCCAGAGAGCTTCGAACATTTTCTTGATATTCCCCGCCATCTACCTCATCCACTAGTAGCAAGGCTTTGTAGGCATCTCCTGCAGCCAGGTCGTGATAAGACAGCCTGTTATGCAAGAGAGCTCTGTGAAGATATTCTATGGGATTATATGGACGATCATGAAGTCTGCTCGTAGACAACGATCTCTTTTGTAGTAAAATATTCTTGCACATACTTTTTCCAAGAAAGTAAGATGAGGAAAACGTAAGTTTATCTACGGGTTGAAGAGCATCCCACAGCAGCAGACGAACTTACTTGTTGAAATGATATTGAGAGACTCTGAGAAGGGGAAAATCAAAGTTGTACAGATATAATTAGTAAATGTGTATATCGAAAGTTTATTTCCACGTCACGTGCACACATTCTCTTTCACTACATCTGACTACAAAGCCGACCACTAACGTTTGCACGAAACTAACTGCTTTGTGCCTGTAGACACATCCTAACACATCTAAGGTCACAAAGTATAGCGTCGGAGATGGCTGCATAGCCTGGGCACCTAGAAGTCTTCAAGATGCCTCCGTGACCAGTCCCACGGTCAGCCACAATCCCAATGAATTCTAACCTCATATCTTGGATTATACTCAAGTCAGAAAGACAGGACGACAGTGACTGCGTTAGGCTTGCAAAGGTCAACACAGTATGGAAGATCAGGTATGCAAGTCAACATCCTTGAGCCATATCCGCCAAAGATCTCACTTTGGCTAACATACTTTCCTAGATCGAGAGAGCCATAGAAGTAGCATGGAATCCAAAATCAGACCAATCCCTCAAGGCTCAGGCCTTCGATTACCTCAACCAGCTTCGATCTCAAAGAGAAGGCTGGTCTACCTGTTTCTCCCTGGCTATCCGAAAGCCAGCACCTTCGGAAGTGGTTCGGCATGTGTCCCTCGATATTCTCAACAACGCTATCAGGACAAGACAGTTGGGCCATGAAGATCTGACAGCTGTCTCAAGCAATCTGTTGGGCTACATAACAAATGTCTACGGTGGTAGCATCTCGGCCAGTGCTCCCCGGGATCCCGTAGCTATCCAGAACAAGATCACACAAACCATAACATATCTGTTTGCAGCTATGTATGAGGTGCAGTGGACAACTTTCTTCCAAGACACAATGAAGCTTACCTCGACCACCGGCTCTACAGCTAAAGATAATGGTCCGGGCACCATCATGTATCTAAGACTACTCATCAGCATACATGATGAGATTGCTGATGCGATGGTACCTAAGTCGCAAGAGGAGCAGAAGTCTGATATGCTGCTCAAAGATCTGATAAGGGAGCGTGACATACAGTTGATCTCAACCTCATGGCACGACATATTGAGGCAATGGACAGGCAAAGAAGACGCAATCATAGAACTCTGCCTAACGTGCATTGGTAGATGGGTTTCATGGACGGACATCTCCTTGGCCGTCAATGCGCCGTTACTCGCTTTACTATTTGATCTTTTGAGCCCCGATCACCTGGGAGAACAGGATGCTAAAGTGCAAGGGAACAGAGAGACTGCGATCAACACGTTCGTAGATATTCTAGGGAAGAAGATGACCCCTAATGACAAACTCGAGCTGATTGATGCTCTCAACGTCAATGAGGCAATATCACAGCTTGTAAACGGTCGTTTGCTATCTGGACAGCGGCACACTCCTGACTATGATACCGATCTAGCTGAAGATGTTGCGAAACTCGTCAACAACACTGTGGTTGATATTGTTAAGGCTATTGATAATTCTAAAAACGATACCGCCTTGCTCGTCCGAGGTAACACTCAGCTCAAGACATTTCTCCCTCACATCTTACGTTTTTTGTCCGATGAGTATGATGAAATCTGTGCTACTGTTATCCCCTGTCTGAATGATCTTTTGGCTTTGTTGCGTAAAAGAGTCAGGATCAATGATGATTTCTCACGACAAAATGCATCCATGCTGCCAATGATCCTGGATGCCGTCGTAGCAAAAGTCAAATACGATGAGACGGCGGACTGGGGTAGCGAAGATACGCAGACAGACGAGGCTGAATTTCAAGACTTGCGGAAGAAGTTGCATGTCCTCCAACAGGCCGTCGCCGTAGTGGACGAACAGATGTACAACGAGAGAATCACGAGCGTTGTCTTCTCGACATTCGATCAGTTCAAGAATCAAAATGGTCAGCTTGACTGGAGAGAACTTGAACTTGCGTTACACCAAATGTATCTTTTCGGCGATTTAGCCACAAAAAATGGTGGCCTTTACAGCAAGACAAAGCCGGTTTCGTCTGCGGCAGAACAGCTCGTTGGGATGCTGTTCAAATTAATGGAAAGCAGTAAGCTCTTGTACTTATCAAATGACGCACCTTGCTGACTTATCACAGGCATTGCCTCTTCGTCACACCCTGCCGTACATCTACAGTTCATGGAACTCGCCGTCCGATATTACATGTTTTTCCAGGCAAACCCTACTTATATCAGTCAAGTACTTGAATATTTCGTATCCTTTGTGCACCATAATCATCCGAAGGTGAAGCTGAGGTCTTGGTACCTCCTTCAACGATTTGTCAAGCATGTGAGGCCCAATCTGGGAAACATTGCAGAGACTGTTATACGAGCCTTAGCCGACCTCCTGCCCATCAAAGCCGAGATACCAGACGAAAATTCTGATCATGACAATGATGAGACCTCGAGTAACGATGGTCAAAGCGCCCATGCAAGATTCACCAGCCAGCTTTATCTATACGAAACTGTAGGAACTGTTTCATCAGTAAAAGTACTACCGGTGGAGAATCAGGCACTTCTTCTCAACTCTGTCATTAATCCATTGTTTTCGGATTTAGAGGCGCATCTACAAAGCGCAACGTCTGGCAACAAACAATCGCAGCTTCAGGTGCATCATCTGATCATGGCACTGGGCACTTTAGCAAGAGGATATTCTGATTGGACACCAGCGTATGCAGCGGACAATGCCGTGCCACCAGCGGCAGCTGTATCTGAGGAGTTCGGTAGAGTATATGATGCTATTCTTGTGGCTTTGGAGCAGCTCCGATCATCATTTGAGATTCGCGAAGCAGCCAGATTCGCGTTCTCAAGGCTTATTGGGGTCCTAGGCAATAGGATACTAACTCAGCTACCCAGGTGGATTGATGGGCTCCTAACTGTGGACTCAACCAAAGACGAGATGGCGCTGTTCATCAGATTGCTTGAACAAGTAGTCTTTGGTTTCAAAACAGAGATCTATGGTATCTTAAACTCACTACTCACTCCTCTATTGCAAAGAGTATTTAGCGGGATCGCGGAGGCCGCGACAGGTACAGATGATGAGATACAGCTCGCTGAGCTCAAACGCGAATACCTTTCATTTTTGACAACGGTCTTGAACAACGATCTTGAGGCTGTGCTGGTCAGTGAAGGTAAAGTGAATCGAATGAGCTCCCAATGCTCTTACGCTAATATTGGGAAAGTCAACCAACCCACGTTTAGTCTAGTCATATCTACCATTGAGCACCTTGCGCGCGACGTCAGTGACTATCCGACTGCTAAATTAGCTCTGAACGTTCTGACTCGAATGGTCTCTACATGGGGCGGACCTGATATTGTTCCTCAATTGCCGACCACAAAACCTGGTACTCTGCCAAACGGAGAAGGTAAGTCGAGACTAGAAGGCTTCGACCAGTTCATGATGACTCGATTTTCTCCGTTATGCTGGGCAATACCAAGCAATTCATACTTTGACTCGAAGGACGCTCAGGGTAGACAAGTCCTCACGGAAGCTGCGGCGCTGCAAAAGGCAATATACAGCAAATGTGGACAAGATTATTCTACCTACCTAAGGAACATAGAACTAAGTGGCATGGGCATGAATAATCAAAGCATAGAAGAATACCTCAACGCCCTCAACAGCATGGATCTGAGGGGTTTCCAGCAATACTTCAAGGTATCTCAGCCAGGCTTGCGTTGAGGTGAAATCGGCTGACACAAAGCAGAACCTTGTACAAGGTATAACACGATAATACCAATTCAACGTCTCAGTCTGCTTTAGCGAGCGATGCATATACGGTGCGGGCAAAATCCAGGGAGTTTCATGAATGCATATACGGACATGAGCGTTTACTATGATACCAGTCTCCTTTTCATACACTTGCATAGGAGCGTCGGCGAACAGCAGTCTTCTAAACCAGTCAGTCGATATTGTGCTATAGGGAATGAAGCATTGATAGAAAGATGAAGAAAGGACCTGCGACTTGGACCTCACATCTGTACATATTAGACTAGGGTGACTTGTAATCCAAGGGGTAATTCAAAAGCACGCACGTGACATGGCGTGGAATTCGCGCATCCCATACATTAGCTCCTTCCAAATCCGCCCCAAAACCCTTCAGCAACAACCACTCTGCTCCAAGCAGCTCGGACTCCATTCCTACTTGTAGAGCTCATCACAACAAGCACTATGTCGATACCTGGCGGTCCTCAAGAAGACGAAGAAGATGACTATCTCACAATGACCGTCCCGGAACCCCAGCCTGCCTCCAAGTTTGAAAACTCCGCCCAGCGCACGCTCCGCCACAAACGCGAAGCCGCCGCCCGCGCGAACCCCAAATCCAAAGCCGACCTCGCCGCTGAAGCAGAAACTGCGCGCCAGAAAGCCCTCTCGACCGCCCTCCCCACCACCTCGTCCAAGGGCGCGCAGATGATGGCGAAGCTAGGCTACAGGCCTGGATCTACGCTCGGCAAGGAGGGTAATGTGAATGCGAGGGCGGAGCCGATTGGGCTGGAGATGAAAGAGGGGAGGGAGGGTGTGGGGCTGGTTGGGGAGCAGAAGAGGAAGTTCCGGGAAGAGGTTGCACAGAGGGAGGGGGAGGAGAAGAGGAGGAAGGAGGAAGAGGGAGGGTATAGAGAGCGTATGACACGGGAACGGGAGGAGAAGAGGACGGAGGGGATGTGGTGGGGTGGGATGAAGGTGCTTGAGGGGTTGGTGGAGGAGGAGGAGGCGGGGGGAGTGATTGGCAAGGCCCAGAGGGGAGGGGTGACGGTGCCGTTGCTTTATAGACCGCTTGTCATGGATAGGAGGGGTAAGGAGAGGGATGCGAAGAGGAGACATGCTATGATTCAGAGTCTGTCCAGGAATCAGATGTATGATGATCCGGAAGAGGACGAGCATGATAGGCAGGCTTTGGGGAAGGATGTTGAGGATTTGGAGGAGGATGAGGAGGCTGACGAGGAGTTGGATGAGTATGTGAAGTTGACGGGTGCGGAAAGGTTGGAGAAGGTGGTGAAGGAGTTGAGGGGGAAGTGGTTCTATTGTTTCTGGTGCAAACACCATTATTCTAGCGGTGAGGAGATGGAGGATGAGTGTCCTGGCGAGACAGAAGACGAACATGGGTAAGGCATGTCCTTTGCACTCGAAACGATGCTTTGTATGATGGATAAGAGTCTACGGCTGCAACTTCTGATCAACCTTTCACATTATCAACTGGAGAGACTTGTACAATATATATCATGTCGAATGTAGACTAATGGATGGAAAATGTCATAATCTGGTACCACGGAGCCATGCCATGTTCGTACAGAGGGCGTTTGAATTAACCATCATTGAATCATAAATCAGGGTGTAATTTCTAGATTACTTTCGAGACATGTAAGTTGTCCATGGCCATGAACATAGCACTCTACTTCCTATCTAGCTCACGAGGATACTACCTGAGCTTGTCACATCTCATATTGATGGCCATAAGTAAACGCAAGACGAAAGTACCTTGCAGGACACCACCATTGATAGCATCCCTAAAGTCATTTAAATGATAGAACCTGTCAGGGCATTCTGCCAAAGAGCTTCCCATCACCCTTGACGGTCACTTTCAGGAAAGATTCCCTGCTCACATGTCAGAAGATGATTCGTAGATGAAAAGCCTTGGGCTTACCTTGACAAAGGTATCTAGGTCCGACTGCCAAGTCGCAGAGGCAGCGTTCGTCTCACAAATCCCTACGTAATTAGATCATCATCATCATCATCATCTAGAATTCGATCATGCGGCAGCCGTCCCACGTGGGACGAGATTGCGCAGCGACAGGTCATAGACTACGTCCTCAATCTTCTTCACCTGATTTCTGATCAACGATTGCAGATTCAAATCAGCAGATCTGGCCTACATTGTATTTGATGCTGTCAGTTCGCCTTCTCAATGAATCGTTCTTCAGGTTCAGAAGCTGAAAACCAGAGTGGAGGTCCTAGCAAACCTTAGGCTGTTGTCTGCTCAGAAAACAATTCAGGATTTAGTCACCTTGACGAACTTGCTGATCTGAAGCGGTCGCTGATAGTCACCAAGCGTAACGGCATTCACGGCCATTCGCGACAGCTCTTCCGTCATATTAACGAGAGCATGTAGATATTCCTCGATGGTGATATGGAAAGCGTCCTCAGTCTTGAGGTTCACGGGTACTTTGCAACTTAGCTTACAACTTGAGAGTTTTCGAGACCTTCGCACCCTTGAAGAACGTGCCACAATTCTCTAGTGTGATGAGACGTCCATCATTCAGCCAATTACACATAACAAGAGAAAATAGCTAGAGGGAAAGATTCAGCCAATGCAATTTCAATATCGACGTGGCAGACGGACGGCGGTCTGGATCTCTTTGGACCACATCCCATTGTGCTTCCAGTATGGGTGACCAGAGACACTTTCTTTCAACTTGGTGATAAGTAAGGACTCATCACTGAGGGACACTTGAATCTCCTCAAGTATTGGAGCAGCTAGAGGACATCAATGAAAGAAAGCAGTCAACAACACGGATTAAACAAACAATCAGATTGTGCAGTAGAGTGGACTTTGGACAGAACAGAGAGAGTCTTCCTTTCTGAATAGTTTTAGCAACAAGACCGGAATTGCTTCGCGCAAGGTCATTTACGTTGTTTGTCTAGATCTTGGACTGTGTCACGAATCTTTTGACGAAGTTCGGAGTCTTCATCGATCTTTGTCTGCAACTGTAGGAACAGATTTGGGTCTACGAAGCCTTGCGTAGTCATGATGGTTGGACATTCATATACAAGTATGAGTGTAGATGATGAAAGAAACATGACATCAAATCAAATCACATAGAGATATATACGCTAAACCATAAAAGGAATTGCCAAGATTTACATCATAAGCGAGCGGTTTCCACCTACCGATTTTCTCTTCACAGTTTCAACCTTCGAGGCGCAGGATACTCACTTCTTTGCGTTCTCACCCTCTGCATCAGTCATAATGGCAGGTGCCACAGTACGTCTTCATCCGTCGCTTTGCTGCCAGCCCCCAGCAAACTGGGCGGCCTCGAGCGCAGTAGGCTAAGATCGCACATCAGAAAACTCAAAAAGCCAGCACATTGCGGAGTGCCCCAGGGAAGGGTCAAAAGCCTGGCAAACAAACGAAGAAGGTCCGTCTTTCAGACTCTACTCTCTGCCCCCACTTCGAAACTCCGTGCCAATGGAACTCTCGATGCTGATGCCAGATGCAATTCGATAGTTCGTCATCAACGCCTCCCAACCCGCCTCAGACAAAATCTTCGATGTCTCCGCTTTTGAGAAATTCTTGCACGACAAGATCAAGGTCGACAACCGGACGGGCAATTTGGGTGACACGATTGTGATCAGCCAGCAAGGCGACGGAAAGATCGAGGTCATTGCACACACCGAGTTCTCGGGGCGGTATTTGAAGTATCTGTGAGTATAACGAACATCTGGATGTGAAGGGGCCAAGAATTAGCTGACGCAAGGATTGTCTTACAGAACGAAGAAATTCCTCAAAAAGCAGCAGTTGCGAGATTGGTTGCGCGTAGTCTCTACAAGCAAGGGCGTGTATGAGCTCAGATTCTTCAATGTGGTGAACGATGAGGGAGATGATGATGAAGATTAAGCGGGTGGGTCAGTGAGAAAAGAACAGAAGCGGCAAGGATTGATCGAAATCATTCGAGTTGACGTCTTTCATAAATGATCGCCTTATCAATCAAATGGCACTCTCCGCAACTCCTCTCTCCGGCCCTCCTTCTTCGCCTCCTGGCTAGCAGCAACAGTGCTTGGTATCTTGATCCCACAGCACTCACCCCAGCCACCGTCTCTATGTCCGTGCCTTGTGCCATGCTCATCCAGAACGACCTCTCCGCCTTCCATCTCCTCACTCTCCGGTGGCACGCTTCCAATCTTCTCGCCACCCATTTCTGCTACCGCAGGCACTAAGCTTCCGAATAAAAAGTGCTGCATGACCGGTAATTTCCCCAAAACTTCTTTCGCGAACATCCTCTTCATACCCTGCTCCACTTTCCCCCAATTCTTCGCGCCTGAGATATCATCTAACATTGGCTGTGTCCATTTCAACCCCTTCACTGTCTTTGATGCCATGGTAAAGCGGACCATGTCCAGGTACAGATACTCATCACCCTCCTCTTCGAGTATGACTTCATTGTGAATAGCCATCGGGCGAATGTAAGGATGATGTAGCAATTGCGATGCCCCAAAGAGGAAGGGAAGGAAGTGGTAGTCGTCAAGACCCCAAACGCCATGTGAGCCTGCTGGCTCGAGGTAATATGTGCTCTGTAGCTTGCGCAGCAGTCTTACGTAGCGAGGGAAAACAAGGAGTGTAACGCTTGAAAAGCTGGATGGTGGCAGGAGGGAAAGCCGGTTCAAGCAGAGCAGCCAAATGATGAAGTTGAGCTCATGGCCGGAGCCGTAGTCGATACGGAGACTGTTGCCGAAAGAGTGATGGAAGTACGTGGAGACTTCCGTGATGCACGATTCGGATGTGAGGCCAAGGTTTTGGTGATAAGCCGTTGTTGAGGAAGAGACAGCATCGATGAAGGAGCGGAAGGCTGAATTTCCGAAGCGTGAGGTACCCTGTGCGACAGGAGGATTTTGATGTACAAGATCTTCAACTTCATCTAAGATGTCAAGCAATTGACGGATCACAGGATCACAGTTCGAGGATGTGACAGACGAGATCTTTTTGTCCTGGGCGGATTCGGAGAGGGAGAAGACGAAGGAGAGGATCAACGAGTATGTAGACGATGCTAGAAACAAATCATGATCGTGATAACTCAGAATCCTCCGCGTAGGCTCGTTGAATTTGAGCTCTGAAGTATTTGGTGGTGAGGGCAGAGGTGGTGCTTCTGGCACAGGTAGAGGATTCTCTATTTTTGTAGGCTTCTTCCTTGGAGTCAAACGAGGGAGCTTGTGAAGCGCCCCTGTATCTAGGGGACCTTTGAAGTTGGTCTGAAGATTTGCCGGGTGGACTGCTGAAGCCATGATGTTCATGTATTGTTACGAAAAGATTCTCCAACAAAGGCCGTTGCGGGGAGGCTGCGGAGCAATGCTGAGCCTCACCCGGGGACGGCGCTTTTTGATGATTAGTGGACGACCAGCAGCGTCATTCAACATAACTTTTCCAACAAACACACGCATCTCCCAAGGTCGTGGTTGATACTCCAATGACGATCACTCTTTCACCCTTGGAGCGCACCGATGGCTCGGCCTCTTACTCAAGTAATGGCTACACCGTTCTCTGCGGCGTCAACGGCCCAATCGAAGTCCAGCGACGAGACGAACTCCCAGAAGAAGCGGCCATTGAAGTCAACATACGACCCGCATCTGGCGTAGGGGGTCCACCGCCCTTCCTTCCCTTTCCAACCTCGACTGCACGGCCAGCTGACTGACTCATCCCGGGCCAACAGGTATCAGGGAAAGACACCTTGAAACTATCCTCCTCTCTACGCTGAGACGGGTGTTACTTCTGTCCGCGCATCCTAGGAGCTTGATACAGGTTACATTGCAAGTTGTCGCGAGTCAGGAAGATGAGAGGCGGATTGGTGGGCTACCGCAGGCTGCCTCTGTAAGTTGGCGCTTTCTCATCCACCCTTCTCACACCCCATTCCCTACACCACTCCCATTATCGACGTCTTGCACTGACTCGTTGCTTTGTAGAATATCGAAGTCCTCCCCTCCCTCATCCAGGCGAGCATCCTCGCGCTCCTCTCAACCTCTCTTCCCCTCCTAATGACTATGTGTGCCGTCCTTGTTGCCATCACTACTGATTCCTCCACCACTACACCTGCAGTCGAGCTACTCCCAAACCCTACGCTGAAAAATATAAGCGAAGCAAGCTCAGTCCATGTCCTTGCGTTCTCATCAAAAGGAGATCTGTTGCTTGTGGAAAGCGAAGGCGAATTTGTGGTGGATGAATGGGAGAGAGTCTATGAGGTAGCAAGGGAGGCTTGTCTAGGGGACAGAAGGCTAGGGAAAGAAGATGGTGGCGATGAGCGAAGTCGCGATGTGGAGATGGAGGAGGATGGGGACAAAGAAGGTTTACTTTGGAAGATGCAGAGGGTTGTAGGAGAGAAAGTGGAGTCGGAGCAGAGATGGAAGAAAGACCTAGGGTGATACGTGCAGCATACTGGTGTGAGACTTGTGGCAGAGTAACCAGCAGTTGATACGTCTGTTTCATGCTACTACTTGAGCTCCTGCCTCCGTGATCCAAGTTTGGGTTGCATTTGCGGCACAGTACGGAGCTGCCAACGACCTTGCGTGTGACGAGAGAGAAGCTCAGCAGGACAGAGAGGCTTCAGAGACAACCATGGCGCAAGAAAGACGGGCCATTGCAAATCCTTAGTTGAAGATGGTGAAATGCGTGCCTGTGGACTATACTACATATCATACAAGTACAAGGATGTGACTGGTGTCAACGCATTACCAATAGGTCTATACTGGACCGATCATCCATCTGCGTATCTTTAACAATGTCCCAAATGCGAATTGAACCTCCCAAAAGCGCCGTCGCTGTAAAATACCGGACGGATATCGTAAACGCCATGCTCCAAAATGATCGTACACTGCGTATGTTCATCTGCGTATTAAAGACCTTGCGACCAAGGCCGACTTGCCCTCATAGGGGGCGTTCTCTGTGGCGTCCTCTGCACGGTTGTCGGCGTGACTGGGGAGCTGGACATCGACTTATCAAGACTTTGCAGACCAGGACTAACGAGAATCTTGTATTTGGCCGACTGCGTAACATCTTCATTTGGACCAGAAATCTCCTCGTGGCCTACTCGCCGCGGTATGGGCCGTGGGCGATTCAGAACGCTGGTGGCTCGCCGTGGAGGCGACCGCATCTCAGCTACAGGCGAAAGGACTGATCTGGATTGAGTCGGTAAATCCTCGTCTATGTCTTCGAACGTCGTCGATTCTGAGGCATTGGAAAAGCGCGTGTACTGACTGCTGCCAGCGCTCTTCTTCCTTGTGGGATATCTACGGCTGTGTGAGCGTAATATCGAGTTGACTTGATCTCGTGCTAATTGCGGTGGCGGTGGGTAGTCCTCTGGTAAGCTTCGTAGCTGCGATCCTTCGGGTACGGGAGCTGCTCGGTATGGCTGGTACATAGACGGAGGTCTGCGAACGCTGGTAGGCTGATCAGTCCAAGGTATGCCTCTGTAGCCTCCAGATGGGGTTCTCTGAAGATCGTCATAAAAAGGATCGGACATGCTGCGATGACCGTTGTAGCCTTGCATATTTGCTTGGCTAGTGTCTACCGAGCTTGGGAAGCGCGGTCCGGCCATCGGTGGAGATTTTTCTGGTGCGTAGCTAGGTATGTGCGGATTCAAAGATTGACTGGCCCTCCTAGCACTCTTCGGTGGAGGGGCTGGAAAGAGGCTGTAAGTCGTAGGCTTGTCAGGCAATAGTTGCGAATGAGTTCGGTGGCTTGGTGTCATGGGAGATGGACCTTCGTTCGCTGATCGAGGTGCTTGAGAATCAAGAGCAAGGCCGTGTCCTTGTGGACTTTGCGGACTCGGTTGACTTGGCCTCCTGTGTCTCTCCCATTGTTGCCAGCCTCTCTTAGGCACTTGGGCAGGTGTTACAATCTTTAGTTGCTGCCTCGGTGGGCTTTGAACGCCTCGTCTGTCGTTGTCTGTAGGAGGTGCAAAGTCTTGTGCGGCGAATGTTCTCATATCAGGTGTACTATCTTGACTGTGTATTTTATCGCCAATCAGTGAGGCTTCACTGTTGTGCCTTCGGTGGCCTCTCTTTCTTTTTCTGGAGCATATCAGGAAGAAGCAGAGGCCGAACGCAAGTGCTGCAACAGCTACAGAGGCCACCGACACCCCTGCAATCTGTGACTTGGATAAGGTTGGCTGGGTTGATGGCGATGTAGAGGAGCTTGCTGAGGCGGTGGGAGGAGCTACTGCCGGAGTTGGAGAGGATTCGGGGGTTATAAGAGGAGCTATTGCAGAGGTCGAGGATCTGGAGCTTGTGGAGGATGTTGCAGAGCTGGACGAGGAAGAAGATGAGGAAGAAGTTTTCGTGATTATGCTGGACGTTGATCTAGATGCAGAAATTGAAGTTGAAGTATTGGAACTTGTAGGAAAATATGAAGACGCTGTTGAAGTAGGGTTATATGTTGCGGAAAGTGTAGAATGCGTATTTGGTAGATGTCCTGGGACGTCACTGCAGACCTCGTATGCTTCGTCGCCGCCTTGGTTGCTGCACATGGAGACAAGGCATATCAGTGCACTCTCTCCAATGGTATAGCCAGAGCGACTCGGGGTGAGGCAGAGGCAGTTGAAGTTCTGAGGGCTGCAGATCTCGACTGGATAATTGTCCGCTATGAAATTTTGTAGACAAGGGCGGCCGCATGATGGAACGACTCTGGAGAGGTATGGGGTGAGGTATCCTGACGCGGTGGGACCAGCCTGAACGAAGTGGAATGGAATTGACAATAGGAGAGGCCAAAGTATTAGGGCCATCTGTAGATTGTGCAAGGACTGTAGGCATGGTCAGCTAGCTTTCATCGAGGTCCGCGAGTAAATTCGAGAGGTGATGGTTGGCAGTGGATGATAAAGGAGGCGAGAGTCCTAGGCAGTAGGCACTCATCTATGTATAACGACCTCGTTTCTTTTACCCCTTGTGGCTTGCGGTACGGCTGTGCATGTACATGATGCAGAAAGACTTATATAAGACTTACCGAATTCTGCAAGATCAAAATTCTCCGAGAAAGACATGAAGACCAGCTCCCTGCAATGCTGAAAGGAAATTCTATGAAGAATGCATTGAAGGTGTTCGAACGCAAAGGAAATGATTAACAGAGACAGACAGACACAATGGACGACGAAGAAAAGAGATGAAACACTGAAACACGGCAACATTGGCCTCGATGGGCCCTCTATGTATGTTGTCGCCCATAGAGAGGGTGGAGCAAGAGGCAGAGACGCTGTAGTCAGGATCAGTTACGTCGAGCCTCATGAGCTAAGCAGGGTCAGCCCGAGAGAGCCATTGATAGCTCGCTGCGTAAGCGCTTTGCTTGATTGAGAGAATCTCCTGTCCAACAGGTGCCTCAATTCTGCTTAGGTGTGCGCGCGCGAGGGAGAGCAACTTGGTGGTGTATGCGGCGTCTCCAGTGCCTTCTCGCTAGCGTTCATTGGCAGATCCATAAATAACATCACATCCCCTAACGCTAACCATATCGAGGTGGCCAAGCCTCTCTCTGAAGGGGGACTCTGTTGAACACAAGACCTGCTATTAAAAGGTCACCGAGAACTATACAGAGCTGCATGTAGCTTTCACAGTGAAGATTAGGCTAACATCGTTCTCGCTGCCAGGGCGAAGTATAAGCCACGAGCTGGTCGCGATCTCGTTGTTCCATTAAGATCAGGCCATGACTAATGACTCGGACAGAGGTGGAGAGAGGCTCAGCGTGGTGGCATATGCTGATTTTCAGTTGCGACTTTAGCGGACAGTCTTTCGCGAAACCCGTCGTAATACGGGATGGCCTGTGCATATGGATGATGTGCATACATATGGAGAAGGGAGAGTCTGCCATGTGGGGACGCGGGTAAGCTTAATGCCAATTGCCAGACATGTCATTGGTGGACGCTTCTGGATGTCTCTGAAGGCGAGAATCGATCAAGCCGAATAGGTACGGTGCTCTGTGCATACGAACACTACTGTTCAGCGACTCTTCAAGAGTTGCGATGTAGGAAAAGGTTAGATTACGGACAATCGCCGAATATAGGGCTGCTAGCCTTTGGGCGCTTTGGATGCCTGTGCCCTCTTCGGCGCGATGCTTTGTGAGTTTGCTCAACTAAGGGGATATTCGCACGCGCGATCTGCATATGTACAGACTATGATGCAATGAAGGCTTTCCAGCACAACCGCTGATGTAATAAATCTGTGATGGTCTGGTGTGAAGGGTCTAGTTCACAGGTATGTAGGGCGGCTACCCAAAGTAAACGCCCAGAAAGAAATTGTGTTCTGCAAAGTCGTCACAAGTAGATTCCATGCTTCAAATCAATCCATTCTGTCCAAGTGTGACCTGAGCACCACCACGAGCGCATAACCAAAGTCTTTCCATGCGCCTCAAGCTCTCCGCAGAACCGCAGTCACGTCATTAACCGTGCAAGAAAAATGCTGAATGGGGGTATTTGGTGCGCGCAAATTGCCATGCCAATATTGCCTCTGTAGTGGGACACGCTGTGACACTCAGTATTTCAAAATGATGTACCTATGTCATTGTTAGCAAATCGCGCAACACTCTCTAGGATACACAGCGCTTGGCGCTATAGATTATAGACGTACAAAGCGTGGATGATTCCGGGTATGTAGCCAAGAATGGTGAGAAGGATGTTTATCAGGAAATCCGAATTGCATCCTGGACAAACCGTCAGCGGCGCGGCTTACATGACAGGAAACGGGCTGCGCCCACCTCTTTCTAGAAAGACACCCAGTGGTGGGAGTAAGATGGCAAGAATGATCTTGAGGATATCACTGGAGGTTATCACACAGTCAGTACAACTTCCTGAAAATACATGGCGATTCGGGATGGAACGCGTCTTCTCATGTCGCGGAACCCCTCGGAATAATGAGAGCCCTGGCGTACCTAGCTGTAAATGCCATGGTTGTTTGATTGAAAAGTAAGTCCAAGAAATTGTTAAATGTGAAGCTTTATGTTGAGTTGAAGTCGAGGATGTTGGAGGACGTGGGGAGTTAAGTATGCTTGGACGTTGCGCCTGTGAGGTGGGAAATGAAGGTCATTTGAGCTTCCTGACTTACCGGGAAGCATCTGGCCAGGGTTTCATGACATCACAAGGCTTGCAAGGCAACGCGCCATGATTCGTGGGTGACTTGTGGCGCAGACTTACACAGCCACAGCAAGCCACAGCACGTGCGAAATCAGCTACGGCAGCAGTTTTTCATTTCTCTTTTGCCATTTGCCTCACCACCCCCCCTCGCCAGCTCGCACGCATCTTCGGTCAGGTGCATATGCTACAACATTTGGGCAGGGCCCTTGGCCAAGAATAAGTCTGGGCTTGGTCGTACCCTTTTTCCCACTCTTTCTGGGGGCGAAAAGATCTTCATTTCACATCCGAACGTAGCGGTCGTGCAAACATGATTAACCTACCCTGCCTCTGCTTTCTCTTTCCCTGCATCTGGGTCCAAATAGGCATCCGTCTCAGCCTCTTCATACTCGCCGATCAGATCACTGACTACCGCCCGAGCCTCATCGAACTCGCCGAACCCGTCTGCAAATGGGGCGGTCTTTTTATAGCCATCAAGGTAGGCGTTGCGCTTTCGCATCTTATCGTACTGTACGACTATTCGCTTGAAGAGTGTGGCAATCGATGTGTTGTTTGCAAGCATAAGTCCAGACACCCGGTGTGTGTTGTGCAGGTAGGGCGATTTCTTCGTCAATGCCACTTGAATTGAAGCAGGTCCCCATGGTATGAATGTTGCTAATTGACGCTCACGTATGCGGAGCAAAGATTTGTGTACCTGGGCGAGGATTAGCAAAGGTATCCGAAAGATGTCTCTTCAATCTGTTACCTCCGTTGGATCAGCTTCACCCTGAATGATATTAAGGATGCTGATATAGCAGCTTGTCTTGCTTGGCGTCGTGGACACCATCCGGTTCTTCGGCTGTAGCAGTCTTCTCATGACGTCTAGGACCGTTGTCTTTCGTACCGTTTTTGCTTGGTCGACATTATCTCCGGTAAACGGGGTATAAGATGTCATGAGGAAGTGGCAGCGGGGCGTGGGAATGAGAGCGGCAACAATACCAACAAGATCGTTATGCATGTAGCCGGGATACCTCAAAGTCGTGGTGCTGGCGGACATGACCGTCGAAACAAGCTGGTTGGTCTGTTGAAAGGATGGTTCTTGAACGTGCAATCGGTCTGCCGCGATCCTCGATAATGCGCCGTTGTCTAACACAACTACGGAGTCCGCATTCTCCGTCAATCGACGCATTGCTAGAATACTGTTATATGGATTGACTACCACATCTCCACCTCCTGACGTGTCCGGGAATACTGAGTACGTCTGAATGAGCTTTTTGGGAAATCGATCGTTCATGCGCTCGAGGATATAGCTCCCAAGACCAGAGCCGGTCCCACCAGCAATTGAATGTAAAAGCATGAAGCCTTCAAGTGAGTCGCTGCCGTCGGCTTCGCGATCAATCATGTCGAAGATCTCTTCTTGCACGCTGTCTCCATTTGAATATCCAGTGCCCCAATTATTTGCAGCGCCGCTGCCTTGGGATCCAACGAAGAAGTTCTCTGGGTTGTAGATGTTTTTATATGGTCCATTCTGGATACCTTGTATGACCTGTGTACAGACTATGAGCATGAGAAGGGGAAGTAAGATTTAACATGAAGCCATACCCTTGGCTCCAAGTCTATCAATATGGCTCGAGGGATATAACGCGTGTCGTCGCTCTGCGATTCTTATTAGCTTCTGTATACAACGTCGAAATTTGGGCCAGAAGCTTCACCTGGTAAAAGAAGACATCTTTCCTGTCTCCTCCTTCAGTCGCAAAGTCCTCAAGATTTCCGTCCTGACTGATACCGTGCTCCACACACAATTGTTGCCAAAATTGGCTCCCAACTATCGAAACGTCAGCCCCACCCTTTCCGTGTCAAAAGGCGTGGAGACCTACTGCTGTTGCCGCACTGGCCAGCCTGGATGGTAATGATCTCCCTCAAATTTCATCAGCAGATTCAAGAAACCGGAGAAGCACGCAGAGTATACCTAGGCATCTCAATCTGGAGAGCAAGGGATCTGTTTAATTGTAACGGAGGGTGGAGACGCGACCGCGCAAAGTCAATTTTTGACGCAGCCCCGCCTATACGCGAAGCATGTCAAGACAACCAGATATCACGCTCTTCTCCTATTATTGATCATATATATCGCATTTTACCATGACATTTCACAAAATCGCTCTCATCGGGTATACAGGTGCCCTAGGCGCCCACATCCTCGAGGCTCTCCTGATCCATTTCCCCGCCTCATCCATAACTCTCCTAACTCGCCAACCAAGACCCTCACACTCTTCTCTCCCTTCCTCAATTAACTTCACGACCGTCCCGTCCTACACCGACCGCGACACCGTCCTTCCCGCTCTACGCGGTCATGACGTCCTCATCTCCACCCTCACCACCACAGCGTTGAATCAAGAACCCGCGCTAGTTGACCTCTGCATCGAAGCAGGCGTGCGTCGCTTCATACCGAGCGAATTCAGCAAAGATGTGCTTGAACCCAGCTATAAAGAGCAGTCAAAGACTCCGCTAGCAGTCCAAAGGGTGACTTGGGCGGAAAGACTTGCAAGTCTTGGCAAGGGAAGACATCAAACGGAAGCCGCCCGGGCCCTGCCGCTTTAGCTAGCGCCAAAGGTAAGCAGGGGGTAACGCGACAACCTACTAAGGTATGTCCGATCCTACTCATCTCTATATATAGCTTGAGTAAGTAAGTAATCTTAATATAAAGAAAAGGTTAAAGAAAAAGATTAGAGAATTACTCCCCCTTGATTTTAATACTTATTATTAGAATAAACTTATTTTTTAATTTTAATAAAATAAATTAAATACTATAAAAAATATAATAAAATTTATATTTACTAGTACTACCCTAGAGAGAAGAAACTATTCTAAGAAAAAGAATTTATTTAAGTATAAGTATTAGTATCTATTAGCTTTAAGTATTAGATAACTAATAAAAAAAGTATTTTCTTACTATAATACTAATAATAATATTATTAAAATAATATAAAAAATCAATAGTATCACTAGCTATAGAATGATTATTAGTAAGCACCTTTAAAGTTGTTTAATATAGGTATCTACTTATGTATGAGTTAGCTCTAATTACTTCTAGATAGCTTATAGCCTTCAATTTGGCTGTCTGAGGAGACCTTGAAAGCGACTGGGGAGCTTGCACATGTCAGCCTCAGTCGCCAAGTCATCAAAGATGTAAGGTACCCCAAAACCACACCCCCGCCGGGCCTAAGGTGCGCGCGCCCACAGCGCCCTATGGTCTCTAATGGGTCTCTACAATATGGAATATCGCACTTCGGTGCACCGGTAGTATGAGCTGCCCCTCCAAGCATGCAGATTCAAGCTCTACACAACACCTCAGCTCCGTGCAGCCTTGCCTGGGTGAATTGGCAACATTCTCTGAAGAAGCATCATAATATCCACTCTTTGAAAGTGATTGCACTTGTGGTAAAATCGTCACCGAAGCCGTAGTGATGTCGGTGTCTTTGCCGGACTACATTGCGTATGTGTCTTGAACCCATAAAAAATGATCCTCGACTGCTTCGACAACGCTTTCAGGCTGTGCTTCAATTAAATGGTGAAAGTACGTTGACGACGAGACAATAGTCCAGATTCCGCGATAACGGCCAATGAACTGAGGGAATTGGCGGCGAAATATAACTTGTCCATAAATAAAGACGAGCTTCTGGACTGGAGAACACTTTTGGCCGGTTTGAATCAAAATGCGAAGGAAATACTAGCGCTTCCCGACTACTATCCAGAGGTGAATTACGATCTATACCCACGTATCAATATACACAAGCCGGAGGGGAGGCTCAGGACAAAGGAGCATGGGCTTGTAAAGCTACCGTGGAATCCACGAAGCCTACCGGTGACGTCATCAAAGGTCTCAAAGTGGTGTTGAAGGATAACATTGCTCTGGCAGGAGTGCCCTGCACCAACGGAACAAAAGCAATTGACTGGATACCGAAAGTTGATGCCACGGTTGTAACAAGATCTCTCGATGCTGGAGGTATTGTGCTCGGCAAAGCAGCATGTGAGAACAGTTGCATCGGGGCAGTCAGGTTATATACCTTGCTTATAACTTGGCTGATATCTTGCTAAATTACTCTAGCGACACTTCAACAACGGGGCCAGTGCATAATCCTTATGCTGATGGTTATAGTTGCGGAGGTTCTTCGAGTGGAAATGGCAGACTTGTGGGAGGAAGTCTAGTTGATCTGGCTATCGGTGCTGACCAAGGTGGTTCAATACGAATTCCTTCAGCAAATTGCGGAGTCGTTGGACTCAAACCTACTTGGGGGCTGGTTCCATATACTGGCATCATTGGTTTTGAGCCAACTCTCGACCACGCGGGTCCAATGGCAAAAAACGTACCTGACTGCGCAAGGTTACTCGAAGCGATTGCCGGCACCGACGGCATTGACGATCGACAACCTTACAACCATCCTGCTGGTACTATCAAATATGCCGATGAGGTTGCTAAACACATGACTATCGAGGATCAACCTCTGAGAAGCATCAAAATTGGGGTTCTTGAGGAAGGCTTCCAAGACCCAATGACAGATCCCAATGTAGCGAAAGCTTCCCACTCCGCAATCGAGTCATGCAAGACCCTAGGGGCAGAAGTCAAATCTGTGCACGTTCCTCTCCACAAAGACTCCGGAGCTTTATGGATGATAATTTTTTCAATGTCTGGTACACAACAAGGTCTTCTGAGTGCACCAACGGGACGGAGACAACTCCTCTTTCCTGAACGCCCTGAGCAGATTGGCCCACAACTGAGTCAACAGGCTTTCGATGCTTTGGGCCCCGGTGGACAGAATATCTATCTCCGTGGTCTATTCTTGAAAGATAGATATGGTGCCAGATTACACGCTCATTGCACCAATCTTTCTCGGAAGCTCACAGATGCCTATGACGCCGCATTTCGAGATGTCGACATCCTAGTAATGCCAACCGTCATCTTTCCGCCAGTCAAACTAAGAACTCCTGAAACACCACTCACACCACTGAAGATGTTGTCCAGGACTTCTGGGCTGACATATAATACCGCTACCTTCAACTTGACCGGTCACCCTGCACTAAACCTGCCAGTGGGTTTCGTACCAGCGCAGGACGATAAGTTAGTGAAGTTGCCGACGGGTTTGCAAATAGTTGGGAGGAAGTTTGAGGATTTACTTTGTTTGAAAGTTGCAGCGAGTTGGGAGAAAGCAAATAAATGGAAAGAGCTCTAAGCAAGTTTTCTCTATGACCCAAATTCCTCATACGAGAAAGAAAGTGATGGAGATGAATGAAAGCCATTCGTACACTCTGCTATGTATCCCAGAGACCCAAGGAATGCAGAACGCAACCTGCTTATTATCGGCCCCCGAAGCGCTTGCTTGACCTGCTGTCAGTCTTTGAGTCGTTAATCTTTCGAGCCTCACGGATATTAATCCTTGCAAAAGATCGTAAGAGAGTGAGATAGTCACATATATCCTTTCAGTTTTGGCCTCTAAATTTTAATCACCGTTGGACTAATCATTTCAAGCAGCCATATGTCGAACTTCTAATAACCAGAGTATTGGTGTTGCGAATATCTCGTCTCCGGGTGGGGCCCCTTCTTGGACATCCATAGGACTTCAATCGAATTAGGTGTGAAAATTGCTCCTTCAAGTCCAACTCTATTTCCTCGATTTCTTGTTCTTTGTTTCCTGGTTGCTCTTAACTAGCTTGACAGGAATCTGGTCAGCTTCCGAGCTTTCCCCATTACTGCTCTTGCTTTCACTGTCATCATCACTGTCTTCCGAATCAAGCGGCGCGCTATCTTCACTGTCAAATTCTATTCTCGGTTTTCGTTTCCCCTTATCTCTTGTCCTTTGCTCAAGCTTCATGCTTTCTACGAGCTTGTGGAAGTCATCTACCCTTGTCTGCTCGAGTCTTGCGACGTCGGCATCCGTCTGACCTCCTAATGCACTCCGAAGATACTTATCGAAATCCCTAGACGCCTTGGCCACGGTAGCAAAATGCCGCTCACTGAGTTCGACATTGTACACTTGGGAGCCATTCTTGTCGATAGTGCCTTGCTGACTGGCCTCAAATTCGGCAAGAGCAATAGCAGTCTGAACGGCGTTACGAATTTGTCTGCAGGTCGATCATTATGTCAGCAGCCGTAATAAGATAATGCAGGTTTCCAAAGCATACCTGCCGTTCCAACTCCCAGCATTAGCTTTCTTGAGCTCGATATAGTGAGTTTTGGCAAACTTCAGTATCTCTTTGGTCCGGATTTTGAAGTGCTCGTTTTTCGACCTCTGCGTACGCACTAGATGCATTTTCCAAATCTGCAGGGTCGCCTCCTTTTGAAGCCCTGGATAATAGAGACTGATGTGAATACGAGATCGGAATGCTTGATCAAATATGCCAACGCGATTAGTGGTTAGGAACAGAATACCCTGCAAAGTCACAAGTCAGTGACACAGATTCGAAGTTTATAGGACCTACATACACTATAATATTCCATTGTTCTCAGGAATACCGAGACCACAGAGTTGCGTTTCATATCAGTTTTGTCTCGTTTCTGCAGGAAAATATCGGCCTCGTCAAGCAATAGCACGCATCCCCACTTGTGTGCTAATTGGAAATTTTTCTCGAGGTTGGTCTCGACCTCTGATGCTGTATCACCTATGTCACCACACGTGATAGGAAAAAGGGGTCGTTTTGTGCTGTCTGCAACACACTCGGCAGTAGAGGTCTTTCCGACTCCTAAATGTTATCTTTAATCCCAGATTCCTCGTCAAGAAACATGCAATGATATTCGCTTACCGGGGGCACCGTGCAAGAGAATGACAAGACCCGTGCCTTTGCCTTTCACCAAGTCTATTGAATGATCTTCTTGCTCTACCCCATTCCTTGGGCCGGGCACACGCGAATGATTAGCAACTAACGCACGCACAGTCTCCTTGTGACCAGGAGGTAGGACTAAGTCTTCAAATCCACTACTGTAGTCCACGTCTCTGATGAGATCGATGTCGAACATTGCCCATTTCCGGTTGCGCAAGGCAAAGCCGTAGACAAACGGCGGCAAAAGGATCTTCTCTTCATCTTCAATATCGTTCGGATCCGTAGTTGGCGCTAAGATAATCTTGTGTTCATCGAAGAATTGTTCCTCTCGTTGCATGTCCCAATCATAGTCTTTATGAACATTCTCATTGTCGCAACAATCGTCTTCGGAGCATATTCCATTTGTGACCGTGGGGTTCACTGTCTCCTCGTAGGTTTCACGAAGATTGTGCTCGGTCAAATTGCCAATCCCAATAGGAGAAAGACCTGTATAAGTGCGGAATACTGCTTCTCTGGTATCTATGATTACTTGAGAATCAATCTAGCTTTGCTGTCAGCAAGAAACAATACAATTCGTCTATGAACTTCCCTGCTCATGAGGTTCATCGAGTGTAAGACCCGAATAATGCTTATGCGACCCCTCATTGAATCGCGAAAGCTGTAGATATAGATTTCCTCGTTCTGTCAATCGTTTCCGGATCAGCTCGCTGTCTTGGGCGAACGCCAACGGGTACACCGAAAGGCTTGTAATTGGCTTCTTCCCATCGTATTTCCGGATCGAAAAGGTTTTTTGCATGGGGCCGTATTGTTCTCCGTCAAATTCAAAATTTATACATTCTACAACGAAGGCGCTATTCCTGACATCGGCGCGCTGAACAGATTGAGCATCAACAATGGCGCGAGCTTGTAGTTCAGAGTACAAGCCATGCTTTGCGAGTATTTCGCGGCCTCCTGTCCACCGTAAGACACGGTAAACTTGTACTTTAGAGCCTGGCGTTATGATATCTTGACCGTACTCGAAGAGTAGCCAGAGATCGGCATACGCTATAGTTGTGCATCTGCGCTCCTGGATTTGACGACGTGTTTCAAGCAGATGTTTCAGATCGGTATCAAAAACCTCGATGAGAAGTCGAAGGTGTCGAAGTGTCTCTTCGTCATCAGTTACAATACGCTCGAAAGAGCTTTGTTGATCGAAGACTGGTCTAGGAGCCGATCAACAAACAGCACAGTGCCTCATTTTGACTTGGATACCTGAATTTAATTCCACTCTTGGGAGAGTCTTTCCTCCCTTCCAAGCTGTGAGTTTCGTTCTTGCGGCGCTCTTGGTCTTCATGTTCTAGTTCAAGAAATTGCCTTCTAATGTAAGGCTCCAGGACGATGAAAAGCTTGAATGGATAGAGAAAAACCTGATCGATATGATAATCAGAACGCAGGACCAAGAAAAGGAGGCTATAAATTGTTGGACAACGTACAACAGACGTGGTTCCGGGCATATTGAAACTATTTCCAACGGAAGCTGGGATGGATGCGAAGAATTTGAATAGTTTGGGAGATCGAATACGTATCCGCTTCGCGCTTTGACGTATTATTTGTGAATCCCTCATACCATCATCCTGGTCAGAAGAGTTGCATGCGATTTGCGAGCTCTTTCTAAGCCGGCTGCGAATACTAACGCGAGGTTCATCGAGTAGTACCTCCAGTACCGCATTCGTCGACTTCTTCTTGAAATCCGAACCGACCGATCGGATTATTCGTGACTCGAGTGGACCAGACGGCGGTGAATTCTTGTAGTGACCAGGCTGTGCATCGATGGGTGGGCGGTATATGATCCCTGCCAGCGATTTTCGACCTTGGGCTCTCTCTACAGTCACACTGGAGCTTTCATCGGTCTTTGTAGTAGATTCTGTAGAGCTTATTTCGACGACAGCCATACTGGTGTTCTTGGAATCCATGTATACGTGGGCCGCTTGGGTCTGCTTACGTTGTTGGAGAATCTGCGGTCAATACCCTCCTGGCGACGCTTCGAGTCTCGTTTCTGAAGAATATCTGAGCCTTGAGGCACACACTTTCTTGAGGAAGCGCTAACGGAAAACGCGTGCGTTGCTGTTGTCCTTGCAGAAACTGGGACAGGACAAGGACAAATGACAAAGTTGAAGTGAAGAAGTCTCGTCAGCTTTGCAGTACAATACTGCTGTCTTGGAACAACATCTGGGACGGCAAGTATGTCTGATGATTGTCGTACTTTGAGCTTCGAGTGCTCTTCCTCTTTAACGGGGCACCACCGATCCGATCTCCCGGCACACACTTCACCGAGAATCCCTGTCGTTGCTCCCCTGGATGGCGACCCAATGGCTCGGCCTTTTTTCCAAGAGTGCATGAGAGCAAGGCTACGTGGCGCGCCAGCTGTGGAGCGGGTGGATTCTGCCAGGCATACCAACAAACCATAGGAGGCTGTTGTATAGGAATGTTCATGCATTGTGGATGTGACAGAGCACCTGGAGTCGTTGTTTAAAAGCGGCGTGAGCTGACGTTGCATAGTGAGATGCAGTAGCGCAATCAAAAGGAGACTTGTCGCTAAGAGAAACCGCTGGTTGAGGCTGTGTGTGTGTTGCATAAACTCTCGATTAAAGGAGGCACACCTAATGCAGTCGTGAACAGGGTTCGGGGATTTCAGCAAAGGACAATTTGAACTCTGGGGCATGACCCTGAGCGCATCACTTGCTTTGCCTTGCCTTGTTAGACGCCAAAACGGCCGAGAGCCTCAACTGATGCTGATTAGTCCGAGACACATTGGAAGATTGAGCGTCAAGGGAGAGTACTGACCTGTAGGTAGCATCGGTGATCCATTTACCGGAGCCGAATAAATGGCAAGACGGCTGCGAGCCCACACCTAAGCCGTGCCCTTCTGTACGGAACACTTGTGAATTGTGTTTTCGTCATGTTACAATCAGCTCCAAATATTCGACGTCTGGAAAGCAGGACTCGTACACTCCCAGCAACGAACGCATCAGCCGAATTTATTCTGAACTCCGTTCCTTTGGCAGAGACTAGTCAATATGTCCCTGAACTGGACAGATTTGTCCCGTTGTCAGAAGCACAGCGCCATGGAGATGCCTTGTAGGATATACGATGCTGCTCGTGCCAGAGACCTTGCTAAAAGAGACCCAGCCTGGCACTCTGGAGAGACTCGGCCATCGAAAGCGAAAAATTGTCCGCTTCTTTGGAACTTCTCGCGCAAAAATTGCGGACGAGCGAAAACACCAAGACGACAACAGAGCCTCGCAGGTTCACCTGGAACCAGGTCATCACAGAGGTCCAAGCTGCCAGTGACACCTATCAAAATGACAGAGGAAAAGTCAAGAGGATTTTTGATAGCATGTGCGAGAATGCCAATATATTCGAGCATTGGCTCTGCCTCTTGCCCAATGGTGACTATGGTGCGACTATAAGTGGAGCTTTCGTCATGTTAGTCCAGGTAGAGAACGTTTGCGTGCTCTTCGATCATTGGTACTCATTCTGTCAGGCCGCACGCACTACGAGCGAGATTCGCCGAATCATTTATGAAACGCTTGCCAGCATTCCAGATGCCTTGACGCATGCAAGCACATATATTGAGATATATAACGCGCATTCGAGCGAAGCACTCGTTGAAAAGACAGCGGCCTTGTGCAAATGCATTCTGGTCCTGCTCCAGCTGATAGTACGATTCTTTCTGAAAGGCTCATTTAGTAAGACATCACGTCCCTCTAGCTTATTGTGACTGAAGAAAGGACTAGAGAGAGGTGTGACCGCGGTGTTGAAAGGTTCTGCGTTTGAAGATGAGCTCAAAAATAGTGTTCAAGACATGAAGAATCATGTGCTGAAGCTCAGAGAGGAAGCCAATTTATGTCTACAGAAACGCATAGCGGAGATGGACAGAAAGAACGATTTGAGAGAGTGTAGAGGTATTAGTCATCTGGGCAATCAGTTAAGAATCTGCGCTAATTCAACAGAGCAAACTCGACAGCAATTGGCAAAGGGAGAGCTGCTTCTTGCAATTGAATCCAGCGCCAAAGTCACAGCAGAAACAGTCTGCACATATCTTCTTCGCCAATTGCAAGCAACTCCAGATTTCAACGTACGAACAGGCTCGTGTGAGTTCCACGGAAGCTTTGCGCAGAATGAAACTGATTAATCCTAGTGAGTCCACAATTTGCAACTTCGTTGCAGATTGCCAACGAGGCGACTCTACGACCAGAGATAGTTGCACAGGAAACGGTCAGCCCAACACCAGAGGATCTGCTCGCAATGTTGGAGTATGATAACACTAGCCAGCAGAAGGACATCGAATACTCCCTCACGTTGGGATACACTCAGAGCGATGCTGCCCACGCTCGATCAACATGGGTACTTCAGTCACCCGAGATGGGTGAATTCCTAGCCGGAAAGGCTGGATCCAGACTTCTTCTCATCAATGGAAACGGCGAAGCAATCGAATTCATCTCTCCATTGTCTTTCGTCTGTGCAAAGATCTCCGATCTTATCAATCTTTCCCATCAGATCATCCTTGCGACCCATTTCTGCGGTCATCATACAGATGAGCTGCGGGATCCAAGAGCGAATGTGCAAGGGATGCTAACCTCGCTTGTTGGACAACTATTGACACATGTCAAGCGTTGGGAACGCAGCGACTTCAGATTAGACCTCTCCTCGATAAGTGATGATAAGTGCAATGCTATACAACAGGAAGACAAGGATGCGTTATTTGATCTTTTCCGAGCTATCATCATGCAATTACCCAAAAACACCATCATCTTCTGCCTGATTGACGGTCTATCAGCATATGAGAATTCGAACAGGAAGAAGGATACTATAGCTTTTATGCGAAAATTAGCACGTCTAGTCCAAAAATCGTCACGTGTTGCACTGAGGGTGCTGGTCACATTTCCCGGACAAAGCATATATGCGGATCATTGGCGGGGTTTTGATGGCAAGAAAGCAAAGATGCTCTACGTACCCACAGATCTATAAGGCAGATAAGTGAGCAGGGTAATTACCAACACCTGGCATTCCTAGATGGCTCGAGGATTGCACTTCGAAACGTTAGCGGACTAGAGGCTCACAAAATACGCCCAGGACATAGCTTCACTAGATCAACAAAATTCGCTTACGCAGACTTCACCACATACATCAGCATGACCCAGTTGGATCAGGTGTCAGGATCGTTGTGCCAGTGTCTTGCCTAGCTTAATCGGCTTCCATTTCAGTGGCGGTTGTAGCGAGCACTGTCACCATCCAAGCTAACGATTTTTTGTTGGCTGAATTGGAAGGCTCGGTCCGTGGGCGAACAACAAATAACAAAGGAACTGTAATAGGGCGCGGTAAATAAATCAAGAAAATGAAGTTTGTAGGGAACAAGAGTCTTGCGTGCAAAAATGTAAGCGAATGAGATAATCAAACGCATGGCTACCCTGCGATGCTTCCTTGTGTAGACCGAGTAACATTATAGTGCCGCAAACAGACGGGTTCAAAGATTTTGAAGAGATGAGAAGCATGTAACTGATCTTGCGCAAAAATTGCTTCAATGCCACAAACGTTAGTCGGTGAGATTCTAGTGAAAGAAGGGCAATATTGCGCACTTGTGTATCGGTCTAGGAAGCCCGTTTTGCCGCAGGTTCCTTGCCTACCTTACCACCACTGACCACCTCGAAAGCAACATCACCAGCACTGATATCTGGATAGACATCAAATCGTCTCTGCTCGTACATCGGGATACTCTTTCGGGTCTCGCTGATCTTCTCTGCAGTTAAATCGCCGTACAGGATCTCTTCTGTTTCACGCGCTTCGCACATCACTTGCGCAAAAGGGTCCACTAGCATACTATGTCCCCAAGCATGATAGGTAGCCTCCATATCTCTCGCTGGACTGCACATCACCACGTAGATTTGATTATCGACGGCCCTCGCCCGAGCCTGCAACTCCCAATGCAACGGCCCAGTCGTTAGGTTGAATGCGCCCGGGGCAATCAAGGCAAATGCTCCTTTGCGCGCTGAGATAATCGCCAATTCCGGGAAGCGAATATCATAGCAGATAGCCACTCCAATCTTGCCGTAGTCTGGGAGATCTATAATCGTAATCTTGTTTCCCGCTGAAAGCACCTCCGATTCCTGGAACCTGAATTTTCCCGGGAAATCGATGTCGAACAAATGAATTTTACGGTGTGTACCAAGCAATTTGCCCGAGCGGTCAAAGGTCAATGAAGTATTGTAGTGTTTCTTAGTATCAGGGGAGTACTCAGGTATACTGCCGCCGACAAGGTATGCGTCTGCTTCTTTGGCCATAGATGAAAGGGCATGATATGAGGGTGCTTTCTCCTTGGAGGGTGGTGATGGAAGGAGAGTCTCAGCATATTCGGGAAAATATTGACAGCCATATGGCGAATTGAAGCATTCTGGGAGGACAATAAGGTTGGCGCCTGCCTGTGAGGCTTCAAGAACTTTGGACCGGGCGTGTGATAGATTGTAGGATTTGTCCTTTCCTGTCAATGATTCAGCCAGCGAATGTTGTTTCTACCCTTCTCATGGTATGGTGACGGAGGCAATAGCACGTACCAACGGCAAGCTGCACAATGGCAAGCTTGATAGGCTCTTTCAGTAATTGTGACATGTTTGTCGAGCTGTTTAAAGTTCTTTGGTGTGATTTGGGCAGTCGTACATGTCGTAAATGGTGTAAAAGTCGCGGGCGACACGCTGCAAGCATAAGCTTAGATTTGGCAGCATGGTCAAAAGATGACAATGTTCTGGCTGGCAAAAGACGAGGCTGAAAGTGGAACTGATGCTAAAAGCGGCGTGACAACAATTCTTGCCAACCTAAGTTAAAGGAAGTGCTATGCAGCTAAGAATTAAGGGTGTGTGGGTTAGGGTTCACTGTCAGCCCCGCAGCCTTGTGAATCATGTCGTTGGGCAGAACACTCCTTCGCACTTTTTCTCGACCTGCTGCTTAGGTCCATTCCAGGGATACTTTGGAAATCCATTAAGACTGGAAGTGCTGGCTCTCAGCGCTTTTCTCCAACCTTTTCCCCGATTTTCCAGTGTTTTCTTTACAACTGTCGCTGTAGGACTAGCCTTAAGGAGAAGCAGCCTTAGCAAGCAGCATTTGGACGAAATTGGAGATGTGGCCGAAAAGAAGGGTGTCATGACCTCAGTCCAAAGATCACTGTGAAGTGCCACTAATCAGTAGTCCTGGCAAGGTGTCGTCTTCAACCTTGGAAAGGCTGACAGGAGGCCTACGCAGTAGATGCTGCAGAGAGTCGAGGATCTGTGATATTTGTTCCCATACTGATGGGCAACTCGTTACGTACAACGCTAGAGTAAGCCCAGCACTGCAAGTTGGCAGTACTCACGATTTCAACGACGAACGTTGGTGCTATACTTGATCTCGCAATCACCCCCGCATCGACGATCTGGTCCACATCTCCCACATGCCTTTACGCTAGGCAAGGCCAACAAGAGTCGACGCTATCGGCGTGGTGAGACAGCCATCGCAATCACCCAACCAAAATCTCAGCTGAACAGCCTCATCCTATGCTACATTAGAGGTAGGGATCTATATGCACACTACGCCGTGCATGAGTACAGCCTCTAACGCAGATACGGAACCTGATTTACGTACTATCATGCAGGCTGATCCTGTTGGTCCTTCGTTGCTCCAGGCCTGCAAAGTCGGAACGTGGAGGTATCTTGCCATGAATGCGGCTGAAAGCAAGAGCCTCATCTCTTACACGCGCTATTTGATTCTTTCGTTAAATAGCTGATACTGTATCTGCCAAACCATATCAAGACACCATCAGGCGTTGACCTTTCACGTTTCAGATCAAGTAACGCGTTCTTAAAGAGTAGTAGCAACACTCTATTCGGTCCTTGTATGAAACAAAAGGTCGCTTCCTGTCGTGGATTTCTCACCCTTTCGCAATGGCAATGAACAAGAGCGTGCGCATTTGGCTGATCGCATTACTATGGAACTTCGAAAGCACGGCGTAATGAAGTTGATCAACCATACTGCCACTGCCTCAAGTAAGTCATATACAAACATGTTTGGTTTATTAAGAGCTTGCTCCGAAATGATCGTTCTCTCTATGAACTCATCTCAGCAGTTGTGACTTTGGGATTGGACTCATTGGTTTTTCGACCTTTCAGCATTTGTATACCCAAGTATTTATTGACAATGTACTTTAGTGATGAAGAAGTGCTATGCGTGGGTAAGTACTCCAAATGAAAATCTGCAAGATCCGTTGAGGTTGCTTGTGCAGTCCGTAACTGGGATAGAGTGATGAGTTCTTCAAACTTTCAATGGCTGAGAAAGTGGCTATTTCCAACGAGCGCAACGCGGACCCCCGAGGGGATGGAGTTACGTGGGCTCGGAAAAGACCTCGAAACTCATTAAGGTGACTAGCTGTGGAGAGTACTATATTGCTGAGGACGAGTCCGTACCTCAAGACCTAGAGGATTTCAAGGTTAGTGCGTCTACGAGGCAGGGAATGACTGTCTGATGGACGATATCCCTACCAGGAGCATTTCGATTTCGCCTGTAATGGCGATAATGAGTTTCCGAGCCAATGGCCCATTGAATCCAGTATTCCAGGCTTCCGAAAGTTCATGGAGGAAGATTTCCTGGTCACCTGCCAAGACGTTGCACGGGACGTCTTGACATGCCTTGAGATGGGCCTGGCCCTCCCTAAGGGCGTGTTCACCAACTGTATGAAAGATCGTGTCGATGAGCTTCGTATCAGCTATTATCCACCCTTGAACTTAGAAAAGTTTATAGGTGGCAAGCAAAAGCGGGTCTGGCCACACACTGATTTTGGACTCATCACACTACTCTTCCAAGATGCAGTCGGCGGTCTTGAAACTGAAAATCGCGAGGAGCCTGGCACGTGGATCCCATTAAACTGTGAGTCGCCCACGGAAATGGGTGTCTATATCAGTGACACCTTAGCACACATGACCAATAACTATCTTCGGTCAGGAGTGCACCAGGTTGTGTCACCTATCTCCGCGCTAGACTATGGAGCAGGACTGCTAGAAGAGCGATACTCGGTTGCGCTGTTTGCCAAGGCAGACCGAACTGCCAACGTAGGCCCATTGGAAGAATTCATAACCCCAGAAAATCCTCGACGATATGAGGATTTGACGGCTTTCGATCTGCATAGAAAGCGAGTTGGGCAATTGTATGGTGCTGCTAGCTCGGTGAGATACTTGGCTTGAAGTCACTTTGACGAAATAATTGTGAGATGGGGACAACGTCAGAGAATGCAAGCACAGATTTGCTTCCTGGCATTTCATCCCTTGAGCCGTTAGAAGCACACACGGTGGATGGACAGTCTCGATGGGTGTGCCTTTTAGTAGCAAATTTGATTACAATCCTTTAATTGTTCAACGATTCGCTTATACCATGGCGGGTAATTCTGTTCCATATTGACTACCTATTGATGGTTATAGTGATTTTTGACTGTAAAGGGTTAGTTTTAAAACTTATTGTTGTATTTTAAACTATTTAATACTTGTATATGTTTTAAGATTCAAATGTTTTTTATGAAACTTAAAGAGAGCTAGTAATATATAATACTGTTATTTGGCATCTAACTATTAAGAATTTAGACTGTTTTTAACTGTTTCTACTGTAGAACTATTGAAATGCTAAGCTCTGCGCTCAGGAAGTCGAATACGTATCTCTCATTAACGTAATCTAGATTTCAAGCTCAAATATGGGCGTACGAGGAGATTTTCACGCGCGAGAAGCCTTGGAAGTACTTGCACAAAGACATGGGGGCGCATAAAGGGGGCGTAGGGTGGGCATGAAGCCTTGTATTATTAGATTGTAATTTGAATAATGGTACAAAGCTTAGTCACTTAGGAAAACAATATTAATATATTTAGCTACTGCTTTTACAACTATTTCAATGTACTTTACTATTAAAAATTTTAATTATTACGTTAAAAATGCTGCGTTAAAGCGGTCGTTATCAACTAAACGTTAGATTTACATTACAGTTGGTGAATGGTCAAATGACCGTTAAAATAATCCATAACTTCCCGCTAAGGTACAGCTTCCCAAGGTCTTGTCCTCAAAAGGCTAATATTTGCACAGTCTTTTTTGGCAGAAAGCTTCTGGGTTGAGTCTTTTCGCCGTTCTGCAACTCACCGTCGCAACTACTCGAAAACAAAGAAATTCAGGCAACGTAGGAATAAGAATCAAGCCGAAATTCGCCAAGGATCAATGCCAGTCGCGCGACCGTACGCCGGCGCACACCCTAGGCCGAGAGGGGGTGATTCCAGGGTACATTTCTGATGTCTTGGCGAACAGGGCAGAATAGAGCTTACGACGATTGTGTGGCCCATTCGTGGACTACTGCCTCGAAACTGGTTTTTGGCCTTACGATCTGAAGGGGAGAAAGGCGACTGTTTATGATGGTGGCGAAAAGAAGAGGACAGGGTCTTCGCTACGGTTTGTTGGGGAGTGTGTGGCTGCCGCTTTGAGATTACCGGAGGAGGAGACGAGGCATAAACGGTTCAGAGTCTCTGAGGTTGAATATACGGGAAAAGAGCTTGTGAAAGAAGCAGAAAAGATTGTGGGAGAGAAGTGGACGGTAGATAACCAGCCGTCGACCGACTTGTTGAGAGAAGAAGAGGAGGAGATGGGCAAAGGGAGAGAAACGGAAGCGTATATGGCTTTCGTGATCAGAGGAGACTTTGATGATAGCCCCTTTGGATACTTAAAGGATGGATTTGAGTTCTGCCGAAGTGGGGAGGTCAAGGTGCAGAGAAGGACGCTGTCTGAGATCGTCTTGGACGTAATGAAGACAGCATCACCGACGTAGGAGTCTCGAAAGCCTGCTACGATACCTACATTGGTTTACCCCTGACTATCAATGGTCCAAATGAAAGTGAAAGGTGTAAAAATGTCATTTGAGCTTGCATTGTGCAGATGAAGGAAGGCGACTACTTTCAGCAATATCCAGCGAAGTCGATAAAGCGACACCATCCATTCATCAGCGTTATCTTAGCAAATATATGAAAAAGCGTGCCAGCCAAAACTTCCTGATGCGAATAGCCAAACACCATGCAAATGCTTAGCAAAGCAATGCCGCTTATGAACGCTCAGCAATAACCCTCACGAGACCAAAATTACTACAATCATCACAGCATGCTCATCACGCTTTGGTTCGACTTTGCGTGCCAACACTAGCGACCCTCGCGCTTGTCTTCCTGACACCACCATTCTTGACCTCTCTGCTCTCTGCACTTCTTCTTACAGGACTACCACGTATTTTTGCGACGCCGAGCGAACCGCTGCCACTACCACTTTTCGTGATCATGGATGTGCTCTTGGGCCTGGAAACTCTGTCGGATGACCTGTCTTCATGGTGCGTCCAATTCTCTACATCCGACGTAAGACTGTCCACTGCATCTTCCTCATGGACCGTGCTGTGTGTTGCAGTTGTGGTGGTGCTGGTCGTATAGCTGACAGAGCGTTTTTTGTTGCTGTTGGTGGGAGAGTGAGAGCTTGTTCGACATGTGACAGCTCGATACTCCCATTCGTCTTTGCTTTCCCCAGGTTTCTGTCCCGCAGTTTGCCGATGAGCATTCATTTCAACAAGTTGATCATTGGGGTCTTCTCTGACCGCTTCGCCTGGGAATGCACACGAATTCGCACGAGTATATGGCTGATGTCGAGAGTCAATTCGGCTTCCCTTCCGTGGTTGACCAGGTGTTGGTGCGGGTAAGTTTTCGTCTACGACACTTGAACTAACAGCATTCTCATTATGTGTGATCTCTCCTAGTGCTGAGCGTCGAGAGGATTGATTGCTTTGAGTTGGAGGAGGATTGGTTTGGCCGTTGCTGATATGGTTCCTGCGCGCGGATTTCGCCGGGGTCGCTGGAAGGTAGGCGGCAAGCTTCGCCTTCATCTTGTCCTCGAACCACCATTCTCGAAATTGATTCTGGTTGAGATGAAGCCAGTGTTGCTGTGGCCCAACAACCATTCCAGGTCTCATAAATCTCATGAAAGCAATGACTTCGTTTGCGGTAAAGCCGTGCCGGTATATGAAATAGGCGCCGATGAGACAGCCTGTTCGTCCTAATCCAGCTTTGCAGTGCACTGCTACTGCTCTTCTCTTGACTGTTATCATGTCATGCGCAAGCCTTATGAACCTTTTCACCATGCTGAGAGGCGGGCATGTGCCGTCATCGAATATCATATCAAGATGATTTATGCCAAGTGCATTAAAGTACGAGGGAGAATAAAGTTGTGAATTGAGGCGCACAATCACACCAACATTACGTTTTGTAAAGTGATTCAGGACGTTTTTGAATGGCTCTGAAATATTGCGGTTGCCTTTGACAGCAGCGCGGGTCGATGGCAAATCGGCATATAGCTCGGAATCAGCTGGTAGGGAGTCGATTAATTCATGCTGAGGAGATGCGAGCGCAACAAAGTCGGCCGTCAGCCAGTTGAAGTCGCCTTGATCTACTCTTTCGAACCTTTCATAGCTTGAAACCAATAGTCAATACTATTCATCTCAAATTTGTGAATGGCTTACTCTCTGATATTGAACCCATCAAGGGAACACAGTTTCTCTTGCTTTGCCCTCCACACTCCGTAAAGCACGTCTTGGATACTAAGACTGAAGTCTGCCTGGCTATATCCAGCATCTCGGAAAGGCATTACAGGTGGTTCTGCCTGTGCGATAGGAGCCAGTGCCAGATGAGGCGACCATCCCTGTACTAGAATCATGTAGCACGCTAGCAAGCATGCAGCATTTGCCCTACTTCTCGAGTCTGGTTTGCTCCACAAGACAAGTGCTCGGTCTTCATTGCTAGGCTCGGCTAACAGCAAGTTGATTTCTACGGCAAACCGGTAGACATGCCCGATGTGCAGCGGTCCAAAGTCCGCATAAAATCGATTGTAGATCAGCTCATTATCAATGGTGAAATAGCACGGAGGATGTATGCTAGGCCCTGGTATACCCTGCGGTTCAGGACGACTAGGTTTTGAGGATCTTTTAGTTGGAGAATGTGACGGAGTTCGAGGGTACGGAAAGGGGGTATCAGCGGTAGGAGGGTGTGTGTATGCGGCGAGGTATATTCGATCTGATATAGTTTTAGTGTTGGGCTCCGAGGATATGTCTTGGATAGTGCACTGATACTAGACACCGCAGCTTACTTTGGACATATTCAATTATCTGCCCGTAATGCGCAACTTGTGGAGGCGTAGCAAGCAGATTCGGCTTTTTGGGGGTTTGCGAATCTCTTTTCGTTTGAGGGGAGGCGCGACCGCCGAAGTTGAACATTGAAGACATAGACTGAGCTTTTGAAGAGCAGACCTGTTGCTAGGCTCGGTATATCGAAGATGAGAGGGAAGGAGCGACGGAAAGTCGCTTGCTTGGGTTGGTAGACGATGTTTAACGATCTTGGGTCTGCATGCTACCAGGAAATGAAAGTCAAGACGAGGGAAATGTGCTGGATGCGACCTAGTCCTAGCAGACTCTGCGAAGACTACCTTGTGTATAGATGAACGATAGCAATGTTATGTATGCCTTAGACCCTACCTTAGGTAATGTCATGTTTCGCATGTTTAGCTAAATCGGTACGAGGGAATCAATTCCGCGCGGTTGGCACAGCAACGTTGGATAGCGCCTTGGCACTGGACATAAGGTTCGCACGACGGGAACGTCTCAGCTTTCTATTGTGACCATCAACAGGGCCAAATATGGTAGAAGCCCAGTTCCCATGCAAACTGTTGGTCCTCACGATGTCTGTGTACGTGCGTGAAATTCCTTAACATTGAATGCAGCGTAATTTTAGTACCACTGCCATCTCGTCGATTAGCCTCCGCTGCTCTACGTTCATTGAATGTAGATACTGAACTATCGCCTCTGGTCCGTCGGACATGTTCTCTCGCGTCTGAGTCCAATGACGCCTCAGATGTACCACTGAATGATGCTAGAGGACCAGAGATGGACGAGTTGACGGTTCTCAAGACAGAGTACTGTGCGACAACCAATAGAATGCTGAGAGTGGCTGTGAATGGCTTTATGGAAAGCCTAGGCGTTGTGCTAAGCGTGATGGAGGAGCTGGATGTCGATGTACTTGCCACAGACCAGTCATCACAGAGGTTATGACTAGGCATGTCACATGTACCTTCAATTGAGGATCGGATCACCACATCATATCGGCGCTGCGACAGTCTCATCTTAGTTACGCCATAAGGTCATGAGCGCACATGTTTAGAGAACGCTGCGCCTGAACGGGTTTAGTGTGCAGGAAGATGAGGTTATACGTCGTGCATTAGTCACAGCACGATGAACTGACAAATAAAGCCTAAGCTTTACGGAGTCTCTCCCTACCATTTCAACGTAGTCATTCAACAGAGGCTACGGCTAGGGAATTACTGTCATTGCGTAATTTTTCATTATCCCAACTTAATTGAATTCCTCTTAGACCTCATCTCCGGGCAATACTGTGAATTGCTTTCGTATCACGACTTCCTTTTGCTTCTTAGAGGCCGAGAGATGGGTCCGGACAGGCACTGAAATCTTAAGTTTTTCGACCTGGTCCATAGCCCCTGCAGTTGATGACGTTTGCAACAAGGCGAGTTTAAATTCTCTCTGGTCCTCATCGCTTAGAGAAATTTTCTCAGCTTTGAATTTTTGAAGCGACTGTTCCTCCGCTGACCCGGCGAAGAGAGAGATGAACCTTCTCACTGTCAAGGTGTCTTGGCTTGGGGAAGATGAGGATTTCGATTTGCCACCGTCTTTCTTCGATTCGTCTTTGCGTTTGCCTTCATTAGCTTTTTGTTCTGAGCTTACGTATTGGATGGTATTGGCAACTTTCTCGGAGGCAGTGGAAACATCCAACCATGCTTCTGATATGGAATCTTTAGGTTTACCAGTGGCCTTTCGAATTCGATATGCTGTCGCCAAAGCGTTCAGGCGGATCTTTAAGTCTTCATCATTGGACGCTGCTTCGACTGTAGGGATTTCTGCTTTCCCCCGTTTTGCTGAGCTGTTTGCTTGCTTTTCCATCATAGACACTGCTTTTCTCCGAAACGTGACCAAGCTGTAAGGAGGGTCTAGCTTGGTCACTTTACTGCGGCTGTGACCAGTAATTTCTGACTCTGTCATTGCAGACGCATCAATCGACGGCTGATCATCATACTACAAGACATCAATGCTGTGAAATAGTAATGGGTGAATGAGCGCTCCTCACCTTTATGCTGAGCCCTCGCTCGGAAAGCATGCCAAAGTATTTCTGAATCAGAAAAGAGGGCTGATTTGTATTGGACCCTTGGCCGGTCGCGCCTGCCAGAATGAGGTCATCAATTGTAGAAGGCACACAACCTATGTCAATTTGTTGGGCTTCCAGATTGAAAACATCCGAGACATGCTTTTGGGGGAGATTATTCCAAGCCTTCGGTTCTGGCGTTTGTGCCGTTGACTCAAGATCCATTGTCAGAAAAGTAATGCTGTCGCCTGGATTGACAGCATTGATGAAAGGGCCCCCTTCTGATAACCTGTCACTATCCGATTCTGTAGGAGTGACTCCGTCATAGCCCGAGTCAGGATCGAGTGCTAATAGCCCTCTTTTCTGGCCCCAGCCTCCTCCTCCACTAAGCACCTTGCGAAGCTGGGCGCCCTCTCTTATTTTCAGACCAATGTCACGCGCTTCACTTCTGTCAGAGTATGACTCTATCATAGCCCATACGCCAGCTGGGCCATTTCCGAATGCTTCGGCCCGAGACCTATTGCCGATCGCCTCTTCCAGTTCTTGAGATGCCGGCTGGGGCTCACCGTTTGCATTTTCTATCTGGCGAACAACATTGCCACTTACAGCTGAGACAACCCTTGGTTCCGTAATTGGTAGCAGAGGGCAATAAATGTTGCTACTAAACGGCCGCCCGTTACCAGGTATCATAATGGTCTGATGTTCTACATCTTTTTGTTCGAGGAGGGAAATTGAAAAATATCCATCCGCGGATCGCTCCCGCTTCCATCTTTGCGCAATTAGCGTACTGGGCCTGTTGTTTTGAAATACCGTGTTTGCTACAGGTGATTGTAGAGACGTCGAATATCCTTCCTCATCCGTAATTTGAAATCGTAGAGAGGGAAGACCTCGATCGGATTCGGCGTTGTCTTGCGTTGAGAGTCGTTTGTCCAACCATAATGCAGGTGTGGCAAGATCTGAATCCAGTACGGCCACAGAAATTCCGGGATAGCCATTCAGAGATCTTGTAGAGGAAAGGCTTTCTCGATTCTTGATTCCATGGTCGCTTAATTCGAGAGACTTGGGACACGGGATGCGGTCGACAACCGCTGCCAGAACATCGAATACATGATCAGATCTCGAAAGGGCGGAGCATTTCTCAATGATAGAAGGAATAAAGTTATGAGACGGCTTGAGAAAATCTATGAAACCTGAAGTGAGAAGGAATACGAGAAGTGGAGTCCGACCACGAGGTATGCCGGGCCAGGGAATTTCATCAAATACTGGTTCCAGGCTCTTCTAGAGTCAGCTACAGCGTATGTATCCGAGCTATGGACGAAGCATGGGCAGGCATGATGTCTACTTACGGTATTGTCACTTTGACCTGAAGGACATAAAAGGGTCCAGGAATGGAGACGATGCGGAAGTCGCGTCCTCACTACTGATTCAGAGGGATGCGGAGCCGTTGAACAGAAGCAAGCTCTGGAGATGATGGGAATCCTCTCAAGGAGTCTAGCGTATCCTGTCCATGCATGATTGAGGTGACCATGCCTCAAATGCCAAGTACGTCGAGAGGATTGCATGTGAAGGAGGAATGCATGCCTTTGTCGGCCACGGACTGACTTTTCACCTTTTGATAATGCAAAATCCCAAAACGGTCTAGCCTATCATGAGTTCTTAGTCTTAAGGCCAAGAGATCGGGCCTGATGGGTGACAGGCGATCTGGCAGTCCGCCGTGTCATTTGCCGATACACGCAGCCTGTTGGATCCACAATAGTCAACAGTTGCAGAGTTGCGCGGCTTACAACAAGACAACAAGACAAATTTATCGTGATTAGTCTTGTTGTCTCAGGGCACACCGCTCTGACTCCCATTATTCTTATTTTCATTGTCTCTTTTTAGTCCATGCATGCAAACAAGACGGCGGGACGCGCTTGCGCTCCCCACGCTGTTCTGAGCTACGGGTTAATCTGAAGATCCTGCCTCTGTACGGAGTAGAGCGAGCGGGGTATGGACCCAGGGGAAGATCCATTCACGACTACGTATGGCACGACAAAAAGGGCCAATCCCTCAGCTCCATTAGTGGACTCGGTCTCAGCCATCTAAACTGGACCAGCCAATCAAGCACTGATTGTTTCCGAGACGCTCTACAGGTCATGATGAGCCCTTTCATGCTCCTCCAATTCATGATATGCAGAAAGGGAGGCGTGCACCATGCATGTCAGATGTTTATCCCACGAGTGACAATCTTCCGAGAGACGGGCAGCATCAAATTATTGTTCCGGTGGTGATCCTACTCCGTATGCCCTGCTCCAATCGTAGAGGTCGAATGAGCCGTAAGAGAGGGGCAAGGTACATGACTTAGCCCGTAGTCGGCATAAGCCACTAGATGCCGTAGATGACTGTGAGACAAGAGAAAGGGCCCTGGCGGAGGGCCAATGGTTCTCTCTGATTGGCAGTGAATGATAAGAAAACATAAGACAAGTCGACAAGGCTGTGAGGTTCATCACGGACCAACATCCCCCCAACTACAACTTTCCGTAACAAGCGCACAACAGCCAAAGCAGCCAGAACCAGACGAGCAGCGGTATTTGGCTCTCGCCCCCTGGTGCCTGGGGGAGGCGAAAGAGCAGGAGCTTGACCCTTATGATCTTATCCTGGTTGGCTTAATTTGCTTTTCAAAACGCTACCCGAGAGACCGCCGGACTAGTAATTTGGACAAGCGCAATCCCCTGCCAAATCCACGACCCTCCAACTAACTCACCACCCACCCCCAACATCACCATCAAACCTGGCTCAATACTGACAGAGACATCGTCCTCTGTCCAGTGTTGTTGCCGTCCACTCCTTCTTTGTTTGTAACTTTGCTGTTTGTGCTCAGTCTACATTTCCATACACTCCTTTGACAGTGGGTGATTGCCGTCTCACGACGCAGGAATTACCAGGTTACCATTTCCACCGTGGACTCCAACGAACATTCATTCAACACCCCTTCTAGCTCTACATCAATCACTTGCATACTTGGTCACTCGAGACGCACCGCTCATTAGACCACGCCCTGTGTCTCCATCGACTTGGAGCCGTTCTCGACCACCAGCCACAGACCTCCAGAACCCGACACCCATCCGCAATTGGGACAATTCCTGGGTTTCCTCATAGCTCGCATGACTCGTCAAGAAGACGGCCGATAGGTCCAATATCATGGCTGAAGTCGTTGTGCCTCAGTTGTCCTTGTCGCCTCTGGGTCCTTCAGGCAATCGAGACAGTCTCGACTCCCCTCCGCCGAGGATGAATCATGTCGAGTCCACCTCTTCAAACGATGCCTTCATCTTTCAGCCCCTCTCCGGTCTCTCTCCTCTCCCTCATGTCCTTGGCCACAGGCAGACAACCTCAAGCGTCGGCATTACCTCACATAGGCGTAAGCCAAGCAACCTATCTCTGAGCACTTTAGCGCCATTCGAATTTGGCACGACAACAAAAGAATCCCTGACCAGGCCATTGCCCAGCCCTACGCGCTCTCCAGCAAGACTGACGCCACCTGGCAACCACGTAAGTGGTCATAAAAGGGGTGGTAGCGAGTTTGTTGGAGGAGACATTACTCATGGCGGTCCGGTCCTTGTTACTAAAAATCTTCCGCAGGACGAAGACAGCGGAGCTTTACCGTCCAGCCCAAACAAGGGATCTCTTCCTACCGGTCGAGGTCGGCATTCTCATCGCCGCTCCGGCGCCGTGTCACAGGGTGACATCAGAATGATAATGCAGCCCTCGAAGGAGCAGAAAGCCGATAGTGCTCCACAAACACCGGCACTAAGTCGTCCACACCAACCACCAGGTCCAGAAAGATCAAGCTCATTACCTTCACAAGCAGGTGAAAGTAACGGCAGATCAGCTACTCCACCTCGAACGCTTCAACCTGAAGCAGGTCAAAGTCGAACTCGTGTTGGCTTTTCAGATGCTGTAGACTTCATCTCCCGCCCATTATCTACAATCTCCTCGGAAACATCGAGCAGCATGTCAACCGTGAGAGCGCATCATTCCTTTTCCGAAAGTGTGGAACACCAAGGAAATAGAGGAGCGTCGAGCCCACCCTCTTACATTTCGAGCGGCTCAAGTGAGACATATAGCAGCCGTGAAGAACGTTCAGCTACAGATGCAGTGTTGAGATCACACGACGACAGCGATGAAGGCCTTGGTGATGAGCGTGGATCTCAAAGATTGCATGCCTTCAACAAAGATCTTCCGATAACATCTCATGCGCATAACCAAAGGCACCAAGGGCTTGATTTATGTACAACAGAGGTTTCAGTGCAAGCGGATGCATTTGATGGGAGGCCATCGAATCCTTGGGATAACATCTCTACGCTACCGTTCGAAGGTCCATCAATCGATTCACTTCGGCCACACTCGATCTCCGATCCACATTTTCCAAGGCCTCGAACATCTCCAGAGTCGAAATCGTCGAACAGACAACAGAAGGTTAAATCTTGGGCAGATACCATTCTTCATAGAAAGGACCGTCAGGCCCCAAAAGATGCTATACCTCTCCCTCATACTTTCAGACCTTCAGCTCTTGATGAACCCGAAGCCTTTACACTTGACGATGTGAACTTCGATGATGACACAACTCTAGTGATGATTGAGGACCTCGACACAAATTCTTTGGGTCAAGTAAGGCAAAATTTGAATGTTTCGAACCTACAATCCGGACAACTAAGTCCAGTATCAGAACAATCGAGTTCCAGTCCTATGCTCGACCTTGATGCCGCCCTCGACTCGTTCAGTAGTCCAAATGATGACCCTGCGTCTATTAACTATTTCAACAGATCTTCAGTTGGAACGCGGCTTCTACATAGCAGCGGAGAGACTGGAGGGTTCATGGGCCCCGGCATGCATTATCATCGTAGAGCAGACAGTGCTCCTGAAATAGAAACTCCTGAAAGACCTCGGTTAGGGATTCCACGGCTTGGGAGCAACTCAAAGATGGAGGCAGCTATCGAAGAAGAGGAAGAAGATGTGGAGCTAGATGAGAAGCGACGAGGAGAACAGGTGCTAGGTCTCGGTGTCAACGTCGTCGACTGTGAGGCTACAAGTGAGGAGCCACTCCAAAGACGGACATCAAGCACCTCAGCAGACAAGCGCCGCAACCGACGTACAGCCGTCGACAGTGTGGCTATCCATGATACTGTGGAAATCGTTGAAGCTGAAGAAGAACCCCGTTACTCCAGTCTTACGAAATCTTCAGACGAATCTACTATCACGCCAACGCTCTCTCCTGACGCCTCTTCATATAATCCTGCATCAGGACCTTTCGACTCTGCCCTGCCAACGCCAAGCTTGACTTATGGTACAACGCCTGAAACCCCCTCCGCCGTATCATCTGCTGACTACCATAAAACCTCGTTCGACGTTCATGATCCTCGCATTCACACAGCAAGCTCTTCGGTCACTGGAGTGACCCTAGACTCTTCCAAAATTACAAGCCATGGTGCTGTCTCTATCGAGGATGTTCCATCCTTGACTAGTAGTGCTTCTACTATGCTCAGCGGGCATCCTGACCGTTTCTCAAGCTCGGGAAATACCTTCTACTCTACGGACAGATCTGCGTCTCTTTCAGCAGCCGTGCCCGCCAGAACAAAACTTTACAATTCTAGCAAACGGTCAAGCTTAGCCAGCCTTTCGAAACTCGTTGGGGGATCGTATAACAAGAGTAAACTGAACATTGCAGAGACATTGCCTCCAGATACACCGGAAAGGAAGAGCAAGAAGAAAAACCGCATCAGCCGCATGATGAAATTTTGGAAGTCGAAAGAAAAGCTTACCCCTGGATAGTCAGTACTGATACGACTCGCCGCAAAAACTCGAAATACACGACTGGCATGATCTCACGTTCTGGGTGGTCAATAAGATATATCTATCACGAAACAGCTCATATGGCTCTCATCTCATTCCATTTTACGCTTGCAAAGTAACTCTATGGGAGGTCCATATTCCACTCATACAGAACTCGAGGTGGCGATTTCAGACACGGAGAGGCAATTTATAGCGGAAGAAAGAGGAGGCTTTCTCTCAATGACAATTATTTACGACTTTTTATACCGAGGGCAGCACTATCACGATATCAATTTCCCTGGCGTCTTAAGGGGGTAGCCAACGGATGGACGACGGGTTTCGAACAGGCTGCTCGATTGGTGTTAGGTCAGCTTACTCGCGAAGAAAAGAATACGTGGGCTCGCAGCGATATCTGGAGCGGGGAAGACGGCAAATGGTTGCAACATAGAAAACGAGAGGGGTGTTGTATAAGTGGCGTGCAGGTCAGGAAAATATCATGATTGTTTAAATAGCTTGCCAAAATCAATTTTGAAAGTTTTGAATGCTTAGGGTCCACATTTCCTTCTCTTTCGATCCTGTACGCAATCTATCTGCTTTGTGGTTTTCATGATCCATGATTCGATTTCTAATGCAGACAGTCACAGGAATTCCACCCAAACGCTTGAGCATAATGACATACCAGTATCTAGTGATGAATTGCCCATTAAAGCTTTCGTCACCGTAGCATCGATCGCAACGCGATGATCAATTATCAATCTAAAACCCAGGCCGAGCTCTTCCTGATCCGGGGGCTCGTATGCAACACACTACCTGTATCACTCCCTCCTCCAGCCACACTCTCTGGTGCACTCGAGTTATGAGATTCATCCAGGGGCTCGGCATCGATATCCCATGCCTCTTCTTGGCCCCCCTCCAGCTCCTCGCCATCAATATCCTCCACTCCAACATCCTCTTCAGCCTCATCAATGCCCCTATTGACTCTGCTCCCGAACCCGCCTTGCACCGCACCCCTGGTATTCCACCTCAAGGCTCGTCTCACGCTTTCGAACCATTCACCGCCTGTTCCGCTATCGCCGACTACGGTGGGGAACGGGTATCTACCCACCTCGACTCTGACTTCGTCGCCCCTTCGTAATTCTACCCTCCCCTTGCCGTCGAAGCTGGCGTAAGCGCCTCCTCGACTGTGTCGGGGAACGACTAGGCGAAGCATTAGGGTGTCACTTAGCACCATTGGCCGGAAGGAGAGGGTGTGCGGACATATGGGGGTGAGAAGAATTCCAGGGATGGATGGGTGTGTCAGCGGTCCGCCTGCGGACAGGGAGTAGGCTGTCGAGCCGGTGGGGGTTGATATTATGATGCCGTCTGCTTGGATGATAGTGAGAAGGTGCATGTCGCCGTAGAGCTCGAGGTTTGATACATAGGGCGAAGGGCCGCGGTCAAGAACGAGCTCGTTCAGGACTTCGAAAGTGGATTCTGGGATGAGATCCGAGGGACTAGAGGGTGGATAGGAGGTGGTGCTCGACGGAGCGGTGGTACTTGGTGGTGTACCTGCTAGTGAAGTGGCAGTAGAGGTGGAGGAATCACTACGGATTCGACTATCCGAAATGGCAGATGAGAGGTTTGTGGTGCTACTTCCTTTCGAAGATGGGCTCTGAAGACGAGAGGCGCGGTATATGGTACAGGTAAAGCGCATACGCATGTTCACGCGCATTCCAGAGCCTTCCATGATACGGTCTAATGTGGGCTTGTAGTCGCCGAAAGCGAAGTTCGTGAGGAAGCCGAGGGTGCCGAGAGAGAAACTCATGATAGGAGGTACGATACGTTGGAAAAGCCAGGAAGTGTAGAGAACGGTCCCATCACCTCCAAGGGTGAGTACGAGGTCAAATTTTTCGGGAGATGATATGCATAGATCGGGCGTCCAGTAATGAAGCATTTGTTCGAAAAGAGGGTTGGATGCTATCAGACCCGAAGCATCAAATCGTTTCGATTTGCGAAGTTTCGCGTCTACATAGACGGTAACACCCGAATTAGACCCATATCGAGGGCTTTGGAGAAGCCATGCCACGATCTCTCGGGTCAAGAAAACCAGCCGGTTGTCTCTGGCCTTTGTCACGATCATGACAGTTCTCACAGCTCTCTTGATCGGACGACGCTGAAGCTGCTTGGAAATCTCCCTGACACTCGTAGCAGTCTGCATCAGTCTCGTATGAGACATTCCATCGTCATCCATAGCAATCTCTTCGAGTACGCGGTCTACATTGACAGCATCCTCGAATCTCTGATGCAAGAAGCAAGGTGTATGTAGAAACCGCGCCGCAAAGGATGTTGGCGGCAAGGCTCCTGATTCATGCGATCGATCTTGACGGAGGCTCTCCTGTGAGCTACGCGCTGCTAGTGAACGAAGGATGCTCCTGTGTGAGCCAGTGGGTGTTGGAGATTGTTTCATTCCTGTCTTTAAGAATGGCTTGGGAGATTGGAGGCCGCGAGATGGTGAAGTTGGGCCGGCTCTTTTCGATTCTTGAGCAACGTCAGGCTGTATTGCAGAGAGCTTGGGGGGCCTTGTGTCGGACACCCGCTTCTCCTCCTCAGGCATAGTGGTCACATCATCAGTGTTAAGCGGATCGAGGTGGGTCTTGTAGTCCCTCAGAAGAGCACTGCCTAGAGTCGATCTCTGTTGCGGCATGGTGTTGGAATACGCCTTTGAAGGATCCTCAATGGGCATCGAATTGCCTCTGGATGGTTCATGCATGATTACCTACTCGAGCACGTGGACGGGCCGAACGAGTGTCCTGTCAAACAATAGTTGTATACGTGAGCCGCCTGTGGCTTTTGTGCCTGCTGTTGCAGACATACCGGACCTGCATGGCCATTGTAAAGAGGACGACCATCTCCAACAGGCCCCATGAAGCGTCAGCAAAGAGGCACTCAAGGGATGCGAGGTCGTCTCCTCCTTGACGCAGACGTTTTTAATTCCACTTGATAGCCGCGTTCTCGGTTACGTCACCCAACCTTCGTCAATCTCGTATACTCGTAGCCACAGGTAGTACCAGACGAAGACCAGAGGCACGATCCCTTTCGATATGCCTCCCAAACCCAAGCTGAACGTGCAATCGTTCCCACGCCCTCCACTGTTAGAACAAATTCCACGCCATGTATTGGTCAAGTACAAGGACCAAACCATTGCAGAGACAAAAGAAGCCTATTGGGCACTTGAGACACATCACCCTCCAAGTACATCTAGGTATTCAACAGAGTGAGGAGTCAGGCTTATGAATGCAAAGCATATTATCTGCCGCGGTCCTCCTTCGTTGTACCACTTGTCCAATCATCTCGTACCTCCTTCTGCGAGTGGAAGGGCAGGGCAACCTATTGGGGCTTGACCTTGCCCGGCACTAAGCAGGTGGTCCACGACAAAGCATGGTCGTATGAGTCGCCTACCAAGGGTTTTCTTCCCATCAGAGGCTACCTGAGTCTCTACGCAAATGCGCCGTGGGAGTGCTGGGTAGATGGAGAGAAGGTGGAGCCTCAGGAAGGTGATTTTGTAAGTATAATTCTGCACAACCAACGTTTGTCATATCATGTCTGCAACAAAGCAAGCTTTTCCACAAGACCTGGATTTGCTACGAGGAATCTCGCTGATTCTAAGATACCTTTTAGTACGGTGGATGGCTGACAAGCGACATTGATGGTAAGCCCAAAGGTGGGCCAGGCACTCTGGGTTGGTAGCAGGTGCAAACCATCGTCGTCCATGTTATCTTCTTTGCAGCATTCTTCTCTTGTGAAAATTGCATCTCATAATAATCGTCCACGATAACAACCGTCCTTTGCAAACCATGTTGCTTGTGAGTTGTGACAACTGTGTTGAACCACTTGCTTCTGTGTGACCGAACTACATTCCGTGCTCATCAAGTCCTTCAGTCTGGATACCCAAGCACTCCCTTGCATCCCTAGCGAGGCAATTGCCCTGGTTCCTCGACATTGCACCCTCTTTGTAACAGGTGAGGCACAAGCCATCTGCCCTGACTAAGGCCTTGTCGGCAGCAACATTGATGGTCTTCTCAGCCTCAACACTGTCGCACCAGCATTCGCGCGAGCCTGCGCACCCTACGATAGCCCTTGCATCGTTGATCAAATCGTGCAAACTTGCGTGACTTCCCAGACTTGAGACAGGCCAAAAATTCGCCCTCCTTAACAACAGCATCGTATGTTGCCTTGTCTCTTTCTGTGGTATGATTGGCGCTGTGATCATTGAAATGATACTTTCCACTCGTAATTGAAAGCAGCGAATGCTCTGCTCCTTTTTTGCTTCGATTGATGCTGAGAGACATTTAGCAGGTTGTTCTGTTTCCAAAGATCTAAGCTCATACCTAAAAGCTGACCGTCTAACTTGTAATCTTGAATAATTGCTAACATGGCTAATGGAGTAAGTCGTGCAACATGTAATACCAAATACTTAGTAGACTTGTGGAAAGCCTTGTTATTCGCCAGCATGATGGCGCAATAAAGGAGTGACAGTGATTCCTCCATTGTGTGACATTCTACAACTTGCAGGCGATATTCAGCCCAGGGACCGAGTGCATATGCTAAGTCGTACTTGTCGCAGTGTGTTGCTATCTTCCCCAACAGCGCTAGGTCGGCTTTCATAGGCTCTTTTCGAACATAATGTAAAATTTGGCAGACCCATAGCATAGCCTCTGGATCATCGTCGGGAAGGCATACTGACTTTGGAAGGCCAGCAGTGGGGGCACTATCATGGCCTTCCTTAAAGTTGGGGCCGAGTAGGACTGCAAACACTGGCGATGCTAGCTTGAGAATCGTCGAGGAAACAAGAAGCTTGACCTGGACCCCTTCTTCACCGATTATTAGCTCAAGGTCGCCGCCACAGGCTACCTCTACTTGAGCCGAAAGCGGTGACGATTTGCCCACTTTTGTTGTTGCCTCGGCTTGCACCATTACGGATGATTTTGATAAAGCCCTAATGAGTGAGAAGTAGTGTTGTTAGGCGTCTTTAGACTTGTAGCAAAGTAGCAGGAACAATTGGGACGTGAAGAATGACACAAGAAGCGGTGAAGATTATTGTCTGAGAGAAGGCTAAAACTCAAAGAGGTCATGCAATTGTAACAGAAAGTTCTTGGCGACATGGCTTTCGCAAGTGACGCAACTTATATCATATGATTCGTGACAGTGCTGTCACATCGTTGACCCCTCAACAGTGAACTTTCAATAATGGAAGGTACATACAGGAGGCCTGTTTCAGCGTCAGTCTCGGAAAAGAGCAAGACACCCTTGCTGATCTCTTCGAATTTCATGATAGCTTCTCATATAGTATTATTACCCTGCCTGTATGATGGATCTTTTCACGTCTCTTTTACCTCGCGGGGCTGCAGCAAGATCCTAGGTCTTTTACGTGCTTTTGACCTGACCACGTTTTTGAGGCTGTCCTCCAATCCAGAAAATGGTGTTGATTCCCCTCATCGCGTCGTCACCGCCGGCTCAAATCATGAGCCTCTCCACCTTATCCTTCAAGCTCCTAATTTGATGCATAAGATCTGATGCCTCATTTGTCGTGATACTCGCAGCAATGACAGCTCTACTAACTCCACAAGCCCGTCCGAGAGCGGTTTTCGAGGGTACGTACACGTAAGGTACGTTCTGCACTTAATGTCAGTCTACGAGGTTGTCGCAGGATGGGATGTCATCATACTTTGTCTGTATAGGATTAGTATGCTTCACAGGGAGAGATTCGCAGGGGAGAGACAGCCAGTCGTTCACGTACCTTCAGCAAGTAGCGGCCCGCAAGAAGTCAGCTAGAGCGTCCATACATAATTGATTGTGGTACTCACAGATGGAGAATACTTTGCATGGTTAGCAGGTGTTCCGAGATGATCATAGACGAGGTGATGCTTACATAGCCAAAGGAGCAGTATCCTCGGCGAGTATGACGATCTCGCTGGTACCTCGATTCAGAGTCTTCGTAGCTTCATTTGCGCCCTTTTTTAGCTGTCGGTAATGTGACGCTTGTTGCACCAGATCGAGGATTTCCTGGCTTAATTTCTGATCGGCCACTGGCCAAGCAGCAGATTGTTCGTTGGACATGATGAGAGCTGGACTGAGTTCAAAGGGTTCACTGCCGTAGCTCGCCCTTTGTGCGTTAGAAAAAATCTGGTCTGCAGTCAGAAAGAGGAAGCTGAAGGTTTTAGTGGGACCATTTGGATATTGTTGCACGTGACTGAATCTTTCGAGACTAGCGCAAGATCTTCGAGCCTCTTGGAGACAATCTCCAGCGTCACCATCGCCAAAACCCAACAAAGAATAGCTGCCTTACATTCGCGAATCAATATTGCGCTGAGATACTTTCAGCAAAACCTGAACACTTGTTAAGCTCAGAAAAGAAATCTAATAAGATGTCTTCCACCGATCTTTGGTACGTATTATGCTCACCCTGTCTGCCTATACCTATGCATTGGCAAAAGAACCCCTCCTAGCTTGGCCACAGGCCATTGCGGCATCTATACCTTGGAAAACCCATAGACACCTGTGCTAATATTCGGTCACTTATAGTCCTGTCTATGCGGTCAGTACACTTTGGCCCCACGTCCTCCCCTCGCGCCACATCAAGTCCCAAAGCCTCAGCATTCAACACCCCAGATTTCAGACTGACATTTTGCCCTAGCCCTTTTTCGGAGCCATGGGCTGCACATCAGCTATAGTATTCACATGCTTTGGCGCTGCATATGGAACTGCCAAGTCAGGAGTAGGCATATCTGCCATGGGTGTTCTGCGACCAGATCTTATCGTCAAGAGTACAGAAACCATATACGCCGCTTGGATTCACAGGGGACAAAGCTGATTCGTCTTTTCAGACATTGTTCCGGTCATTATGGCTGGTATCATCGGTATCTACGGCCTCGTAGTTTCAGTCTTGATATCCGACAACCTCAAGCAAGAGCTTCCACTCTTTACGAGTTTCATTCAATTAGGTGCTGGGCTTAGTGTTGGTCTTTCCGGTCTTGCAGCAGGGTATGTATCATTCTTTCAGCACTTTGGTATTCACCATGATACTGACGCTCTGCAAGCTTCGCTATTGGAATAGTTGGAGATGCGGGTGTCAGAGGAACAGCTCAACAACCTCGTCTCTTCGTTGGCATGATTCTTATTCTCATTTTTGCGGAAGTGTTGGGTCTGTACGGCTTGATCGTGGCGCTACTCATGAACGCCAAGGCCTCTACAGATGTAAAGTGCTAGATATGGAGGCATATTTAGCGTGCTGAGCACAAGTACTGCTAAAGTCATGCTGAGGAGTCGACAGCATTTGTGATACTATCAAGACAATCAGACCGCTGAGAAGATCTAGTGCGGCTTGAGGAAGCGGGTCCCCTTCGCAGGCGTTACTTGTGTAAGCATAGACTCCTGTTGCGGTAGATATGGGTTTCTCAAATTGGGTGGTTCCTATTCTATGGTCTAATTCTATTGAATGCCTCGGAGCTTACTGAATGTCAACGTGCGTTCTCATCGATACTCGCAATAGTCGAATCTCCATACGTCGTGTTGTCCGTTTACATAGCTATGCTGCGCACAGAAGGTAGATTACACATGCATCACGGATGGACGAGTATAACTGTAAGAGTTGAGTGGCGGCGGTGAGAAATGCTTTCTAGAATACAGCAATCGTGGAACCAGCCTATGGCTTGATATTTAAATGACGCGGTAGATATTACTGCTTTTACTACTTTTGAAAATTGATAATCATGCGAGGATCATAGGGCTTCTCAACGAATGCAAGGGCTTGTTTTCAGAAAAGTCAAGAAGAGATGGGAGTAAGAAATTTGGGCGGTTTTGGGGTCTGAGATATTGCTATCCGCGGCACATGCTGAGCCCTCTTTCAACTCAAGTAAGCTTCATACCCCATGAATATATGTGGATATATCTGAACAGGTAGAGCAATATGAAGCACGTCGTATCTATGACGGCTGAAAATCATCCAAGAGAAAGCAAGAAGGACAAGTCTTGCAAGAACTTGCTCGAGACTTGGGAACCTTCGGTGAGAATGCGAAGAGCATTGGGTGTGACGTGACGCGCGTCGATTCGAACTTTATTGTCATTTTCACCGATTGATATCAGGCTCATGGTATGGCAAATCAATGTGTCTTCCACGGCAGATAATAGAGCAAGCAAGATGTCGAAGGAGCTTGAATATGTCATGGTCGTCGTTGGATCTCGTTCCGCTCTCGTTCAAGGTCTTGGGGTCCGATACGCGCTAGTCTCAAAGCGACCTAGGCAAATCTCCGATCCTATTTGCAAAGCCCGAGATAGCCTTTCGTAAATCCTGTCCTTCCCAAGAAGTCCTCATGATGCGATCGGGAGGAATGCAGCGGCCACCTCGTTTGAGACAATGTCAAGGACATCGATAGTTGCAGAGGGTGTAGTTCGACCGCATGTACCTTGCTCAAAGCTGCTCTCACCGCTCTATCATCGCATAGAACGCCCGGCATTCTGCCTGCATTCGACGCCAAAATGCAGTACCGCTATCGGACTCGCTATCGCACTGTAAATGCCTTATGCAATACAGGGTGACATCTCAGCAGCAGGGATGGTAGCATTGAGACATGCGCGACCGTCACTGCTATTTGACCTCCGCTGCTTCATGCTGTGGATGATTAAATTCTTTGTCATTCTCCACCTGGTGCTGGTCTAGAACACCAGACCCCGCTGGTCGTGGCTTTACAACCGAGATGTCAAATGAGAGATGATCCGCGTGTTCTGCTATCTTTTGGGCTTAGACTGCCATGCGGAGAATCGTTGTTCTTGCCAGCAATGCAGTGTTCTGCCGACCAGACCTTAATGCGTGAAAAATGCCTCGATGCGGTTTAGGCGATATGTGAGTTGGTCAGCACCTTGAGCTGAACAAGCCTGTTCACGTGGAAGCCTGGGGAGAATGCGGTGAAAGTTCTTTGAGCTAAACAAGCTGTCGGCATCTCAGCCTAACACGCAGCCGGCTTGCAGTTTGGGGGAAAGTTCTGACGAAAGCGCTTCCTTGGCCGTGCATCTCCGCACAAATGACAGCGGGGTGGTGCCATGTGCTATGGGCATGCATGAAGGTGGCTTGCTTGCTAGTTCTCATTGAGGGGGTGTAGTCGTGGGAAGGCATAGACTAATTGGTTGTACTGCTCAGTGGTATTCTGCCGTCTTATGTACAACTCCAAAAACGCCGCATCGCTCATTCGCTAAAATGCGTCCACACACAAACAAGCGGCCCAGCTGAGGTCGAGATACATGACATTCCAAATCTCCGTCCCCGAAGAATTGAGATCCGCTGGCCTCAATCGTGGCCGTCCATGCCACCAATCCATTAATTGCCTAATAAAGCATGTGCTCAAAATTTCCTCTTTCGTCAACAATCAAAACCCCAGCTCTCCAGAATTGTGCGCAAAGAAACCATCAGGCGCAAATGGGTCAAACATGTCCGTCTTGTGCGGATTCTCTTCTATCTTGAATTGTGGTTGCGAGTGTCTTGATGACGACGATTCACTGACGGATCCTTCGCGGCTGTTGCTGGCACTGTTCTCTCGATATCGCGCCAGCTCGTCCTTAAGTGTTTCAACCTCATCCTGTAGCTTGTTGTGGGCTCCTTCGACTTCGGTGTAGCTTTTCTCCAGATTTTGGTGTTTGGCCTCTAACTGTTCGAGCTCATGCTCGAGATGCTGGACGTGCTTCTCTTTGCGTTCCCGGAACGCGCGTTGCGAGGCTCGGTTCTGGGCTCGGCGGCGCTATACAGTGGCGCGGTTAGCATTGCGCCATACATATAGCCCGCATGCATCGAAAGGTAGGTGACTCACTATGCGCATGTTCGTGGCGGCTTCCTTGTCTTGTGCTGTGGTTGACCGACGTCTTCGGCGGCTGCTGTCGTCGTGGTTGATTTGTGTGAGATCGGTAAATTCAATTGAGTTGACGATGGAGGGTTGTGGCGTTGCATGTTGTTGTTGCGAGCGTAGGTAATCTGGGAATGCTGAGGTCGCCGTGTAGGGGTGATACTGGTTGTCGAGGGTGGAGAACATCTTTTGCTTAAGAGTCAGTGGCTTGCACCGGGGTACTTCGATGCTTAAGTTGCTTACCACCGGAGGCGATGGGCTTGGGTCTGTGGAGATGTCATCGTAAGACGAGACGAGATCTGGCACGTTGGCGAAAGACATTGGTGAGCCGCAGTAGTCTGTACTGGGTACCATATATACTTGGCTCATTGCCATGAGAGTCTTGTAAGATGAAATGCTTGGATGATTGCTTGATATGTGTCGAGGATCAAGAGCGAATGATTGGAGATTCAGCTGTGGAATGAATTGTTCACGAGCTCGAAGGATAAGCTGATGGGAGGCAAAACGTGGTATCTATATAATGATCGCTCTGACACTGTTACACCGCTTTTTACTAAGATACCTCACGACGGTAGGGCAGAAGCGACCATCCCAAGATCGCGTCGATACCGTTGGAGGATAGGCCCCCAAGATCCCGAAAATAGTCTGCTCGCCACTAACCAAACCGCCAGTGAAGGTGGTGTTCGTGCTTGAAGCAAGAGTACATGTCAGCTCATTAGAGTTTAGTATTTCAATAGCCTCAGAGCACGGTATTCCGTGCTCATCTTGCACATTTTGCAGTGAGACACGCTGTCGGGCGCGCTAGAACACTTCAAGCCCTTCCGTGGTCGACGGACAAAGTTCTATACACAAGTCCCTGCATGAGGGCTGGTCTAGCGTCGTCGTCGCTAGTGCCTTGGGTGTTTACAAAGACAATGCATACTTACAAAGTCGTGCGTCGTCGCATCCCATTACCCTTTTCGCTCTAGCGCCGGGCGTACTCCACCACGCCGCTTATCGCCGCAAACTCGATGGCGTTCGTTCCTCTCTATCTTCCCATCAAGTCCTATTTTGCTACCTCCGGCCCCCCCCCCAAGAAGATTCTACCATTTTCGTAAGGGCTGAGTGACGCAGGCATCAACATTCAGTTTTCGAAACACACCCTCCGCCGGAGTGCCAGGACCATCACCCGAGATTGCTTGTGAACTGGGTGCATGTATTTCGCGCAGAAGGCCTGATCCAATCGGCATGCTCATATTCTGTGGCGTTCACTAATCAGGAGGGAGCGAGCTTGACGAGATGCCATTTCTGGCAAATAGCCCAAAGAAACCAATCCATCTCGCCCAGCTCATGCAGCTAGCCGTGACCTAATAGATTGTCCGTCTCGTCCACGTGTGAAGCAAGGATCTGACGGTCCAGAAGTTGGGGAAGGCTCATTTGTCAATCTGTAAGGCTACTGCAAGCCTGGCGCCCTACTTTGGTGTAAGCTCCCTCGTGACTCCCCAGAAGAGGTTCTCATCTTGCGATAGCATTGACGCAAAAAGCTGGCTGCCATGATTCCCCTCATACGGCCCTTAAGCGAAGCCCGCATCGAGGACATCAAAAGCCTACTGGAACACCAACAACATCCTTGGGTTTCAGACCCTACCCTCAATCTGCGCCGATGTCGGTTCGTCAAACATTACAATTCCTTCCTTCATTCAAACTCCAATAATAGGTAGTATGAATCATAGATAATGTCGATATGCTCACAGTTTTAGCAATAGGCTATGTTCAAGTTGCGTCTCGGTCACTCAGCGACCGTGATGAAGAATCTCTCGCCGGCGCGATCTATTAGGTTGTTTCATGAAACATCGCCGGCCATCCTGCGTTGGGGGACAAAGGTTTCGAAACCCCCATAGCACTAGCCAATTTTCGTCATCGGGTTATTTTAGGTGAGGCGCAGGTAAGAGCTGGGCATCTGAAGTTGTGGGGAGGGGATCGCACCATCATTATTATTGCTATCTTTGTCCACCCGGATCTGATAATTTCGTGCAGAATCGTGTGCATGGCAGCCCCTCCCGCAACACCAATAGAGACTAAGTCAAGGCAAAAGTTTCCTTTTACTGAAGCCTGGTGTAGACTGGCGTGCTTGGGCAGTCCAAAAGGGGAAGAAATGGAGGCTGTGGTGCAGCCAAGCGCATCGTGGCTGCCGCGCTAGCGTTCAGTCCCACGTCTACAACGTGACAATAGTCTCGCCGCTGTCATAAGCTTCGATAATACTTTCCGATTGAATGTCCCATCACGGAGCATCCGGGGCCGACAGTTCGAGCTTAGTTGAAGGCTTCATTAGCGCCGAGAATACCTTCCCAGAGCACGTTTTGAGAGCTGAGACCTAAGATAGGATGGGCGGACTAATGCAAGAACATCTCGCTTGAGTGACTGGATCTTGCTCCAACACAGGCTTTGTGACCTTGATTGAGTATGCTGAACCAAGCGCCTTTGCATCATGGGAAATCCTTGAGCAGGGACCGACAATCGGTTCACGCTACCGAAGATCCTTCTGTTGAATAATCTTTGACTTTCGTCGGACAAAGAAACAGTAGGATCGTCGTGGTGGGTGCAGAGAAGGCGTTCTCCAATGATGGGCAGAGGCAATGCGCTTTGCAAGGAGATACTGCCTGAAGAACAACAGACATCAGTAAGATTGTGTCATTGAGTGCGACTGACAGAGTTTTTTCAAGATCAACGGCGCCCAGCTAACCCGCCACATGATCCGTCTAATCTCCTAGGCATGTATCTTGTGCTATCGAGACCTAGAAGAGCATGGGCGGCGCAGGCTCATGGAGCGCCGCCGCTTCGTTTGATTGTAGCCATGCAGTCGGTACAGACAAGTCTCCCCCTATCTTGCCAAAGATGCACGCGCGGAGCGGCTTGCCCAATCATGTAAGTTTGAAAATTTTCGAGAAGTGATTCGGTCCTCCTCGATGTAACAGCGATCAAGGTCAGACGCACAATAGCAGTATCCCCGTGAACTCAACCGTTGAAGGTACGCCTAAATGTGGCGGTACAACGAAGCGAGATGAGAACCTGTCTTTGAAATCACTCTCAGCTTCACCGTGCCTTGTGTTCCTCGCTCACAACGATTAGAGAGCAGCAAAAAGAACGAAAATTCTCAAGTTATCGGCTGAAGACAAGAGAGTCCCTGTACTTTCATAGTCAGCCTTCGAATGCTGATCATTCTTTAAGGGATGGCCGGTGGTTGTACTTTGATGCTACCACCAAACGGAGAACGCCGTTTGTTTCCAAAGCAAGCATTTTTTCAATCATGATTACTTTCCCCCATACCCGCGTTATGCGAATCTTTACGGAGAAAGAGATCACACGCTCTGGTAGCGTGCCTTTTTCAGAGTCGATCATAGGCAACGGAAATTTTGCGAACGTTTGCCATTACTGAAAGCTTAGATATGAAAAATTTGTCTTTGATGTCATAAGTTTTGAATACAAAGCTCCTCCCCTCGAAGAATCTCTGTCTTTTTTTCACAAAAACTTCCCAAGCAACAGCCTGCTCTATTTAGTTTTTCTGAAAACAAAAAAGGCGCTAGTATCAGAGCAACAAGTTGAGCAATTCAGCGGCACTCAATTTCAAAACTTGACGAGCATCGAAATCGACTCTTGATTGATAGGAAGGCCGTATCATTCCTGACCTTGAACCATTGTTCCTCGCGAAAAACACCATAAATATTTTTACTTCAGGCTGGTCTGATGCAATGGAACACTGTCGTTCGACGGGTGTCCTGAGACTATCGCACGAGCATATGGTTGACGTACTAGTTTGTTGGATCTAATTGCGCGCCAAAGTTTAGTTCTATTTTTATTATCCCCGAGGCTGTATGATGAGAGTTAGGGTTTGAAATCATTTTAGTAGGGAAAAAACGCTGCCTTTGAATCAAAGACTGTAGGTGATCAAAACCGTGGGCTCCGATACTTGCCACTTCTACCGAGGGCCCATATTCACAATGAACAAAGTTAATATACTCACAAGATTTTTGACTAATTGGCAGAACTTACACCCCACAGCCTCGTCCTTAGTAGTTTCCAGATATGTAGTCCAAGACTTGTGCACCTTCTACAATCCCATTGATTGAAGCAACGAAGGCCTGGTGTGCTTCGTCATGTTTGACATAGTAGTCTCGATCCTCTTCGTTCTCAAATTCGACTACGAATGCGTGCGTGAAGCCGTTCTAAATGCAGGTCAATATAGACTGATACAAGTGTATCACTCATGAAGATGAGACGACGCGGACTACCTGCAAGCCCTCCGGACTATTATCCTTGCCTCCACTGACTGATTTGAGGTACGTTTCCCTTTTGGTGGGGTCGGTGCATTGGTCTATGAGACTGAGCATGCGATCACAAACCTGCACCATTGTATTTAGACCTATTTTCGGTCAAAGAGGAGCTTTCAGCTTCTTACATTGCGAATAGCTTCGTCGTCAGCTGATGGCTTGAATTTGAACTGAACGATGTGTATCAGGGTCATCGTCGGCAGTTCTGAACGCCACCTGGTAGTATGATGGAAGAACTCTATCTCCGAAGATGCGCAGATCGCCAGCACTCGGAAGTATCGTTAGACTACTGCTTACACTTATGATGGTGTTCTGTCATTCAAGGCGAACACCGAAAGTCCCCTAAATACAGCGCAAGAATAACCCCTCAACCCCTGAGTCTTGGCAAATCCCTTCTCCCGTCTGGTAGCGATAAGAAATAGCCCCACCGAGGCAATGTTTGATAGAAGGAAGCAATCAGATTGCGGTGTTAAAGGGCAGAAAATGGCGATATGCGCAACAGGTATCAAAGTCTTTACCTTAAGGTTTAGGTGTTGCTAGGGAAGGGTCAAAGCTCGGAAGCTCCTAATCAAAGAGTGACGTACAAACAACTTTCGATATAAAGGACATGCCATGCAATGGTAAGCCACAGACAGACACCAAACTCGACAACTTGCAAGGTAGAAACGACGGGGATCACTCGTAAATTTTTGAAGTTATGTCCCACAAATCGCCAACCCATGGCTAAAAATCGATTCTGATAAATGCAAATGACAGCGGCTTCGTCTCGCCGTTGGCTTGAGAACCGGTTTCAAAATGTGCGAGTTTCGCACCGGCCTGCAGCGCAAGTTGTATATCCTGACCGAGGCAGAAAATCAGGAACAGCGTTGGCACAGACGGTTCGTACAGAGGGACCTTGTTCTTCAATGGCTCCTGGCTGGTACACTATCGCTGTCAATATTGTACCTGTAATGTGAACCGACCAAGATAGTCAGCTCAAAGATGCAGAAGAACTATTTGGGACTGGCATAGATCGAATTGAATAAGCATTTTGCCATTGCAGAAGCAGCGTCGAGCTTGAGTGAACGCAAGAGCGTAAACATTTGTACACATCGGTCTCGGTGTCACAGACGATCTGTTCGAAGGTCCCACATGCACCTAGTACTTCAAGCCGACAAAGACTCTTCAGTCCAGGCGAGCTGATAGAAGAGGCAGCTGCAAAGCCCTTACGTATCTCAATGGCCGAACAGGAGAAATCCTACAGCTCTTTCTTTGATTCCAGAACGAGGCACTTGACTCTATACTTGTGGATCGGCTCGGACATTCTTGAGGCTCATGGCCTTGCGTGTTGAGATTGTCATAGACGACCAGACCGGGTACACCAACCTGGGAGATGTAACGAGCTTCCAACATGATAAGACCATTGTTTCCACGCACAGCTCGATTGAACTATGCGCCGACTCCTTGCAATAAACGTTGAGAAATGCGCTTTGACAGGCGGCGCAAACTCGGCGACAAACATGGAGTGAAGGTAGTCAAAAAAGGGACTCAGTGAGCCAGCGGCAGGTGATGACGGGCTTTCTGGTACATTTTATCATTGGGCTGACGCTATTCTTCCCCAGTCGCAAGTGAAACAACCGCTAGCAAGGATCAAGACGATCTCTTCTTGGGGGTCAATTTGACGATAGTACGTAGTGACGGCAGGCGAAGGAAAGATCATAGCACCGATTGAGGGCAATGACAAGGTGGAGCGCCTCTTCGAGATATGACTGCTCATTGCTTATCAAGAGGCACCAATGCAGCTTGAGGTTGCCCTTTTCAACGCTGTCAATTCGTAGGTCGCTGAAGTCTCGCTGGTGGTCGAAGATCTTTTGGTAATAAGCATTTGCGATTATCCCGTTTGCTCTTAGTGCCGCTGCTTAGCTTGATATTTCAAGAATAGCCCCGCCGAATAAGTCACCTCCCACCAAAGCTGACCCAGCTCAGGATGGCATAGTAGCAGACACGGAAAGGCTTCTGCAAAACATTAATTAACCGTCTGCGCCACTCTCATCATGGGCTTCACTTTCGTCTAATGCGGACATCCGTCTAGCAGACCTAAAGTGATCCACCTTGACATCAGCCTTTCGCTTGTCTAATCCTGTCTACAAAACCATTACTTGCAAATCATCCGGTCAAGAGCTTCCTAACCCTATACATGTATCTTCCGTAGACGCGCCGTCATACTACCCACCTGCACTTGCCGCAAACTTCGGATTCGAACCTACCACCGACATCAGTGCCTCCCAGGCCATTTTCACATCTCACCTCGCAGCGAGACAGCCTTATGCTGCATTGCTTGCTTTGACCCGCCAGTATCAAGGGAAGGGCAAGCGCGTTCCCTTACGAGAACATATTCCCGTCGAGTGTCTGAGCAAGCCAACAGGATCCCAGGTATGTCGACATGACTATTTCCTCTTACACTGCCGCACTATATTCCCCAATCCTTCCCCTATGCCATAGATTGACTGATATTATCGTCATGCATAGACTTCCACGACCGCGATGGTCTTCAACATGTGTTTTCCAAAGTCAGGCGCGAGTACCCTGGCCCGCTCAAGTGGAGACGATGCTAAACGGAATATGGAGATTGAGAAAATCATACGAAAGGATAAGAAGAATCAAGCAAGGCAGGTCAAGATTCTGCTGCTGGGTGCGGGGGAGTCAGGGAAATCTACAATTTTGAAGCAGATGCGCATCATTTATTCGGAGGGATTTCGGTTGGATGAGCGTAAAGAAGTGCGCCAGGTCATCTTTTCGAACATGATAGTCGCATTCAAGATCATTGCAGAGGAAATGAGAGAGCTCGGGCTGGAATACAAAAACGCAAAATCTGACGTTTGTGCCCATATGGGACAAGGGCTATGATGTCTGTCGCTGACGACTGAAAAGGACTATGAAGCAGTTATCGGGAATGCTTCTGATATTGGGCCAGACGAACCATTTCCAACGCAATGTTTACCGGCCATGAAGGCCCTGTGGGTCGATGATGCCGTTCAGCAGTGCATCAAACGTGGTAATGAATACGCACTTCATGACAACATACAATAGTAAGCGGCCTATCTTTTGACCACGAAGCCTTTACTAAAGCTCCTCAGCTACTACTCTAATATTGACCGCCTATTCTCACGAGAATACGTTCCCAATGATCAGGACGTTCTTCGCTCTCGGCTTCGCACCACAGGAATTACAGAGACGCTTTTTGAGCTGGGCCAACTAAATTACCATATGTTTGATGTTGGTGGCCAAAGATCTGAGCGAAAGAAATGGATACATTGTTTTGAAGGCGTTCATTGTCTCATGTTCGTTGCAGCGTTGAGTGGGTATGACCAATGTCTTGTTGAAGACAAGACTGCGGTACGTTATACTTCTATGAACTTGATGTACTCACTTCTGATTATTCGTGATACAACAGAATCAAATGCAAGAAGCCTTGCTCCTATTCGAATCCATCATGAGTCTTACTTGGTTCAAGAGCTCATCCATAATCCTATTCCTGAACAAAACAGACCTTTTCAAAGAAAAAATCCCTGAAAAGCCTGTGAGAGATTATTTCCCCGACTACACTGGCGATACCAATGACTTCCAAGCCGCTGCTGGCTATTTCGCCAATAAGTTTAAGAGCTTGAACCGAACAGAGGATCGAGAGATCTACGTGCATTATACAAACGCTACGGATACCAACCTCCTCAAGCTCACAATGCAGAGCGTGCAAGACACGATCATCCAAAGCAATTTGACGACACTGATCCTGTGATTGATGAATCGATTCCTACCGTAAGTTGACGACTGATGCCCGTTAGGCTTTGACGACCTCCTTCATGATTTCTCAGAAATCAAATCCCCCCGCCCTCTGCATCTCGCCAGCGCTCATTTATTAGCGACCATATCCATCCTCAGCGCTTGGCAGCTTTGCCAAAACCAGAAGCCCAGCACCTCTTATGCCGAAGCATCTACAACTCCAATGATAGCGGGTTTTGACGCTGGAGGAAAATATCAACGTTACGTGAATCCATTGCGAGGGGTTGCAGTGCAGCAGAGGGGATATTTGTAGACGATGTAGAGATATATATCATAGCCTCAGAAAACGAAATATTGGACTTTTGAAAACTTTGCTCGACCTCGATCGCGTATGCTTATCATCTGTGTGTCGGTTGCCCTTCAAAACATATGTTGGAACAGCCTTTTACGGTAGAGTCCTCCGAATGCGAAGCATGCTCGCAATATAGCGTCCGTAAAGGGTCCTTCGCCTGAGTGCTGCCCTAATTATTCTACTTCTAGAACTAGCGCCACAATAGCCGCGCCCCGAAGGCGGCCAGCGCTTCAAAGGTTGATAACTGCTACCTGCTGCTTTGACATTATATAAATCCCTTCTTTGTACACATCAGAACGAGGCCCATGATGTTAGCTCTCTACTCGACGGAGATCGCTCGCAGAAGTACGTGGACTTGTCTCGCCTGCTCGGCGTTGGCCTTAGGACCTCAGCGTCCACCGATAGCAATATCGCAAAGGCACGGCTCCCCACCAGTACACCAGAGAAAACACTCCTCCTCAAAGGCTTCCAATCCTCCCAAACATGACCTGAGAGCACTTGCAAATGCCACAAAGGCTCCCGCGGAAGATCAAGAAAGTGCAAAACATTCGGAGCCACAACAAGCCGCCAATTCCCGTACTCGGAAACGAAGGCTCAAAGGAGATTCCATAGAGCCACTTCTGAGAAGCAGCGGAATCAAACAAGTAACCCTTCCCGCTGTCCCATCGACACAGCAGATACAGCCTCTCGGTAAGCGCTGCCGCCAAGCCAGCCTCCTGTCTGCTCTAATGCTTTACAGACATTCAGCTTGCCTCGTTCTTTTCCCAGCATCGACCACTTTCTGTCCCTCATATCATTCCACCCATTGCAACAACAGATGGCCTGTCAAATCTCTTCATTTCCGACACATCTTCCAATTCAAAGCATGGAGAAGTCATACAAACGCTCTCGTCGGCGGTCGATACTCTTGATCAAGCCGTAGCACAACAGGAAGAGTCAAGGGCACCTGAAGATCTTGATCTCGGTACCGCCATTACTCAACTTCTGTCTTCGACTACTTCGGAGAGCAATGTTGAGTCGCAGACCCAACAAATCAACATGTCAGAATTAGCGAAGAATTTCAGGCCTTTCATGCCACCTCCGCCACCTGTACCTTACGCAGCGATGCGAGAAGCAGCAAAAAAGACAGTCAAGGAGCAGAGAAGGCAGACACAGAAAACTGCATGGAGTTCACAGTTGACCGTATACGTAGATGAACACCCGAGTGGTGCGCTGACGTTCAAACCCCACTTCACCCCACTTGTTCAGATCCCAGTAACATCCAAGTCTTTATCGGCCCCAAAGTACGAGAAAGCAAAGGAATACACGTCTCAACAGTTACCCGGTTCATCATCGCTGCCTCGGGCGTTCCTTAACCGGATGCTAGACAGACAGGTTACATATGGAGACCGTGTTGAGCAAAAGTTTGGATATAGGACACCGACTTTGCAAGCGCTTAGTGTAAGAAGGCAAAGAAAGTTGAAAATGAAGAAGCATAAATACAAGAAGGTGATGAAACGGACGAGGAATGTAAGGAAAAGGATTGGCAAGGTTTGATCTCTTTCGTTGTTCGGCAAATGAGGCATCTAGATTCGACTTTGTTTGGATATTGGGAAGGTTGATGTCCAGGCTTCAATGAAAGAATTTCATATGAGAGTTGGCATCAGGGGTAGCCTTGAGGCACAAGCTTACACGCCCCGCGACATAGCGACTTCAAATTTGCAATCTCCCTGAGTTCAGCGGCTCTTCAAATGGTGAGTCTGTTACTGAGACCGATCATTCATGGGGCGTTTTTAGCGGCCTCACGATAGCTTCGTTGCGAGGTATCAATCATATTGTTAATGTTACGAATCTATCTTTTCGCTGCATTATCCTTCCTCATTACTCTACCGTGTCCAATTTTTGTACAGAACGTTGCTGTTGAGGCTTTGACCGTCTTCAAAAGGTTGCTCCTTTGTGAAAAATCGGGTACTGCGACTCGCAGCATCAAATCCAAATCATTGCATTGCCAGAGACTTGTGCCAATGGAAGACTATGAATGGATATCAAACGGCCTAATCCCTGGAAAACTTGACGTCGGGTATTCACTTGCACGGCTACCTATGTTCAATACAGACTGGAAGGGAAAAAAGCAAATTGACCTATCCGTTTTAGCCATTTGCATCCAGATGAAATGCTTCGAGAAGGACTTAGGTGTTCTTGTCACCCAGGACAAAAAAGTCTGGACAGCATAACCACATCTTTTGTGACGTCTCATTGGAGCGCTGGCCCCAGGAATTGCCCTAGCCTGCAGCAGCTCCACGCATTACTTGCCCTTTTCAACCATTTCAAACGCAAAACGTTAATATATGATCATCTTAAACAAGTGAGCAAATCGCCAGAGGACCATTGTGAGCCTATTGGGGTTTCTAAGAAAAGATGCGGTCACGCTTTCGCTACTTCAATTACTGGCCAACGCCTGTTCATTCACTTTGAGAACGATTAAAAGTGAATGAACTTTACTGCAGTACCTTCCTACCAAAATATTAATGAGGGAAGAAATTACTTTAAGAACTTAAGTAATCTTAGACTATTAAATGTAAGTATACTTTAAAGTCGGCATATTAACACTGGAGGTGTGATTCAATATTTAAGACGTTTGAGAATACAGTATTATATATTTCTAATTCTTAGAGAAAAATATACCCTCTAAAATGCCTTTTATAATCTTATGCTAAAGATTTTCGCTTTTTCAAATACCTTCAAATATAAGTCCTGCCTGCAACTACTTTTTTGTACTATAAGCAAGTCTCTCCCATTAAATAAAGATTATTATCCCAGACTATCTACATCAAAGCCTTTCTTGATACTAACTGCTCTAGCATAAAAACATCCTCTCTTGCCCCATGCTTCCTGCCTTCATTGACTTCTGGTGACTACTCATTGTCCACGGTCATCCAGCTGCCTCTAAGGTCTACAGATGATCTCCAATATGCCCTTCTTGCAGAGCTTACGATTTACAGTATGATCTTTACTTATTGTTACCTCCTCCGAGAAAGAGTATTTGTGCAATGAAGGGGACTACGCATACCATTTCTTCTTGATGACTTCTTGCATCTCATCACACTGTCGTCGGGAAGCGTTTATCGCCTTTCAATCCACCTATCACATTTAGGTCAGGGTGATGTGACCTGGGATATAATATTCACGTGGATCGACTGACATACCGTCACGCTGATGGCCAAAAAGGCTTGCGTTCTTCTATTAATCATTGCCCCTAAGCATACCACTCAAATTATCGGCCAATTTGTTCAGTCAACACTGGATAGACTTGATATTTTGAGCCGGATTGATGACTGCCTCACCTCTCAGCGGCCCACAGCACTGCCTCTCACATACTATTCATCGTAAGATGTCACTCAGAGTATAGAGGCTGTGGGCGAGATATTTAGGTTTTTCTACTCATGTTTTCCGTGTTGGATTCTCCGCCAGCTGCTTCCGAACTATCACTGCTAACTTCCAGTGCGTACAGTTGCAGTGCTGTTTCTCATTCAACTTATTGAGTGCACGTAGCAATATGCAATATCAAGTCATAACGTCAGCGTCGAGTGTCATGAACATTCGAACGAAATCAGTCGTGAAGGACGTAAAATCAAATCAACCAATTGTCGATCAGCAACTTTCATGTATTTTTTACAAAACCGTTGCTTCTTCGCCAGACTCCATATTGGCGATCTCGTTTCTCGCCTGCCTTCCAGATAGTTTTATGCACAAACTTGCCGCCCACCATTGATATATTAGACATGCTTCCAAGTCATGACTACGCCTGTCTCCCTCATTCAAATCCAGGGATGTAGCCCACCCATGATTCGTGGATATCATCCAAACGCCCAGGACTCCGTGCTTCTTGATGCAACGATAACCTACTCAGTTAATAGTCTCAAAAGGGAATATTGTGTATAATCGGTCAAGTCGCAACCGCCGTTGAAGACGCATTGCCATTTATCTTGGTATCATTCCTCCTGAACTCATCAATTTCATCAGATTGCACTCCATGAGGTTTCTCGCTTTCGTACTCTGCAAGCTTTTGCTTGCAGTCGTCGACCTCTTTCTGTAGGGTCTTGATATAGTCAATTGCAGCTTCGACAGTACTGGCTTTACTGTTACTCTGCTGCTGCGAGGATCCTGTCATCATTGCTGCCGCTCGTTCATTTTCTTCCATTGCTACCGCAACCTTACCGTTTGGCTGTGTTTGCGGTGTGGTGGGCGGTAGAAGTGACGCTATTTCCTGTAAAGCAGTGTTTATGCGATTTCTCCGGCCTTGCTCTGCAATTTTATGTGAAGTTCGTTTCGAGGTCAAATTTGTCGACAAGTTTTCCGGATACGAAACTCCAGGGAAATGGGTGCCTTCAAGAATATTCTGATAATTCGATTTAGAAGCAAGTAAGAGCGCAGACGTTTCAGCTGACACCGCAGCTAGGTCACAACCTAGTCAGCATTCGAGCCATGCAAAAGCAAGTGGGATGAAAGCTCAAGCAAGAGGTACAGCAAGGAGCGACTCACCTCCTTCGGGTAATAGTGGCTTAATACCTGGAGATATCCTAGGCCTCAGAGCAGGACTCGCCTTTTCGCTATTCAGGTTGCCACGTTTTTTCGAAGCGTTGCCTTTAGCTCGACTGTCACTCTGCTTCCCAATCCCGACAGCTCTGGGAGATGTGATAGTGCTGATTGCAGGACTCGGGAACGACGAGCCCGTCGCAGTAACAGGGGCGCTGACGGGACCACTCCGAATGTTCAGCCCCGTTGACCCATTTGGTGTGCCATGGTCTCTGTTGGCCTGGGCGGTATCTATAGATTGTAGCGCTGGCTTTTTATTCTCGTTGACTGCTGGCTCAGGAAGAATGATATCTTCGATAATTTGCTCCATGTCCGCTTCTGCGATAGAGACCTGCTTCTTCAGACGACCAGCTTCCTGTCGTTGTTTCCCAGCTTTGCCGGCTTGCTTGCGAATTCTCATCAACGAAGCTGGAGTAGCAGGCTCACCATTCTGATCAATATGCAATTGGGAATCCACTTGTACGCCGTTAAGATATGGCGATTTACTTGCAGACTTTGATCTAGGCGTAGCCGGTGGAGGCATGAGTATCTCTGACAACGATTCTGGAGACACGGAATCTGCACCGGAGCTCTCGTAATTATGGGTGAGAGAGGATTGGCCGTCAGCGACAGCAGACATGTTGCTGGCTGTCTGCTTCTTACTAGCCTGTTCAAGAACACCTGCGATTTCTTTTGCAGGAATGACTGCGCTTGTGGGTTGCTTCTTCTTGCTCTGCGGCTTCATGGCTGGAGATCGTTTAGGCGCGCGTGCGGGGACTTTGGCAGAACTTGACGAAGTCTTCCTTCTCGATCTTCGCATAGAGCCTGGTGTGGAGGTAGATGGTGGGGCAGGGTAATCCAGGTTGAGGTCTATGGGCGATGTTGTGTTTGAGGTATCGGAGCCTCGAATGCTGCTGTAGATCGAGCTGTGGGAGATTTGATTTTGGGCTTGTAGAGCCGGGGACGTCAATGGGCTGAAGGGTTCAAGCGGAGCATCCGTATAGCGATATTGCGTTTCCAGCGGCGTCACCGCAGGGGAGATCAACGGTGTGAAATTCATCTATATGACATGTGAGCTTTTGCCACTTCTCGGGATGGCATTCTAACCTGTTCCTCCTGTTGCCGTCTTAATTGTTCATACATGTGCTGTTGTTGCAGGACTTGCGGGTCCATGCTCGTGTGATAATGCTGCATCCGGCCAGCATGTAGCTCCATGCTGTCCGGAGTGGGAGGAACCATATTCTGCGGGTGCCAACGCTGTTGCTGCAATCTTGCCACATCATGTCTCTGTGTATAATAGGCGTTGGGGCCAGTTGGTATAGGCTCCTGACAAAAGTCCATCAGAGGCATTTGACTCATCGTTTGCGACATCTGGCCTTGATCTTCCACCCTTGACAATGCCGAAGACCCCTCGGAGGGGCTCCCCATCGTCGTTCCACCATTTTGAGGTATGGCGCTACTACCAGATTGAGTTGTTGGGACTGTGTCGGCGAAGGCAGAAAAGTTCAAGTCTCCAAAATCGAGAAAGCTGGCAAAATCATCTTCTGGATTGGAGACCATGGCGGACCACTGCGAGGTTGGATCTTGGTTCATTGTTGAAAGGTTCAGAAGAGAACTTCCATCGGCAAATGCCAGTCTCAATGGCGGCAATTGCCACTGCGACGACGAGGCCAGGCACAAGGGATTTTGCGAGTTCACAGACTGCTATTGCTGATGTCGCATAAAGTCTGGATCTTCATTGCGGTTGCCGATTTGTCGGTCAGAAGTGGACTGTTATGGGCCGCGGGTGGCAGACTCGCGGGGTAAAAGATTCACATGTACGGACGAAATGGAATGAAATGGATGTAGAGGCCAGTGAAGAGTTGTGTGCTCGCAGCGTAATAAGGAGGAGTGTCGACGGTCGACCTAGGCGCACACAGGAAGGTTGCAGTTGGAGGGTAGACACTCGCCAACGTTTAAAGCGTCTGAACTCTGAAGTGGAGTAAGAAGGGTAGAAGTCGGACTAGCTAGCTGTGCGGTAGGTGTCGATGTCGATGCGCCATAGCAGCGCAATAATTACACGAGTTGACCAAAGCAAGGGCCCTGGCATCAGTGGCATACCTTATGAGCCGATGACAAGATCCAAAACTAAAGCACCAATCAAAATGGCTAACGTTGGCCGTCTTTTTCAAAGGGCCTCAAAGCGTTCATGATCGGGTGGGTCTGTGTGGGGGTCAAGACGCGTTGGAGGCACTGGAGAGGCCTCCGGGGGGCTAACTAGGGGGGCCATTCGGGGGGGTGAAGGGGGTTTGTGGGCTGGTGGTCATGCTCGGGATGATCTCATGGGACTAATGGTCACGCCTCCGGGGACGATGAAAGAGATGGTGTGCATCTCCCCGCACTATCAGAACTATAAAGATCCCTTCTTGTGCTGGGCTAAGCTTACCCCATTCTTAGCCTTCTTAGGACGAATACAAGAACAATCAGGCGAAGGCCGGCTCTCCCCCATCCCCAGAGAAGCTAGACACCCTGAAGCATTCAATTGTTTGGTGCACAACTGAAAACCTAACCATACTCTCGTCCATCCGATACTGATAGAGTGATAGACTGACCTTCTATCCCCCATACGTCCCCTGTGAATACAAGTGCGATGCCTGACCAATTGCTGAAACTTTGCCCCGATGCTTACTCTAGAATGTTCAAGTGCTGTATGCCAAACAAAGGTATCCCTACCTCCCATATTTACACCCGCTCATGTGCGAAATCTACAAACTCGAGGTCGTCTTCGAAAAAATCCCCATTCTCATTCGCCGCCGCGTCTACCTTTCTCTGTCGCTTGCGCCGTGTCGTAACCAAAATCTGCTGTTCGTCCTGCACATTGCCATTGCCTTCGTCTTTGGAAATGTTGTCCATCTGACCTATTAGTCCCCCGTCAGCATTGCTTTCATCTGCCTCATTCGCGTTGCTACCAAGGCCAACTCTGGTCGCCGCAATCTCGTCGCCAAACACCCATGGTGCTCCGTCAGCCTCATAACCTCTGCTCTGTTGAATCTTCTCGCCATCATAGATGAAAAAGTTGACCCGTCCATCAGTATGAAAAGGTTGGTATGGCGCATGAGTCTCAATCTCAGCATGTGACAAGGGATGCACACTCTGCTGCGGCCCTCGAGAGTTTGGCCGATCTTCGAGTGCACGCCAGAATGAGCCAGGCGACGGCGGTCCTTGCATCGCCCCGGACTGACCTCTATGTCGCTTCGGTATGGAATATTCAGAAGGCTTGCTGCCCAGCGTGGAAGGACGGCGTTTGGTAGCCTTCGAATGATGGCTTTGACGGATCGTATAGACTCGAATGTACCCTGAGCCCGTCACAGCAAGGGACAATTCATCTCCAGCTCGTTGGCTGAACCAGCTGATGCATCCGACCCCAACAGATCTCGAGGAGCCTGGCAGACTTATTCTATTTTCACCCAAGTGTCGCAACGTATTGACAGTCCCAGTCGCTGCTGCTGTGAATGATCGATTGATACTTGCTGCCACAGTTCTGCCAGTTTGAGCGCTAGCTTGTGAGGCAAAGCCGCCAAGTGCAGCGAATGAACTGCCTGCACCTGCGTTCGTCTTGCCTGTGAGCATTTCAAAAGTGGAATTAATGGACCCGCGAGAGGACTCTGGCTGGGCTGATGCAGGTTCTTGACTGGTCGACCTGCCATCACCGCCGACATTCTTTGCGGAGGGCTGCACTTTGCGCACGGGAGGCCAGACAGCAGCGGTGGATGGTAAGCTGTATGCATGGACTGTACCGTTGTCACTAACGACAGCCAATTTCCTACCGTTGGGAGTCGTCCAAGCAATATCTACAAGCCGTGCTTCCGTCATTCGAGTGAAGCGAGCCACTTCTCGAATACTGGGACCTTTGATAATGTCTGCTAGACGGCTGATCTCTCCATGAATAACGCGCGTGAGGTCCCACACCTGCTGTATATCCGCTTTGGTACTGGCTGTAAAGAGCAAGAGGCCGGTGGGAGCAAATGACATAATGCTGCACCCACCTGGAATCGTAAAAGTTGCAATTGGCTGCAAAGCATTCGCCTCCTTCAAATGCTGACTCTGTGATAGCTTATCAAGATCAATGACGGAAACCAGCGCTGGGGAAGTTTTCGTTCGTCCGCCTGTATGCTCCTGAGCATGGGTTGGTGGGAAATGTTGAGCGGATGGATTTGTAGTGTGACTACGTGGAGGAGATAAATTTGGTAACGTAGCGCTGGGCTCAGTTGGCTTTGCCCAATACCTGCTCCACGCTTGGAGGCCCTGTTTACCAACCCACCGAGCTCCTTTCACGAACTCTTGGGTGGCATCGCGTGCCATTCGATTCAACAAGCTCTCTGCTTCCGGCATGTCCAGCTCACAAGTAATCGGAGGCTCTGCAAGTGAAGCGTGTGTTGATTCTCCAGGGAATTTCCGACCCTGCGTCATACCAACCCGGCCGTGGATTGAGGTCTGAGAAGAAGACGCAGGAGAAGAGACAGCAAGCCAGCGCGCACTGAGGGAGAGGATGGGTAGGCCTGCCGGTGTTTCACGGTCATCGTCCTCAGACACGTGTCCCGATTCACGTGAGGACACAGACATGCTCCTGATCTGCTTCGACGAGATTTTCGTCCAAGTTTTTCCGATGCATCGGAATCCAGAATTCTCAAGATCTTTGCTCGAAGAAAGCCTCTCGAAGACAAATACTTCACCGCTTACGCCTGAGCTAATAATGACGAACTTACCTTGGGCTTGAACATATAAGCCCCCAACGGGTGGTGGTGCATTGGCCTCGGCTCCATACGCTAGAGGTTGTGACACTTCAATCTTTGGGCTCGAATAGAGTGTTGTGATATACTCGCCTTTGCTGAGAGAGTATATATCTACTGTCGTCTGATAGTATTGTATATCAACATCTTCCAGAGCTTGGAGCATGGATTCTGAGGGCTCAAATTCATCATGAGTATGTTCTTGAGTGTCGTGCCCTATTTCGACGCTCGTAGGTTGGTACAGACCATGAACGACTACAGCCACCAGTGGATGCATAGAAGCTTTCATGCTTTCTGCAGGAAAGTATGGCAAGGTTGTGGCTCCAATGACTTGTCCTCGTAGGCCACTTAAGTAGCCAATGGGAACGAAGTGTGACTTGTTAACGTTGTAAATATCAAGACCACAGTCACATCCGACAAGCAAAACGTCTTGCTCTGTTGAAGGATTGTTGGGGCCTGGGGAAGATAGAGTATCGAATACATAGCACTGGCGACCTCTTGGAAGGACTTTTCCTGCATTTGCCCTGGCGATTCCAAATTCCACATCCCGGCTGGCAAAGGAGTGTGCTGGGGGCCGATTTACCAGCGTAGGGTGTTGGGTATTAGTAGAGTACATCGACGGTGGTCTAGCATTTGGTGGTGAAGCCCCCGAAAGCCCGCTAAAGGCTTGGTACTCAGGCTTCCGGTGATAAGGTTGACGATAGGCATTCCTGGGTGATGTAGGAGGGGAGGCATGGCCAAAGCCTCCCCGGCTCCCTTCATATTGAGTGGGAGATCCAGCTAAGCCAATGGCTCTGCCATGCGGCGGACTACGGCCATAAGGAACCTTTCGAGCCCAATCAGCGGTCGAGTCTTTGGGTGAGCTGGATCGTTGCTCTCGAGTAGAGTCGCTATATGCCTCTAGAGAGGGGTCAAGATTGCTAGTCAAATCCACTTGTGGAGTGTAAATGGGATTGTGCTGTTGAGAAAGCAGAGAAGGCGGCGAGTTCCTGTGTGATCTTGGTATTAGTGAATCGGACACGACGTATTCAGGGTGCTGGGATGCCTGGGCTCAACAAGGATGACCAACAATTCCTGAGTCGCTGATGTGTGTGTATTGGTTTCCTCCAGTGTCTGACCGGTCTTCTCATTTCTTCTCCTGTTCCTTCCTTGACTCCTGCGAACCGGTGATCTTTTCCTAGGTTGTTCTTCTGAACCGTCATCAAGGTTGAGGAGGTCCTGATCCAACTTTGTACGCTCTGATATTACGGGCATTCAACTAGACGACCAAATGACTGTATCTGTAGAAGAGAATATACTCGTCAGACAAAGACAGCTTCCAAAAGATGTCGGGCAGCTCGAAATGGTGATACGGCGTTGAACGAGCAGCTGACACTGGCACTAGCTGGTGTAGATGCCTAGACCTGACCTAATGGCTCCCCTAAACGTGATATGTGAGCACCTCTATCCTGATAGAGGTCAGGGTCACGAGTCAGGAGCAAGCGAGCCAGCTCTGAGTGGGAGTTGAAGCTTGATGCAGGGTGGCAGCAACAGGGCTGGTTGTTGCCAATTACCGAATCGGGCTGCCGAGACCTTGAGATGGGCTTAATGTTGGAGCTCGAGGCCTCTCTGACAGGGATTGACCGGGCAAAGATAATGGTGACAAGAAATGAGCTCAACAGCAATGATGTACGCGTTTAAAGCAAATGTGGAGGCTGAAGTCGTGAGAAGTACTTTGGAAGCTTTAAGAGCTATCGGAGCTACTGATGGTACTAGTGGGGTCAGAGGTGGGATGAGGGGCAAACGCTACTTTCGCTTTCCTACTACCCTGTTATGTCCCTGCAATTTCTGCTTTTTGACAATTCGATGGTGGAGCTTTCTCATGCGAGCCTGTCAACTGCTTGTCGGGGGTCTGACCATTATCCATTCCTATCTAAGTCACTTAGCGTCGAGGCGGGCGGTCTGACCTTGAAGCCAGAGGCGGAGGCGGAGGACTGCGTTGTCCACGAGTTGATCTTGGCGGTGGGCTTCGGCTACGAGACGAGTACGAAGCACTGCGTTGTCGCTGACGTCTTGGTGGAGATCGGGACCGAGAAGTATATCCAGACGAAGAGTACGATCGCCCTCGACCATTCGGACTTCTTGGGGTAAAGGAACGCTCCCGCCCTCTTCCACTCTTCCTGGGCGGTGTGATTGATCTGGTGTATGATCGGCGGTGTCTACCCTTGCTCGAGTCTCTTCTTGGGAGCGTGCGCAACCTGCTGGGCGAGCTCTGTCGTCTGCGTTGAGCTGGAGAAATGCTTCTGTCACGCTGACGCCGATCAAAAGAGCGGGAACGGGACCTTGAACGCGATCGTGACGAGCCACTATAAGAAGAGTATGAAGAGAAGCTGGATACTGATTCCGAATCAGAGTCTTCACGTGCGGCGGGCATGACTGCAGCGGGTGGTGGAGCACTCTTCAAATGCTCGCGCATATCCTCAGTCAACGCTCCCATGCCAATGCTGGTGAAATAATTGATTGCAAAGCGAGTATTGCGGGGGGTATCAGTTGGGAATAAGCCCTCAAAATGAGACCGCATGAGATCGTCTTTGAACCTCTTTTGAACCTCAGTCATACCAAGTTGTTCCGTCATGTCTTGAACAAGGATCTTGAGAAATATACGAGAGGAGGAGGTGGTATCATCCTCGCTCAGGGATACGACCTGAAGAATCTTCCAGGAGATGGCGTCGGTCGACAACATGTGACCCCAGAATTTGGCATTATTCCGCAATTGTGCGGTTTCCCGCCTGTGTATCGTCTCGTAATTCTCAGCAAAAGCTTGCTCGAACAATTCGGTCCATAAGCGATTGAGCTTTGCGAGACGCTCTCCAATGAGTCCGTGACTAAGCCTTGTTAGCAAGACAGACATCAGTCAAATATACAATCTCTACGTACAATTTGGAGTAAGTTTTCTCCTGGCAGCACACCTCAACTAACATCGAGACCAGCTCGCTTTCCTTCTCTGGCGGCAGGTTGATTTTCAAAAGTTTGTGTGTGGCTTCGTCAAATGTAGAGCTTGACATCTAAAAAGATTTTCGTTTTAGTCTTCCCTTCGTCATAAGAATGTTTCGAATATGCACTTACTATTGTGAGATAAATTGTCCTTCTCAGGTTGACAAGATCCTGATTAGTCTGGTCTTTGATTTCCATTTCTCGCTCCTTTACAGCCTCCTCACTGTCCTCGCTGGAACCTGACTCATACTCTGCATCATCGTCCGAAGCATCTGCCTCGCCAAGAATCTGAGCTTTTAGCTTTGCGTAAGCTTCTTCATTCAATTCATACTCTGGATCATAGCGGAAAATGTTCGCGGTATCTTGAGTGTTCAAATCATCTTCTAAGCCTACCCGGTGTTCGATCAAGTCCTCCTCTGGCAGGATGTCAAGCGATTCTGGCACAGCTGGGTTGTCTTTATATTGATCTTTGCGTATCTGGAAAAGTACCTCAATGCTGTACTGTTGCCTCTTGTCCAGGTCGGCCTCGTGGAGTAGATTTCGAAATTGGTCGTACACAGCAGTTGCTATTGGCTTGTTCGCTTCTTCTAGATGCGCCCCAACTTCTTTCATTAAGCCCACTGCGATCTCTACGCTGTCGTCCGTCGGCTTGTTGAGAAGTAAGAGTAAACATTGAGCTGGTAAGAGCTCGCTCACAACATTGAAGTTGCACAAGTGCGCAATGAATGCGGTGGACGAAAGGCACACGGCCTTGTCGTTGCGCTTGAACGCTTTCTTGAACTGTGACACAAGTCGATGAAGGAGTAGCTCACCCACTTGAGGTAATTTCGTATTCACGATAGCTACTAGACAGGCGTAGATCGGAATGAAAGGTGTACTCGCTGCTGAAGCGCGCATGACACTTCGTGCAAATAGACCTTTTCCCCGGACAAGGTTCTCAGCAAAGAGCTCCGGTACAATGTGCTTTATGTTCGACGTATTGATTTTATTCACCAAGCCGTTGACGGACTTCTTGAGTGCTTCCCAAGCCATACGCTGATACTCCTTGCTGCTCTTGTCGCTGCCGATCTCTTTTTGGAGCTCTTTAAGTCGTGCCGGGGGGACATATCTGCCACCACTTCTAGCATTTAAGAGCTCGTCGTATTCTTTCTTTGCAGCCGCTTGCTTCTCTGCTTCTGTCCTTGGGGGTTGTGCCTCCCTTCTCTTCTTGAAGCGCTCAGTGAGTTCCTTTTCACGAGCCATTGCTCGCTCGTAGTTCTGGCCATGGCCATGGCCATGGCCATTTGGTTCGGGCTGAGGAGAAGGAGGTGCTGGTCGGCGGCGATTCGGAGAGGGTGATCGAGATGGTGGTGATCTTTTGCGGGGGAGGTTGGACGAAGTGGAATATGAGTCTTGAGGAGGTGGGGTGGGAAGACGGACTGCAGACAGCATCATGATCGTTCAGATGATGATTAGACCACGCTTGACGGTGAGACTACACTTGTTTGTAGTGCTTTCATTTGAGAGACCCAATCATGCCAGCGTTCAGAACTACTGAAGTGCCATCTTCTAAGCTGGCGCATGAAAATGGGTCATGAAAAATTGCGGGATGTCACGTGCGCAAGTCACGTGCAAGGAGCTCCCCTGTCCAAAGCCTGAATTTCGTTGCTCAACTGGCAGTTATTCTTTTTCAGGATTCATTGTGAGCGAATTGCTGTCATTCACCATGGTAGGCAGGATTGTTTCCCAATCCGCTTGACGACCCAAACTGATATTACGCAGCTCGACAAAGTCATTGGTCTAGCAATGCTAATTGTTGCAACAATCGTTTTTCTGTACTATACAACATGGACTCTGCTAATGGTACTACGGCTGCCCAACTGTGCCAACCTACTGCTAATGTTCTTTAGCCCTTCGTCGACTCAGATCACCCTTTACATGCATACTTTCCTCCCAGAGTTTGGGCAATCCGTGTTCCTGTAATTCTCATGCTGGTTGGCATAGCAATCGTTGGAAGCCTGTTGAGCGTTGTAATGATACAAAGCAATCGCAAAAAAGCAGCAAAGGCAGCGGCAGTTGAGAAGGGAAAGAAGAAGGCTTAAAGGCCAATACGAGGATTTTGGTGCCACGGATATCATACACTGCGTCTGAATTAATTGTGAAGTGACTCGTCCACTTGTTGCCAATGTCGTAAGGCATGGACCGTCTTGCACAGCGGTGAGACTTGTGTACGAATACTAGATGACACGAAAGCATAACTCAATCCGTCTGACTGGTGATAGGGACGAGACTCTTGCGGCATACTGTCTGCGACTGAAGAGATTCAAAATCATTGATTCTATGGCTCTCTATGGAGCGGTCCATAAGGAGGTAGAGCGATCTGCATCTGAAATCAACATGTAATGACTGTGTTCCAAGGCTTAGAAGGATTTGCTTTGTTGTTTCAGCCTTTCAGTAATTCCCATGTATCCATTTTCGTTCGTTTCCAAAATTCATCATCCATCATCATCCCAAAACAAGAAGATTTATACCGAAAGAGATTAAAATCCAGAGAGTCTTATCATTGCTACCTCAAGCAAAGGGCCAGCGGTGGGGATACTGATGCTGAGTCGAACGATGTGAGCTGGGTGACGAGCTGACTAGCGCACTAAGATCCGTTGCATATCGTTGGCTCTATCCTTGTCTTCTTATCTGTCCTAGTCGGTGACGAAGCCTGAGCTGCACTGTCGAAGCTGCTATTATTAGTCAAGTTACTTACCACCTTGATCTTACCTCCGCCAATAAAACTATTGTGGAGTTCCTGAAGTACTTCCTTAGCAAGTGAGCGGCTTGCTATCTCGACAATAACCTTCGTCCTGCCTCGCTCAGCCCTCTGTTGAACGAAATTGAAATCGTTCTTCCCGAGGTGTACGCGGCCTTCTAGGTAGTCAACCAGCTCCTTTGCTCCATTTTTGCTAAAAAGAGACCGGAACTTGATGCAGCTCTTGTCCTGGACGTTCTCAAGGGCAGCTTCTATGACTTTTGCAGACGTAAAACTATTGGTTACCACATCACTTGCTTGAGGATTTATAGCACGGGTCGACGATCCAGACATTCCACGTGGCTGAGACCTACGCAACGGCCTTGGCTGATTAACGGAGCTACTACGTAACTGCCTTGAGCTGGCAGCCGCAGACGAGGGTCGTGAACCTGAAGGCCTCGCTGATGTATTCGGCCTCTGTCGATGCTTCACCAAACTTTGATCAAAGTGAGCGACGGTTGTAGGAGACTCATACTGCGAATGTGGTGCATATTTATATGACTGGACCACGGATTTAGATGGAGAATGATGCTGTTGTCTTGCCTGCCAATTTGACCTTTCACCTTGAAGAGAATATATCTCACGGACTCGATTCGGCGTACCCTGCGGCGGACTTCTTGCGGCTGGTATTCTCCGCTTAAGCGGCGGAGCATGAGAGGCATCTCCATGGTCTTGAGGGATCACCATCTCAGCGTATGTACCATTTGGAGAGTGTGTCATCCGGAAATTACCCTCAACAAAGTCTCTCGACGGCACTATCAATTTGTTTGTCGCCGGATCCCGGGGTCCATCAATAGTTTTTAAGGGTCCATCGCCATACTTGTCACAGAGCCACGCGACCAACGGTTCTTCTCCTTCTCTATCAGGCTTGCCCTGCAAATATGCCATGGTCTTGCCTTGAAGATTCTCTGTGGAAGTTTCAGCGGGATCTTCATGATACTATAGGGATTTTCGTACCATAAACTTCTCTTGCACGCCTTGACTGCTTTATTCTGCAAAAGGCAATCTTGCTATCCGTTGGTACTCGGACCTCAGCCGGATCAGCAGGTTGATCAGGTTCCAGGCTGCATCGAACGACATCTTTCACTTCTCTCCATGAATGGTTAGGGCCGGTGTTCAAAACACGCTCTGGTATCTAATACAAGTCATCTAGTGAGTGGAACAGTCATTTGTTGCAGGAAACAAACGTTGCTGAGACAAACGTATTTCTCGGCTTGTGGGGGCATTATATATCATGCGTAGCCTTGGAACCCGCCTCAACATATGCAGATGTCCCAGGTCCAACACCGGCGTTGGAAGCGAATGAAATGGCGCGATGTATCTGACATTCGGCAAATGTCTTTGAGCATTGAGCTCTGAAGCCTCGATGTTCTGGTGGTGGCTAAGCAGATATTGATATGAGTCAAGAAAGGCACTCAGATGTCGCGCATTTCAGGTAAGACAATGAGCGGTGCGTCTCTAATACAGGAATCCTGGTTATGTCTTTGAAGATCGATTGAATTAGTCAAACGCCGTTTCCAGACCACGAACGGAACCATGACTATAGGGTCAGCAACTTACCTTGATAGGTGTTCGCGGTTTCTCTGCTCGTTCGTATAAATTAGCATGTGCAAATCGTCAAAGGTCAGGTCTTGATTGAACGCTACTACATCTCATTCACTCTCGCCTAACAAAATGGAGCATGGCGGGGGTAGGCTAGCAGTGGAAGCAAACAATCGACGCCTTGTTCGTGAGCAGACCGCGGAAAATAAAGATGAATCAAATACACGTCAACGGAAGCTATATCGCCCTGATCGGCTGCTTACCTGACGGCAAAACTCAGCAGCAATGTTAGATAGGACGTTCTCAAAGCAGTGTCTTGCAAATCTAACAGGCAAGCTGTGGGGGAGAACAGACAGGAGGAGAAGTGGGAACACAATCCTTAAGCAATTTCAAAGATCATAGCCCACTGTAGTGGAGTCAGGCTCGAGAATGTTTGATCAAGAGGAAGAACCAGGCCGAACTTCCGATCGCATGTGAAGAGGATAATACATATATCACCCTATTGGTCTCTCCTAGCTTCGTTCATGAGTGGGCAGCAATAGCGATGCTGATCCGGCTTGCACTGCTGTGTGAACAGCATGAACGGTGTTTGCTGGCCTAGTGGGTCGACGCCGGTTGGAGAACATGCCATTTTGACGTCTGCAACAAATCGGCAAACAAGCCGCAAAAGCCCAACGACCCTTTGAAAGGCTGTGGAGCCTCTGTTGAAGGGTAGAATGTCACATTGTTGCGTTGCCGGATTGTGACAGCTCGAAGAACGGAAGATTTTCCCTCATGCTGCAGACCAGTGTGGCCTCTGCAACATGCAGAAAAATCGACTGTTGAGTGCTCATCAACAATAGAAGTGGCGGTGAACACGTCCTGTCGCACCGCTCGATATTTGAAGTAAAGAGTACTTTAACGCTGAGCTATCGACTTTTGTGGAAGCTTACATGCGCAGATCACAATTCGCTAATCACAAGCCCTTGCATTCCCTCAACCTTGCGAAATGATCCGAAAATGGCAGGACTAAGCAGTAGCTTATAAGAAGCGCTTCAGGCACGCACTTCAGCTTCTGCTCGATGTTGAATCTGGCAATTAGACGGCCTCCCATCACCCGCCTGACAATCGCGAGGAGCCTGCATACATACTACCGGGTGGCGACTCGTGGCTGCCGCGCAGCACAGTAAACATCAATGCTCAAACCCTGTGCAAACTGTCAAATGCCTATCAGTCTCCGAGCCATTCTGCCTCATGCAGAAGCAAATATCGTTCACGCTCGACCACTGAAAATACAGGGCATATATGCTCGCACGGAAGAGTGCATCCTGTCATTGCATCCTATCTTTGCCACCTCAAAGGCTGCCGCGACGTGGGAAGCCAACACCCTCCACAGCACCATTGTCAGTGAACCAGCTCACCCGTTCAGCCCCACCCTCATTCACGAGACCGCAGGGTAAGCTGCGTCCTTCGTCCGTGTCAAGAATCTGCCGGATTATCGCCTTCTTGCTTTCGCCCGTCGTTACGAACGCGATCTTAACCCCATGGGTCACGACTGGTAGGGTCAAGGTGATTCGCTTGGGTGGGGGTTTCGGGCTGTCCTCTATGGCAGCAACCCAAGCATCTGATTCGCGCAGTAACTCATGATTTGGAAACAATGAGCAGGTATGCCCATCCGGTCCGCATCCCAACAGCAGCAGATCAAAGATGGGAAGCTTTACGCTGTCTTTCGCTGCGAACGACCTCATGAGCGTCTCTTGGTACTGATCCGCCATCTCTTGCGTGTCATTCAGGTATTGGGTGTCGATTGTGCGAACGGCCGGCTTTCCCAAATCAGAGGGGATCTTGTCGAGCAAGTCATCCTTCAGTAGTCTGTAGTTGCTGTCTGCATGATCAAGTGGCACTGCCCGTTCGTCCGCAAAGAATACCTCCCATTTGGAGAAGTTGACAGTGTCTCCCGGGCTGCCGTCGCCCTGAGGTAGCAATGCTTTCGCGAGAGTTGCGGGGAGAGATCCACCCGAGACAGCGACCTTTGTGGTGTTATCATCAAGTTGGAACCTTACGGATTTGGCTCACCTTGAAAATATGGTGTCTTTCAATCCCGGCATTCTGACACCTTATTACATACGTTCTTAGAGTCTTTGCAAGATTTTCGACGTCGCTGAAAGCATAGAGATTGGGTTGCGCCATGATAGCAGATGAAAGTGGGGCTAATATTCGGCGAAAGGAGAATTCTGCATGGGTTGTAGACTGATTTCTATGCTGTCAGAAGTAGAAAACAACGCCTTCGCGAGACTGTTGTAAATCTGTCTTGATGCCGTGCGTTTGGCATGTGTGATGCGCCCATCAAGCAGTCCGCTGTGATGTCATCCAGGGCTTTGGCGGCCCGAAATTGATCCATGCAATGTTCCAACACACTGACGAACTGCAAAGGGACACACACCCACAGGCTTTAGCCATTCGACTCAATCCATCTCACTCAATGGCTCCCACAAAAAGAAGACGGCTGGCAAGCTGAAGTCCGATGCAGCGAGAACGCCAGATAACTTTCTTGAAGGTAGTGAATCCATCACATGGCAGTGATTGGTTGATTACGATGGGTAATTGTGAGTAGAGGGCGTCGATCTAGAGGAGAGAGGCGAGAAATGGCGTGCCGGAGACGCGGCCAAAGCTCTGAGATTCTTCAGTAAAGCAATTGATATGTATGACGAGGGTTTCCAGAAATTCCCGCACTCATTTGATCTTGCCTTCAATAAGTGAGACGAGGTGCAACCGTGGTGAGAAGCTTCGCTGAGCATGGTAGAGCCCATCTTCAGTATGAGATCACGCAACAGCCTCGCCTTCTTGCGCAGTTGCCCGATCCCTTGCTGCAGCTCTTGAAAGTAGCCGCAGAATCCCATATTGTCGCGCTAAGGCTCAACGAGGGAAATCCAGACGCCTTGTTGTGTGTTCATCATACCTCGTTCATGCCATTTGCACATACTAAAACTCTGGCGGCAGTAATCTTGCTCAGGTGTATTCTAGTCTAGCAGAGACAATCATTGATGAGCAGGAAGGTGAGGTAACAGAGAGAAGAGAAGAAGCCTCAAAATTCTTCCACGAGTCGCTGAGTTGCTTCCAAATATGTCTGACAAAGCAGGAAGAACAATACACGCTCACGCAGCAGGCTTTTTCATCCCCAGTGACATCTGCGGCCAGTGATGAGAATCATGAAGAGCAGCATCTAGATGAGGATACCGACGCCCAGGATGCACAACCAGATAGCTGGTATTCTGTCGAGGAGCCGGTGACCATAGAGACTCTCCTGGACACCTGCAAGGCGCAGCTTGAAACCTTGAAGGCTCTCTGCAGCGTCCAGTCAGGCAGTAGTAGGAAGGAGGTACGCCTTATAGAGTCGAGCTATCTGGATTACCTCGAACCGAAGATTCTGAAGTATTCGTCAAATTCCGAGAAGGAAGCGGAGATTTCAGTGATACGAACAGCATTTGTTGCCGCCCTTGCATGTGCACGATTCCGGACCTCAACCACCAATCTTGAAGTTTTTGAGCACGAATTCAATCAGGCCATCGGAGAGGTAGAACACTCGCCAGGGTTGAACGCTGATGTCCAGTATCTCTCGATAGTAGCCGACGCAAACATTGATTTTGACGCTGCTGTTGAGGAGCGGTTGCTGCATTCGGCAATCCCCAGTGAGGGGCTGGAAACGGTGAATCGCTTGCGGTGGAAGCATATCACTAAAAGCTTAGATGAGTACACGAATGCATCGAGGCTCCACCGATTACCAAATCTTGCTCGCATTCACCTTTCTCGAGGCGACTGTGAGCTCCTCAGAGCCCGTTTAGCCGATGAGCCGTTCAATTACGCCCTGGCCAGCCAGAGCCGGACGACACTGATCCAAAACGCTGCTGTCTTTTATGGAGCCGCTGACAAGGTTATGTCGAACGATCTTTCTGATCCAGAAGATATGGACGACAAAATAGAAGTAGGGGTAAAGTTGGCTCTGGTTGCGGGCTTACAAGGCCGACCTGAAGATTTGCTTGCCCTTCTGCAGGGCAAGCCGCTTGATACAAGACAAAAGTTGCAGAGCATGAAAGAACAACGACTTTTAAGTCAAAAGACCTGGTCTAGCATCGAAGAGATTCTCAATCCAGCCGTTGGTTTTTAGGACGAGCGCGCAACAGCAGAGCGTATCTTGCCGCGCACTTCACTCACCCTACATGACACGTGAATATCAGAGGCTGATCTGGAATATGCCGTCATGAAGAACACTGCAAGCATTCATAGCCTACTTTTGGTTTCCCCTCTCCGTCGTGCAACTTCCGAGTGGATCTCCCGAGCCTCCTGTCTTATCGTACCGTCTTCGACAGCTTCGTCCATTATCTCATTAGTGTTTCCGAGATCTTTTATCCCAGCCTCCAGTCCTTGTACCAAGGCCTCGACCTCCTCCTCCTGTCCCTTCATCTTCTCTATTAGTGCATCATTTTCTCGCTGCAGCCCTTCCAGCTCAGCTTCCAGTTGGGTCGTAGCTCCTTGTAAAGATGGGGCAAGGTGCGCTAGAAAAAGCTGTGTGGGAGGAACTTCATGTAGCCTGCTTGTCTCCATTAGCATGATATTGAACGTATCAGAACTTCATCTTGGATTCAATTAAGCACATACGGCTGCTCTAGGGCTGGTTCTGCCCTCTCCTTTCTGACTTTCGCCTCGCCAATCAACTTATCCAGGTCATTCAAGTCCTTTACAACATCTTTCTCCAAGAGTATTTGCTCGAACTCCCGTCGGGATCGGCTTTCGACCATATTCTGCACTTGCCGCCATACACTCTCTAGCAAGGGCTTATTATACCGCGCAGCAGTTGGGAAGCAAGAGGAAAAATGCGCGTAGGAGCACGTGGAAGTGGTATGACTGAGCGCGGTCGTGAATATATTGTTCAAGGCTTGCGCGCGTGGGCCTGGTTCTTGAGATATAGGTGCCTTCTGTTCCGGAGAAGGTGAGCGCGGCGGCTGCTGCTCAGAAGTGCCAACGGAAGGGGCGACGGCTTCCATTGCATGTATCTACTAGTGTATAGAGCCTTTGAAGATGGTCGCGCAGGTGAAAGCTATTAAGGCGTGGTGTGTGGGCAAGGAGCTGCACTCCATTCCTTGTTTACGCCTGAAATGCGGCGAAATGGTAAGCCAATAAGAGGTGTCTCGGCAGAAGCTGCCAATTCATTGCCGCTGTTTGCCTACGTCCGAGGGTTGGTGTGGTTGAAGGTTGCCGCGCCAAGTCCAATTCCAAGGGGCGTTTTAAGGAGGGGTGCCTGGGAGAGCAGCCCGCGGGCTGGCTCTATAAAGCTGCCGTGCCCTCTAATTCGCGCCTATAATTTGGCGCGGCAACCTTCAAACACACCAACCCTCAGGTCACACAAAATAAATTCGAAAGCTGAACTCATCATTTCGCAGAACAAGACATAAGACTTTGCGGACAAAACTCATATATCACTATCATCATGTCTGAAAACACCTTTCACACTACCAAGGAAGACATTCGAAAGGCAGAGTCCGAGGTATCCCAAAAGAACGATGGAAATGTGCCCTCTGAATCCGAGCCGTCACAATTGAAGGCATGCACGTCTCCTCAACTTGATCATTAAAGTTGCTGACATTGAGACACAGTCTGTCGTTGATCAAAATCAGAAAAGTAAAGCCGATATCATTGAAGAGCGCCGGTCCAATCTTCCGCTACCTGACGATCCACCCGTAGCTTCGGACTGGAACAGCAATGACCCATCTACGGTCAATGTTGGCTCTGGTGGTATACAAAGTGACGTATCATATGGCGGTGGGAGCAGTGCAGGGCTTCGAGGGCCCGCTACAAGTGACAGCGGAGCACGTACTGATGGGGAGACATTCAACAAAGAGACCGGAGCACCAGGTAGCGTTGGGAGGCAAGGACACGACAATCTAGATGGTTTGCCAAAAGATGCTCTCAAAAGATGATTCCCTTGTATGACTTTGATAATTAGCAATTTGCAACATAGAAATTGAGTGCAGAACGCTCTAAGGCAGAAAGCCTTGCTCACGAAAAATGATAACCCTCATTCATAGAAAAGGGGTTCACATGATGGACCGCACCTTCCAAGTCATGCCATAGATTGGTACTTGATCTATGCAGGGACCCCAGGTCTACCCCACCTCTGCCTCGTACACGACCCTCTCCAAATGGTTGACAGCTCATGTGGCAAATGACATCACTGTTTCGATGAATCGAACGTCTCCCAAGTTACATAGCTGACTTTGTAGAATCTGGTGCAAATTATAGACCAACAATCTTCATACTATCGAACCTCATAGCCAAGATCAGAGAATATTTCGGATTTCCCTTGCTCAACGTCCACGCCATCATGGATATGCAAGGTACCCCCGTGGGAGGCCTCAGTGCTTCTAAGAAGGTTTGTAACATTCTGCCTATATTGCCCGTGACGTTCACAAATCATCCTGCTCAACTTTCAATCGACGGATTTGACAGCGTGATAGGTCACATCCGATCCCGAGAGCAAACAGTACTCAAAGCAAGAAGGTGCAGGAGCAGTAACATCAGACTCACTCGCCGTCTCACTCGCCGCAGAGTCTGCAGGTTCAGGTGGAGCTTTTGAAGAGAACCGAGATTCAAATCCTTCGGGGACCGGTGCAGGACTCTCTGGCTCAGAAGACCCAAGCAGCAATTATGTTGGTGAAGGTAACAACAGCAACGAGCGATCCACTTCCGGTCAAAATTACTCTTCGTCAACCACCGGCTCTGGAGGCAGTGCGAGCGGGCGTGAGGACACAGCGCCCGGTTACGTGTCAAGTGTAACGCAGCCGTTTAATTCCAACAAAGTCAAGGGTTCGAACATCTCTGAGGGCTCCGAGGAAGATTTCAAAGGACCAAGTACTCAGGATGCTGAGATTGGGTCGGAAAATGACCCCGGTAGGAGAGCTGAGAATGATTTCCAGAGGATGACGCAGCAGAGTTCTGGGTCGACGGCCCCGAGACAAGGTGGAAAGAGCGACGAGGGACAGTATGGCGCCTTGTCAGATGATCAAAATTTGTAGATAACTGAGCTGCAACGAGTCAGAGTGCCGTCTAAAGCACATGCGGAAATACCAGAGGAATGCAAATGGTACATGATCTGCTTGATATGATAACTTCAAATGATGATAACCTTTCTCGAGTTCGAGTTTGAGTTTGCAATTTTGTATATCGCAAGGGGTATCTAATTGTCTTCCACCAATTTGAGAGCCTTGGAGATGGATCTTCGGCCATCATCTCCGTGGCAATATCGTCACATATTCGGACCGTCCAAAGCAAGATTTCTCCGATACCTTCCGGACATAGTAGCAATCCTCAACTGCCAAAGAGCTTTCATATCTTGACTCCTCTCCCAGCTTTGACAACCACCTTCAAGAAGTCGTCATATACATCTGCCCAATTCTCTTGATTCTCCTTTCCTTCTTTCCCTTCTTTGCCATTCTTCCCCTCCTTCCCCTCCTTCCCCTCCTTTCCCTCTTCAGCTTCCTTCTTCTTCTTCGACTTAGTCTTCTCCTGCATTATCAACACCACACTCGTTGGCCTCTTTGTCTGCCCCGCTGCCCCTAGCTCCAGCCTCGACGTCACAAAGATATAAGGGATGCCGTGATCCTCACAGAGCACAGGAATATGGCTTATAACGTCCATGGGTGATATATCAGCTGCGAGTATACAGACATAAGGAGAGGGCGTGGTCGACGAGGGAGCAGGAACGGCAGATAGGCGCAAAGCTTTGACGACTTCTTTTACGCCGCGTTTGAGGCAGGAGGCTTTGATCGCTAGATCGCACACAACAGTCAATCTTTGCGCGGTGGTGAAGAGAAAGGACACAGGCAAACCCTTCTTCACAGTCTTAAACACCTTCTTCCCCGTCTTCTCGTCCGCCAGTGGTTGCGCGAACGGCACTAAAGCTCCCAAGAGAGGCTGCGTTTTCACTGTAACTTCCATGTTCATGTCGTCGTCTTCCTTGACCACTACACTGCCCGAATTTTGCGCTTCCAGCACAACCAATGCATTGGTTGTGCTCCGTATGTTATCGGCGTCGACTTCAATCGCATCACTTCTTACTTTCTTCTCTTTCTTGACTTTTGTAACACCGTTTGTTTCTGAGCTTTTGCCTTCTTTGCGGGCCTTCTTTTCGGCTTTTCGCGCGGCGCGCTCTGGATCTATCGGTTTCTCTTTCGCCATTAGGAGAATGTGGTGGTAAGCATAGATTTAAGAAGATAAACGGCACGAACAATGCTTGTGCGACGAAAAATATCGGAGCTTGTGTAGCGGCGTTCGAGCATTTAAATCTTAGGCCAGGCCTTAGCGTTTGAAGTGCACTAGTTTTAGGGTTGCGCCAAGGTATTGCTTTAGGGGTACTTTCTAAGGAGGATGCTGCCCTTGACATTGAATATACATCACCTCATTTGCACTCATTCACATTCATAATCTTGGCCTAGTTCTATGTACACCCTTCAGCCCCTATCGACTCCATTTGTTCATGACTTACGCCAGTAAATATTTAGCTGCATGCAGAACATGGTCGTCTGCAAAGCTTGCCATGGTGAAGTAGCTATGATCATAACCATCCTGCCATCTCACGTTGACATCTCCTTTCCCCTCTGCGGCTTTGATGAAGTTTTCCGGTAACAACTGGCCCTGCTTGTAAAAATTGTCGGCAGTTCCCTAGAGCAAATGGATCAGTCTGGATCAATCACAGAGGACTGCTATAATACTGACTACGTCGACGAGGATGTCCAGTGGGGCTCCAGACCACTTCTTGACAAGCTCTGTCGCATCATGCTCTGCCCACTTCGCCATCTCGTCGTCTCCAAAGTATCCTTTGAAGGCCTTCTCACCCCAAGGACACTTTGTTGGATTCGCGATAGGTGCGAATGCAGACACGCTCTTATACTTTCCGGGATTTTTCAAATACTACCATCGATCAGCCACTCATACTAGAGGTAAGCACCTGTATCAAGGTCACTCACCAGCGTCAAAGCTCCATGACCACCCATGCTGTGTCCAAGTAATGAGACTCGATTCCCATCTATTTGCTTGAACGCTTCAAAGACTGTCTTTGGCAGCTCTTCCGTGATGTAGCTGTACATCTTGTACCCCTTACTCCAAGGCTCCTTCGTAGCATCCACATAAAAGCCCGCTCCGCTGCCAAAGTCATATGCATCATCCTCTCCCTGGATCTTGAGTCCTCGAGGACTCGTATCAGGATAGAGAACGGCTATGCCTTTCTGGCTGGCTGCATGTTGGAAGAAGCCCTTCTCCGCGCCATTATCACCAGTGCAAGTTAGACCGGCTAGGTAGATGAGTAATGGGGCATGGTAGAGAGAATTCTTGGTCACCTGTGGAGGAAGGTAGAGATTGAAATTCATTTCGCAGGAGGTAGTAGAGGCATTGTGGGAGAGCTTTAGAAGCTTGCCCCCAAAGGAGGCAATCGTCGCTTTGGTAGTGACCGCCATTGCTATGTCGATTGAAGTGTGATGTAGAATACATGCAATGGTGTAGAGCCCAGCGCTTGAAAAGTGTTTTGTTTATGCATGACGTCCACAGGCGGCATCCCGGAACGCTTACCTTGAAAGGGAAGGCATTTGCAGGCCGCTGGTCATTACGACTCAAAAGACAGCTAGTCACACCTTCTTCAAAATTGGCAAAGGGCTAATTCATGTGAATGCGTCGAATGTAGTGGCTCGTACAAAGAGAAATCGTAATCCTAACGATTTGAAGGTCTAGACGTCGCCTCCGCCGCAGGATCTCAGATAGACAATCCGCAAGCTATCACAAAACATTTTGACGATTCGTGATGTATACTAAACTTCCAAGTTCTTTGTCCGCGAAGATTTATCCATTCGAGCATTATTTGACAACCCTTTTGCTTCTGGCCTCTGGCTTTCTGAAAGCTCCACTCATAACTCGCTTGGAGATAAATTATGTTTGTTCCGATCGCCGGGTAGGTACTGAGCTGCTGGAGCCTGGCCCCACCTAGAGGGTATATATTTCAAAGGTCCCGCGATTTGATCTTCTTTTCTTTTTTCCTTAGCTCTCTTTGCCTTTTGGCTTAGATCAAGTGTAGTATCTGTTCTTTTCAGTTTAATCTCTGAAATGATCCTACGGGATCAATCGAAGATTATACTTATTTTTGTAACTAGCTCTTGATCCTCTGTGCTTGCACATGTTCTCGAGCACAGTGTCATCGGTCTTACACTGCCACCGATTGACGCGAACTTCCTTTTCATCATGGGCTTCAGCTTGTCTGAGTTCCTGGAGAAAAGCACCTCGTGAAATTTGTAATTTCGTACAGTTGATCTGTGCAATGAAAATCTGTAGTGTATAATGGTGCTGTTAGTGTTGTAGACGGCTATTCACCTCACTATCTTGAGCAGTCTGACGATTCGTGACGGAGATGTTTCAAATATTGCCAGACGTCTAATCTGAAGTCACACAGACTCTAAGCGATCGCGACAACGTTGCCCATGCATAACAGCTTCATCCCACTCTTACTCTCAAAATCGCCCGACCCAGAGCCTTTGCACACCTCCCATTTAGCCTTCAGCCGACCCTTTTCCCTTCTGCACACAGCCCAACGTCCATCTTCACAATGCCGGTAGAGCATCCTCTCCTCCAGAAGGTAGATACCGCTTCTGGGTATGTCTACTGGTTTAGAGAGGAGAATGAGCAATGGCCGGGAATGGCGACAAGCATTCGCATAAAACCGGAGACGGTTGGCAAAAAGCAGTCTAAGTTCCAAGAAATTATATGGGGTGAATCTACGGAGCATGGGAGAGTCTTGATCTTGGACGGCTGTATACAGTGCGTTGAGAATGATGAACACGCGTATGCACGCAAATCGTCCGACTGAAGAGCTGTGGGCTAAGCTACGTGCGCAGCTATCAAGAGATGATTACAAACCTGGCCATGATGTCTCATCCAAATCCACGGAAAGTCCTCGTCGTCGGTGGCGGAGACGGTGGAGTGCTTCGAGAGATTTTCAAGCACCCCAGCGTTGAGCAGGCAGACCTTTGCGAGATAGACGAGGACGTCATCAAAATATCGCGAGAATGTCTACCAGGCATGGCTGCAGGTCTTGACAATCCGAAAGCGAATGTGTTCATTGACAATGGCATGGAGTTTGTGAAGAGAAAGAAGAACGAGTATGATGTAATCATAACAGACAGTAGCGATCCAGTGGGCCCTGCCAAAGCATTGTTCGAAGCGCCGTACTTTCAGGATCTGTACAATGCCCTCACAGAAGGCGGGGTTATTTCTAGTCAAGGTTGTTCGTCCTATCCATCTTATTTTGCAACTCCCTCCAGACCCAAGCTTAACTAAATTTGCTATAGCTGAGAGCTTTTGGAACAACCTTGAATTCGTGGAGGACTTGAAGAAGACCTGCAAGCAGATTTTTCCGGTTGTCGAATGGGGATGGGCTAACACGCCGACCTATCCCTCAGGCTCGATTGGCTTCCTCATCGCCACCAAAGACCCTTCGAGGGACGTGAAGCATCCAGTACGAAGTTGGACCGCGCAAGAGGAAGAGAAGTATCTCAAATACTACAACAAAGATATCCATTCAGCCTCGTTTGTACTTCCCACAAATGCGCGGAAAGCCATTGGCAAAAGCTGAGTTAGCAATGCTGGTAGTCTAACTCGGAAGGCCTTGTGGGTTCTCAATATGGAAAGGTGGGCATGCAACGAAGCAACAAGCAGACATCATTATCACGGCCGTGTACATAAAAATCCACAGGATTATGCAAGTTGCGACTACATAGAGATTCTAGAGAATGCAAGTGGTTACGCTAAAGGCACGATGTGACCCTAATGGTCTGTCGAATCGAGATTCAAAGTCTTGCCTGAACACAGCAGAGATTTTCAGCCAACCTGTCTGCGAGGCATGCAATATCCGGCCAGAAGGAGGTCAAGGCAGCTGAGCTGTCGTACGTACGGCAGTAGTTTGTGGCGCGTTCAGGAAATAAGCATACTGGCGCGCTGATGCTTATATACCGGAAGTTTGTTTATTCTATCAGCACAACTTGTTGGGACTCAAATTCGCGCAATTCAGTCTGGCAGTCGGAATGGCAGATTACGACGGGACCAATCGTGAATACAGCTATTCTAAGAAAGAGATCAGGGTGCAGAGGGCATCAAGCCGCCAACGTGGCGTGCAGGGTTGCAACCTCCACCAAGTCTTAGCACCCTCGTCTTTGCTGTGTTCTAGGCTCGCAAGAAATACTGGATTGCTGACAGCCGGGAGCCTCTAGGACGCCACAAACGTCGTGGAGGGTCTTCAGCCTTGCGTTACCAACCGCAGACCACACTTGGCTTCTTGCGATGGTTGTGTGCGAGTCTCACGTACCATAAGCCCGCCCCAGATGCGTGATCCTGGAGCGTTCTGGACAGGCTTCTAGAAGCTCTGGCAAAAGCTGCTATTCCTCAGCTGGCATGGTCAGAACACAGGGGAAACTTTTCCGCAGTTCCCTTGCCTCTTGAGGTTTCTTCTCCGGCTCTTCCCTTGGTCTATTTCCAGACCATTGGCCATTTCCCCTGCGTGGCACGCGAAAACTTGCTTGATCCATCATTATTGGGGACTCTTGCAGAGCCGTTCCAGCGCGAGATGGCTCATTGTTGCGTCAGAGAGCAGCGGGAACGCATGTCTAGCACCCCCATGGGCCCCGTGAAGTCACGGATCGTGATTCTTGGCGCCTCGTAGCGATTCCCGCCAATGCCTTCGTGTAGTGGATGGGTGGAAGGCACCGCTACCACCAAACGCCGGTGCCGTGTCCTGCGAGGTACCAGAGAAATCTTCCTCATGGCGTTAGCTAGGCTGAGATTATATCAAAGGGTGACGCCCTGCGCCATGTTGTCACATATCAATAACACCTGGTTCGGCCTCACTCAGTATCTGCTGCTCCACCCAGGGCCTCATGTCGATCACTTCTCCTCCCTCGAAGCGTGCTTGTGACGCTTGCCATAGACGCAAGGTAATCCTCCTAGAATCCGAAACTCAATTTCCATTCTAACTTTGTTTCCACATAGGTACGCTGTAACAGCCGCCAACCTTGTGGGAATTGCAGTCAGGCAGGCCTGAGCTGCACGTACGATGCCATACCGCAGAAGAAGGGGCCTAAAGGCTCCCGGGCCAAGGTCATCTCGGAGCTCAGAGAAACACAAAAGCAGACTGAAATCAAGAACGGTGGATACACAATTCGAAGCCCTCCTGGGTCTCCCTCCTATACCCCCAGTCCCGGCATCCTGACTCCCGACCTCATCGATGCCTGTGCCGATTTCTTCTTCGCTCATATGTATCATACTACTCCGATACTGGATCAGGATCAATTCCGCAGCATTGTCAGAGGCATAGACCAGTCGATAGAGGGTTATTGCCTCGTGGCAGCCCTTTGCGCCTTTATGCTCATCCAACCCGGCATTGCCTTACATTTCCACTCACTAATGGAAGAGCCTAGCGGCTCAGTCACCAACCCTAAGATGGGTGCGGCCTTGATGGAAGAGTGCAGGCGAGTGAGAAATGCGATTCGGTACAAGGAGAATCCCACGATACACACAATTATCACCTCGTTCTTCTTGTTTGGTTGCTGCTTTGGTTTGAACAAACACAATATTGGTTGGCATGATCTTCGGGAGGCAACCGCGCTAGCACACAATTTGGATATGCAGGATGAAAGCACGTACCACCAATACGGTGATGCTGCGGAAAGTGCACGCAACAGGCGACTGTTTTGGTTGCTCTTTGTCACCGAAAGGTGTGTCTGTCTAAGTTTTGCCTGCAAGACCTAGGAGAGGCACCCACTTGCAAAGGCACTAGCGCTGATCATTTTGTCAATAGAGCATATGCTTTGCAGAAGCACAAACCACTCGATCTTCATGCCACAATCGACCTTCCAACCATCGGACGGGATGGTTCATCGTCAATAGCTGGCTTCATTTACCTGGTGAAACTCTACCGCCCATTCGACGACACATTCATTGGTTTGTGGAATAAAACAAGGAACGACTGCTCTGCATCTTGGATTGCGCAACTCCAGCAGCAACTGACGAACGCTCTGCCCGATGTTCTAGATACGACTGAAAGTCAAGCAGCAGACCTACGGACGTCGCAGCAGTGGCTTCGGACCATGGTATGGCAGCTCTCTATCACGAATGGCTTCCTATCTTCGACATCACAGGATGCCTCAATGACATTTAAATATCCGATCGAAATAGCCCGAGACTTGGTTGATGATACTAGCCGATTGTCCGTGCAGTCAATGGAGGTACATGGCAAAGGGCTGGTAAGCACACACTTCTGTACAATTTATGGTTCGCCGGGACTGATAGCGGACTCCATAGATTGAGAAGATATTCGATGTCGCATGCACTTTGGTTGACGTCATGTCCTGTGTCCCAAACCTTCCTTCTGATGGTGCAGGCTCACAACATTATCTCCACCAACTACTGAGCCTCATTTCGACGCTTCGTGGCGGCGAAGGGCGTTTCTTGCCCCTTATAATAGCAAAGATCCGAGACAGTCTACCCGCTATTGCTACTCAGCTGCCACCTGCTTTGGTTAGCAGAGCAGCAGTCGGAATTGGCGTGGGTGGCCCTGCATTTGGACAGCTTGGAGCCATTCAAGGGCTCGCCCAGATGACGGGATATAATGGCCTCTCGGGGGCAGTGATGAAAGGGATCAACACAACAATGGGAGGGGAAGTATACATCAAGCAAGAGACTTCGAGCAATAGTAGTGGGACTCTCAGCGCTGCTGTCAGCGATGGGGGAGTCCTTACAGCACGCCGCCTTTCATGCACTATTATCCTTTGGCATGAAGGTTGAGCGGACATGATGACTTAATGACGCACATGATGATGACCTGCGGTTAGCGACACATACCCATATAGACGGATCATAGAGGCAACGGGTTCTTGGGTATATGTCTTTGGACGAACGGTCGTTGGGTTAGGGGGGATTAATGATCCCTCCGAGAAACCTCCTGAGGACTTGAATTTCATAGCTCTGGGCCCTAACTAATTCTCTCGATTTCATACCAGATGATGACAATTGATTCAGGCCTAGTCGTTCACAATACTCTAGCGAGATATTCACCAGCATATTGGAGCATCTTTCCACAGAACAGTTGCCAAGAAGTCAAGTCCCAATAGTTGAGTCGCTCACGCAATAACAATGGTACGGAGTAAGTTCGTGGGGTGCCTAAGACATCTTTCAGCTGCTTATCAACCTATGTTGCCGTGTACAACGATATGGAGAGGTTGAAAAAGGATGCTAAAGGATGATTGGTCGTCGAGTTGGTTGATGTGACAACGCCAAACAGTAGAAACTCCACGGCTGGCAACAGACTGCATAAAGTTGTTCTCTCATCATCAACCTTTCTGCATCCTTCCAGTTAGCAACAATCATGCAATATTGTTGGCCATAAATAATACAAACCTCCAAAAAGCAGAAAGTGGTCTTTCGATCGCCTAGTTTAATGAGCCAAGAGGTGAGTGGATCTCGTACTTTGCACCAAAAATACGATGTACTACTGTCTTCGTTCCTAGTTCTCTAGGAGTCTAGGGATGCTGATCAAGCCTTTTAGCGCACAATCTGAAGGAAATTGGCCAGACGAATACCAAACAAGGGGGGCAAAGGGCCTCCCCTCAGGCAGGCCGTATTCTATAGCCGCCAAGCCCGAACCCCTGAGATCCATCATTTTCTAAAATCCTCCCGCCCTCGACTCTCGATTCCTCAATTCCTCTCTTCATCCAACCCCCGTCGACCACCACCACCACCCTCTTTGTTACTGTCTTCTTTTCGCTGTCACGTCTATTCGCTCCACTCTTTTGGCGATAGACCGGACTCTCGTTTCTCTATCCTTACTAATTCAGCTTAACAGCCTCATTCGCTTGACATAAACAGTCTACCGCGAATCCCCTAATCAACCACAACTCTCACGATCACTTCCCATAATACCTCGAATCAATCATAATGAAGGGAATCAGCGGCTCAGCACCGGTTGCCGTCGCTCTTTATGCTTCATCTGCTCTTGCACACATCCTCCCTGCAGCTTTCTTGACACCCTTCTCCAAGCGAGCAACCTCCTTACCAGAAGTGACTGTCAAGGGCAATGGTATGACGCTATGAGAATAAATTCTGGAGAACCAACACTAATCATATGACCCAGCTTTCTTCGCTGGCAGCTCGAGATTCTACATTCGTGGTGTTGATTATCAGCCCGGTGGTTCTTCAGATGCTGTAGATCCAATCGCCGACACAGAAGTCTGCAAGCGCGATATTGCCGAATTCCAGAAGCTGAAGATCAACACCGTACGTATCTACACCGTCGATAACAGCAAGAGCCACGACGAGTGCATGGACATGCTGTCGCAAGCCGGTATTTACTTGGCACTGGACGTCAACACGCCCAAGTACTCCATTCGCCAGGACAAGCCTGCCCAATCCTACAACTCCGCCTACCTCCAAAATATCTTCGCGACTATTGATGAGTTCGTGAAGTACAGCAACACTCTCCTGTTCTTCTCAGGAAACGAGGTCATCAATAATGTCAAGACTTCAGTCGCAGCGCCCTATGTCAAGGCCGTTACCCGTGACATGAAGCAATACATCGGAAACAGAAAATACCGCCCAGTCCCAGTTGGCTACTCTGCTGCCGATATTGACGACAACCGTCTTGAGGCTGCCCACTACTTCAACTGCGGGACCGATGATGAACGATCTGACTTCTTCGCCTTTAACGATTACTCCTGGTGTGACCCGTCTACCTTCAGCACCTCCACCTGGCAGCAGAAAGTCAAGGACTTCAGTGATTACTCAATCCCGATCTTCCTTTCAGAATATGGCTGCACAAAGACCGACCGTAAGTTCGGAGAAATCGCAACTCTTTACGGTACCCAAATGTCTGCCGTCTATTCTGGTGGCTTGGTGTACGAATACAGTAAAGAGGGATCCGATATCCAGGCGAAATTCGGCCTCGTGGATGTCACTGGGAGCAGCCCGCAGGAACTTGATGATTTCACGACCCTGGCCAACGCCTTCTCGAAGACGCCCAACCCAAGTGGTGATGGTGGCTACAAGATGAATGGCCAGGCTAGCACCTGTCCATCCCAGTCCTCCACTTGGTTGGTTGCAAATGACGGCCTCCCTGCCATGCCACCCAAGGCCTCAAACTACTTCAAGAATGGTGCAGGTAAGGGTCTTGGTCTCACTGGACCTGGATCACAAGACAATGGTGCCGAATCGACCGGTACTGCTTCCGCAGGGTCTGGCAAGGCTACTGCTTCTGGAACCTCAAGCAGCAGCAGTGGCAGCAGCGGCAAATCAAGCAGCTCCAGCGCAAGCTCTGCCCTCAGGGTACCCGCAATGGAGATGGGTCCTTACGTCTGCGCCGGTGTTGTCTTCGTCTCTACGCTACTCGGTGCTGCACTGCTATAAACGAATCTGGGACTGGTTTCGGAGAAGTGAATGGAAGCACAGTGGAAGGAGAACATTGGATGTGCAACGGCAATATCTCGACACAAGACAACCCCCGGTAGATTCCTGTTCATTCGCATGCTATGATAAATGGTTCCAGTCGCTTTCTCAGATCGTTCGCTACAAATTACGTGGATAGGTACTCTTGGGGTCTTCGGGTCATTTAGCTTTGTTTTGTCTGTTAATCGAATCAAGAATATTAGGTGGCATTTTCTTGTCTGAAAAGTTGATGCGTCGGTCTCTTTCACTCTAATTACCAATGTCTTTGAATAGTCTCAGATTGTCTATCTCCCACTACGCTCTAAAGCAATTGCCATCTTCGTTCTATCTAAAAGTATGAGCCGTTCCTTATTCTACTTATCGTTTACTCCTCACAAAATCTCAAATTCTGCCTAAAGCATTGGCCATCATTATACCTGCTACCGTTACTGCTCTACAATCGTACCCGCTTCTTTATCACAGACCACAGCCGGCTTTGCGAAAACACAAACAGAGCAAAGCCTTCGCCCTGCCTCCCACAGACACCGCTAGCACGAAGCAAGGTACTCCCATCACCTAACCTAACGTTATCCAACAATCAAAACGAGCGGCCCACCACCGATAATGTCAGCGACAGATCTAGCTTCCTCCCCACCTCGGTATCATTATGGTCAGTACAACATACCGGCACTTGAACCTCGGGGTTCGGGGATGTGGGATTGGTGGCTTTCTGTTCTAAATGAATGAGTGTCTCGAGCGTGAGGTAGAGAGTAAAGAAGACGGTGACTTGTGGTCTACGTATGTTGGTGCGTGAGTGTGATGGGGTTGGAGATGGTAGTTGATGGGTTTTTGGAGAAGGGGGATTTGAGGTGGTCCTCAAGTGGTATGGGATTTGGTCTGTAGATTTGAACAGGATAGACGGTTGATCCTTGGGCGAACATGGTGGGTCATGATCGAAGACTGGAGGCTATGAGGTAGCAAGTGCAAGAATAGGGATTGGTTTCACTATGGTAGAGAACGGTTGGTAGCCTATATTATTTGGAGAAAGCAAGGAAGGGAGCGAGCGAGATCACTTTTGAGGCTCAAAGCTGTGAGGAGAAATTCCAGTTGAATGAGGAATTGTTTGTTCATTATATCACATAGGTAATACATAAGAGGAGAACATCAAAAGCCAACTGGCACCTCCGCTTTTGAATGCTCAAAATCATCTTTAACCGTAAATTTACAAGAAAAACTCTCCAGGGGTATAAGACCTATCCAACCCATTCCCTATAATGAAAATCCCTTGCTACAACTCCCTATCATCAATTTCATAACAGTCCCACGACCTCCATCGCAGCAAGCACGACGGTCGTCAACGCCACGAACCCCACGCTCGGAATCGAAGCCGCCAATGTATTCGCAGCACTTGCCGCCTTGACCCCAGGCGGCGTTGCATTTACAAACGCATTTCCGCAGGCGATATTGATTTGCTGCGCAGCGTCCACATACGTAATGCTCAGCGGACTGCTCTTATTCCTCGCGACATCCGCAAACATGCCCATCGTATCCTGCAAGCACTTCGAGCATGTCGGCAAACTACCCGCCGGCAGACTGACTCCCAGCGGAAGGTAATACGGATACACGTCCGTTGGAGATGAAGTATTCGTCACGGCATTCGTGTAGCAGTAATCCGAGCTCTGGTTGTTCGCGGCCGAGGGAACGGCTTTCATGCATATGGCCGAGTAGGTGACTTGGTAGGAGATGAGACCGTTGTAGGCTTGGCGCACGGTGGGTTGTTGGCGATCGTAGTCTTGAGAGCAGGCAGAGGAGGAGCGCATGCGGAGGGCCCAGTTAGCCATTACGGCCGCGCAGGCTTGGGGAACCACGTAGCAGGAGGCGGAGATGACGGGATCGAGGGTTGAGGATAAGCGGGAGGCTGTGAAGAAGGATTGGGAGTTCTGAAAAACGCTGTATTAGTGGGGCATTCTACTTGAGGACGTGGGCTGCAGACGTACCTGAAGGAAGAGAGACACGGGTAGGCATGAGTTGACGGTGTCATTGCGTATCAGATCTTTGAGGAACTCGACGCAGGCAGGCTGCGTGTAGTTCGTACCCAGTCCGCCGTCAAAAGCCTTAGGGAGATTGTCGCCTGTTGGTTGTGCTGAGATGATGCCATTCGTGGAAGTCCCTTCATCATCTGAAGAGGAAGCAGTCGGACTGGGAGCGTCAATTTGACTGGCGGTGGCGGAAGCGGCGGCGGAGGAGGATGTATGGGTGGCCTTATGGCTGGTTGACGTGGTGGATCCAAAATCGAACTGCCGCTTGAAAAGAGGAGGGTCGGGCATAGGGCTGTGGTCAAACAAGATCTCGCTGGCTCGCTTATCAGTCTGAAAGCGTCCCATATCGCGGGCTTCTCGATCGAAGGCTTGTGCAGAAGTACAGCAAAAGAGGAGGAGAAGTGTCGCGAGGAAGAAGTGAACAGAGGTGCATGCTGTATAGAGGCGTCGGCGAGCTGGAGGTGGGCGCTTGGTGGGTATCCTTCGGTTTTTGGGTGATTGTGTGAACGCTTCTCGTGGTGTTATAGTCCAGCTTGCTCTGACTTCCTGGGCTGATGACTGGCAATCGCAACCACCAGCGCTCCAAAAGCTCATCATCGTGACGAGGATGGAAGCTTGTCACTCAACATTGGTAATGGACGGCGAAAGTTGCCGTTGAAGTTGACTGGAAGGCGGAGTGCTGATCGTCGTAACGCGTATAAAGCTCAAGAAGTGAATCAAGGTGATCTCCAGTGTCTCTTCTCTCGATCCGGTGTTTCTCTTTTGCAATTGAGCCTCTTCAGCAATTCAATGGTTCTTCAATCCTTCAAACGAGTGTATTTCGATGCCGGATAACGAGTGACTGTGGTGAGTGTGGAGGCAAGGAAAGACGAACAGACTACATGGGGGGTCTGAGAAAGGATCAATAAGGGATCGATGTAAATAGCAGCAACGGCAACATGAGGTTCGGTAAGCAAGGATTCGAGGCTCATATGGGCGTGGGGCGGCATGATTATTTAATCTCGCAGAGGGAAGCACGAGCCGGTGGTAGCTTAGGAAGGCCCAGTAGTAGCTTAGCAGATAATAGCGGCGTTGGTAAGAGTTGGAGGAACGGGTAAAAGATAAAAACGACGGGCAGTTAGACTCCTTAGATTTTGGTTCTTTAGTGACCTACCTGCATGCAGGATGCAGCAAGCAGAACGTGCTCCAAGCGTCCCTTCTGACATCTGGCTTATAGGGGGATAGCCTAGTCCAGGGTGGATGCTGGTAGACTGGATGTAGTCAAGTACCAAGTCTTAGAGCATCAGGGATTAGTGGTTTGGCTGAGCACCGTCCCGCTACAGGGCAAATGAACCAGGATCTCTCGTCTCTTCCCCATTAGCGCTGGCTCGGCTGGGCTGTTTGTGGCTTTTGTGAAATTGTTCCTTGCCGCAATTAGGTGCTCAGAGGTGCCTCCTCTAGCCCATTTGGCATCTTAGTCCACAGGCCGTCGATTTTAATATCCCGGACAGCGGTACTTGCCCACAGACGCTTGAATTCTTCTGTGAGCTGGCTGTTGGACCAGGATGCACAGGTGCTGACGACAGCTATAACGTTGTTGTTTGGACGTTGGGGCTCCACCTAGTACGTTGGTGAAAACAAAGAGCCTCAGCTCATGTCTCGTTCGGATGTTTGCTCCAGAGATCGGTGGACATTGTCTGCCTTACGTGTCCCTCCATCATGTCCCTGTGGGGAGATGCCGTCTCTCGGTACGGAGCAAGCCACATACCAGATGTCCTTGCAGTACCACCGATTCTTCAAGACATCGCCGCGTACCACGCAAGTCTAACCGTATGGACGGAAATTTCAGCCCCTATGGTGCTACCACACTCGCACAGTCTTTGCCCAAGCTGGTTTTCCGACTGATTCTGCACCGATGATCGATGTTGACTCTCTCCATTCTCCAGCATCAGAGTACGAATATTTCTCTCAACGGTTTCTGAAGGGCCCCGCAAATCTAGAACTTGCAGTGCTGATCTGCCGTGTTGATCCCCTTGATTTCCAACGTTAAACTAACCCTGTTGCCCTGCCGTAAGCAGCGGGAGGCTTTTGCCGAAATGTATACAATCCTCCATCCTTAGCTTGCCCTTTCTTGGCTCTCCGGAGCCGTTCGAATAGCCCTATCCTTGCTTCACAATTCAAAGAGCCTTCACTCTCAGTCAGCAAAACGTCCTTCCTGTCTCCGGGCAGATCTGTCTCGAGGTAGAAGCTCGGAAGGTAGGTCGAGCTCTGTCCACCTGCATTGTCGCTCTCCTGTCACTGGCTCGCATCGTCGGGCTCTCTCAACCGACAGATAAGACAAACACGTATGCATGCAGACGATATGCCATAACGTGCTTGCAGCTCCTCTGTCCCCCCTCCTATTTTCAAATGCACCCCTCGTTGCTATGCAGCATCCAAGGGAAAAACAGCTCGTCTCCGACAGCCGCAGCCGATGATGGCCATGCGGGCAGTCGCCTAATTTGATGGATGTTTCGATGCAGTTGGGTCTCCGAGACATTTGTTTATCCCGACCGCGAACACGGCCACCTGATCTCCTATTCCCATCGTTGTTCTATCTGGCGTTGCTATTGTCGTCCGTGGGCCCATCCTCGGACAATTCATTCCCGCTCCCTACCCGTTCGTACCTGAACCAGGGCAGCTTGCGTGGCTGAAACAGTGAGGGTGGATATTCGGTGAAGCGACAGGTACAGCCGCTGCTGTCGCTTGAGACAATCCGTGAATCCCCATTTATAGAAAATAGAAAATGCTTCTTTTAAACGTGAATGAGTCTGTTATTGGCGAGATGAAAGGGAACGTAAGGTGGAGATGCGTCAAGAGCATTTTCTTACTTCTGGAGCCTGGCTGTGAGTCCGGGTGTAGAGTCAGTAGAGGAAGGAAGGAAGAGCATCTGAACGATGCAGCTCCTTGCTATTGGCGTGGTGGTATTAGGTAAATTACTACTTTCGATAATACGACCAAAATTCATAGAGCCTCCCTTTTCCCCAGTACTAGTATTTCTATGGAGTACAGTTCACACCTGAACACTTCACATTGCTTTCCGTTCATTCTTATCTGCAATAAAGCAAACATCCTGTTCGTCAATCTTGTGTTCTCGGAACCAAAATGTCGCTTGTCGCCGCAATTCTGCCATTACAATCTATCATACCCTTTCAACGTCTCGTTTTTGCAGGGAGGCAAGCAATGTGTGCAAAGCTCCAGGTCGTAGCCAAGGACATCGTCATCCCCGGGAGTGACGCATTGACGTGCTCCAAAAACCTCTCCACCACACAAGTAAGGACAAGAAGCCACCGATTGGTCAGTCACGCCACAATTTGCTCGACCGTTGAATGCGGCATCTGTTTGCACAGGAGGGTCTACAGCACCTGGTGGTGCACTTGTACACGTTGGTTGCGCTAGACGAAAAGGGATTTCAGCCCCATTGTACAGGATTTCGATCAGCGGTACGGGGCGACTCACGAATCGTGCATGAGGCACTTGGCTCGCAAGGAGGTAAGCAATGGATGCATTCGAAATTATCACTGCCACCGAAGCTTTGACCTGTGACGTCGTCTTGACTACAAAGATAGTCGTTTATTTGGTTAGTTCTGCACAAGTAAGGACACGCATCAACCGTCTTCTTTTTGACTCCGCAAGAATCGCGGCCAATTAGGTCAGGAAATTTGTAAAAAATTGGAGTAGCAGCCGTATCTGATGCGCAGGGCGAAACGCTCGTGCAAGTCGGCGATGTTTTGACGGTTGGGGATCCCCTCAGTGCTACATGATGTGACCTAGGCTTCTTGGTTGAACTTGCATCGACATTCTTCAGTATTGCGGTAGCGTCTCTCTCCGCCAGGGCGTCGCAAGGAGGTGGACAGTGAGTGCATTCAACAGGCTCTGTACCGGTAAAGATCTGGCCTGAGCTGTCGAAATTATTACAAAGCAAGAGAGATCCTGGATAGAGGCTACACAGGTAAGGACATTCATCCGTCGTCTTTTGCGTCACACCACAAGAAGCGCGATACTTTATGCCCCACGGAAGATCAGAAGAAGTAGGTGCATCTATTGCGGAGGGTGAAGCATTTATACATGTCGGCGAAGGATGAGCACTCGGAGATCCTCTTGGTGACAGGTACCGATTTCTGTGTTTCGAAGAAGCAGACGCTTGGTCAAGGGATAGAGGCTCCTGTCTCTTCAAGATCGGCGTGCATGGTAGAAGGCAGTGTATACACACAAGTGGGGGAAACTCTCCAGTAGGCTCCTCACCTGTTAGGTCTGTATCAGAGCACTGCTTGAAAACGCCAACTCCAGCGCGGCTGCAGAGGTATGGACACTCCTTAACCCTCGCGTCAGTGACACCACATGAGCTGCGAAAGATGAGGCCCGGAGAATTTGGTTCTGTGGATGCTGGCACATCCGTAGCGCCAGGCGGAACTGGTGTGCAAGTGGGTTGTGCAGAAGATGTGGCAATAGCTGCTCTGAAGTCAGCTCTACTTATAGAAAGCTTTAATTTACTTACCACTTGGGGTTGGGCTGCAAGGTGGTAGGCAGTGTGCGCAATGAACATCGCCCGTGAAGTTCGTCGATGGGACCAGGCCATCCAGGTTCAAAGGAAAACACTCCTTGAGTCCTGCAGAGTCATCGAGACCACATATATAGGGACACTCCTCGGTCATTTCTAAGCTCAATCCACAGGCATATCGGAAGAGAAAACCTGGGGTATCAGTCGAGTTGGCACAAGGAGTATCTGTTGCATCTGAAGCAACTGACGTGCAGCTTGGGCCGTGGCTGATTGTAGTGGACGCTGCAAGAAATGAAATGTCAGCAGAAACGGTGAAAATTGGCTTAGAAACTCACGCTTTGCTGGCATGTGTCCATAGCCATACCCATAATCGTTTTTGCACGGTGGTAGGCAGTGCTCACATGGTGTAGGAGGGAAGATCGAGAAATCCGAGCATTGCTTAAGGACACCGTCACCGTCAATAGGTCGTCCGCAGAGATATGGGCATTCATCCACAGCCTCGTCTGTGAGACCGCATGTTTCACGAAAGAGCACACCTGGGTAGGCATGGAAAGTTGTTGCAACAGTATGGGTTGCCCATGGCATTACTGTTCTGCATGTGGGCTCCGGCCCTGTTGTTGAAGTTGCTACAAGTGGAAGTCATGATTAGGGCCAATTCGAAAAGAGAAAAGTATGTCCGAAATTACGTACGCTGCGTTGTAGACGTTTCCGAATCGAGACCTTCGTCATCGCAGGGAGGAGCACACTGGATACACGTCTCCGTTGCTCCAGTCGAGTTGCCAAGATACTTGCCCACGTCCTCAAACATGCAAGCCTTCACCTCAATCAGGCCTCCTGGGCCGCACAGAAACGGACACTCTTCATAAGATGCGTGCGTTGTGCCACAGGCGAATCGGAAAGCTAAATTTGTACCTTTTTGGTGTATGGCTGGGGTATCCATGGTGCCAGCAGGGATGCTGGTGCATGCTGGAGGTAGTGGAACGGCAGCCGTTTGGAAAACAGCCTGCTGGGTATTTAGCGGCTGCTTCGACACATGCAATGAATTACTTACCGGCGTCGGTACTGCAAAGATCAACGATGATTGCGGAGTCTCAACTCTTTTTGCCCATTGGTGGCTCTTGGATGGCTGAGCGTTGTGAAGGCTGGATGTGCCTGCTCGACCGGGATGATGGGTCTGGGTTGCATGGGAGCCATGCAAATTGTCTTGGAAAAAGCCTCGTGCCAGAACCTGAGGTGAGAAGGTACAGATGGTAAAGACGAGCAAGAGTAAAGAGAAGGAGGGCTTCCCCATGTTCGCAAGGCTCAAATCAACTGCTGCTTGTGGAAAGAGGGTGGGGAGAAGAGCAAATCAGAGGAGCGAAGACAGACAAAGAAACAAGAACAATGGGGAGAAAACGTGAGCACTTATACACATGTATCTCCCTCGGACGTGTCGGACGAAAAGGTGTTGAGTTCGCCATGTTCATGTCTGTAAGCGAAAGACCATTGACCAAAAAGGGGAAGAGCTTCCACATCCGTCTTCCCCAGCTGTCACAATCCGGCGGGTTGGGCGAGAGACGGCATCGAAGCTGGGGAGACCATGCCAAGAGCCGATCGCCATCTACAACGTGTAGATTGCTGGATGAAAGGCCGTTGCAAGTTGCAGAGATGATGGATGCTAGTGCGCCAACACGAGTGAAGGGTAGCTTGACAAATTTTCATTGTTCATCTCAACTGTGACCGCCGAGCTTTTCCACCGAGGACTACACTCATCTGCTTGTGGAGGGAGTAGAAGACGTTGAACAGATACTGAATTTGACGGGAGCCGGACAGGCTGGATACCTGCAGGTCTTGAGGGGCCAGATTAACATGCATTGATCAAACTAGGCCGTCAAGCAATTCATGAGCAAAAAATTTTGCCTCCCCATAGATTTGAGAAGGCCAAGCGAGGTTCACAAAGCAATGAAGGCTCCAATGAGAAGCTAGTGTAGCGTCACCCATTGTGCATCGGCAAGCTGTTGCAAGAGAGGAACGTCACGAGAAATTCGCCCTCAAGTCTTATGCTAAGAGACGGAAAGGGTTGGGACGTAGAGCTTGCTTACTTTTTGCTGCCTTCTACCTATGGACGTTCTTGCAAACACTCACTATGATTACAAGTCGAATGTGAAAATTTGAGTCGTCACCTACCGTATAGCTGGTAAGCTGACGCCATGCTCGATAGAACAATGATTGAGAATCGAAGATACAATTCACAAGTCATAGCCCAAGTCAAAATGCTGAGTGATCATTTGATCCGTGTCATTTAGTCGACCTCCTCCATAGCGCTCTCGCCAGCACCTTCGGCAGCTGGAGTTGCTTCCTCCGCCGCCTTCTCCTCAGAGGTCTCGGCCTCTTCGTCAACGTTAAGACCAAGGGAAACGAGCTTATGGATACGCTCAGCGAAGCCAGCAGGCTCGTCGATTGTGAATCCAGAGACGAGTAAAGATGTCTCAAAGAGCAATTGAGTGATAGACTTGACAGTGCGGTCGTTCTCGCCATCCGCCTCAACCTTTTTCTTCAGCTCTTTAATGATTGGTGATTTAGGCGAGATTTCAAAGGTCTTCTTCGACGACATGTATGAAGACATTGATGTGTCACGGAGGGCTTGCGCCTTCATGATACGCTCCATATTGGCTGACCAGCCGAACTGACCGGTTCGGATAGCACAAGGCGCACCGACGAGTTTGTGGCTTACAACGACCTTCTCAACCTTGTCGCCAAGAACGTTCTTGAGGGCCTTGGCGAGGGCTTCGTACTCCTTCTCCTCTTCCTCGCGTTCCTTCTTCTCGTCCTCAGTCTCCTCGAGCTCAAAGTCCTTTGTGATATCGACAAGTTTCTTGCCTTCAAATTCTTTGAGTTGAGTGAAAGCATACTCGTCGATAGGGTCAACAAGGAAGAGGACTTCGAAGCCCTTATCCTTGAGCGAGTCAAGGAATGGGGACTTCTGAACGGCCTTAAGTGATTCACCAGTGATATAGTACATTTGCTTCTGGTGCTCGGGCATACGAGTGATATAGTCGGTAAGAGATGTAGTCTCATCAGCCGACTTGGTTGAGTTGAATCGCAAAAGCTTCGCGAGTGTCGATCGGTTTTGGGAGTCCTCATGGATGCCCAATTTGATATTTTTGCTGAAGGCGCTATAGAACTTGTCGAATTGTTCGCGATCTTCAGCAATTTCTGTGAAGAGCTCGAGAGTCTTCTTGACAATGTTCTTCTTGATGACTTTCATGATTTTGTTTTGTTGAAGAGTCTCACGAGACAGATTCAGTGGAAGATCTTCGGAGTCGACGACGCCCTTTACGAAGCTTAGCCATTCGGGGATGAGATCGGTAGCATCGTCAGTGATGAAGACACGGCGAACATAGAGCTTGATGTTATTTTTGGTCTTCTTTGTCTCAAAAAGGTCGAAAGGCGCACGCTTGGGGACGAATAGGATTGCGCGAAATTCAAGTTGACCCTCAACAGAGAAATGCTTGACAGCCAGATGGTCTTCCCAGTCGTTAGATAGGGACTTGTAGAAGGAGCCATATTCCTCGGTCGTGATGTCTTGCGGGTTGCGAGTCCAGATAGGTTTCGTCTTGTTGAGCTCTTCCTCCTCGATCTTGCTCTCCTTGACCTTTTTCGTCTTAGCTTTCTTTTCCTTCTCCTTGTCCTCATCCTCATCGTCGACTTCTTCGATCTTGGCCTTCTGATCTTCATCTTCCTCCGTCTCCTTGGCCTCTTCTGCGTCCTCGTCTGGAACTTCCTTCTCGGTCTCCTTGAGCACATGCAGGTAGATAGGGTAGGAGATGAACTCAGAGTGCTTCTTGACTACCTCCTTGATCTTGCTCTCGTTGAGGTAATCTGTTTGCTCATCCTTGAGATGTAGGACGATCTTGGTGCCACGGCCGAGCTGCTCACCCTCCTCATCTTGAGCTAGGGTGAAAGTACCACCGGCGCTTGACTCCCAAATGTACTGCTCGTCATCGTTGTGTTTTGAGACCACAGTCACCTTGTCGGCAACGAGATATGCAGAGTAGAAACCAACACCAAACTGTCCAATCATAGATACGTCGGCACCTGCGCTAAGAGCTTCCATAAACTGCTTCGTGCCCGAACGTGCGATGGTGCCGAGATTGTTGACGAGATCCTAGGACACAATTAGTTATCTCGCTTGTTGTTCGATTTAGGCCATTCTTCGATTAACTTACAGCTTTGGTCATGCCAATACCAGTGTCTCGTATTGTCAAGGTCTTATTGTCCTTGTCTGGGACGATGTCGACACGGAGGTCTTTGCCCGAATCGAGCTTCGATGGATCCGAGAGAGCTTCATAGCGAATTTTATCTAGGGCGTCTGAGGAGTTGGAAATGAGTTCTCGGAGGAAGATCTCCTTGTTTGAGTAGATGGTGTTAACTAGAAGGGAGAGCAACTGGCTGATTTCTGCCTGAAACTCGAACTGTTCTGGTTTCGCAGACATGTTTGCGGTATTGTGCGACGATCACGGAAGATATGTAGCTGTTCTGAAGAAGAACATTAGCAGTGGTCGTAAAACTTGAGGTTATTCTAGAGAGTGAAGCGAGTCAAACGGCTTCTTGTGAAAACGAATGGAGTGAGGTTTTTGTCTGACACTCAATAGTGTTTCAAAGCCTTGAGGACTGGTGTTGGTTGACATACCTGAAGCTGCACTGAGTCACGAGGAATTGAAGCGAGTCTAATGTCACAAAGGGATGTGTGGTTGTGGTGTTATAGAAACTGTGGAGGGAAACTTCGAAGCTCTTCGAAATATTATTTTGGCGCTAGCCAAGGCTAGTGTGTACCTTCAGCCTTACGGATGGAAGGCGAAAGAAGCAAAAAGAATCATAACGCGAGTCAGTCCGCATTCAGGGGTATAACCTAGTATAGACAGAATCCTAAGCTCAGTCAAGCTATTGACCCTTACGCCATTATAGTATCCCTAATATGAGGAAGCCCAGAGGCTCCCTGTCAAGCCTTCCATTGTCAATAGCCTTGAAGACGTTGACCATTTAAAACCTGAAGGCTTTCAGAAGTAATAATAACGCCTTTTACATGAGGCTTTGACATATTATACACTTGGGTGGAAGGCGCTCTCTTTGCACTCGAGACTTACCTTCGAATGTTCCTACCTTTCAGTGCCAAGACGGATGTTGTCGTAAAGATTCGGCTTCACTTCTGTCGGTCAGGAATCCGTTCCAGCGCATGCTTGATAGTAGGGTTTGGGCAGTCGCTCATTCAAGCTACTATCACTCTCAATCTATGTCTCAAGGAAAGAAACATCTGTGTATTCATTTGACCCTTCATTTCAGCACTGAGCTCACCATGATCGAATCCTCCTTCGCTGTGCTGGAACAGGAAGGTGGTCAAACTCCGAGTTGAATCTTTGTCTTGTCTGTCCGAGCCTGCTCCTCATGGTTTCGATATTCTCGACTAAAAGTGCAGGGTCTAATGAGAGGTTGCTTTGTTTCTGCTTGTGAGCCCATAGTGAATGCATCGTTATTAGGCACTAACATAGGAACTTTTCAATACAGCAGCGAATTGATGCGTATTCACTTTGTTACCGATCAATTAGCTCTCTTTTGAAATTGGTCCTGCGACGATTTGGGTTCTCAAGTGCCTCAATGCCTCGCGCCAGCTCAATGTCTACTATCGCGCGAATAGATCCTTTAACAGCTACAGCAAAAGAGCTTAGTGATCCTTTACATAGCAAACGTATCGACAGTGTTAAATTAGTCAAAGTCTACCTTGATCAGATTGCCCAGCAAGACCATGATGGCTTGTGCCTCAATGCCATCATATCTACAGCTCCTAAGACTGAGGTCCTCAAACTCGCCAAAGAGCTGGATACCAAAAGGCTTCAAATAGGACAAAGGAGTTCATTACACGGGATATCAATAATCATCAAAGTTCATAAACTGATCATGAAGTAAATGGGCTTTACGAGCTGATGTAGTAATAAGATTCGCTCTGTACGCCTTCACTTGGGATGAAGACTACTTGTGGTTCTTTTACCTTCAAGAATCTCAGTACCAGATAGGATGCAAGCATGTTCAGCTCGTTGCAACGAGCTGGCGTCATCGTCACCGGAAAGGCTAACTTGTCAGTATAACAGTGTCAGCCGTAAGACTAAAGATGGGCGCTGATACTTTTAGGAACTGGGTAACATGGAAGGCACTTTTGTAACGAGCGGGTGATCTCCGGTTGGTGGACAAGTAAGTCTAGTGAGACAGTCTGCATAACGCGAGGCATTGCTGAAGCGCTGGTAGACGCAGTCCCCATATGTTCGTGGTGGCGTAGAACCAGACGCAAAATGGCTTAGACATAGCGTAAGATCAGGTTCATTTTCAAATCAATCAAACATACTAAGACATCTGACCTCTGCAGACACCATGCGGGTCATCATCAGGCAGCGCTGCTGGGGTCGCTGCTGGCTTTGCTCCCGTTTCCGTCGGTACAGAGACAGATGGATCCATATGTCTACCAGCTACGCGGGCTGCTTTATACGCCATGAAGGCTACTGTCGGCGCGATTAACATGACTGCTGCTCAGCCAGCAAATCCCGATTTTGATAGCGCTGGCGGCTTAGCTAAAACGCCCCTCGAATCTAGCAATGGTGATGGAAACGATCGTGAATGGAGACTTTGACTTTTAGTCATCGCTCAACAACCCGTGGGGGTTCTTGCACTTGCCTAGGTAGAGCCAGATTGCTAGACAATGCCAGAAATTCATGTCGAACTTGGACAGGATTTTCTACAAAAAGAGTGTGTACAAGCGCTTTCATCTGACACAATGTGATATTAACGGATTCAGCGATCTGCAACGAACAATGCAATGGACAAGCTCGCCCAAAGAGTAGCGAAGGTCTGTGCATTTGCACCACTTTCGACGATCGATGAGCTCAAGTGAAAGTACGGTGTGACAATGAATGATCCGCTTATTTGTATGCCCACGTTGCCGCCTAGATGCACATGTGTACTGATGATGACAGTACATAGGGGTACGAAGGAACCTCGAGAACTTTATAAAATTGTTTCAGGAAGCCAAGTTCCAGACGTCAGAAGATTTGAAACACTTCAACGACAATCATGCTGCTCTTGAGCTTCCTCCTGGCGAGTCCTTGAATTGACACCGCAGGTCTGTGAGAGGGTTAATCTTATAGACAATTCAGCTCATCCAAAGCAAGACGTGATCGAAAATGCTATAGCTGACAGCATTAGCGATGAAGGCTATCAGGAAGCTCTCCAATGGTTGCGCTCACGCTCGAGGGAGGACGTTGACAATTGCCTGTCAAGCACAAGATCGAGCGTGCTAATTGGTCCTGGCGATTCACTGTTGGTATCCCTCGCTGCAACGGCCGGTTACCCCATCGCCAGTGTGTCCTTGGGATATGCAGACTTCAATGGCAGGTCTTTTGGCATGCATATCATTGCAAAGGCTCACAAGGAGGGGAAATCCTCCAGGTGATGAGCGCGTGGCATGCTACCTTTCCAGATGCTTGTGTGCCTCCTCCGCTTCTACTTTCTAGAGCCAGAGCGAGCGATAGTGAGTGTGACTGTCAGCGTAACACATATGTAGTCTCTCAAAGACGCATAAGCAATTCTATCCCATACAGGTGTGTGTAATCAATTTTACATTTCAAGCCAGAAAATTGCGACGGCCACTCATAGTAGGTCGCAGATGGAGTGGTTTGACGCCAGGATCATTGGCTGACAGGCACCGATACATCGTATTTAGGTTCTTCGGAATCGTCCAATCTGAATTGCTCCTTTGATGATGCGGTGAACGAGATAGAGGATTTGTTGGGAAACTTGCATCGTCACTTGTCCTTCGCAGATGTTGAGCTTGACGAGCAAGCCAGAGTCGACAACAAGATCTTTACCATTATGTCCTTGAAGAAAGAGAGCTCTTCATTTCCTTGCTATTCACTTCCAGTCAAGACACCATATTTTCATAAACGACAGCCCCAGTTGGATCTAATTGGTGAGCATCTGGATCCTAGCCGTATCAACGAGAGCTTGCGTACTTTCGTAATACATGGACTTAGAGGCATCAGCAAAACGGCTTTGGCACAAGCTTTCGGCAACCAGTCCAAATCTACGAAGATATATGATGTGATCTTATGGATAAGAAGCCAAACAAAGTCGGAGAATTGGGCATCTTTCTCCAAGATTTCCCAAATGCTTGGTTTTGCCCAGAATGATGGTCCTGCAGAAAGTGATACCAATATCCTCAAGATTAGTATTTGGCTAGCAAACTCGGGCAGGGCTTCATGACATGCGTCAAGCATTCACAACTGACTCTCGCTCACAGGCGTGAAATGGCTTCTTACTTTTGACAACATAGATGACATTGGTTTACTTGATATGTGCCTCCCTCCTAGCAAAGGACATGTGCTCATTACAACTCGGTATAAGTAGCTTGCCTTTAGTGCTCTAGGCAACACCCGAGAATTGGACCTCGAGCCACTTTCGGAGGACGAATTAATTGTGAGATCCCGTGGTAGATAGAGTCCAGTTCAGGCGGTCCAGGAATCTTCCAATTAAGTACGAACACAGACCGAAGCTACCGGTCAAGATTATATGCGTCAAGTCTGCGCTTAGCATTGGTAACAGTGCGATCAAAAGCTATGCGGAATTAATCGTCAGAACGCTACTGCTAGCGACAACGTATTTGGAAGCTGTATGGAGCGATTAGAATCTGAGGTCTTGATTGTCATTGTAGTCGATTGGAATTAAAAGGAGTGGTGGTCCAATGCTGATATTAGCATGCTTAGTTTTGCTTGGAATACTTAGTGTGATGATTGATTATGTTTTATATGGTGATGTATATAGAAAGCTTTAAGACTTCATCATCTGATAGCTTACTAGATTGCCTTCAATGCGGGATGGCCTGATCATTGTGAGACTGTTCCGATCATGCATTGGAAACCGTGAAGAAGGACCATTCGTGTTGGTGAAAATAGGGAGTGAGATCAGCATCACCACATCGCAAATCTTCTAAATAAAACAGTTGAGATGAAGGGGCATGCTTTTTAAATCAAACCAAAAACAGCTCTAAATCCAAGCCATGACATGGTATTCTATCTAGAGTACAAACACCTACTCGTCCTCATCATGTAACGAGGCATTTCCGTTGATCATACCTTCGCTCTTTCGTTTTCGCTTTCCGGACACTACATCTCTTGCCCAGCCCATGAGTTGATAGCACCATCCGCCACCGACTAAGACTCCGCTCACAACGTTGACTACTCGCACGACCAGCTGAATGAAGCCACCTCGCTCTTCTCTGATGGTCAGAAGTACGGGCTCGATATCGAATTTGAAGAAGATGCCAGGCACTTGTCTTTCTGGTACCTCGTGTGATTGGGAGGTAACGGCGTACTGGTTGGTGAAGATGGAAGTTGACATAGGGTTCGCGGGGTTCGGATTCGGTGAGCGAGTATAGATGGTCGGCACTACTGAACAGTAGTATTGATATTTGTAGAAGTGGTTGTCGGCGAGAGCGTAAGTTTTGTCAAGTGGATTCTGTATTGAAGGGTACAATGGCCCAAAAGATAACTCGTTAATGATGTGTGAAAAATTGAACGCTTTCCGCAACAGTCAGCTTGCAGTGTTCCAGAGGGATAGATAATGCCTCAGCTTACCAGTATGATCAAGATGTTCGCCTATTTCTTGATAGCCGTGACCTCTAGCTGTGATATGAAAATCCCCTTGTACTTTATTGCCTTCTATACTTCCGTATATCCTACACGCACTCGGCTGCTCTCGTCTGCCCAATCTAGGAGTCCTTTTGAATTTTCGTTTGCTACTTCTGACTTCGCCTAGCACGTGTCCCACATGAGTATCTCTCTCCTGCTCTTCTATTCCCATCCCCTGTTCCAGCTTGAAGACGCCCCTGTCGATATCAATCCAGTGGTTTCCACTTGTAGGATCTCTTTTCAAAAGATCGCCAGCAAGGATACGATCGCCTGAAGCATCCTGCACGTTGACATGGAGGTCGGCGCATTGCATCGAAACAACAATGTCCAGATTTATCTGAAGGTCGTGGGACACGCCCTTCTCGACAGAGAACAAATGGGTCTCTTGGCCAGCATACCAACGGCGGAGCTCGGTAAAGGAGAGTAAGGTAGATATCAAGACCAGGATGATGGTAGCATAGCCGCCAGCGGAGGTTCGCCGAGTATAACTCGGCTTGGTTTTGGCTGTGAGCGAAAAGGGTTAACGAAGCCCATCATACAAAATGCATAAAGCATTATGCTTTGTTTGTTTTCAGAGAGTTTGAAGTCACTACGGGAAAGATGCCAAATCTCGGACACGTACGAAATGCATCAAAAGACCTCAGCCCACCGGTCAGGCCCTTTTTCTCCCCAAAGGCATCCTCATCAAGGCCGCGGTCTGCAAAACCGTTCATGGGTAGTTCTTGGTATCATCGATCCAACAGAAGGTATCTTGTACACGATTGACGGGCAATAATTGTTGTAGCCAATAAAGAATGTCTCTCGACCTTCATCAAAAGATGCCAGCTATCGACTTAATTTAGCGTGTAAGCTACGAGGCGGACTTAGCCTTGCGGCCCGTGGCTATCTACCTACTTTGGCGTCCTATCTTACCTTACCCTAGAAGCACCTAGTGCCCTTCCACGACTTCTTCAGGCTGCGATTCCTGATGGAAAGGTGAGACAATGGTAGCTACAAACGAGCATGACTATCGTACGATGCATTATCGGGATTGGCAGCATACAATCTGTGGAGGAAGGCTTAGCATTTCGATCCTGTCGAAGCAAAAGCCTATCTATGTCTGTTTTTTTCTCCACCATATGGTCCTCTAAGTAATAGTGACTCCTATCTGACCAACAGTCGGAACAAGGTCAGCGACCGACTATACTTCATTGCCATGTTCTGTCAGTAAGGACATAGTCGAATCGTTTCCGAGTCCAGTGCGCCTTTTGCGAATTCCACTCTTTAGCGAGGCTCCTTCCGACATGTTACCCAGCTAAGGCCAACCTCAATCTCGCATACCCAAGCCCCACCATCCCTCATTTGAGTCACCTGTCCACTCCAAATGAACGCAACTTCTGGCACTCAGTCGGACAAGACATAGGTTCCGTGACCAGACAGAAGCTCGACCTGATCTTCGTTAGGAATGCGTAAAAACAAACATGAGGTATCTTACAGTGCATCCCTTGTCATTGCAATTCTCGTAACTTGTGCCTGAACAGTACTTCCCGGCCCTTAGCTTGCATTTTCCAGAGGTATCGCCTACAATCTCAACACTATAATTGAGCGGCTTGTAGTTGCTCGGTTTATTGTCGGCAGTGGAAGCAATTGAGAGGAAAGTCTTGCCATAGATATCTTGTCCGACACCAAGGAAAGATGGCGCCCAATTTCCCATATTTGTACCGTCGGAACCCCAGATGCAGGCTTTCTGGAGAGGGACACCTTGGTTGTTGATGTAGTATTGGGCCGTAGTCTGGCTGCCATCGTGTTTGAAATACGTGTTAGCATCAGGGCAAGTCAGCGGGCTTGTGGTTTGAGGACTCGTGTCAAGAGGAACGACTTCATTTTCAGTGCCTATATCTCACGATCAATTTTCACATCCAATGAAAGGGAATGAATAGATCTACCGGGATAGTCCGTGCGACAGATGGCTGCGTTGTTTGAAAGCTTGTTCTCTACCATTGTGGCTCCCGTGCCTTGGATACACAACTTCTTGGATAGGTTGGCATTGGTCAGTCTCAATTTATTGTTGTCATCACAGCGTAGGCCACCAACAGATTGGCCCACTGTTCCCTGCGCCGACGGCCATTGTGATTTTTGGTAGCCAGGGGGGCACGCATAGGAGCACATAGCCCCAGATTTGCAGCCTTCATCTCCCGGAACAGCGGTATCAATATGGGTGATGCTCTCTCCCTTAATTGTCACATACTGAATACCTGTCCAACCACCAAGATGCGCCCAGTCAACGCTTATAGCACCGTAATCGGAAGGAAAGTCAGAACAATCCACGGAACCATCTGGAAAGTCCTTTTCGAGACCCTGACCATTGAGATTGCTATAAGAGGGTGATGCACTAGGCTGACTTTGAGACTTGACGGACGAAGACGATGATTTGGAAGACACTAGAGCAGAGGTAGTCTGGGACACTTCTAAATTGTCGGCGTCCTTCTGCGCGATTACGGGACTTGCCTGTGTCGCCAAGAGAGCCGGCTTGCTCTCGGGGCTCAATGAAGTCGTCAACGTGATCGTGGGATAGTGAGACTGTAATGTAGACGCCGCATTGATCGAGCATTCTGGCGGACTTGCGGTCTTGTCAGTCCATCTTAGTGAACCATCTTTGATGCCCTTGCAGACTTCATCTTCGCTGATGGGTCTGCCATTGAATTCGTATGCTATGATAGTAGGGCCTGGCACGTCAACGGTTTGAACTTTGGTAGGAACGCGACGCTCAAAGTGATTCGCGTGGTTGTGGTGTTTATGTGTTGGCGTTGCTGCTGTTATGATAGATCCAGCCGCGACGACTGTCAACGCATTCGAAAGACCTCGCGGACGCATATGCGCAAAGACACTGATTGGGCCTGAAATGTGTGAAATTCAATTGAGAAGCTGTCGAAAATGTCGATGAAGGGAAGTTCAATCGGCTTCAGATTTCAATTCAGGTAAAGCTCAGATGTTGTTCGGGTCTTCAACGCGACTTGAGGTCAGCTTACAGCCATAAGTGTAAGTGCAAAGCAGAAAGCCAGTAATACTCGCGCATAGAGCGATATCGCTGTGTCGTGAATAATGCTGTCGAGAGTTAGGGCTGGACATACCTATTCAGAACAAAGGGAGAGTTTCAGCGTTGTGGTGAATGAAAGTCTTTGGTCTAGAAGGAGTGTGGTAGGAGGTACCCTGCCCTCTCAGATACGAAATGTAAGATGATGTGTAGAAGAAGTAAAAGTCTGAGTATTTTTAGGAAGCTCGTGTTGTGGAGCGGGGGGGATAAAATTTCTGATCTGAAGTGTCAAACTAGAATGTCAAATTTCGATTCGCGCCACCTGAGTGTCTAGACGACGAGATGAAAACATCCATCACATCATATCAAAGTGATTGCACTTACACTGAGGCTTTAAGTCTGCGATGCTTTGTACGGTAAGTGTGTTTGAGTGTCTGACGATGCAATAACCGGCTGGCCACCATGGATGGACACAAATGGATGGACTTCACGATTGAAAAGCGTCTTTGCTGCACACGACGAATGCTTAGGATATTGATGTGCAGATCTCAGAGGTGAGTATACTGTAAGGATGAGCGTGACTGTAAGAAGTGAGATGATCGAAGTCGACGGAGACTTGTGCTCCTACACAGAGACGAGCAGGTCGCACCTTCCCATTCCAACTTTCGTCGAGTTGCTCATATTCGGTCTTTTGCTTAGGAGCATCAACTATCGCTCTGCACCTTTTTTTTCTAATTCATATAGGGCATTAAGATCCTTTCCTGACAACGAGTGATTCGTGCATAACATTAGGTTGCGACTCGCCTCCGTCCTTCGTATGGGTCACACCGTAGCATCTATGACATGAGACTGCGGAGTTTTCACATGATTCAATATGCTGAGGCAACAGAAAATGCGGTGAAGTATTCCGGATAGTATCATGTATGCAAGACTTCAAAGATCTTGAACATAATTAGCTGGGACGCTCTTCACGACGCCACCCTTTTCGACGTCTGCCCACCCATCCCCAGTATCTCGATTCACGCACACGAATCGCTCCCCTTCACTCATCGTCCATTCGGCATCGCTTCTTGCTTCATAATCGTACATTGCTTCAACGTACTTGACTTTCTTGGCCCCTCGCCTTGGTGCGACCGCAGGCCCTTTCTTCTTGCTGTTTGCAGCAGCAGATGAGGCTCCTCCTGCCCCTGAATGTATGCTACCAGCTAGAGAGGTAGTGGAAGATGAATAAGACGACATAGGACGATCTGCGCCTAACGAATGTTTCGCCGGCACTTCAGGCACCTCTTCCAGATAAGTCGTCGGTACTAGACCAGCAGCCTCGCCGCAACGAACAGCTGTCCACCCTGAGCCGTCATCACGTTCGGTGATGATAACTTCGTCATCTTCGGATACCGATATCTCGCCTTCATTTGATGCTTGAAAGGGAAAAACCATCCTACCCTTGCGTTCTGAAGAAGCCGCGCTTAGATGTAGTGGGTCAGGACTGTTCGTATTTACTTCACTCACATATTGCGTAGGCGGCGGAGCGACAATTCGGTTCCGTCTTGCACCTACGGCTGGCTTTACTTTTGGTGGTGCATTCTCTGCACTTACTTCGGCAGGCCCATCGTCGTGTAAACTACGACCCGTGACCGATCTCGAAGCGGTGGCGGCATATCCCGAGCTCAAAGTATCCATTGTGTTGTTTCTGCTCAAGTCAGGCAATTCTGCTACGTTTTCGGGGAGGCCTCCATTTGATGCGGGTTGCACCACCTTCGAGGCTGCCTGCCTCTCCGCCTTGAGTTTTTTGCGCTCTTCTTTCGACTGCTCTCCCGGGCACTCTGCAGGAACCTTTAATTCACATTGTTTGTGGCATGTGTACCCACACTGTTGGCAATCAAATCCTTTTGCCGATAGTCCCCAGATACGGTCACCGCACAGATCACAATTTGTCGGGATCTTAAAGGTCTCGGGCTTGAAGTGATGGTTCTGCGCACCAAGAGACAAGTCTCCCACAGTGGAAATGATCGTCTGGCTCTCAACTTCAGCTGTTAAGCGCTGTCGCTCGACTTGGTGCAGATCCTCTTGCATGGAGAATAACCCTCGAACCACTTCCACCTCATCACGCTTCTCTTTGCCTGCACGGACGTTCTGTCGTAAGCGCGCAATGTTGTCAACATCCCTTCTCTTCTTGTCGGCTTCCTGCTTTAGCTCTCGAAGCTGGCTCTTGCTCTTGCCTAGCACGTTTCGCAGGTAGATCTTTGCTATCTCATCTGTGGCCATCGCACTGTCATCAAGCCATACCGGACTTGGTTCGAATACTAAATCCGAAGGCTCCTGCCAATGACTGACATTATGTTGCACAAACATGCTCGAGTCTAGGTAAGGTTCATTTCGAGGGATCTCTGAGGCAAGATGCTGAAGATGATCAGCACTTCGGCTCAGTGTAGCCGTTTCGATGGCATTTGCGTGACTCCACAACGCATTCATTTGGTTTACACGGGTTTCTGCGAGGTCTTGTAGGCTCTAACGTGCATCAGCAGTCTGTTCAAGTCATAAGATAGATCGAAATAGTCATACGTCAAGCAATTCTGGGACATATTCGTGGTAGTACCTCTGCTTCAGCTGATTGCTGACATTGATGCTGATCAAGTAGGTGTTCTGGACTTAGCTTAGCGCAGCATGTAGATGAATTGTTTTGAGCAGCAAACCTTGATGTTCTTCATCTCTGCCATTTGCTGCTGATAAGCTGATTGAGCTTTGCTCTTGCCATGATCGAAAGAGGATTCTGTTTTCTTGCGTTTATTCTCAACTTCCTGGCAGGCTGCGTCGTATCTGCCTTTTGTCTTCCTAAGGTCACTGTATGAGATATCTCTTTCCCGTTCCAGTTTCGCCGCATATTCCACGTGGCTCCTTCTGAGCTCTTCATATTGGAGACCCAGGTTTTTCAGCGGCTCAGCAATTTGCGATTGTAATTCAGTAGAATACCGATCGTGCTCTGACGCGACCGTTTCGACAGTGAATAGCTGTGCAGTCCATGTGGTCAGGGATGCACTGGAGAATCTGAGTGAGAATCGTGGGAAAGTATTCGGCAAAATATTGCCTACCTCTCCAAAGAGCCCGGAGTCAAGCTTGGGGTATCGCCAACACTCAGCCCACTGGCTCTTTTTGCTTTCTTTTCAAAGTATCTCTTTGCCAAGGCACTCAGCTTAGTGCTGTACTCCTTCTCAATAATAGCTCTTTCTCTGTAAAATTGCTGCTGGTCTTCCAGCCACGATATTCCATTTGAGACCCAAGCATTGACAGGCTTGAAAGCATCTTTCAGCTCGGTTCCAAAACGGGGGGCGGCGTCCACATCAGCTGCCGCCATACTAAGACGGATGAACTGGTCACAATACAGAAGCAGTCCAACATGTCACGGATCTCTTCCATCTAAACGAATTGATACTTACGAATAGCGCTTAGCCTCCGTGACGACTCCTGAGGCGCTTCGCAAGGCGAGAAACCCGGTCGCTCAAATAGAGTTTAGTCTTAGGTTCGGACCGGTATCTCTCAATGCAGCTACCTGCCATGATATTACCTTGTCTTACCTTACGTTAGGTTGTCTCCACCCCACCTGTGCATTCCTCAATTACGTTGAGTTATAAAGCTACTGGTACTGGTTAATTCACATAGAAACTCTCTTCGCACCATGTGAATTCCTTTCGGAAGGCTGTTGTTTGCCCGTTCGCTGAAGCCCTTCTTTTAACAACGCAATTCCTGAGCCTCGAAAACAAAAGCTTCGATTCGCATAGCCCACTTTACACCAGACAGCTGCTATTCTTGACACAGTCGTCAGATGGCGTCCCTTGCAGACCGAATAACCAAACCCGATGCAGATATGAATAGTTCATCGTGGGCAGATGAATCGACAAATGCCGCTAATGCTAGCTCTGCTACCGGAGAAGAAGTCTCTAGTACCGAAAATAGGACGAGTAGTCTAGCCGAAGATCAGACCGATGGAGCTCCCGGTCACATGGGTGGTTCCTCTGGCATTCTCGAGCCTACATATGATGTCGATGTGAAGCTCAGTGACCTTCAAGCGGACCCCAATGATCCACTGTACTCCGCAAAATCCTTTGAAGAACTAGGCTTGTGGGTGTCATAATCCGCGTAAGAGTTTGATGTGTTGACGGATCAATAGGAACGAGAATATTTTGAAAGGAATCTATCAGATGCGTTTCACCAAGCCCTCGAAAATTCAAGAACGTGCGCTGCCCTTGCTCCTGAAGGACCCACCCACCAATATGATTGGGCAATCGCAATCGGGTACAGGCAAAACCGCCGCTTTTGTCCTAAACATCTTGTCAAGAATAGACATATCACAGAAAGACTCTCCTCAAGGTCTAGTCCTAGCACCAAGCCGTGAACTCGCCCGACAGATCCTAGGTGTTATCCAAGTGATGGGTCAATTCATGGAGGGCCTCATCGTTGATGCAGCCATTCCGGTGGACGCGGCTAATCGAAAGCGTTTTATGACTGCACATATTGTTGTCGGTACGCCCGGGACTGTTACGGATCTGATCCGGCGTCGTCAAATGGATCCGAGGAACATAAAAGTGTTGGTATTGGACGAAGCAGACAACATGCTCGACCAACAAGGACTTGGGGATCAATGTCATCGTGTTCGACAGTAAGTCATTGCGTGCATAAGAGGTATATCTTTAGCTCACAGAAGGGAAAGATCCTTGCCCGCTAACATTCAGGTCCTTCTCTTTTCTGCAACTTTTCCAAATCATGTGGTCGAGTTCGCCGCAAGATTTGCACCAAACTCAAATCAGATTACACTCCGCCATGAAGAATTGACAGTCGATGGAATCAAGCAATTGTACCTCGACTGTCCTTCAGAAGGAAGCAAGTATGATGCGCTTGTGAAGCTCTATGGTCTGATGACCATCGGATCTTCCATCATATTCGTCAGAGTCAGTTTAGCTACATAGATTCCGGTTATGTCAGCTAACGACTATAGACGCGTGAGACCGCGCTCGCGATTGAGCGCCGGTTAAACGAAGAGAACCACAAAGTTGCCTGTCTGACAGGTGCTTTTGAACCCGGACAACGTGATATCATCATCGATGCCTTCAGAACTGGCCAAGCAAAAGTCTTGATTACGACTAACGTCCTCTCCCGTGGCATTGACGTGCAGACAGTCTCTCTTGTCATAAACTACGTAAGTGCCCTGTCGCATGTCTCCCTGGCACGAGTTCACGTTCCGCAGGACTTGCCCGACGATGGTCGTGGTAATGCCGATCCGCAGGTATACCTTCACCGCATCGGTCGTACAGGACGCTTTGGGCGTGTAGGCGTCTCTATAAGCTTAATTCACGGGCGAAAAAGCTACCAAATGATTCAGCAAATAAGAGATTATTTCGGCGTTGACATGACTGCTCTCCCGCATGACGATTGGGATATGGTGGAAAATATGATCAAAAAAGTCATCAAAAGTTCTCGAGCTGGATCCAATTTCAAGACAGTGACTAATGATATCACTATGTGAGCATACTAATGAGCGAATGCTAATCGCATGCAATTGCATCTGTATATACCCTATCATTGGCGAGAAGCTTTCAGATCATGCCATCCCGAGTCTTGTACTACTTTTGAAAGAGCTACTCAGAGTTGATGTCCGCGCTGTGAAAGTCATGTTGCGTGGATTTCGTACTAGTAAGAGACTGGTAGGACTTAAGAATGACGATTGAGACAGGAGAGAATCACATCTTGCTAAGTCGAGGGCTGAACAGATGAGGCATCATTTTCCAATGAGGGCGGCTTACGTGGTGATGGCAGAGATGACTGGAAGAGCACAAGCATGCATTGCAATTGGCAAACCATACCTCAATATTTATTCATTATACCCATTGCGGTGTCCTTTCAATCAGCTCCAGTCACAAGCCTCCGCAAGAACGTTAGCTAATCGCTTTAGCCCTTGCTCATCGTCTTCATCGAAACCACCTGGAAGCACGCAGTCTACATCGATGATGGCTACCACTTCTCCTTTCACACTTATGGGGACGACAATCTCACTCCGGCTCGCACTGTCGCAGGCGATATGGCCAGGCCAGTCTTCCACGTCGCACACCCGCATTGTCCGCTTTTGTTGAGCCGCAGTGCCACAGACACCGCGACCGAAAGCAATGGATTGACAGGCTGGCCGTCCATGGAATGGTCCTAGGGTCAGTTCGCGTGCTGACGTGCGCACATAGAAGCCTATGCCCAACAATGCCTCAGATGATCAGAGCCACCTCGTTTGTTGGGAACAACATACCAGCCCAGTTGACTTCATTTGATGGAGACGGTAATGCGTGATATGCATGCCAAAGTAGAGACGAGGCATTGGCAAGATTGCTTGCAAGCTTTGTGAGCCAGCCATTTCTCGCCCAGTTTGTAGAGACGACTCACCAGACCTAGGATAAGATGATAAGCATTCTGAATCCAGCCTTACCATTTGAGAGTGTTCACCCAGTTGCGTTGACCTTCCATCAAAGCGGCTGCATTGGCAATGAGCTCCTCGTAAACTTGAGGCTTCGAGGCACGAGCTGAGAAGCGCGAGGCGTCTCCATGGACCTAAAGCAGCATGAGATCCTGTCTCACGTTCATGATAGGTTGTCGAGACTAACCATGACGGCGAAATGAGAAGGGGAGAAGCGCCGACCTTCCTTGTCTTCCTTTCCCTCGATATGGCTCAAGTTGCGAGCTGATAAGTTTTACTAACGAGCTAAGGGGAGCTAATGCAGCTTATGTAAGGCTGTCGGTCGCTATTCCTTCCGACGGGAACGTCGACAGCCCCTCCAGCCCTGCTCCCTAATTTCTCTGCAGCGACTGGGATGATGTAGGATTATCAGCTATGGATTCCCTTCAACCGCGCTGCAGCTGTCGAAGCTTGAGCTTCGTCCCCAAATACCCAACGTTCGACGTGACTTAAGAATCCATCCAACGTCCTTTTCTCTCCAAGTCGACTCATCATGTCTTCCACAGCCTGTTGCTCTGGCTTTGAACATTCTGGGGAGCCAAAAGGACGCGTGGAGTCACTACATGGTCTACCTACCTATGTGGCTGAACCCAGCAATAATGCAGAGATCAAAGCTGTCATTGTAATGATCCCCGATGCCTTTGGTTGGGAGTTCGTCAATTTGCGGCTTCAATCCGACATTTTTGCAGATAGGCTAGGGGTGCAGTGCTTACTGCCGGACTTTATGAATGGTCAGTTCGAGATTGCCGTCATGTACGGCTGGTCAGAAGTTCAATCATTGACAGGTGCTTTGTCTAGGCAGTAGTGCCCCCTTGTCTGGTTTGATGAACCTCAAAAATGGTACCAACCCGAAGAGATCATATATGAGCCGAGTGTAGACATCCCCCCCTTGCTCCACGACTAGCAGCTTATTTAAGCAACAGTGTGCCATCCCTCAAAGGTTTCTCAACAATAAGCTCGTTTTATGTGAGCAATCGCTTTGCTATCTGTTGGCCTCGTGTGACGGCCTTCGTCAGAGGCGTGAGGGAAAGCACAGACCTCCCCACCGGTGCCATAGGATATTGCTGGGGCGGCAAGCGTACGTAAAAACGCTCTGATAGCCTTACTCAAAGGTGCCAAGACTGACGTGCGCCTCGACCAGACGCAATCCGCCTGGCGCATGGAACTGAGATCACAAACAGTGGCAAACCGCTGATCGACGTAGCATATGTTGCCCATCCCTCAGCCCTCGAGCTTCCCGTGGACATTGAGAAAATCTCAATGCCAACGCTCATCTCTCAAGGCACGGAAGACTTCGTGCTGGACAAGAAGGGTATCAAGGTCATTCAGGAAGTCTTTGAGAAAAAGAAGACTGAAGCCCGTGAAGGGTCAGAGGGACAGAGGTATGATATTAAGGTCATTGAGGGCGCCATGCATGGCTTTGCTGTGAGGGGAGACCCTGACGATAAAGCGGAGCTAGAATACGCACAAATAGGCGAGGATCAAGCGGTCGAATGGTTTAAACAATGGTTGGTCAAAACCTGAAATGGGAGGGCTTTGGGAAAATCTGGTATCAGCAATCAGTAGTTCTGATAGAGCTATGCTCGGCACTTTATACAGCAAAGATACAACACGTTCTCGCTCAAATCAGTTTCGGGTCAACCGTGAGACCCGGGGTATCTTCAGCATCCATACCTTCAACACCGAACTCATCGTCAATCAATTGCCTCATGTTAGTCTCATCCTGAAGCCACTGCGTACTGGAGTCTGTCATTCCCTCGTTATTGATTCCACCGAGCCAAAAGCCTTCGTCATCCTTGGGGATGTCATTCGCAGCTGTCATACACGCATCAAGCGCTCTCTCAGCAACCAGATCTTCATAACTGACGTGTTCAACGTATCCTTGCAGAGATGGATGGGCATAGACGTCATTCATAGTGCTCGAGGCCGTCAATTGGTCTATTGCCGACGCTTTCTTACGCGCTCGTTTCTCATTCCTCGGCTTTCCAGCAGGCTTCGTCCTGAGACCGCAATGAATGTTACGGATATGCTCGACTAGTCGACGTTTCGAAGTAAAGTGCCCTCCACATGCATTATTGCCATCCCATGCCTCGAGTCCTTTCAAATCTGTGGATGTAGTAGCCTCGCATATAAATTGTTTCTCGCCGTGGAATGACTTAATGTGCTGATTTAGATTGCCTTTAGTGGTGAAGCCTCGTCCACAGTCAAGTTTAGGACAGATGTATTTCCTCCGCTGGTCGAGGTCCAAACCGCTGTGGAACAGTTCGATATGCCTTTTCAATTCTGCTTGTGTCCGATTCTTTAAGCCGCACTCGGAGCAGGTCGGGGGATGTACCTGAGCAAGATGCTCCTGCAATGCTGAAAAGGTGGAAAAGGTTATGGATATGTCCTTCTCCACAGCTGCTTGCCCTTCGTTGTCGGAACATATTGAGCATACGTATCTCTTGATCTCATGCAGTCTCCCTTCATGATCCTTCAGTTTGCTTGCAGTATCAAAGCCAGCATTGCATCGTTTGCCGTCGTCATCGAGAAAGGCGCAGATGAATGGTTTCTTTCCCTCATGCACTTTGGTAATATGAACTTGCAGCGTCGAGTGCTTTCGAAACGTTTCCCCGCAATCGACGACGGTACATTTGAATTTTTCGCGACCTTCATGGGCCGCAAAATGCCGCCTTAGTCGTGTGGCCGTTAGGAAGCTCTTGCCACAATCTTTCCATGTGCAATTAAAGTCCCGCACATCAGTATGTGCGGATTGGATGTGATGTTTGAGATGGGTGGGTCTTAGAAAATCCTTCTTGCAACCAGAGTGGGGACAGACAAAGGGCCGAGTATTTGTGTGAGAGCGTAGATGCTCTTCAAGTCTAGCAGGTCGATTGAAAGCCTTGTCGCAGCCCTCGAATGTGCAAACATGTATTTTGTTCACATCTGAAGGATGGCGCGGAGTCGAACTAGAGGAGATGGGGGTCAATGGAGTCGTGAAGGTGCTCTCTTCAAACGCATTCTCATCATAGCTACCACATGAGCGAGAGTCGGAGCCTTAATGCGCTCATGTCAGTCACTTTCTCGGGAATTTTGTATAAAACTTCGGGGTCATTTGGCGTACCTTCCAAACTTGGGCTTGCGGGCGCCCAAGAAGGTATGACATCTTCGTAAGAGGCCTTTCGTTTGACTCCTCGGGGGACATCGGTACTCTTGACGGCAAGGGCCATCTTATGGCAAGCTTCTGGAGAGCAGTGTGCTCATCTCATGCGGCTTGATGGAGAACTCACTCACTCTTGTCGATTGTGTGCGCAAATTTCATAACGCTTTTCCTACCCCAGAAATACTGACCATACTGCCACGGCTGTCGTTCAGGGGTTTTGCTAGCCCTACTGTCATTCTCCCACACCTCAGACCAAAATTAGGCTGTGAGTAGCGATGCACGGCTCGAGAAGCGACGAACTCATGGTCATGGGTCCTCTTGTTAGACTGAGCACCAGAGCTGTGCATATTTAGCTATGGGCTGATACTTGCTTTCCCTGCATGGAAAGCACCATTCCCGCGGCTGAGCCTCAGCAGGCTGACAACTTGCTTGCTATCACATCTATCTCATGACTCACATTGATCAATGGTTTATCTAGAAATAACTCCATGGCTCGCATCTTCTGTCATTTTCTTCCACTATTGACACTGCTACTTCGTCCTCCTGAATTGTGAATTTTGTGTGCTGTCTCATCATGGCTTCTCCCATTTCTCCGCTCGAAGTCATCGAAATAGTGAACTTTGCGTTTCAGTTGTGTAAGAATTGTAAAGCTGCAAAAGACGATTGGATTCAAGTAGGGAAGGAGGTCAACGCCGCCCATTCCGTCGTGCAGCTGGTTCAGATTCAAGTCGACGACCGAACTTCCATTATTAACACATTAGACGACAAGAAAAAGACAACTAGTAAGCAATTAGGCGTCCATGTTCGAAATTGTTATCAAGCTCTCAAGGACGTGGATAAGGCTCTGAAACGGTACAACCAGATGAGCGGTCTGCAACAATGGAAATGGGCATGGCATGGGAGTGATGAAGTCGATGATCTAATGGCCAACGTCTCTTCATTTTCAACGCAGCTTGACAGCTTCGTCAATGCTGTAAATTTGAAAGGCATCAATGCGATTTATCAGAAACAAAAGAGCCTTCGTGTCGGTATAGGCCGAATTGAGCAAGCCCTTGAGCTGAATGGTGGTGATACGAAAGATGCCGTGAAGAACGCCATGGAAGACGTCGAAAGAACTAGTAAGTCGCAAAAGCATTGTGAGAAGTATAAATCGATTCTGGAGGATTATGCGGAAGAGGTCAAAAGGGAGGACAGGGAGAAACGCACCGACGAAAAGCAGAAAGACCAGAGAGGTCGTAGGTTATCCAGCAGCACACTTGCACCTCCGAAAAACAAAGACCGTCCACAATCTGCAGGTACTGCGACAAAGAGAGATCAAAAGTCATCAGTCAAGCCAGTTGAAAGGCCAAAATCTTCGGGAAACATGAAACCAAAATTCACATTAGAGTGCTGGTTGGTACAAATCAAGTCGGGAGACGCACTAATCGTATCATGGCAATTTTCGGAGAAGGAAATTCAACCCCGTGGTCAATATAGACTCCAACAGATGGCAAAGCAATTTCGACAGAGCAAAGGCTCAAAGCTCCGTGACAGCCACGATCTAGTCGGCTGGGTGGTCAAAGACCGACAGAAGGCCGAGACGGATCCAAGATATCTGTGGCAGCCTTACGCGGCAAAGATAGAAGCGAAAGGCGATCTTTCGCTGAACATGGGAGTCGAAGAGCAAGCTATGGTCATTATCAAGCGCGATTTGACCCCTGAGGAAAAGGCGAAGAAGGAAGCGAAAGAGAAGAAGGCACGGGCTGAGAAAGAGGCGTCGAAAAAAAAAGCCAAATCCAAAGCTGACGTACAGAAAGAAAAGGAAGCAGCGGTGCAAGCAATAGAGAAGCAATGGTAGAAACGGCAAACGGCCAAGGACGACAAGACGAAGAAGGAGACCGCAAAGAGAAAGGCGGAGATCGAGAAGCTGGGGCGGCAGGTAGAGCAATTACAGATGGACCAGAAGCAGAAGGGCGACGGCAGCTTGAAGAAGCCAATTAATCAGATGAATGGTGACACCAAAAACAAAAGCCCGAGTCCAAATCCAGATCGGAAGAAGAGGAAGTCCGTATCAGAAGCGAAACCAGGCCATGACTGATGTCATGCTTAAGGGATATGCCTGATTGCCGGAAGACAATATTCTCCTTCATCACAATGGTCAATTTTGCCTCTGGGGATGACAATGTTATATGATTGAGGAAACGGCCATCCACACTGACTTATTCTTACCAAAGGGCCCTCAACCGTAAGACTGCGGCACTCAAAAGCACTATCTCTATATCACTTCTGAGGGAAGAGAAACTTGTTGTGTCTATGCTACACCGATGTTGAGATGCTTACGTGACCGCCTTCTGTGGGCGTCTTCAAGCCATGGATCAACAAAAATCTACAAAAGGCACGTCCCCTCAGAAGAATGACCTTCTCTTGGATCTAGGTCCCAAAATGGCCTAAGAACATAATATAAAGGGGAAATAGCGGACAGATATCAAGTCGAGATATCTCATGGTTGATGGCAATACAAGGCCGATGGCTTTCCCGCAAGCCTTGAACACGCCAAATGATAGTCGAAAGGGAATCATCTTTACTATGAACATAATGAGCGCGATTTGCCTTAAAAGAAATGCAAAAGATAAGTGACTTTTTGTTACTGCCCAGAGGAAAGCACTGTAGTAGGCATTCATTTGATTTTAACAAAATCGCAGTCCTACTTGGTCCCAGATCTCTCCACTAACCACACCTGGACTTACGCTACGCGAGGATAATATTGTAGATAGCCGAGTATGATATGTCGTTCCGAGCGGAAGCAGTAGAGATGTCAGAAGAGATCTTGGTATTGCTTCTCCACGTGACATGCGGTATTGGTTTGCCACTGGGCGTCCGCAGACATAATCTCTAGATCCTTTAATCCATTTACTTATGATCAAACCTTGTTCTACACAGAATGCTTCGTCATATGGTACATTGCGCTGCTCAGACTGCCTTGCTATCGTCTCTTCGTTAACTCCGGCTCACCTGTGCCCTGGCTGTGAACCTGTCCATTTGCATGATCATTCACGTGACCATGGCTGTGATCGTGGTCATGTTCCTCTGGCTCAGGGCTGCTCTTTGGACTGAGATCTGTAGAAATTAATTCGTTCATTGGATTGGAACTTGCTTCGGTGTTGGCCTCAAACTTAACCTTCACCCGCCTGATTCCCCTGACTTTGGCTCCGATGCCTCGTCGCACTAAGTCCTCAACCGGTCGGGTGTCTTTGACAGTCATCGTTTCAGGTACGCCTAGCTTCAGCTCTACCAGGTAATTTTGGCCGGCTTTGATCCCTGAAACTTCCCGTACTTCGATGTTTTCTAATTGCAAGCCAGATGTGGATGACTCGGACGAGAGAGCTTTACGAGCCGCCCCGGAGACCGAGTTTCTGGTATCGGCGTCGATGTTTATATCCGCTAGCTCACGGACAGCGTTACCAACATTCGTCCATCCAGCTTTGATGACCATCAAGGATACTAGAAGACCGCCAACGGGGTCCAGCCAGGCCACCGAGGAGAGAATATTAGATGCGAGGATTGCTGTCAGGGCAACGATGCTGGTGAGAGAATCTATGCGGTGATGGACAGCATTGGACGCTAATACAGACGACTTCCGTTCTCTAGCTATTTTGATTGCTAGATAGGGGACTAGTCAGCACTTCGAGGTAGACAGCAACAGAAATCAATGAACGTACTTGCACGATATAAGTATTCCTTGACGAGAATGCTGCCGCCAGCTATCCACGCTGCATGGATGTTTGGTATACCCATATCGGCCGGGTTGTGACTATGGCTATGGCCAAATATGCTGCCCCCTCCATGACTATGTCCATGTTCATGTGCGTGGCCAGCATGTTCTGCGGCAGAGCCTATTGTTTCAATTGCCGGAGACAACATGCTGTAAAGCATTTCTACACTGTGCCATCCCAATCCCATGCCACCAGCAAGCAGGAGTGTGCTAACGCCCAAGCTACCTAAACTCTCGACCTTGCCATACCCAGACGGGAATCGCTCTGTTGGAGGTCTGAGAGCAAAGGCAACGGTACCAAGCGTGAGTATGTCCGACACAAGATCTGTAAACGAGTGGGCGGCGTCTGCGAGGAGTGACTGTGAGTTGAGGAAGTAGCCACCCGTAGCTTTCCCAAAGGCCATGAATACGTTCACATATAGGCCAATTCGCGTGATGCGGACGCCAGCATCCTTCTTGTTCTTTGAGGTCAAGTAGGTATTGTCGTGTTTGTGGGAGTGGGAGTGAGCGTGACTGTGGCCGCCGTGATCCCGCCGTTGAGATTTCCAAGGCATTCTGGATGGAAGACGTATGCTCTGAGACGCGCGGAAGAGGGGGAGACAGTGGTGGAGGGCGCTGTTTGAGTGAAAGAGCTTCGAAGGCGTATGAGAGGTACGTAGCCGTGCTTGGGCCCCCAAAACGGGTGGTGACAAGCCCCAATGGATGCGCCGTGTCAAGTAGAAAGGTTCAGAGCCGCTCCGCAGCGCTGCAAGCAACATCCGTCCCTACTTCTCCACGATACTGGGACCATTGAGTCAAAGACAAAGAAAGGAGGCCCGCATGCCCAAAGCTTGCCCTCTGAGCATGAAGCCTCAACTGTCTTCCAGTGGTGACTGCCTCAAGCGCTGCAATCAATATTGATGCCGTTTCATTGGCGGGCGATCCGCTGAAAGTCAATTTTGGACATCTTCAAATGACGTCTTCCAACTTCCTTCCTACCTCTTCATCCCCATCGCCATCAGCAGCCATCAGCTCCGCAAAAGACCGTAGGGGCCGCATTTCCCATGAGTCTTGAGAGTCGCAATCATGCGCAGGTTAACACAGGACACACATCCTAGGATACGAGGGTATCTCCTCCAGTTCTATCTTGGGCCAAACCCAACCACACGGTAACGACGCAGAGATGTCGAAACCATTGATGCGCATTCCCTACACAGGACCGTTGCCACCACCAGTCATATTTCCCAGGTCTGCGAATACATCATCTGGCGCCATACATGCAATATCCAAGTTCCTGTTTAATCCATCCGACAGTGCTCGGGGAGATGGGTCGAAGAAAACGGTTCTACTGACAGGAGCCGGCATATCGGTAGCTTCTGGGCTGGCAGATTATCGCGGTACAGGAGGTACCTACACCTTGAACAAAACATATAGACCTATCTATTACCATGAATTCATCTCGAACCACGAAGCAAGGAAGAGATACTGGGCGAGGAGCTTTCTTGGGTGGACGAATCTGAATCGTGCAAAGCCAAATGTTGCTCACTATGCTGTGCGTGATCTGGGATCTGCGGGTCTCTTGAGTAGCGTAATCACGCAGAATGTGGATTCATTCCACTCCACAGCCCATCCAAGATTGAAGACGATCGAGTTGCACGGCTACCTCAGATCGCTCGTTTGCATCCATTGCCACAACGAGCTGCCGAGGAAGGAATTTCAAAAGGATCTCACTACCTTGAATCCTGCTTGGGCTGCATTTCTTGATGAGATGCTGGCGGTGGGCGCACTCGACTCGGAGAATCCTGACGAGCGAAAAGCCAAAGGCCTCAGGAGCAATCCCGACGGCGACGTTGACGTACCAAATGCTCCATACTCGACTTTCCGTTACCCAGCGTGCCCGACTTGCCTAGCGACTCCGCCAACCCTTGCGGATGGTTCTAAAGCGAAAGTTGAGATTGATCATGATGGGGCGTGGTCTCCAAGCTCCACAGCTGGAGTGCTCAAGCCTGCAGTGATTATGTTTGGCGAGTCTATTCATGCTGATGTCAAAAGCGAGGTCGAAAAGGCCATTGATGACGCTGCGAGAGTTTTGGTCGTTGGATCCAGTTTGGCTACGTATTCAGCTTTTCGACTCATCAAGAAAGCAAAAGGACAGGGTAAACCGATCGGTATCTTGAATCTGGGCGGGATTAGAGGAGAACAAGACTTCTTCACTGAGATTCCTGCCATTAACCAGGGAGAACTAGGTGTGAGATGCAACGAAAGTGCTAGTAGCATTCTGCCTCTGATTGTAGATGGATTAAAGCGAGCGGGGGTTTTCGAATCCAATCCGAAAATTTGGCACGAGATGAAGTGGGTGATATTGGACATTATGAGTCTACACCTTTGCGAATGCCTTCATGAGCATTGTGACTCCTTGGGTATATAAAAATCGTAAAGTGCATCCAAGAGTCTCAAGACTCGTTGCGATGTGCTCTTTCCGCCAACGCCGTGCGCTTTTGGTCCTCTGCAAATGCATCATAATAATTCTTCGCAAGTCCAGTCCTCATAGCTACAATACGGTCAGCTCGAGGTCATTCAAATTGTCCTGAAATCTGGGGACTGACTAGCCATCTGGCAGATACCTCCTGACTACCAGCGGAATTTTCTTTTCTCGAAGCTCTTTGATCGCGATCTGGAGTGGATCGGTCTCGCCCTCCAAATCCACCAGGACTGGTGCGTTCATACTAGAGAGCCGTGTGTCAGCATCCCTCCTCGTAGTCTCACCCCAAACTCCTCCCCAAACTCCTCCCCAGAATGTAGCCGATATTGATATACCCCACACAAGGGACGCGCCGGACTATCATCTCTCCATCTTTGCTCCCACGCTACTTCTACCTCAGAGTTCCAGGCCACTCCCCTTTGTCCCATCTGTGCAATAACTAGACATACCTAATTTGCAACGCCCGCGTCCCCAAAACCCTTGCGCGCTCATACTTGGTCATGTAAGGCGTAGTACTCCTCGCATCATCTGCGATTTTCTTAGATCCTTTCCCTCCCTGGGTCTTTCTCCCTGCTCCTTCTCCACTTAGACCACCTTCCCCACCATTGATTTCCACGACCCCCCTTCCGGGCATTGTCGCGCCATTGACGGTAGGATATTTTGCGTCTGGATCAGCATGTGCAGGTGCGGGTGTCTGCGCGGCAGTGGACGGGTCGTCATCTTCGTGAGGAGAGAGAAGAGCTTCGTCGTCATCGAAAGTGGGCTCCTGGGGTTCGTACTCGTCGTAGCTGTAGAATGATTTATGGTATTAGCAGAGGTATTTTCTTGGTCAGTTGTATGCGTGGGTTGATATCTGGGGGTGGATTGAGTTAGGGTGTAATAGAGGGAAGGGACATGTACACATCATCGGCGTCATCGCCGCCGTAGTCTGACATCTTGTCTTTATGAAGTAGGTGAAGCAAGTGAAAGCGCGGAGCAGCAGAGGTCGAAGATCATTTTGCGACAGAAGTCAAAAGGATTTTGCTACCACAGGTCGGCTAAAAGTTTAACACCAAACATTCCCTTCCGCCCGCCAAAACCTTCTCGACTGCCAGCGAGAGGCGGCCCATGATTTCACTGAGGAATTTGACCCAATGACAGGTTTACAAAGAGCAATGCCGTCGTCCTTTTCAGTTTTAAGATACATAGCCTGTCAACTTCCAGAGTTGCATTTGCAAATTTACCGTGAGATTTTTGCCTTTCACGACAGCTAGGCTTTCACTCATCACATTCGGCAAGGTCCTCTTCAACTTCTCTACGAGATCGCTGCCGAGAAGTACCTCCAAGTTGTAGATTGGCACGTACTTGCCCTTGTAAGTTGCCATTGCATACGGTGGCGGGTGTTGCCCTCCTCTCTCTCCTCCCGTAGCTTCTAGCTCTTCGCCATCAACGCCCTTCGCTCTCGAGTTACCAAGCCATAGCACAGCAGCGACGTTCGGTTTCTTAGACACGTCGACCCAATCCAGACAAGGCACGAAGTATATCCGACTCGTCCTGGCTGCAAGCTTTTCGATGCTTTCTACGATTTCTCTTCGCATTAATCTTAGACAGAAGTCTGCCATGTCCTCTCTCCACACTGTTTTGGCTGGTTGTATGACGCCCCCAGCTTTCATTCGCTGTGGGAACATGGAGAGGTATCGAGAGCCCGAAGACGATCGAACCGAAATGTAGTCCAAGGCTTTGTACGATGAGATGAAGTATTTTCCACCCAGGGTTCTTGAGGGCAGTCTCAGGTTCTCCAAGGAATCACTCTCGGGCTTCTTGCCGACTGTAGGCTGCTCTTGAATCTCACGACTCCAGTCAGCTCCCAAAGATTTTGCTTTCTTGATAGCAGCAGCTTCTTCTCTAGCGGCAATCTCGGCGGCTAAGCTTGGAAGTTGCCAGTGAGTACCTATCTCCGGATGTGTAGCTATACCAAACCGAAACAAGAAGTAGCTGGGCAAGCGAATACCCGTGAAAAGGCATTGGCGAGCTGGAGTTGCAAGTGCCTGAGCTACGGTGAGCATCGATTTTAGTAATGCAAAGCTAACCTTGACTGAAAGAGTCTCACCAAAAGGGTTTCTACGCAGTCTTAGCTGGAATGGAGTCAACTCCTCTTCCTTGGCTGGCTGTTTTGGCTTCTGATGGCCAAATCTCGCGGCATTGAGCGTGGGGTCAGTCAAGGGCGACGGCGGAAGATCCTTCGCCGTGGCTAGCGGCGCATTGAGATCATTTGGGTCAATCGTATTGTGCTCTCCGCCAGGAAGCTGCAATTCGTTCAGAAGGCTTGAGTTGCTGGGAACTGAAGCTAGCGATTTGGTGTGTGAGAATGAGCCACTGAGATAGCGATATTGAACTTTGTTCTGCTTTTGTAATCCTCTCCATGCTCTCATACCCTCAGAACTTGCATCAAAGTGATCCAATCCATTAAATTCCTCTGAATACTTTGCGCTGTGGAGTAGGAATGTAGTGTGGAAACTGCTCACTGAATAGTCGGTTTTAGGGGTTCTGCTAAATCCAAAAGCATGCGACTAGTCAGCCCTTTTATTCCACTAGCTACAGCTGCTCTTGAAGAACAGTCCGTTCTCAATTTTGAAATGAATCACATAATACGAAGTAGAACGCCTCTCAGATGTACTTCACTCAAGTTACGCTATGCTACAATGCTTGGCCAACGGCATTCCTCTGATGCTCCCGGCTCTAAATTGGACGAGAAATCACAAATACCTCGTTCATGGGTGCCAACACCGTATGTTACGGAGACCATTGTACGTCCAGCGCTCTGGATAATGCAGAAAACTCCTGACTGTCCAGGGTGGTGGATGGCGAACGCGTACGACTCATGCAACCAAGTTGTTCAGGGTACTCGCTAACGGAGGCAACAAGACGACATCTTTTCTAGACTCTTAATGGTATGAATCTTCGACGGCGGACCCTCCGTGATTGCTCATTTTCAGCATTAAGGAACGTATTATATGTCTGAATGGCCCAGTAGATGAGACAGTATCCGCCAGCATCGTGGCACAACTCCTCTTCCTCGAGGCTGATGCGCCTGACCGACCTATTTCCCTCTACATTAACACTCCTGGTGGCTCTGTTACTGCTGGCCTCGCCATCTACGATACTATGACATACATCACGTCGCCTGTCACTACAACTTGCGTAGGCCAAGCTGCGAGCATGGGTTCCTTATTATTGTGTGGGGGGCAGCAGGCAAGAGATTTTGCCTGCCACATAGCAGTATCATGGTACATCAGCCCAGCGGAGGATACTTCGGACAAGCATCAGATATCGCTATTCATGCGAAGGAGATCTTGAGGGTGAGGGCACAGTTGAACGAGATTTATCGACGGCATTTGACGAAGTCATACACGGTCGAAGAGCTTGAGAGGTTGATGGAGAGAGATAGATTCTGCAGTGCAGACGAAGCGAAGGAAATGGGCATCGTGGATGAGATTTTGGATAGGAGGAACAAGGATGGAGAGGAGCCACGGAAGCTGTGATGCTGGAGGCTAACACGATAGAACCCACTCAAGCTTTCTTCATACCTCTGTAAGTCTCGACGCCGAGATGAAAGGCGCCTCTCTTGTAGCCACCAAATCTGTCTCCAAGTCACCAGAACACTTTACAAATGTTGCTCCCAACATGCTATTGCGGGAAGTACGCTCCACCAGCAATGACCAGGTTTTGACGAGTGAAGCGACATTTGTAAACGGGGCTTTTCTTCGTCGGGAAGGCACTTATCTGGTCAGCAGTGACCACTACGTCTTTCCCTTTCTTCTTGCCGGCGCCAGCCACTGTTTGAATTTGCGAATTCCCATCGATCTTCTGTCCTGTGCCACCCTCTGCGACGACTCTACCCTGGCCGAGCGCACCGTTCTCTTTGGCTGGCTCTGGCGGATCAACGTCCCAGACACGTACTGTTCCATCTGCGCCACCAGAGACCAAAATATTTGATTCTACACTCCATGTGACAGACCATATGCCGCCTCTTGCATGACCTCGCATCCGCTTTCTCAGTCGCCCCAATGCCAAGTCCCAAAGGATGATTGTGCCTGCATCATCTGCAGAAGCAAGGACTTTCCCGCCTGGGCTACATGCCATTGACGTGATGTTACCAGTGTGTCCTGTGAACATGCGAACAGGACTGCCACTAGAAACAAGCCACATGCGAACAATCCTATCTGCACTCCCACTGAAGACGTAAGCGCCATTTGGGTGAAAAGCAACAGTGTCAACATCCTTATCATGACCGACGAACATTCGAAGGTCAGCAATGTGATCTGTTCGCCAAAGACGAGCTGTCTTGTCATGGGATCCGGTGAGAAAATACAGCCCAAAAGGTCCCCAAGTGACATCCCAGACAGGATGATTATGACCTTTATAAACGACAAGGCAGCCCCACGTATCCATTGACCAAAGCCGTACTGTGGTATCTGCGGAAGATGAAAGGAGGTACTTCGGACCAGTAAAAACTCCTGTGGAATCATTTGACGCAGTGGCAGGGGAGAAAGACACGGCGTAAACGGGGCCAGAATGACCTATCAAGCGACGAGAGGCTGATGGCTGCTGACCTTCAACTAGCGAAGGTAATGGTTTCCCATCGAGGCTCCAGACTCGGACATACGACTCGCTCATTCCCGCTGCGACCAGCAAGTTATCCTCTGAAAAGTCTAGACAATTGACACTTTCTCACATCAGTTCCCATTCGCGGTATTTTGGACATCTTACTAACCTGTCATAAGTGTTGTGGAAAGTGAACATGGTTACGCTTACACCAGGCCCGACGCCACCAGTTCGAGTCTCAATTTTGAAACGATCACGATCTTCTTTGATTTTCTGCACCTCCATCGCAACATCTCGAGCGATTGAAGAAGGCATCTGGAGCTCATTCCGAGTTGGCGCATCCTCGCTTTCCTCCCGTTTTATGCGATCCTCAAAGTGGCTTACAAGAGAAGGCTGGCCCTCAGCTGGTGGGTTCTTGGCGTCTTCATCTTCAAGCTCTGCGTGGACATCGTTTCTGAGGTCTTCTTCCATTGGCATTGGACCTAATTTCAATCTTGTTAAGACGCTATCTCCTGCCGCCCGGCTCGTGTTTGCAGAGCCTGGGTTGTGTCCTGGTATACCCTCATCTTCTGCTGGGAAATCCTCATTTGCCTTTGCCCGATTCAAGACTTGGGCCAGCGCAAATTGGGAGTCATTGCCCCGCTCGATCGTATTGACATTCAAGTGATTTTGAATTACCCCAACCAATACATTTCCTCCTTCCTTCTCCTTTTCCTCCAAGAATCGAATTAGGTTGTAGAATGCAACAGAGCTGATAGATAGACGATATTTCGCCCCGCGATAGATTTTTGCGGTGTCATTCGTGGCAACATGATCAGGTAGGGAGATAGACTCCAAAGCTCGAAGGTCGTCCACATGCTCTGTCTCAAATTGTGCTTTGAAAGAATGTAGGAAAAGCTTGCTCTCCTTCTGTTGGTCATCTGATACTAGATTCAAAAAGGAATAGACAAATATGGGCCAAAACATCCGTCGCAGGTCGGGCTTTGATGGATTCAGAAGTGGACATCAACAGCGAGAGAAGGGATCTGACCTTGTATATATCTAGATTGTCTTCGACCCATCTGCGTAAAGTTTCTGTGGACTGAGTATAAGCCGAAGTAACTCATTCTGAGACTGTCATTTGAATTTACCAAAGCCTTGTCTGTATTTAGCACCACTGAGATCTTCTGTCTTCGTCGATATCGGCCTGCCGTCAGCCTCGTGTGCCGCAGATTCGGCCCGAAGAGTTGCTTCGGTCTTGGTATAGCCTTTCTTTGATAGATATTCGATGACCTGAAGATGCTTGTAAGCAAGGTCCAAGATCATGCCTTTTGTTAGGATTCTATGGCATGCTGTACAGAAAGACGTAACAAAGTATCTTGCAGCTTTTGATATGAACAGAAAAGGAGTGGCAGCACAAGTGTTCATGAACGCGTAATTTTACAAGTCCATTAAGTTTCGACAAAGGTCGGTGGTCCTGGGAGTTGAAAATTTCGGCTTCCCGCGACCAGGCATAACGGTGCGCCACAAGATCCTCAACGGATTGCTGCAGGACACTGATACAGTACCAACCTTCAAACTTCATATCATCTTAGATTTCGAGAGAGCCAAGCTTCCCATGTTGTGCCACTAGGAACCAGACTCGCTTTAGTTGCACAACTTTACAAGTCAGAATTCGCTGATCTCGAGGATTTTGAAGGAAAGGCGTTGAAGGCAGCGTACAAGACGTCTGCTCGTTCCTCACTGTCTTTGAAATCGGGGTTTTGAGAGCAGTACGTGTGCCAAGGTCTACCAAAATAATCGGGTAGCAAAGCTGCCCACTCCACCTTGAAGGATCCAGCTCTGTCAAGTCAGTATGCTTACCCTTCGACCTTGCGTTTTTCAAAACACTGACGTTCCTACTTGCTATGACCAGCCTTCACCGTCCCAAGCCTTGTCTATCTCCTCGTCAGATGATACCGTCGCATCCAGTATTCAACCCTGAAGCTGGCGCTCGTAGGTCTCGAGAAGCCTTGGATAGAGAGATATGGAGTTGAAAGATTCACGCTACGCAACAGCAAGGGACAAACACCAAGACGACGATCAAAAGAAATCTGAAAGCTCATTGGGAATGACTCACGATGTTATTTAAATTTGATGCCTGGCCGATCCCAGGGTTTGGGCCTCCCGTGGACTGAGAAGCTGTTGCGCTCGAAGCTGCCCCATTCGTAGTTGCTCTTGGGACAGAAGGACCTCCGGCGCCAGCAGCGTTAGCTGCCATGCTGGTGTAGGTGAACTAGAGTATGATCGCAGATTGGCTACCATATAGCTACTACATGATCCATAGGAAAACTCGATCAATGTCCAAAATACACGATTTGGTGGACGGATGAGGTTTAGTGACCATTAAGAGTAAGGTTATTGGAAGGCGGACCTGGATTTTGGTTCCAACTCACGGCTCGGGACGGCGGGAGCCTCACAAGCCCTCAATGGAATGCAGGGTCTCCAACCTCCAATTTCACGGGCTTTTAGTGCATAAGGATTTGGCTCCCCAAAGCTTTGTCGTGAGGCTTCCTTCGAAATCAAGCATGGAGTCACCTTCCGAAGGGAATTCGTATGACTCCAGTGAGCAGATCAAGCAGCTCGGTGAGATCGATAAAGTATGTCTCCTAACGCTCGCAAAGGCAAGCAATGACGTGTGCACAAGCATGTGGTCCAACTTCTGAAGTCTGCGGGACATGCTCTCGAAACCTTGACTTCCACTACTGCTAGCAGCGATAGTCGCTTCCAAGGTTCGGTGAATTTAGCAGAGTCTAGGACGACCTTCTCAGGAGCCACATCCCAGTACTTCAATTCCCTCAGATTCATAGACATTCAGCTTCGAGAACAGATTTCCGCTCTTGAAAAGGCAGCGATATTGCGACCCCAAGATACTGCGAGTACTACACAGACTGATCTAGCTATTCCAACAAGCATTGCTAGAAGCATGGGTATCGTCAATCCTCTCGCCTCGAAGGCAGATGGTCGCAAGGGAGCTGTTGCCGCTGGAGGGCTAGGTAGCCTCGATGTCGGCTGGCTCAACAGCAGGAATGATAACGTGGGTAAAGAGATGGAGGCTGAGTTGTGGGAAGAGGCATTGGGTCTTGTGAAGAGCTTTGAGGTGCGACGATTGGAAGAGCAGAAGCAGCAAAATCAACGAAAACCCGCCAAACCAGTCCAACAGGATGGCGCTCACGAGAGCATGGACGAAGGCTAAGCCGGTACCATTTTCAAATTGATAAAGATTGCCCCGCTGTGGATCCCTACATACACCTAACCGACCCTGCGGATCGCTAAAACAGACCCAAGACTGGGACAACGACGTTCGCGCTACAAGTGTAAGCAATACTGTCAATGACTACCAGCACGATGCTTCCCCCGACGAGCTGAACTCAAGCGTGGGGTGTCTCATAAAGCTTCAAGTAGTCGCTTAGGGAGTCATCCCAGTAAGCCACGAAAAGAACCGATGAGGGGCTCCCCATGGATCAATTTGGGAGGACCAGACTGTAATGCCAGTCTTGTGTCTCAGAATTGGTCTAGGTTCTGTGAGATTCAGGACTTACGACTCGTTGTTGTATAGCAAAAAGGTTGACGAAATCTACTAAGCGTTCAATTGGACAGCGTGAAGAGGGAATCTAGTCACAAAGTCTCCGCTTGAACATGGTTCCGCTGATTTGTTTGATTTGTAGAGCTATAGGTAGCCATAGCGAACATGAAGATTTTGTAGCCTAGTAAAGGCGGAGTGTAGCAAGGTCATTCATACGTCTGCCTACTAAGGGAAGACAGAGCAAGGAAGGAGCAACCCATACCAAGTTCTAAGTTGAAAATATGTAGCAAAGAGCAATCATCATCCAATGTTGAATCTCATGGAGCGATCTGCAAGAACTCAGCCAGATGCTGAAGAAAATCGCGAAAATAAATCATTAGCGCCTTTCGGAGACGGCACTACGCCCGACTTTCCTCGAAGCTCCACTGATACTTTACGAAGTCTCGACATAAGTCGGAATATTCCAAGTATTGTAACGCCCATGGATGCAGAAGACTCTCCTTGGGGAGGTGCGCCCATGTTTGAAGCAATGTATGGTCGCAATTTACTGACGCAAGCAAAGACGTGCCATCAAATCCTAGCTCCACCCATGCGAAAAGCCCAGTAGCCTCCGAACAAGGTCAAAGTGCATAGAGCTGCAATGTGTGACACAAGCTCACCAAACATAGATCCGTCCTCTAATTCGCCAAAACCTGAACAACATGCAGTATCATCACCAAGAAGCGCATCAGGCCGAGGGCCGCGTGCCGCCAAAAAGGTCGTTGTTCCAACAACAAGACTAGAGCCTGTTGATGGCTCTTTGGATCCACTGGGTCCATTAGGTGGCAGCGCACCTACTTCCGAACCCGAACAACCGCCAATCCCTCCGTCGAAGGAACAATCATTGCCTACTCGCTCCGCACGCCCACCACCCTCAAATACTGCGAAGGTACCAAGTCCACTAGGATCACCAGACCTTGGAAATGAGGAGCGAACGTCAGTCAGTTCACGGTCCCAAAATTATGCTCAAGGACAGGGCCCACCTGGAGGCTTTGATAATGCTAGGCGGCAAACGCAACCGAGCATTAGCATCGAACAAGCTGCGCGCCCGACCTTTGACATTACTGTGGGAGATCCACACAAGGTCGGGGACCTTACAAGCTCGCACATCGTATATCAAGTTCGGACGAAGGTAAACGGAATTTATGCATCGTTCGATCTTGTAGTAGCTGACTACGCAAGTAGACGACCTCAAAGGCATATAAGCATCCAGAGTTTACCGTTGGCCGGCGATATCGCGATTTTCTGTGGCTTTACAACACCCTTCATAGCAACAACCCCGGTGTAGTAGTACCGCCGCCTCCGGAAAAACAAGCTGTTGGCCGCTTCGATACTAATTTCGTTGAGTCTCGAAGAGCGGCTCTAGAACGAATGCTCAACAAAGTTGCAGCGCATCCTATCCTCCATCATGATGTCGACCTCAAGATATTTCTCGAAAGTGATGCTTTCAACGTGGACATCAAACACCGTGAACATAAGGAACTCGGCTTAGGTGAAAACAAAGGTATGCTCAGCTCGTTTGGACTGGGGAGCACAGCGACTGGCAAATTCATTGAACACGATGACTGGTTCCATGACCGCAAACTATACCTTGACGCCCTGGAAAACCAGCTGAAAGCACTCCTGAAATCCATCGACACAGTTGTCACACAGCGCAAAGCTCTAGCAGAAGCAGCTGGCGAACTCTCCTCTTCTCTATATTCTCTCTCGACCGTCGAGCTCTCCGTCTCACTTTCTACACCTCTAGCTAGCCTTTCTGATCTCCAATTACGCATTCGTGATCTCTATGAACGTCAGGCCCAGCAAGATGTACTCACTCTGGGAATTACATTGGACGAGTATATCAGGCTCATCTCATCCATTAAGACTGCTTTCGCTCAACGGCAGAAGTCGTTTCATTCATGGCATAGTGCTGAAGGAGAGCTGCATAAGAGGAGGCAAACACAAGATAAAGTGATGAGATCAGGCAAGACACAACAAGACCGACTGAATCAACTACAGGCTGATGTCGGTGATGGTGAACGGCGGTGCCACCAAGCGAGACTCTTATTTGAAGATATGGGACGGCTGATGAGGAATGAGCTCGAGAGATTTGAACGGGAGAAAGTGGAGGATTTCAAGAGTGGTGTAGAGACCTTCCTAGAAGGGGCTATCGAGGCGCAAAAAGAAGTTCGTGTGCTTCTTTTGAGTTTACTGGTCTTGATGTTTGCTAACCGACCCTTAGCTGATCGAGCTATGGGAAACGTTCTTAATGCAACTCGACGCTGATGAGGATGGCGAGCCATTCTTCAAACCTCAACAGGCCAACATTGGTCCATCCGTAAGCCCTAAGCAAAGTGTTTCCGGGAAAGGCGAGGGAGAGGAAGGTGAGACGCCGCAGCATCGATCTCAGAGTACAGACCACGTTGAAAGACAAGGCGAGACAGCCCAAGCTGCCGCGGCCATTGCAACGGTTGAGCAGGAAGAGTGATTACGAATCGCATTAATTGTATCAATACTTCAAGCATCACTGCCCCATCTTCTGCGCACATCGAGCGCTAGCGAATCCCTACGAGCGCTATGCCCTCCTTCGATTGGCTATGGTATCACTTTTGCTTCTGTACATTATTGCACTTCCAAAGTTGCTTTGTAATTTTCAGTAATATGAAGTGCCGTTAGAATATCCCATCAATAGACAAATGCATAGCATGAAGCTCACACTCACATCGCTTGACGCCAGACACCTTGCAGATCAAACATTGGACTTGCCCTAATCCACTCTTACTGATTCAATCCAACGACCCTCCCACCTTCAACAATAATGGCTTCATCAACCCGCTTTCCAATATCCCCATATTCTACCCTCTTCCACGTCATAATCCGTGCCTCGTTCATGTCAAATTCAAATATCCTCACCCTGCGATGGTATCCTCCGTAACCACCGTACCCTCCGAATCCAACACCACCTCCATAACACATCCACAGCTCCGCTTTGCCATCCCGCCCTTTACTCAGCGAGCAATAATCATTTACATGATCATGGCCACATGAAACGGCGAGAACACCCTCCTCGACCAGAGCGTCGCGGAATCCGGAATTGAAGGCTGGGGCAGTGGGGTTCTCAAGCTGTTTACCTGTGGCTGGTACGACCATGTCGGATGTGACACGATATTCGGGAAGCGGGATGTGTATAAAGGCCATCTCCATGTGCTGGAGTCTGTAGCCGGTATGGGATGAGCTATGCTTTAATTCTCGGGCTGTAGATTTAAACCATTCGATTTGATTCTTCTTCAGCCAGTCGTATCCGCGGAATTGGCGCTCGTCGGGAGAGTAGCCGTGGGTATCGAGAAGGTAGAGGGTTAGTGCCGAGTGTGTAGATTGACCGCGTGCGAGGACCTCAACAACGTAATTGCCTACGCCGTCAAGATTGTTAGGACCAGCTTCCGAGAGAGAATAAGGGAGGCTATTAGTGAGTTGCATTTGGGCCTCGCGGGGAGAGAGAACCTTCGTCGTCGTGGTTACCGAAGATGGTGGCATAAGGAATTTTACGGTCGACAAAGAGGGCAGCGAACTTGAAGATAGCGGATTGAGCGTCTGGAGCGGTGTCGCCATTCACTTGATCTCCGGAGAGAACAACCATGTCGGGCTTCTCATCGTCTAATACTGAGGCTACAAAATTGAGAGTCCGTTCATCCGCGATACATTTACCTCCGTTGTGATTTGGAGGCTCAGCATCACGGCAGACTCCTGGGCCAGTTGCGAGATGCAAGTCAGCTACCTGTAATATTTTGAATTTTCCGTGGTTGTTGACGCGGGGAGGAGGCGGACGGATGTCGTTAGGGGAACCTCGCCGTACTGTAATATAGGCGCCTTGGTTCTCTCCTCCTATGTCGCGAAGCATCAACGGCTGAGGAACTCTTTGCCAGCCAGGACGGACTTCCACGGAGTCTGAACCGAACAAGACATCTACTGCAGTCACCGCTTGGTTCTTGTCCGCGTCGCGATGCTTGGAGGTGCGCTTAAGCCAAAGACCGGCTTGACGAGACTCCCACTTCTCTGCACCCTGGTCCTTCTCTGACAAGACAGGATCCAGGCTACCAACCCGAATGTCAAGGATTATGCGGTCTTTGTCTGTAAGTTCGGACTCGCGTTTGCGCTCAATATGGACGAATGCATGTGATAGCCACCCTTTTGAGAGATAAAGATCCTTTTCAACGCGGTGCCATTTATTTTGATCAAGCTTGCAACTGGAAAGGAGGTTTATAGATGAGCATGTTGCGATTGTGATATCTGTAATGACTAGACCGGGATGATGTGCAGGGAGGGCGTTATGTATGGCTTCTGGGAGCACGTTGAATCGATTGTCGAGTAAGAAGACGAGTAGGAGGACGATGAGTGTGAGTATCCCAAGCTGGATGCTCGTACGGACCTATAGAGTTTGAGCCAAGAGTCACGAAATTGAGACCTCATACCTACAATTCTCCTGGTCATCTTGGACAGCTTCCGAACGGTCGAGGCCTGGAGGTGCTCCGCCTGCTTTCACTGAAAAAGCTCATTGATATAAGGACGTTCTTGACGGACTCTCCCAAGGCAAAAGCCTCCATGAACACTGAGCAGCATACCAGTACTCACCCGACTCAAAGCTTTGCTTTAACAAGCGAGAATGGGTCTGTCGTCAAGCTGCTTGAGTGCACGCGCCAGAACGCACGGAGGAGGCTTGGCTTGGCATTCAGAACATGGAGATGATTGGGCTCGGAAGATCTGATCACTTGCGGCGTACTTTGAATCCCACACTCCGCAAAAAAGGTGGAAGACAATGTTGGCAACCCTTTCTGAACCATTTTGCTTTCCTTTTCTCGTTCTCAATGCTTTTCAAGTCTCCTTAAACCCCGCAATATGCATGCTTTTCTTTCAATGAACCATGAAGCCCGAATACAAACTTCTTTTGAAACCATAGAAGTGGTTGTCGGCGAGCGTGATATCACATCTTTACCTGCCTTTATTTTAGCCAATGCGAAATTTCTATGTCAAAATTGAGAGAAACTTCTCTATTGAAACCACCCGTAGAGAAGCGAGAGAGATTTTCATTCAGTTGAAATGTGTTTCTTGTTCCCAACGTGGCTACTAGATATCCTTCAAGCAATACCAGATAAGTGATCAGATGAATTGCTGGCTCGGCCATTCAAGAAGCTTGCGTTAGTTCAAATGTCGAACGACTTCTACGGTTACTTGCATTCGAGGTCTACGGGGATGTGTCCGTCGATGCATAGTAGACAAGTGTGGGAGTCAGTGTTAAAGCATTGTTCATGAGCTGAAGACAACTGGGGGGCTTCCGAGTCGAAGCTCAGGTTCTCACGGCCACTAAAGTTGAGTTTGAGCGCAAAAGATTACCCGGTACATAGATTCTTGAAACTATCGCCAGCACGTATCGGCCGCAGCTGTAAGTGACGGGGTAATTGCCACAAGCTAGGATGCCAGCGATGGAGGCTATATACTAAACACGCATCCACTCACTGGCGTCGGTGCTGCTTGGAGTTATCCACGCTTATTGAGGGTCTTCCTCACATTACTCTTGCCACAACCCATGCAGCAAAGCTTTCTTCCGCCATGCAAAAAGCACCGAGAGAAGTGTCGCAATTCAGATCTGACGACGCTATGCCCGAGTAGCTTCGAGATTTACTCAGCTTAAACGGAGGGTGGCAAGAATGGAGAGAACCTTTGGTCTTGAGCGGCTTGGAAAAGGGATCCAGGCCAGAGTGCCAACGTCTTGGTAAGGACTGGAGAGATGAGCTTATTTGTGTCTGTGCCTTCATAATATTGTTCGTCATTGGCGTAAATGTGGGCCAAAGATACTCATCAGCCTAACGCACCAGTGCGGCTCTTGAGGCTTAGGCTCTCTCGAATTGTGAAGGCTGACCAATCGGAGTACTCACGGGCATCACGCCTTCATGAACTCACTATGACGTTTTCAAGACACATGGACTCTCGACTATTCCATACCGGACTTTACTTTTCTGCGTTGGCGAGATAAGTGTGAGAGTGACCAAGCGTGCCATGGCTGCGCGCCACGTCTCTGCAGACCAACTGCCCCTTCTTCCTTCAGCCGCCAAGGACGAAGACTTGTCTCTTTTCGAAGGCCATGCGGACTACTACGAACCGTCTTTGGCCCGCAACTCGACATCGCTAAGTACTGCACCTCGCGGTCAGGACCATGCCCATCCTTCATCCCAAACCCTGACGTCTAGAGGTAACGAAAGCCATGCTCGACTCCCAAGCTATCAGGAAACAAGCCCCTACGGTCGTCACAAAAGTGAAGCCGACTATCTAGCAGCACTGCGGTCATGGGTGGAGTCCAAACAATATGTGGAAACAGATCCTGTAGTAGGGGGCGGTCTGCTGGGTTTCTATGGTGACAAAACATTGGAAGAGAGGCGGGAGAGACTGGAAGAGGAGAAGAGGTCCAGGAAGGAGCAGAAGAAGATGGTCAAAGAGGAGAGGAGGGAGCTGAAGAGGACCGAGGATGATGGGCGCATTCGAACAGAAGGAGATGGCCGGAGAAAGAGCCTCGGTGGGTTACTTGGGCGAAGGAAGACTCTCGCTGTGTAAAGTATAGGAGAAGTTGCAGACCATTACATCTTCATACGTACATCTCTTTCAGCTAGGGCGCTCGTTGGAAAGCTTTGCCCAGTACCTTTCGCGCCAGTCATTTCCTCGGTACAAAGTTGCTCATAAGTACAAAGCGGATATGCCAACAGAGTGCGTGATATTAAAGGAAGTTATATTATCATGATGTCGTATTCTGGGGTATCTTGCAACAAAGGACTAGAAGCACCATCGATTCGCAGCCCAAGTCTTTCGTTTCCAAATCCTCTTGCACCAAAATGCCTAGCGTAAGAAGTCATTTTCCCGACTATTGGCATCATCGTCAAGCGAATAATCTCACAATGTTGTATACTATATTACTATTTCCGCTCCTTGAGGCCATCTGCGCGACCTAAATCAGTACCTGTGGCTTTATCACCTGCATTTTCGAGAAGAGATATCTTATCAATGCTCGCTTCGCTTTTAGATTGAGCGCCCTCTAGCTGCGTCCCGCAAGGCTCACCATTCTGGAGCGGCGTAGCAGACTCGAAGCCGCCGTTTGGGCTCGTTTGCCACTTCACCACATCCTTCTTCATCTTCTCTAGTTCTTTTTGAAACCTCGTGCCGAACACATCGATATAGTATGTCGCGCCATTATAGATACTCCAAGAAAACAAAACCATGAGAAATGTCGCACTTGGCCAGCGGTACCAGAACCAGATCGGACAAGGTATCATGCTGCCAATCGCATAAAGGTACTGTATCAACATGAAGGCTGGTTCTTGTAGTGAATCGGGCATTCCAAGGACGATTTTGCCTATCCAAGAGTTTCCATAGGATTTGCGTAGCCAGGTAAACGAGGTGGGTCGGCCAGCTGCGATCTTCTCTCGTCGGCGGACGGTGATAAAGAAGTGGTAAGAGAGCTGCCAAATTGCATAAGGGACGGATGACCAGAGAAACATGTCGAGGAGCGAGTAGTGTACAGATGATTCGGGATGGCTGAATTTGATGGCGTAGATAGCAGGGAAGCGATCTTGTAGGGTAGCAGCTGGTGTAAGGTGGACAAGGCAGTGGAGCGTTACACAGGGCATGATGTGGATGAAGAGGCTGCACGAGTTAGCGTTCTCGGAGCGCAGGATCAGCGTCAAAGGTCCTTACCTCGTCACCTTGTCTAGCGAATGAAAGACCATGGAGTTCCTCCACATCGCTATCGCGACTGCATTGTTACCGTTTGCAAGGCAATAAGCGCTTATGAATAATCGTTTCGATTGTGGCGCAACCCATATCGTTAAGAGCATGAGCAGATTCACGAAGTAGCACATGTCTGCGAGGAAGTAATGGTAGCCTCGCTTATGGTAGGTGTAATATCGTATCGGCATGAAGTAGCACAGTTGCGCTGTGAACCACAGATAGAACATCTCTGGTCGGCCTCCGATCAGGTAGCCGCTGATGAAAACATTTAGGACACCTGCAATGAAAGACAGTTTTTCTCGAGCCGTCACTGCCTTTGCATCGTTCCACCTGCCACCAAGCCTATCTACTGACTCCCTCACTCGTTTCCGATAGGTGTCAAGTTGCTCATCAGGCGGTGGTAATCGCCGTCGCCACTCCTCTATGACCCTATCCTTCGCGTTGTTCGTTGACGACCTGAGCTTTGCCTGCTGCTTCCGTACCCTATCGGTTTGCCTTGCGATCTTTGTCTGCCAGCTTTCAAGTTTCGTTGACAGCGCTAGGTTGTCCAAGAGATCGAAGAACGTGATGTTCTCAGGAGGTACTTCCCATTCATCCTGGAGATCTGCCATGGATGAGTTGCGCGAGAGCAGATTTGGGCTAGGCATGGGTGAGGTAGCATCTTGAGAAGAGCTAGCATCCTCTATCGAAGAGGCAGACAGCGCTTTAGTCGGGACTGTCATTGATTCTGGCGGTGACGATTCACTCGTCAAGACTGGTTCAGACTTGGCTTTGGAAAGGTTCGTGTTATCTGCCATCTTGTACAGGCCAGCTGTGACCAGCGTTGATCTGATAGTCAGTCTATTCAAGGTCTGTCGCCGAAGTGCATCGCTCTGATTTGAATACATATCATTAGCACGGAACCCTTTCTTTGTAATAATCCATTCACAATGAATGTTTCGATAGGAATATAAGGTGATGAGGAGCACATACTTGCTATTTGAGAGATCACACGAGCTCACGCAAGATATGCATATTGTCCCCCTCGCAACGGGTGTACTGTAGTTATTGCGAGATCAATACATTCATCGGATCCGTGGTCTTCCTGGGACTTCTGGTTGGCTCGTGCCAGCTGCCGCGTTGTAGACGTGCCCTCGATGGCCCTAAGACTAGTCTCTTTTAGTGCATTCGCCTTATCGTACGCCATCTTAGCGTGTCAAGGGAGCAACGCGTGGAGAGTTGGCTTTGTTAGCTATCGCATACAAACAGATGGTGAGCCTTGCTGGACCCATCGCACCAGACGTGGGTGCTCTAATTCAAGTGTAAGGTACGAATATCATTTGACCTCAGTCAACTCACGCAATATGGGGAAACTCATCCGCTTGGAGCTTTTCAGTAGGTCAATCGTAGTTTGGTAAAATCTTGTCGCATTAATACTAGAGCAGATTTCAAATCATATAAGGGACATCATGTACTCCTCTTGGGCGACTCTTACTTTACCTCGATCATTGGGCCCAATGGCTCCGGTAAATCGAACTCGTTAGTGAAGGCCCCAATCCTGACCTACGCAGTATCACTCACATTGTTGCAGTATGGACGCCATCTCGTTTGTTCTCGGGATCAAATCATCTCATCTACGGTCTGCTCACTTGCGCGACTTAGTCTTTCGTGACCGCGTATTGAGAACGTCAAAAATCAATAACGACGGGTCTGCAATTACAAATGGCGTCAACGGTCATGCCAATGGCGAGGTTGGCGGTGGTGAAGAAGATGAAATTAACGGAACTCAGGAACGCCATGATCCAAAGAGTGCGTGGGTGATGGCTGTCTATGAAGATGACGCAGGGGATGAACAGTATTGGAAGCGTTCAATCACCACTTCAGGAGCTAGCGAATATCGTATCAATGATCGCATTGTCACAGCTCAACAATATAATGAGACGCTGGAAGCCGAGAGCATTCTGATCAAAGCGCGCAACTTTCTGGTCTTTCAAGGAGATGTGGAAGCCATTGCATCGCAGTCGCCGCGGGACCTCACAAGGCTGATAGAGCAGATCTCAGGAAGTCTTGAATATAAGGACGAATACGAGCAGCTAAAAGTGCAGGCTGAAGAGGCTCTAGAGAATCAGAACTTTGCGCTTCATCGCAGGCGCGGTATCAATTCAGAAATCAAGCAATATACTGAGCAGAAGAACGAAGCGGACAATTACGCTAAGAAAGCCGACGAAAGGGATCAAGCGATCGTGACCCATATCTTGTGGAAATTGTACCATTTCCAAAAAGTCATCGAGGAGTCGGGGGCTGAAATCCAGCGGCATCAAGACGAGCTCAAGGAGCAAAGACGTGGCATTGAGAAATATGATAAAGCTCTTGAGGAAGCCAAACGAGATCAAGCGAAAGTTGGGCGTGAAGTGTCCAAGATTGAGAAAAATATGAAGCAGAAAGAAAAGGACATTGACGTAAAAGAGAATGGCCTCGTTCCAATAGCAGAGAAGATTGATCACACCTCAAAGAAGCAGAAGAATAGCAAGGCACGAGTCGCTGATATTACTAAGCAAAGAGACATACACTCAGGCGGAGTAAAGCAGCTGACAAAAGATCTCAAAGTGGTTGAAAAGGCCCAATCACAGTGGGAATCGGAATTTCAAAAGAAAGCTGAACAGGAAGGCCGAGAATTAAGCCAGGCAGATATTCAACAATACCACAAGTTGAAAGAAGAGGTCAACAAGCGCTCATCAGAAGACCAAATTCATGTGGACAGTCTTGAGCGCCAGAAGAAGGCTGACCAGGAGACCGTCACAAATCTTCAAAGCAAAGTCGATCAATTCGACTACCAAACTCAGAGGCTCAACGAAGAGCTTAAGGGGGTCAATGAAAGCATCGGAGACGCTAATAGTCAGCTTAAACAGACCAACAAAGATGTCGTTGCGAAGAAAAAGATTTATAATGAACGCACTTCCGAGCGTTTACGAACAGCGCAATTGAGGACCGAAAAGGATGAAAAGCTTCAAGAAGTCCTCCGAAAGCTGCTCGAGGCTGAAGACGGAAGACAGCAATCTGAAAAAGAACTTCGCTTGAAAGCTACCGTCGCAGACCTGAAGCGCGTTTTCCCCGGCGTACGGGGGCGTGTCAGTGAGCTGTGCAAGCCCATCGAAAAAAGGTATCAAACAGCGGTGAGCACGATACTAGGTCGTCATTTTGATACGGTTATTGTCGAGAATGAGAAGACTGCTATTGATTGCGTGCAATATATGCGTGAGCAGCGGCGAGGACAAGGAACTTTTGTTCCGCTGGACACCATCCAGTTTACCGCAATCACTTCGAATATAAAAGGTCAGCACCGCGGATGCCGCATGGCTCTAGATACGATTAACTATGACCGGACCCTGGAACGAGCCTTCTCTTACGTCTGTGGTAATGCAGTCGTATGCGACAATGTGGGAATAGCCAAAGATATTGTGTGGGGAAAACGCAATGACGTGAAGGCTGTTACCCTTGATGGAACAGTTATACATAAGGGTGGCAATATGACAGGAGGTCAAAGTGACAAACAAGATTCGCGTCGGTTTGACGATGCTGAGGTTGACAATCTGCGCAAGCTTCAGGAACGGCTTGTCTCCGAGTTGCAAGCTCTGCCTGACACCAGGCGAAGCGCAGCCGACGATGAAAACTTGCAAGGCGAACTGACTGGCCTAGAGCAAAAAGTGGCATACCTCAACGAAGAGCTCAAATCACACGAGCGTAACAAGAGCAGCAAGCAGAAGGAGCTTTCACATATAAAACAAGAATTGGCGACTGTGAGACCAAAGCATGATGGCAAACTCCGAGAATTTCATGAGCTTGAGAGTTCTCTAGCAGAGCACCAAGAAGCGGTGAGTGGAGTGCAGGATCAAGTATTCCGAGACTTCTGTCGCCGGCTTGGCTTCAGCAACATACGGGTGTATGAAGCACAGCAGGGCACGTTGCAACAGGAGGGTGCTCAAAAGAACTTAGAATTCAGCACACAGAAGAGCCGTCTTCAGAGTAGAATCACCTACGAACAGCAGCAGTTGCAGGAAACTCAAAATCGTATCAAGGGACTCGAAGATCGGGCGCGCAAAGATGAATCACTCATTCTGGAGTTGCAGGCCGAGCAGGAGTCTTCCCAAAATGAGCTTGACTCCCTCATGGTTGAGCTTGACCAACTGAACGAGCAGCTAGAAAAGGTGAAGACAAACCATGATCAGGAGGCCGAGAAAGTAGCAGAACAACGGCGAGAAGTCCAGAAAAGAAGCAAAGGCGTTGAGAACACCGTCAAGACTATTTCCGGGTTAGAGGCGGATCGTCAGCTCAAGGCCTCGGGCCGGTACACCTTGCTCAGACGATGTAAACTTGAAAATGTACGGGTACCTCTAGAGGAAGAATCGAACAGTCTTGATGACTTGCCACTTGACACGCTGCAAACTGATGCTGATGCGATGGACGTCGACGAGGATCAAGATAACACAGCTTTACAGCCTTCGGAAGTCCAGGATTATGGCATAGAGATTGACTTTGATGATTTGGACGAAGACCTACGCGAGGTACCAATTGCCAAATCTTGGGAGTGTTCAAGCTAACAACCAGTCGCAGAACGATGGTGATAAAGCCGAAAGCGAGCTTCAAGATCGCATCAAAACCCTCAATACAGAACTTGACACAATGGCACCAAACATGCGTGCTGTAGAACGTTTAGGGACGGTCCAAGATCGTCTTAAGTCAACAGATAAAGACTTCGAGGACGCGCGTAAGCGAGCAAAGAGGGCGAAGGATGATTTCCAAGCTGTCAAGGAACAGCGCTTCGAATTATTCAGCAAAGCTTTCTCTCACATTTCCGAACAGATAGGACCGATTTACAAGAACCTCACGAGGGATGCTTCCCTGCCGATGGGGGGTCAAGCGTAAGTACCCATGTCCCACTTGGCAGGAAGGCTGCGGTATTGACCTCTGCAGATATCTTGATATGGAAGACGGCGACGAGCCATACCTCGACGGGATTAGATATAATGCTATGCCACCGCTTAAGCGTTTCCGTGACATGGAGCACCTGTCTGGTGGAGAGAAGACTATGGCAGCCCTGGCGCTTCTCTTCGCAATTCACTCCTACCAACCATCCCCCTTCTTTGTTCTTGATGAGGTTGACGCTGCCCTTGACAATGCTAATGTGGCCAAGATTGCAAGCTACATCCGAGACCACGCAGGTCCGGGTATGCAGTTTGTCGTCATTAGCCTGAAGACTGGATTATTTCATAATAGCGAGGCGCTGGTGGGTATATATCGAGATCAGGGGGCGAATTCGAGTAAAGCGCTGACGCTGGATGTAAGTGCTATCTCTTTATGAAGTCTCATTCGTATACACTTGCTGACAGTCGCAGTTGCGCAAATATCAGTAATATGATTGATAGTTCGTCGTTGCTGCCCTGCGAAGGTTTCACGACGGATCTGGAAATGTATTACTATGGTAACGCAGGGTAGGATATTACGGCCCTTTATTTGTATCTACAGGTACTACAACAAAGCTCGCGAGCCTTCTAGCTTCGACTAAGAAAAGAAGACCACATCACCTTCACATCCTCTCTTAAATTCCCTCGTACTATCCTTTTCCCCTACCATTCCGAAGGATTGATTCTCGGCCGAGGGCGATAAGTAGTATCAACTTTGTGAGCAGCCAGTCGTATTGCTCGAGTAGAGGAGATTGTACGTCTTTCCAAAGCTCTCCACATTACGATACAAGTAGCCATAAGCAGAGGCCGTTGTTCGGTCCCCTGGACATATCGAGTACAGAGCAGCCTGAGACAATGCATTGAAACTTTCCACCCGACTCGCAAAGTACATTATCGAGTGAAGTCTGCTATTCAATGAGACGGCAACCTATAGCGTGAGATATTCTTGGGGAGATAATCAGTCATAGCGTGAGACGCAAGCGGTGATAATATGTATCGTTTAGGGCAACAAGCAGTTCATTTCGACCGTGGCTCAACGATCTTGATGTTGACTAGCTTATCCAGAGCTTGACCTTCATCAAGTGCCCACGCATCTCTATGCTCTAATTTATAAGGTATGTTCCGCCCCTTGATGTGAAATTGTAATAGATGCTCGTTAATAACAGCCTTCTTCACGGCGGCAAAACCTCTACCAATTAAGAACGCTAATTGCCGAAAAGGAAGTGAGAGCAGCGAACCTTCGTCACTCCAGGAATTAGCTTTCTGCCTCTTTTTCCGAATTTTTGCTAATTCTCGTTCTATTTGCTCCTTTCCTCCCATCCACAATGTCCCAGACATTGTTACGTCTTTCGGCAGTACTTCATCCGATTTTGGCTTCGTAAACGGTAGTGCACGGCTCTTTTCGATCCGCAACAATAGTTCTTGAGACTTGTTGCCTGGCGCGGGTGGTATTGCTTTGATTGATCGCACCATGTTTTGCGGCTGTGATTCGAATTAGTGAATGTTAATGACCGCAGACATGAACACAGTATACCCTCAACAGAAGGTATCCGCCTCCGGCAACAAGGAATAAGCTGCCAATTAGAGTGAAAGCTGGCACATAGAAGGGGAGATCGCGAGCACCAGTGTGTTCACTCTGCCATGCTTCGCTCATAGTTGCTCCATTGAACGCTCCGACAATCATCAACCCCCCACCAGCAATGTAGCATCCTACAATGTAGGGCAAATTCGAAACCGATTGATACAATAAGACTGGCGAAGCTCTTTGGGACAATGACGACGCGACGGAGCCTTCATAAGGGGCAGGTCTTGAGGTAGATGGTTTCCTTGGTGGAGTGCTAGCCGGACGATGATGTTTTACACTAGGTACCTGGCGAGCTAGGCTTTTAGCGCTTGTCGACAATGGTGAGCGAGACTGAATATATGAGCAAGGCTTCGCACAAGCAGCTTGACGTTTTGTGAATCCGTAGGGTTGAAGCTTCCAAGGAGCCCATGGCAAGGATCTAGGGCAGAACGTCATGCAGCCACGGCGATACTCCAGTACATGTTAGCGTTTAGAGTCATGAGAGGCAGATTTTGATTGTCTACCATGGCATCAACAAGCCTACTCACCATGTAAGAACATAGTCCAATATTCTTGGGATTAAAAGATCGATGGATATCGGCGAATTTTCAGAGAATCCCGGCGCTTTACCCCTTTGGAAACGCGAACCTTGGCGTCACCGGGGTGTCCCAACATATGTATCCGGGGATGTCGCTTTTAAAATACCTTCAGTCGTCACTTAACACTAAAAATTAAGGAGATACTGATGGCATCCTCGTACAATACCACGAAAGCGTTCAGGCATCTATCCCGTCGGTCAATTCCTTTCAATGGCAATACTCGAAGTTTCCGAAGCTCATCGAGGGCTCCGGCAGCTCAAAATTTCACAATGCCCGCCATGTCACCGACAATGACTGAGGGTAGCATAGCCAAATGGAAAGTTAAAGAGGGTGATAGCTTCTCGACCGGTGATGTTTTGCTCGAAATCGAGACAGACAAAGCGCAAATGGACGTGGAAGCTCAAGACGACGGTAAAATGGCCAAGATTACGCAGAATGCCGGAGGAGATAAAATAGGAGTTGGCGCTCGCATAGCAATAATAGCAGAAGCAGAGGATGATCTCTCCTCCCTAGAGCTACCCTCAGAACAACCCTCCCAAACAATTCCCTCTGCAGACGATACCACTTCTTCCAGTGCATCGAAAGATATCGGGGCCTCTGGAGCAGCCAAAAATAGCAACTCATCATCCGATAAAAGTTCAGACGTTAAGAGACCTCCGCCATCACCCTCACAGCCTCGCAAGCAGACCTACCCGCTCTATCCTTCTATTGTCCAGCTTCTTCACGAAAACGGCCTGGTTTCTTCTGAAGCCGACAAGATACCTGCTTCAGGTCCTAAGGGCCGACTCTTGAAGGGCGATGTCTTAGCTTATCTTGGCCAGATAAGCTCGTCTTATCCCTCAGAGCAATCAACGAGAATAGGCAAGCTCGGGCATCTAGATCTGAGCAATGTAAGAGCGGTACCTCCTAAGGAAGAATCATCGGTACAAAAAACTCCCCCGAGACCAGAATTAGTCATTCCTGAAGCAGAGCCCGAATTGGATACAGAGGTTGCTGTGCCAATATCTCTCTCCTCCGTTTTGTTGGTCCAAAAGCGTATTTCAGACGTTCTGGGCGTAAGATTACCGATATCGACATTTGTTGCCCGTGCTACGGAATTGGCAAATGATGAGTTGCCACAGAGAGCTGGGAGAAAACCCTCAACCGACGAACTTTTCAACGATGTGCTTGGCTTGAGCAGTCCAAGTATATCAAGAACCAGTAGGGGGAGTTTCATACCCCAAATGACCGCCTTGCCGCCGAGCTCCTTAAGTGAGCCCACTACATTGCCTCAGTCTCAGCCTGATGTGTATGACATGTTGACTGGTGGGACACCAGCCGCCAGGAAGAGATCACAGGCATTACCCAATTTAGGTATTTATAACTCAAAAGTTGAAGATACAACCAATATGTTCAGCGTGACTGCAGCGAAGGGTGAGGAAAGGCGGGCAAGGGTGTTCTTGGAGAGAGTCAAAACAATCTTGCAGGTCGAACCTGGAAGGCTGGTATTGTAAATATGTTCATAGAAATTCAAAAAAATCTTCAGTGGGGTCGATATTGTCATTAGTCATGTTTCCGTTGAAAAGTTTCCGGGACTGGCAACATTTGCGCCATTACTTTCACTCTCTCCATCATTTCCAGTAGCACCTGTGCACGAGAGCCTTTCCGTTGTCATGGATTCTATCGTGCCCGAGACAAAAGTCTTAGCCGTTGCAAGCCATGTAGGCATGACACTGCCTTACATGTATAGAGGAGAACTCGCGGCTGACTTAGATAATCAAGGTTGTTTATGGGTGAGGCACCTGGGAGTGACGGGAGAGATTTTGAAACATGCCAGCTGATAAGTGAATTGTAGGCATGTTGGCAACACAATGGCCGCATTCGTCATGCAATCGCTGGGGTGTGATGTGGCAGCGTTGAATACGGTACAATTTAGTCCGACACCTATCATGAAATCACTTGGATGAGAGCTTATAATAAACAACATAGGCAACCATACGGGTTACAAGCAATTCAAAGGCACCAAAGCTTCCGCGGAGGAGATTTCAGACCTGTACGCTGGGCTCAAGCAGAGCTACTTGACAGATTTTGATGTCTTGCTATCTGGCTACGCGCCCAGCGCAGAGGCAGTGGAGGCGATTGGATCCATAGCAAGGGATCAAAAGCTCAGGGCCACGACGAAGCCTGGCTCATTTTTCTGGGGTGTGTGCAAAGTCATGAGGGGATATCGTCGTTGCAAGCTAATTACTTCCAGTCTTGGATCCTGTCATGGGCGATGAAGGTCGGCTTTATGTCAACGAAAATGTTGTTCCAGTCTACAAAAAGCTGTTGACCGCCGCCGATCTGATTCTTCCCAATCAGTTCGAGCTTGAGTAGGTCAGAAAACCCGCATCATCGACACGTCGTCACTAAAACGTGAAATGCAGACTACTCTCCGAAGTGAAGGTCAATTCTCTCACGTCACTCAAGGAAGCTATCGCCAAGCTGCACAAAGCATATCGAGTCCCACATATCATCGTTACGTCTATCCGCAATGCTGAGTCCCCTTCTGTCATAAGTATTGTCGGCTCTACAGCGCGCTCCGACCTTTCTCCACGCATATTCAAGATCGATGTCCCGGAAATTGATTGCTTTTTCAGCGGCACGGGTGACATGTTTGCTGCTCTGATTATAGTACGACTACGCGAAGCCATTACGCATTCTGGTCTAGGTGGACAGAAGAGTTGGGTATCCCTTGACGACGTACAAGCCGAGGTACTACCTCTTGCAAAGGCTGCGGAGAAGGTACTAGGTAGTATGCAAGCTGTATTGGAGAAGACTAAGCAAGCTCGAGACAAAGACCTTGAGCAAATGAGCGGGCCACTGGGAGTTATGGAAAAGGAAAAGGACAGCGAGAAGCGCCAGGGATTGAGAAAGACTAAAGCCGCAGAAGTACGGGTCGTGCGCTGTCTATCGGACTTGAGAGAACCTCAACTTACATTCGAGGCTCACTCAGTTGAAGAGATCAATGAAAATGACGGGCACTGTTGACATTGAGGATCCAACGTCAGTTAATCAAGCATTGCACACTGTCATGGAAAATTAGCTGGCAATTTCCAAGCTGCAGCATTCAACAAGATAGAGAGGTATAGATATGGCACTCGCTTGCATTTACAGTCGATAGCATAGACTTACGAGTGAATGCGACCTGACTTACGATTCTGGCTTTACTTTCACAATTTTGACTCCCTCAGCCTGTGCTCCCAAAGCCCCCGGCTCCTCTCACACTCTCCTCCAGCTCCTCCACCACCTGCACCTCTGGCGTATAAATACGCTCAATAATTAATTGCGCGACCCTATCTCCCTCCCTAATCTCAAAGTCTGCCTCCGCATGATTGAACAGCAACACCTTCACCTGACCCCTGTAATCGGCATCAATAACGCCCGCTCCAGTATCTATGAAATTTTTGGAGGCTAGTCCTGAGCGCGGTGCTATCCTCCCGTCTAGAAATATTATTTCTCTCATTAGCACAAGAGAATATAGAGAGGGGGCGATAGGAGAAAGAGAGGAAAGCATACAGCATCCCTCCCCAACCGCAATGGCAATGTCAGTATCCACCAAGGCCTTCCCTCTGCCGGGTATCGTACAGCCTTTTGCGGCATAGATATCGTAGCCGGCAGCGTACGCACTTCCTCTCGTAGGAGTCCGAGCTTTGGACGAGAGCTTCTTCACGAGCAATGGCGGGGCGGCCGAGAGCGGTGGTGGGGGCGCGGAGGTGCCTTTGCTGGGTTCCTGAGCTGATGTGGAGGGGTCCATTGCTTCTGTTTTTGGACGTTTTGGGAGGGGCGAGGTCGGCAATGAAGGCGGCTCGTGGGTGTTTTGCGGCGGAGTTGGCGGTGAGGGCATTTTATCGTTTCTATATACAATTAATGTAGAATTTGATGCGGGCCCTCCGGCGCGCTCTGGGTGGGACGCGTTTTCCGGGGCGGATCCCAAGGCTCGCTTATTTCTACTTTGGATGTCGGATGAACCTTTTTTTAATTCTTCATGCCATCACAGCATGTTCATACCTCTTGAAGGAAGAATATGAAGATATCGTAATGGTTTCTTTCGTTCGTTCGAGAAACGTCTTCTGGCAATTAACACTTAGCCATTACTTGGTGGCCAATAATTCGGAGCATTTGTCACAAACGCCGTCCTTGTCATTACAACAATCAGAGACGATTGAAGAGTCTGCCAACAGACGAGCCTACAGTACACACTTCTTTCATTTCGAAAGATATGGGATAAACTACGGCCACCGACTTGGTATTGATCGGATTGATCACGTGTTTTCGTGAAAGCGTCCCCTCCTGCCCGCGAGGACGGTGGCAGGCGGCAACCTTGTTCTAGCCGCTTGGTACCTGGCGTCGATCATCTGGAGAAGATCAAGATGAAGACGGGTTTTGCATCCGGATGCAGTGCTTCGAAATGGGGCAAAAGGGACTCGAAAATTGTTGGAACTTGATCGCGGAGTTCAACTTTGGTAGGGCACTGCTTTTGCTTTGCGCGACTTCTGTCGTGGTCGTTGTATGCAATTGCGAAGGATATGGGTTGTTTGAATTGCGAATTGGAGAGCATCGAAGAATTCGGCTGAAAGGGGGAAAGTCCGGGTGGCCAAAGGTGCAAAATGTGGGCCGCAGCCTACGCTAGCCACTAGTGTGATCCTGATCTTGGCATCTTTCCGCGCTCCATCCAAGATCCTCCTGCGTTTCTTCTGTTTTGCAAACCTCTCTCGACACCGTCTTGATCATTCTCATCATCGGTCCATTGATTCCCCCAAGTGCATTAGACGGTGCGAAGGCGACTTGGCCCTCTCCATCCTTCATTTCATCACTTGTTTACCACCAACCTTGTGCTGTCCGGGTCCATTTCTTCAGACCGTCACAATACTCGATCGGAATCATCACGAAGCCGCAGACTGATTGACTACTGTCTTCCGTGAGATAACATGATACATGCGCGCCTGGCGTAAAATATCAAGTGGGAATAGACTGGAGCTAGGTCCTGTCAGTGTCGTCTTATTGCCACAACATGCCTACTCGTGGCAAGAGAAACATCGCGGAGTTTGATCCGAACAAATCTGATTCCGAAGATGAGACGTATGGCTCCCGGTCTGCAAATGCTGCGCGCTCCAGACCCACAGCAAGTCGCACAAGCAGACCACCTCGCAAGCGGCGAAGGCGAGATTACGACGGCGCCAATTCTTCGCCAAGTGAAATATCTGAAAGCGAGATCAACTCTATCGAGTCGTATAGTCAACCAGAGGATGAAGATGAGGAAGAAGTTGAGATAGGTGCGACCGGAAGACCCAAACGCAAGGCTGCCAGAAATGTCCAGCCAATAATCGAGGACGACGATAGTGCTGGTTCTGATGAAGATGATAAGTTGGAACAGAAGCCATCTACTAGGAATAACGCACAACCGAAAAGCCTATGGATAGCTCTACCTGTTGTACTTCCAGATTCGCCTGCCGCACCTCCAGAACTCCGGCGGAGCCAACGGACTCGGAGCGGTAGCGCTGCAACATCGAGACCTACCTCTGCCGGTACCCACGTCCCAGCAACCCGCCGGAGTAGCCGGAAACCAAGCGTCCAAAGCCCCACCGAGGGCTTCAAAAGACCGACCCGGGGTGGCAAGGGTCCCAAGAAAGGTATCGCACCGATAGAGGCAGGCGAGGATGAAGAGAGCTCTGGACAGTTGAGAGACCAAGGTAGCACTGATGAGCTCCAAAAAGATCACTATCGACATGAAATTGCGGAAAGCCATGAAGACCTAGCGCAAGAACCCGAGGGTGACGATCAGTTGGGCGACAAACCCTTCGAAGATGATATAATCGCAGAGGTCCCTATGACAGATGAGGGAGAAGGTGCAGAGATCGAAATTCCAGAGTCTGAAGGCGAGGATGAAAATCCTATTAGTCGAACGCGAAGAGCTACTCGGCAACGCGGTGTCAACCCACCAAAATTGATTGCAGAGAGTCGACGTCTGACAAGGGCTAGAGATACTGCACTTGGAAAGCGTAAAATGCAGGAGACTCAGAAATCTGTCAACCAAGAAAGTAGTGACTTTGAGCCGGCCCCTGAAGATGCGGAGGAGGAAGATGTATCCGATTCTGCAGAGTCAGCGTCACCGCGAAAGCGCAGCCAAAATGATGATGACGATGAGAGCAGCCCACTCGGAAGGGACGCAAAGCGACGTAAGGTCAGCAGGAGGAGTCGCCGTGTCTCAAGTGGTGACAGTGAACAAGCTGAGCTACGTGAGGAAATGCAAGATTTGAAGTCATCTCGTAGCAAAAGACGGATAGCAGATATCCTGATGGAGGAAAAGAAATCGAGGGTTCGACGACAGCGAGACAAGCAGCCTAATTATAACATTATGGCCTCAAACGCCGCAATTGGAGAAGCAATCGAAGAGTATGAAAACGAGCCAGCGAGTCAACGAACTCCCTCCAAAAAGGCAGGTGGCTCTAGGACTTATGGAAGGAGCCTTTTTTCGACGTACGGTCCCTTCGGTGGTGCCGGCGTGCCTGCCATACTCGGTGGGCCTGCTGGCCTGGGCGCTGTTGGAGGGGCAGACTCTGATAGCAGCGATGACGAATCAATGCCACGCCCAAGGCCAGTAGGCACTCTTGGTGGAACCTTCGGAATGACACCAACCTCAGCGCATCCTGGCGGATTCGGTCTTTTTCCAGCGCCTCAGGTTCATGGAGCTGATCCTGTACAAGGTCCGGGCGGAACACCAGCGAATCTGGGCAAAATAAAGGACAAACAAGCCCTCGCAGATGCGGACCCTCTCGGCGTGGATCAAAACGTAGATTTTGGAGGCGTTGGAGGATTAGGAGATCACATTCACCAGTTGAAAGAGATGGTGACTCTTCCCTTGCTTTACCCCGAGCTTCTTCAGAAATTTCATGTCACTCCTCCTCGTGGTGTACTGTTTCACGGCCCGCCTGGAACTGGCAAAACGCTCCTAGCTCGCGCCTTGTCGAACGTTGTAAGCTCCCGTGGCAAGAAGATTACTTTCTACATGCGGAAGGGCGCCGACGCCCTGAGTAAATGGGTTGGAGAAGCCGAGCGCCAGCTCAGGCTTCTCTTCGAAGAGGCTCGGAAAAATCAACCAAGTATCATATTTTTCGACGAGATTGATGGCCTAGCACCAGTGAGGTCAAGCAAACAAGAGCAGATCCACGCTTCGATTGTGTCGACGTTGCTCGCTCTGATGGACGGAATGGACGGCCGTGGGCAAGTCATCGTGATCGGTGCAACCAACCGACCTGATTCCGTCGATCCTGCTCTTCGCCGTCCTGGAAGATTTGATCGAGAATTCTATTTTCCTCTTCCAAACACGGAGGCCAGACGTTCTATTCTTGGAATTCATACTAAGGACTGGACTCCGCAGCTTCAACCAAGCTTTCTAGACGAAATTGCAAAGGCAACGAAAGGCTACGGAGGAGCCGATCTGAGAGCTCTGTGTACAGAAGCAGCGCTGAACGCCGTTCAAAGAAGGTATCCACAAATCTACAAATCCAATGAGAAGCTTCAAGTCAAGCCAGAGACCGTGCAGATCGGGACAAAGGACTTTATGCTATCGATCAAGAAAATGGTGCCATCTTCGGAAAGATCTGCGTCCTCTGCTGCCGCACCGCTGCCTAGCAGCATCGAACCTCTGTTGCGTGAAGCTTTAAAGGGTGTAAAGGACCTGATTGCCAGTATTTTACCACAAAAGCAGAGCCTAACAGCCTTGGAAGAGGCTGAGTTTGAGGATGCAGAGGATGAGAGGGGCATGGCCGCGGAGCAAATGCAGCAGGAATTTGAACGCTCAAGAGTCTTCCGTCCACGACTACTCATTAGAGGCATACCAGGTATGGGCCAACAATACCTCTCTGCAGCTATCCTTCATCATTTCGAACGGCTGCATGTTCAAGCATTCGATCTCTCAACGTTGCTAAGTGATTCAACAAGGTCATCAGAGGCGGCAATCGTACAGCTCTTTACTGAAGTGCGGCGGCACAAACCCAGCGTCATTTACATTCCGAACGTCTATATTTGGTATCAAACTGTAGGGCCGACAGTCATATCTACGCTTTGTGGACTTCTCCGGTCTTTGACCCCAAGTGATCCTATTATGCTGCTTGGAGTGTTGGAGTGTGAAGAGAATGACTTGGTAGATGAAGACATGAACCCACTCATGAAGCAAATGTTAGCCGACCTCTTTGGGTACTCGAGAAAAAGCCGATTCACAGTGCCCAGACCATCAGAAGTGAGTTGCGGCCCATACTCATCGTGCGCATATGCTGACTCGCATAGCCCTTTCGTCTCGAGTATTTCAACGCTATTAACAAGTATATCAGGACATCTCCGGCAGAATTTCCAGATCCTACGGATCGTAAAAAGCGTACTCTAGAAATATTACCTGTGGCGCCTCCGGAACCAACTCCAGAGAAGCCACCGCTTACCAAAAAGGAAATCAAGGAACAAAGACAAAAAGACCACCTAGCACTCAACATGCTTAAAACACGGATTCAGCCGGTGATGGACATGATCAAATCTAGATACCGCAAATTCCGCCTTCCAGTCATTGACGAAAAGGACTTACGCTACTTTCTTGAAGAAGACGACCCCGACATAGTAACGTCTGATCTCCCACGGGAACTGGCGAACCGTCCATACGAAATAGCTGTAGATGCGAAGAATCAGTCAGGTTTCAAAGAGACAAGTACTGGCAAGTTCTTCTACAACATACACGTTGCTCTCATCGAACAACGACTTTCAAATGGCTACTATGCACGGCCGAAAGATTATGCTGCTGAAGTGAAGAAATTAACCAAAGATGCGGAAATGATTGGCGACGAAGAACGACTGCTAAAGGCAAATGAGCTTTTTGCTAACGTAGAAGTGGATATGGCACAAATAGAGGCTGAGAATCCATACTTGATCGCGGAGCTAGAGCATGTTGCAAAGCGACAAGCTGAAAGACAGAAGGCCGAGATCGAAAAAGCTAAACGTAAGGCTGCAGAGGAGGGCCGAAAGCTAGACTTCGTTGTCTCGAATGCTCCACCACCAAGCGATCCACAAGCTCCCTCTACGGGGCCATCATCGGGCGTAATCAAGACTGGGCAACCATTACCAAATGGCTTTGTACGAGTTCCCATCGTATCGTCGAATCCCAGCACCCTCACAAATGGAATAAGTCGTTTGTCGGATCTGAGCAACCTTGACGTCCACACGCAGACCAACAATTCTTCATTGCGAAATCAAGATGATATCGATGTTATCATGACAAACAGTGATGACAGGTCCCCGGACAATGACAGCCGCACATATTCTTCGGTTGGTCAAAGTGCCCAGACACGGCATCTAGAGTCTCTTCCGGCAACGGGGGGAACAGTAGAGGATCACAGAGCCAGGGGCGAGACTCTCACTCAAACAAGTGCCGTTACAGGGATGATACCTGGTTCGCAACCAGCGGATTATGTAAATACCGCGTCGACAACATCTTCTGAGAAGCGACAATATTCATCTGGTGACAAGGAAACACCTGTTGACCGAGACACTCAAAGCGTCAAAGGCGGCCCAGATCTTTCACACTATCACAATGAGAGCAGTCCAGTGCCTGACACCGCGGGAAAATACCCAAGCTTCACAAAGTTCGACCCGACCACTGAGCAACCATTCAAATACGTCGCCACCTCTGTCACAAGGCCAGACTTTGTCCCAGCAAGAACGCTCCACCAACATCCCGGCCATTCCTCCTTTTCCTTCTGAAACAACAGCAGGTAAACCAACCATCTCCTCTTTGCTTAACACCGGTCCTCCTCCTCGATCTCGTCAAGCTAGCGGAGCCGAACACCCGCCATTCAAGATTGATCGCGTGCTTATTGACGAAACCATTCGATACTTTGTAGAGCAATCAAGTGGTTGCAGCGTCGAACAGCTCGAGCAGTGCTCCTCGGCAATGATGGACGAGATATGGCGGACCAGGGGTGAATGGGACCGAATGTCTGTCACGACAAAGGTCAGAAAGAGATTCCAAGAGGAGATTGATGATATCAGGGACTTGCAGCACCAAGCTATGGGAAGCATGGAGTTTGCATGAGACAACAGCGAAGCGGAAAGGGGGTGGTGTCGGCGCCGTCAGGAGATTCGGCGATCAAAAGGTGTGTCTCCCTTGTTGGGGTGGCTTGAGATGGATGTTCTAGGATGCTCTGGTACTGTTCGAGGGACCGTGATAGGCGGGAGACCCTGAACATATTAGAGATCACTGCATCAATTTCGCTATGACGACAAGGTTGAGCTGCCCATTTTGCTATTGCTAATTTCATTTCTTTTGGGTATGAGGGCGTGTCTCCCTTGTCAGTGTAGCTTGAGATGGATGTTCTAGGAAGCTCTGGTATTGTTCAAGGGACCGTGGTACGCGGGAGACCCTGAACTTACCATAGAGTACTGTATCGATTTCGCTATGACGGCAAGGTTGAGCTGCCCACTCTGTTGTTGATTCCAATGAACAGGACTAGGGACCAGGAGCTTTGTTCATCAAATCTTGAATATGGAAACTTTGCAGATCAGGGGAATGTGTGGCGGAATGTATCAACATACGGTCAGGATAGGATACGGAAGGATGTATAGCGTGGCGTTGTGGATTTTCAGAATTACAAAGATGCATCACCGGCGCAAGCCTCTGGGAGGATGCGTTTGACTATGAAAACGGAGGTTGTCTATTGAGCGGACACTACTTGTGTGGCTTAAAGCGATGATGTACAAACATGCAAATCTATTCAAGTCTATCATGCATCTTACGGATCCAGTTTCTATCAACGATCAATCTGTTCTCGTGAATCCCTCAAAGCCCCACAGCCAAATCCCCCAGTCTATCCACCCAGGCACTTGGCTTCACACTCCCTTCTCCCGCCCAGTCCTCCTTTCCCCTCGTGACACCGGTCAAAACACAAAGCGTGCCCCCCAAGCCGCCCTCCACACCAAATCTGATATCCGTATTCAGCCGATCCCCTACCATGCACGCCCTTTTCCTATCGAATCTAAACCTGGACTCCACAGCGTCCATCATCTTCTGGCTCGGCTTCCCAAGCGTCTCAGGCTGCTGCCCACCCAACGCTGCCACCAAAGGTGCAAAGCAAGCTCCAGCGCCGGGGAAGAGGGTACTATTACTTGGGAGTGTGACGTCGGAATTTGTGGCGAGGAAAATGGCGTTGTTTTGCGTAATGTAGTGGTACGCATACGCAAGTTTCAAGTAGCTGAGGTGGAAGTCCAGACCGCAGAGGACGACACCTACGCTTTTATCAAGAGCGGCGCCGGAGGCAATGTTGGCGTAGTCGGCTGGTGTAATGGATTGCTGGTAGCGGGGGTCGGTGCCCCCGATCAGGGTGAGAGATTCATTGCGCAGTTCGGTTTCTATGCCTGCTTCGCCGATTACGAAGACGGTGCGTTTATCCGGTGGGAGGGAGAGAATACGGGAGATGTAGATTGAGGAGGAGTAGGAGGACGAGAAGACTTCGGACTGCGGGATGAAAACGGAATTGATTAGCGGTGCAGTCTTGTGGAAGGGTAGGGGTGAGAATGGTAGTTTTGAGGAGGTGTGTAGGAATTAGAGGAAGAGGGTATGGAGACATACGATGGCGGCTGGTATGCCCATAGCCACGAGCTTCTTTTGATAATCCGCCCGCGATTTGGTACTGTTGTTTGTGACGAAGATAACTTGTTTTCCTGTCAAAGAATCGACGCGTGAGTGCTGCCCTTCTGTTCTTCTGCTGTGCATCCCTCCAGCGCTCCTAGTAGATCATACCTCTACGCCTCAGCTTTTCCAGGACCTCGACGGTGCCCTCGAACAGTTGTTCCCCGGACCATAACACGCCTGTCCTTTGCGTGCAATCAGCGCATGTTCTTCTCTAGGTGCTTTGGCTGAGACGCTTCTAGTCATCTTGCCTAGATCGATTGTCAATCTACACACCATCACAGTCGAACAAGAAGACCTAGGTTACGTCAGCTGAAGCAAAATTAAAGTGGTAGTCATCCAAAGACACTCTGGGAAGTAACCGTTTGGGTTTGGCAAAGCTTACATCAAATTGGTCAACATATTGTCTGATGCCAGCTGTGCTGCCCGTCAAATACAGTGGTTCAGAAGCCATGCTGCTTTCCAAGCCTCAAGACCAAGGAGATTGATGTAAAAGTAACCGAACCGAGAACAATAATCCATATCTAGGTAATCTATCAAATGGTGGCCAGCGCCGGGTACCGTCAGAGCTTGACATAAAACTCTCTGGTCTCTCCCCTTTTCCTTTGATATAGGGAAAGCTGGTGTGATTGCACGATTAGGGTCCGCCAGGTCTTAATAGACACTATGGCTTGACCTTCCGAAGGCCACTTTTCAATGTTCTTGAAGGCCAGCATGAAGCTCTACTGGACAATTTGATAACAATACCGTTCATCACCATGAAAGCAGGCTTGAGAGTGTATGTCACGTAGCGAATTTACTCACTTCAAAAGCATCCAGTTCCTAGACACACTGTATTGAAGATGAAAATCACGTTTGAAAGCATTTGACCAGAATCTTGAATGTGCAATGCCTGTATTCAATGGCTGACACTGCGTGAGTGAAAGTGATTGAGGGTGCACGTTGAGTCTGATTCACGTACTTCTAGCCAGAATAGCATCACCATTGCATCTGATCAACATACTCCTCCATCGTCCCGTTATCTTCTGCTCGCCTTCTAGTATACTTGATCTTTCCCAGTCTCCCCTCAACATCAAATTCAACATCTACATTTCTGATTCTGGCCCACTCAGGCACATCGTGACAGCTCGTCACACTCACTAGACTCTCCTCCTCAAGGGAAATTATCTTTTCTGCTGTGACAGCAGCGAGTGAACTGTCCCAGAGCCCTTCCCGCCAAGGGCGATGTTTCAGCAAATATACCGCTTCGCGCCGGATAACGGGGTCACGGCATCGATGAGCAACAGCGTAAAGAGGCGCAACTAGTTGCATATCAAGCACGAACTCGATTTTAAAAGTTTTGTCAGTCACTTCTTGCTTTTGGGGTTCAAGCACTAGACGAGCTAAGTCGATAATGCGTTGGAACTTTGACACGTAGGGATCAAAATTCGTCTCGACGAGTGCTGGTGCTTGAATGAGTAGGCTGACCAAGCCAAACACATGGCTGATCTGGAGAAGCCGTGCACCTCGCATGCTGCGGGCGTCAAGGGTGTTCTAAGCGAGAAATCCCTCGAAAGCTACGTGCCATTCATGAGTGATGGCGAGGTATTTGTCGCGTTCCAATTGACCGTTCATAGAGTCTTGGCGTAGGCCTAGGATGTGAAACGTTCGGTAAGACTTATTCCAGATGAAGTCCAGAGAGTTGCGAGCTTCTTCAAGAGATGAGAATATGTGGGGCATAGAGATATGAAAGCCTTGAGTATATCTATTGTTGATGGGGTTGACATGCGCTGGACAGCTACCTGTTAACTTGTTCCCAGTAAGCATTCTGTGCACCTACGAAGAAAGGAGATGGATGAAAAGAAGCGGGCATACATGTGAAACTTGAGTATCCAAACGGCTAAAAAGCACTTTCATATTCGTGATAGTCATGGTTGGCTCTGGGGACAGCGTATGTAAGTCGCATAATTTCTTTGTCTCCTCCCCATGTAGGCCCGAGAGAATCTTGACCCCGGCAGTTATATGTGAGAGTGCCGAGCCTCCATGTCCTCGGAGTGCCTGAGAAAGTTCAGTTGGAAACGAGGGTCGTCACAGATATAGATCAACGTACCTCAAAACAGGCGAACAAGATACAAGCAACCAGACATACATCTACATATCGTCGACTATCATCTTGTGGGCGAGTCAAACATCGGATGGCAAGGTTGTAATGCTGCAAAGCAAATCCACCTTGCACTGCGTTGTTGACAGACTTTTGAGCAGAAATGTCACAATCTTGGAGCCTCTCGTGTAAAGATCCAAGCGCTAGAATTGCATGTAGGACAACGGGCTCATTTTGTGCTGCCTGCGGAACAATTGTTTCCCAAAAAGTTGGGTCAAAGAAGCCGGCTAGCTGTGAGGCTGTCTTAGTGCAGAAATGATCGAAGCTTTTCCATTCAATATCGGTAAACCGATAGCCAGGCGATAAGCCTGTTGAGACAGACGAACTACTTCTGACACTAGGACTGGTCAATTGTGATCGATCCAACGATCTACGTTCATACGGATATCCGTCGCACTGATCATGTGTCAGCTACGGATAATAGATGGTAGCCTGCCTTGTGGTATTCATCGGTGTAGATACCTTTCTCCCTGTAGAGGTGCAGCGAGTGCAAAATGGCTTGAGTTCGTCGCACTTGACCTTCCGGACTACCAACCGAGTTGACAAATTAGATATACCCAGCCTCAAAATAAGTATTGCTTACTCCTAGACACCAACTCGTTAGAACGACGAGGAGCAAATATGGGGAAATTGAGAAAGCTCCACATATACAAATTCCCAATTGCCAAACACAAGGCTGAGGCAAAGGTTCGAACAACGATTGGATCGTGTTTGAGAAGGCTACTTACTTGCATGTCAAGCATCCAGACTTCACCCTCTCGATGCCCCTTTTTCTGCCAATTGGCTGGCTCGGTGCTGGCTTGAGCACCGTAAGTTTGGGAGTATCGTTGCTGGGGCTGTGCTTTTGCCGTAAAATATGCAATTTAAGATTACGATGCATGCGTGCTCGTCTCGGTGAAGCCACCAGACAATGGTAGAACGCCAAAGCTGAAGAGGAAAATGCAAGGTCCCCCAATGAGAGCAGAGGTCTCCCGGCAGACAGACAAACGTTACAGTTCACGCTTCCCGAGTTCTTTCTTTAGGGACTCCCTTAGCTTGAGCAAGTCAGGGGAAGGGAGAACAATACGTTGACCAAACATATGGATCGTAGGAAGGAAACAACAGGATGCAGCAAACGGCCGCGCGGGAAGAATGATAGACATATCGAGCAAGGTAAACGGGCTGTAGTTCGGGGACAGGGAAAGGCATGTTAGAGGCCTCTACCATGCTGGTAGAGGTTCGACTATTCCCGATATAACATTGAAGAGCCTCCCCTTGCCCAATCGAGTTGGTCTTCCCGACTAGTGCTCCCGCTTCGAGCTATATTGCGAGCGGACCAATGATTGTGCCCCTTTTTTCCTTTTGTATCGTGGCTGTTCTGAGACGTCAGACATCAACGCAAGCAACATGGCAGAGCCGGCGGACGACACAAGATTGAGCCAACAAGCCAATGACACCCACGTGAATTCGTCTGCCTGCTCGAACCCTTTCGCGAACAGACCAATCATCCAGGTTCATACGCAGCTAGCGCGCTCGTCGTTCCAGCTATCTTTCCAGACGGGCTCCCTCTCAGCGCAAAGCATACTAAGAAGGGGAAAGTATTGATTCTGTACTCTTGGTCTCGTTTGCGATTAGCACGTCATTTTCACTTAAGCTAGCGAGGCTGGCGAAGCTTCAGCCTTGTGCGTCCATGCCAATTCCCCTTGCCTGGTTTTCTAGCCGCATCAAGTGAGAGTCAATTGTATTTGCGTGGATGCGGCCAGACCTTCAATCCCAATGATATATAAACCCTCAACGTCCCGTTTGGGTCGGACAGATTCATTCAAAACATTGCTTCTCTCGTTTGCAAAGAAGCCCCTTTCATATCGCATCCTTGAGCCGCCAAGGCGAACCAACGAGGCAAGAATCCCCCCTTCCACCATCATTTTACTTCTCAGAAAGTGCAAAAAGCACAATGGCACCTTCCCACTGCCCCGCCAAAGACGACCCCCATTCCGAATGGCCACGGTTCTGTCCTGCTGTTGGCCCTGCATACTTATACACAGTCCTTTTCGGCCTCACATTCCTCACACATTTTGTCCAAGCTATCACCTACCGCAAAGGCTACTGCTGGGTCATCACAATGGGTGCCATTTGGCAGACCGCAGCCTATATCTTCCGCGTCCTTAGCATCCAGCACATTACGAACGAGACTTTCTATATTCTCTGGTTCGTGCTTATCCTCCTTGCGCCGCTGTGGACCAATGCCTTCGTCTACATGGTCTTGGGCCGTATGGTCTACAATTACACCTCCACCGCCAAGATCCTTGGTGTCAAAGCCTGGCGATGCACCTTGATCTTCGTGCTACTAGACATCCTAGCCTTCATCCTCCAGCTCACGGGGGCAGTCATGGCATCAGGCGATGATCTGACGAATGCACAGATCATGCGCGGTTTGCACATCTACATGGGTGGGGTCGGCATACAGCAGTTCTTCATCCTCTGTTTCCTTTTCCTGGCCTTCCGCTTCCAACAGCGGATGAAACGCGATACTCCCATGGCATCAATGCACCAGCCGTTGGCGCTTCTCTACACCATCTATGCAGTCCTGTTTCTGATCACTGTACGTATCATCTTCCGCTTGATCGAATATGCCAAGGGATATGAAACTGGTATCCCGACTCACGAGGCGTACCAATACGTGTTTGACTCCACGGCCATGCTGATAGCGCTGGCGTTGTTGAACGTTGTTCATCCAGGCAGGATCATGCCTGGAAAAGAGGCTGACTTCCCGAGCCGGAAGCAGAGGAAGGCGGCGGGAAAGGAACACCTATGGGGCCGTGCAGGGGAGCAGGGTGGTGAAGGAGGAATGACATATGAATCAAGCACATCAGGGCAAGTGCAGGAAGTAGCGGAGATCAAAGTCTAATGTTGGGATGGCATATACTGATGACGGGTCAGCCGGGAAGCGGTTGACATGTAGATAGGAGCTTGGCCATGACTACATTGGACTCTACTTCAACATCAACATCTAGCCTAGCCACCTCAATATATATCTCCACTGTACAGGGAGTATGTACTTTCCACTTACATTCAAGCTCAGTCAACGATGATCTTCTTCTCTAATTCCGAGTAGTGCTCGAAGAACCCTTTGAACAGTTGAATGGCATAATCGACGTCGTACACCCCTCCTGTCTCTCGAATGCTATGCATACTTAACTGTGGATTACCCAAGTCCAGTGTCCTGGTTCCGAGAGCGGCGGCTAGCATTGGCCCTATCGTGCTACCGCAGCTCGAATCGTTGCGGACAACAAAAGACTGCAGTGGGACCTGGGCCCGACTTGCAATCTCTCTCAACAAAACGATGCCTGGCGAATTAGTGGCATAGCGCGCATTGGCATTGACCTTTATAACGACTCCCTTGTTCATCTCCGGCTTATGATCGGACTCATACTTTGCGGCAAAGTTTGGATTTACGGAATGAGCCATGTCTGCAGAGACCAGGAAGGACGAAGCGAGACTCTGTTCATATGCTGTGGTCTCTGGATCGTCGGCTCCAAGCACGGACAAGCGTCGTAGGATGCTGGGCATCACGTTAGAATCCGCGCCCTGCGCCGTGTTGCTGCCAATTTCTTCGTGGTCGAAGAGGGCTATCAGTCGAATAGACGATTCATTGGCAAGCGCCTCGGGAGTTGCCACGCTATGAATAAGAGCCATGACACTGCAATAGGACATGCAGAGGTTATCAAGACGGGGCGAGAACATGAGCTCTTCGTTCAATCCACCAACACAGGATTTCTGCGTATCGTAGAGCACTAATTCAAAGTCGATGACTTCATCAGGCTCCGCTTTGCATTCGCTGGCCAGAAGCTCGACAAGGTATGGGTGATGGCTGGTCAAAGGCTTGTTCGGCTCATTGGAACCCTCGACGTCCGTGGCTTCTTCACTCCGCTGGTCGTTCTTGGCTTTGCGGTCTAATTCTGCTGCCACAAGCCCAGCGATGGGAAACAGTTGAGTCTCCTTGTTGAAGGAGAAAGTCTCCTGTCTTTCAAGGTGTATTGCAAGCGTGGGTATACGAAGGACTTTGTTCAAGTATCAGCGATATCATAGTTGTTGGTTTGAGCGTGCATACTTGGACGGTTGATTTTGACAAGTTTCTGCACGAAGTCACCGTCTTTTGATTTGATCATCAGTCTTCCCGCGACACTCAAATCACGGTCGAACCAGGTATGCCATATACCGCCTCCATATGTCTCAACGCCAACCTGCAAGAAACCCTCTGCTTGCCTTTTACTGGCAGGTTTGACTCGCAGACATGGAGAATCTGTGTGCGCTCCAACCATTGCAATAGGGTTTCCAGGCTAGGAAGACGTCAACAGAAGAAAAGCTATGCCGTAGCCAGCGCCAATACCTGAAATTCCTTGCCAATCGCAAAAGCAACGAGAGTTGACCCATTTCTGGTCAAGAAATATTTCCCACCAGGCTTACATCTAGAAGCCCAAGGTTCTCGTTCCTGTGAGCTTTAGCGTCGCACTTCAAGTGCATAAGTAGCGACCTATGCGCACTCTGATCTCTTCGAAGCCTGCGGCGCCCAGACGTTGCTTGATATTGCTGACGGCGTGAAAGGCTGCAATTGGTAAGTACGAACAGAAAGGAATGCGCAAGGAACGCTACCTCACGGGATGGAGAGGCATTGATGAAGGAAAGAAGGTCATGACCAGGCTTTGCAGACGGTTTCACCATGTTCGAATGCAGACGGCAGTATCTCGAGCTTGGGAGCAGACGGTCGTAGCTCAAGCGCAATTGGAGATGGTAAGATCTCAAGTCTGAGGACCGACGGGACAGATATACACAACGACTTGCAGTTCGCAAGACTTGATTACGCATTCAACCCATGCACATAGGCGACGGGAAAAGGTATTGGAGATGACCATGGTTGGGCGCACCCTTTCGTCTCTGAAGAGGCTCACAGGCGCTAGAGAACGGCCTTTTCTGATGGGAGACGGAGAGCCAATGGCCCAGATCTGAGGATGAAACGACAGGTCAAGCAAACCATCGGCAGTCACACTAAGAGCACTTAAGTGACTTAACACCCCTAGCAAGACATAGTACAGCGAGGATGAAGCGCTAAACCCTTTCCAATTATTATTGTTTTTCTTTTTCACGAGACCGTTTGGGAGGCCGGTGGGCGCGTTTGGTCGTGTAGCTGTTGTGTTGATGTGTCTGTGTTGTGGCGAATGAGGTACATAGATATAAACATAAACACGGCAGAAATCGTCGTCCTGACTGTGTAATCCACTACTTGTGCGTGAGGCTCCCAGCACATGGCTGCCAAGACCTCCAGCACTTCGGCACCCTAGAACTAGGAGCGGAAAACCCCTGCCCCCAGATATTTGATTACAATCACCGTCCTCCCAAACAACGCCATCGCCACATCAACCCCCATTGACATAGACAGGAAGACGGGGAAAGAGACGCGCGAACCCATCACTATGCAAGCAAGGAACCTTGTTGTGGCTTAGGGTTTGCTGGAGAGATACCGGGCCGGTCTTGATGCCCCAAGAACACTGGGCAGGTTCCTTGCGAAGAGAGTGAACACACCGACGAGCAATTCGATTGGAAGCCACAAATCACTCCCCTCTATGACACTTGGCATAACACCTTGCGCCTCTGAGTTTACTATATCTGACCGCAACTTGCTCTCTGGACCTACTATACTTCCTCCATCCTCCGCGACTTCTACAACCGTCATGCAACACCGTCCAAGTAATATTCAGCGCAGTACCTTCGACACAAGAGTAGAGGGCTCACTGCACACTCCATCACTGGTCTCCCCACCCGATTCCAGAACACCACCAACAGTCACCGGCAAACGAACAATGGACAGCGGCCAGGCAAAGAGACCTGAGAGGTCAGACTCAGAGCCTGTCGACCCAAACGCTTTGAGCAGAGCTCTGGAAAATGTTGGAAATCCCGGGCAAAGCCGGGAACGGACTCCTATTTCCAGTCCGAGTCGAAAGAGACAGAGGGTATATGGAGACAGGTGAGATTGCAGAAAACGAATTAGAAGGCATGTCAGATGATTCTGATACCTTCATTCTAGATTCATACCAAATCGTTCCGGACAAGATCTTCACGCAAGTTACAATTTGTTGAACGACGATGCGTCGCCAGACACACCGTCAAAAACAAGGCGAGCCCCTCATGGGGAATTACATTACCAGAGAAGTAAGCAGTCATTTATCTTCCGGTACCACTGTATATATCTGACCTTCTACAGCCGAAGAGTCAAACCGGACCTACACAAATGTCCTTCGATCCGAGCTTTTTGAAAACACAGTACCACAGCCGACACCACCCACACTTTCACCTGACCACAACGCAACACACTTTGGCGAGGCAAGAGGACACACACCGCCAACACATCGATCATCATCTGCTCTCCCGCCAGCCTCTCTTACTCCTTCCACCCCTCACAAGAATTTCTTCAACTTCCGTAATCTTTCAGGTCATCCAACCCCTTCGAGGACTCCCGGAAGCAAGCATACGTACAATATGAATCCCAACTCAGACCTGTATAGTACCACTCCCATCCGAAGAGATAGCCAGCGCCTACTTTTAAGTCCTCGCAAGCAGCCAAGAGCAGTCAGCAAGGTACCATTCAAAGTGCTAGATGCACCAGACCTAGCAGATGATTTCTACTTGAATTTGGTCGACTGGGGCGGCAGCAACATCCTTGGGGTCGGCCTGTCGAAAAGTGTTTACATGTGGAATTCTGCCACTGGACTTGTTAACAAGCTATGCGAATTACAAGAAGATACAGTCACCTCCGTCTCTTGGATTCAACGAGGGACACATCTTGCAATAGGTACCGAGAAAGGTCTTGTGCAAATCTGGGATGCAGAAAAACAGCGTCGACTCCGTACGATGACAGGCCACACAGCACGCGTCGGCGCATTGGCTTGGAACGACCACATCTTGACCTCCGGCTCCCGTGATCGGCTGATTTATCATCGCGATGTGCGGCAACCCGAAATGCACGTCCGAAAGCTCTCAGGCCACAAACAAGAGGTGTGCGGTCTCAAATGGAATACTGAAGACGGACAGCTTGCATCAGGTGGAAACGACAACAAGCTGATGGTGTGGGACAAGCTATCCGAACAGCCAACGTGGAAGTTTGAAGATCATACGGCTGCGGTCAAAGCTATTGCTTGGTCTCCACATCAATCCCGTCTACTGGCCAGCGGCGGAGGTACGGCAGACCGGCGAATCCGATTCTGGGATACCAAACTGGGCCAGTGCGTCTCTGAGCTTGATACAGGAAGCCAGGTCTGCAATCTAGCCTGGTCGAAGAATTCCAATGAACTGGTGTCAACGCATGGATATTCACAGAACCAGATTGTAGTCTGGAAATACCCCTCAATGACACAGGTAGCTAGCTTGACTGGTCACACCTACCGTGTGCTTTACCTTGCGATGAGTCCAGACGGACAGACGGTGGTCACGGGGGCGGGCGACGAAACCTTGCGTTTCTGGAAGTGCTTCCAAAAGAGGCAGCGAGATGGTATTGGGGGAGAGGGTGCGGGGCTTCGCATGGAGAGCATGGGAGTCATCCGATGAAAAAGGGGAAATTGTGTTGACGGAAACGGAATATTGAAGGGCCTGTCGCTTTGATTCAGGAGCGACAGCACCTTATAAGCATGCCTGGCTTGCTCTTTCATTCTACAATATGTTCACAAATGGCTGGGTGGTGGCTTTTTTTGCCTTTACCAAATCGACTTTAGCGACATGCATGACAGGCTGCCACATGGCTTGGACATCTAGCAAGGCGCTGGAGTGGGGGCTTTGACAAGTGGAGCCGAAAGCAGTAAAAGGTCAAACTATGATGATAGTACAAAAGTGTCATAGCACCTTACATACGAGTATGATTCCAAAACATGATGCGTTTGCTTAATGTACTGACTATTTCCAATGTGATAAGACTAGCTGACAGAAAAACTCATATTCTCGTCAAAGATTGCACATATGACACACGCTCATGCACACACTCACACATCTCACCTCATCACCCATCCAACTCTCACCAAAGATATGAATCCAGAGAAGCAGAACTATGTACTCCCAACCTCCAACCCGAATGCTTCACCTCGTCCCCCCCAACGCCCCTTCGCTGCCTCCAGCATCACCTCACTCGTGCTCATGGTGATGATGCGCATGATGCACATGCCTCCTCTTCTTCCTCCCCTCCTTCTCCAGCCTCGCAGCCTCGTCAAACACGGCCTCCAGATCCCTCTTCGTGCTGCCACCGCCAGAGCACGCACCTGAGCATATTGACCCCATCCCAGCGCAGGGCTTACAATCCGGGCGATTGCAATTCCCCATACTCGTCTGCCCACCGATACTGAACGTATTCTCCTTACAATGGGGGCCCACGCAGCAGACCAGTTTCCCTCCCGTGGCCATGGGGCTCTTGTACGGTCCGGAGGCGCTAGGCCCGGAGGCGCATCCACAGTCATCGTATGGGTAGGTGTACGCAGCGCCGGACGCCGGGCCGAAGAAGGCGGAGGGAAGGGTACACTTCATGCAATCGTGCGCGGGGTCTCGGGTCGCGAGTTTCAAGTACCCCGGATTCACGCAGATGTGGCCCATTTGGGTGGAGCCGCCGTCGTGGCAGGAACCTTGCGAGTACAGGTCGACGTTGGATCCGGACATGAGGGTTGGATTGTCGGCGTTCCAGCAGGTCACGGGGTAGTTGTAGCCCTCGACGTAAGAGACGTCGAAGAAGGAGGATTGGCTTAGGCCGACAGCGTTGCCTTCAATCAAGGTGGTGTGGTCGCCTGTGTTGCTGGTGCCGATGTTCACGCGCACGGAGCCGGGCGACATGCAGATGCAGGTGCCTTTCGTTTTGCCGGTGGAGGGTTTACCGCCGTTGCCGGCGGCGAAGTCGACGTCGAGGGTGTTGTCGGTGAAGGAGATGGTCATTGAGCAGCCATCGGGGCAGGAGGCCGAGCTGCCATGGTCTGACCCGCTTTGGTCGGTGTTGGTGCTTGCGGTGTTGGTGGTGTTGGTCTGATCAGTATTAGTACTACCGCTGCTACCACCACTGTTGCCGCCGCCGTTGTTGTTGTTGTTGTTGTTGTTGTTGTTGTTGTTGTTGTTGTTGTTGTTGTTGTTGTCGTGGCTGGTGCTGGTGCCGCTACCTTGCGGTTGGCTTGCTTGCGATTGGCTTCCTTGCGGTTGGCTTCCTTGCGGTTGCTGAACATTGTGCTGTTCCGTTGTTGGTTTATCACCATTCGGGAAGACTTTGCTCCAGTCCACATTTGCGGTGGCATCCTTCCAGTTGACACCCACATAGTTGGATGCATCATTCCAATCTTTTCTCTTCAATAGATTCTTCCAGAACGGCTTCTCTTCAGTTGCCAGAACATTCGTACTTGCGAGGGCCAGGAGAAGGAGATAGAGCGAATGCATGATCGCGCGAACTTTGCTTCCAGAGCGAAGAGTAGGTTTCTGGAGAGAGTAAGGAGTGTGTTGTGCCTGACGGCCAGCCGATGAAAAGCACAATGGAAAGTCAGAATGTTCAAAGGAGTGTAACGCAAGTCGCAGAGACGACCAGCAAAAACGAGATGCGAAGTAAGATTGGACCCAGAATCTAAGCGGCAGCGGTGTTTTGGGGCGAGTTGAGGGAGAATGGCAGGGGGGAGGCTAAGGATATAAGCAATCCACAAATGCCCCTTAGATCAGGGGATTTCCTGCTGGATTCATGCAATGCAGCCAAAAATAAGGAAGAGCGGCGGGAGTCACAGGAACCCGTGAAGAAATTCCGGGAGGGGATAATTAATTAATTAAGTATCATTCAGAACAGCAAGTCTTACTTCCCTACCATTGCCCCAGCGCGTATCGTGTCTCCGCTGACTTCGCATCGCTACTGGCTGAGACGGCATCCAGGCGCATTATTGATTGTTTGTCGGCAAGACATCGTGAGGGTATCCTGTATCGTGGTGGTGGTACTGCAGATTGCAGAGGACCTCCTGGAGCGTCTGATGAAGGAAGCTAGGGAATAAAGGGAGTAGAGGGCATAGACTTCAAAGGCAATCAGGAAAAGGGCGACAGGAGACGACGATTGGTGAACAGACCCGAAAATGGGAAATTGCGAGGTCAGGGGGAGTACGTACTGCCTTACGTACTACGGTACTGGTTAGTCTGGTACTCTGCTACGTACCACCCGCCAGTCTTTGCACGTGACTGGCCGCTTGCAGCAGCGTCAGAGTCGTCGGAGCTTGAGAAGAGCAAAGACGGGTCCTCTTCATCTTCATCCTCTCAAAGGAATGCTCATGCCAAATGCCCGTTGGTGCTTGCCTCTGCAAGTGACCGGGTGCGTGTTTTTCTTATTCTTCTTCTCTCTCCTGGTAATAACATACTTGTGCAGCGGCTGTGCCTGAAACGCCGCCTGTTCCCTAGACTGGATGTATCCTCGTACCTTCTGAGGTACTGTCTCTCTTAGCGCCATCGATCTAGGCCAAGACATCGCGAAAGTCATTGGAACTCCAAATGCACGCGCCAAAACACCAAATACCCCTAAATCTCCTAAAAAAGACGATTCGTTCGCAACCAGATCGACCTGCGCACAAGACCAATGGAGAGACATGAGCAACAAAAAGACTGGTGAGGCATAAACCCATCGACGCAACTATCATCAGTGCATTCTCCCTTCACGTGCTGGCTGCATGAGGCATAAATATTCGCCTAATCTTGTGCCGTCGCGCTGGCGAGGCTAAGAAATTGCGCAAGCCGGCGGGAATACGCTGCTTCATGCTTCTTGCTTGCTGCTTGCTGAGACGGACGACGGAGATGCTGGACACTTCGCTGCCCCTGCTGCCATGGCAGGCATCTTGATACCCTGCCTGAGCAGAACACCGTGCAGCAGCATGCGAGATTGCCCAACAGAAATGCCTTGAATTTACCCAGATAATGCAAGCCTACCGCCTCTGGATCGCCTTACTGCTGTTGGATGCCAGGTCTGGACGAGGCTGCTCACTTCCTGGCTGATTGCTCTGGCGCATCGCTTGCTAACCTCTACGTGACGGTTCTCATTCAATGCTTCATTCATGTCATTACGGTCCCATAGAATATCCACCCCTCACAGCCCCATCGTACCATACTCGAGTGGTCATACTCAATATGCATATCCCGTCGTTGCGAGGGTACCATCCTTTCGCATAAGCCAGGACTCAGGACGCTGTTCCCTTTCGGCTTGGCCTCGTCTGGTACTCCTCTCGCTCCAACCACCGTATTCATTCTTCATCTCCAATCTGCACTGTATTAGTATTCTAGCCGACTCAATCTTGAAGGCCCGACTAACCTTTGGGGCGAGGTAGAACCTCAAGTAGCTATTTGATGCCAAAGCGTATTCCACGAGCAGTGGCACTTCATTGGACAGGCATAGCTTGACTGTGCCTGACAAACCGCTCGCTTTGCAAAAGTTGACCAAGTATTTCAGGGAGAATGTCAATGCCACTGGTTCCGAGAGAGCAATTTCAACATTGCGCTCGGGCTTCTCAACGTCTGTGTGGCTTCTCAGAGTGACGGCCCCGTTGCCAATGTCGCCCGAGCAGGAAAACTTGACCCCTTCTTTCGTGGCTTCAATAGCCACTGAAGAAGAAACGCATCAGCATAAGACCTTGCAAAGTCGCGCTGAGGGCAATATACCTGATTCCGAAAGCGCCATCAGATCTCGACATATCTTTTGAAATTCCGCGCTTGGCATGCTAATGGTGGCCGAGTACTCCGTCTCAGGTATACCCAAATGCTCTTGGTCGATATCCATAAGCTTGATATCGTATTCACTGAGCCGATCACTTTCACTGCTCTCGAAGACCAAATTGACCACGTCCGGGGCATCTTCCGCCTTCAGCGTCAAGATGTCTTCATTTTGAGCACACCGTAACACTTTCATAAGGGAGTTGAGGTTGATGCCAAGCGCGATGTTACGATCGCAGCGAAATGGTGAGAAGGACTCTGCTTTCAGCATCATCGAGACGAGGGCGACGTGGGAGTTGTCCATGGCTTGGAGGGCAACACCCGAGTCATTGCAATCAAAGTTGCAATCCTGTACGAGGTCTTTGATAGCATCGACAACCTAGATGATTTAGTACCTTTCAGCTCAAGGGGTCTGTCCTAGTGGAAATGTTTACCTTCTTGAGCAAGTTTGCTTGCTCCAATCGTGCTTCAAGCACTACATGCCTTGTTAGCAGATGGGACAGTCTCCGGATGCTCGATAGGCTCACTTGTGCACTTTGTATCAAGACAGTATGACCGTGTTCAGAACGTCAATTTATCAACAAATGGCTGAATTAAAGACCGCAGAGTGAAGATTCGTTTGGTGGGTGGAATGTCTTGATGTAGACTTGCGTCAGAAATACGCGTCGGTTGAAAACGCGCTAAGCACGTGGACCACTTTAGCCCTCGGGATGCCGCTAAGAACATACAAAGAGACTACTTTGCAGGAGACAAGCAGGGAAAAGTAGTCGAGTGGAAGAAGTTCCATTCAAAGACCTCTTCGGTTATATTCACAATATAATACATGCCTCCAAAATTGCTACATATGTTACAAATATCAAATGGGTATCTCATGCACATCGTCCGTCGTAAATGCCGCTCGTTGAAAAATGATACCTTCCTGCCAAATGGCAGACCAGTCTCGAAATATCATTAGACACTTGACATGCGTCCTGTCGTTCTTCCCCTTGGTCGTAAATTTATCACCGTCTCCAATTCCTTCAACAAATGTGTGGTGGCTTGCGCCTTCTCGCCGTCTTCGGCGTGCTTCCTTCGGCCTTCCTTGATTTGTGCAATCCTCTCATTTCTGTTCAACGCACTACGAGGACGAGGCGCTGCCACTGCTTCAAATATCTGCTCATCTGAGGTATTTGAGGTGGCGCTGGAACGTGACGACGAGCGCGGAATACCTTTGAGTGCCAATAATGCGTCTTGCGGGCTTCCTTCAACAGCCGTCGAGCCGCCTAAACTTGAGCTCGGCGAAAGCGGCACCGATAGACGGTGCGTAGAGGGCGACATAGATTGGTTTTGTATTTTCAACGTTGAAGTGAGCGCGATTTTTCCCAGTTCCCAGTTCTGCACCAAATCCTTTAGATCAAGACCAACAGAATCATATTGATGCAAAAGCGTATCTGTCAAGCCGTCAATTGTGCCTGGTTTGCTAAAGCTTCTCTCAGCGTCTTCACGAAGGAGTCGCATTTTAGCATAGAGACTCCGGATGCCCTCTGAAAGGCCGCTGAGCTGCTTCATATTGCCTTTCGCACGTTCTCGATTGGGCGTGAGGGGACATTGAGGGGTCGGCGGTGTCGGGAAGGCTTCATAAATCATCGTTAGCCAAGTTCGTTGTAGGGCAAGATCAAGACATACCTTCTTCGTTCTCATTGGCTTCGGAAATTTGGATGACAGCTTCTGTCGTTAAGGATATCAAATCATCCATATTCTTGATGGCTGCCAACCACTTTGAGACATTCGGCGTTCCCTGATCGTAATCTAATGCTAGCAGCGTACATAACAGTAGTCTCCGCAGGGTCTGAAGCCTATGAAAGCCGATCTTCAATTCCAGGAGCGCTTCCGGAGCTTCGAGCTCGCGAGACCCTGCAACAATAACGTTTTCGGCGTCTTCAATATCCATACGACTGATCTCGTAAATCTCGTTATACTTGTCAAGATCGATTTTAACGGCATTGACTGCGAGGTCTTTGTGAGCTTCAGAGAGCGGCTTAGACATATAATCAAGGGTTCGGCGTAGTGTTCGACGTAGCCTTGCGCACCTCCTCGGCTCACTACTGCTGGTAACGCAGGAGATGGGAGGCATTGGGGAGCTTTCGGATCTCAGTTGCACGCTTCACAATCATCGGGTCGCGGCACTTACATGTTATAGCCGCGCGACAGAAGCTCTACTTCCTGGATCATTGTAATACTTGTATTGACTGCGGCATCCAATTCGTGCATGCTAGACGTAAGACGGGATGCACAATCGATTGCGCGTCTTTGCACTTTCTGCTGCCATCGTCGCTCGAGGAACAGATAGGAAGTGGCGGTAATGAGGGCGAAAGACATAAGCAGAGCGAACGGTCCAGCCCAAGGAGCAACGGGTAGAACGTGTTGGCGAAACCATCTCACAAGATAGGCAGCCCCGAACGCAATTATGGCTGTTGAAAAAAGTCCGCGAGGAGTAGCGACGAATTCAATTTCCTGGTTTTGATAGGCCAGATCTTCCCTTACAGATGGTTTTGGCAGAGACAGACGTTGGTAGGACGACCGGTTGGAACTTTCGCTCAGCAGCTGAGATGCGACGATGATGTAACGGAATTGCTCCAAGAAATTGGCACTTTTGGACCAACCCAGACTACGGTGAACGATGCTCTGAACCAATCTCGTTAGCAAGCACAACGAGACGAAAAGGCACATCATTTCTTACAGAGCACCTCTCGTGGACACGGGCAGCTGCGCGCTTAGGAACCACAACATCCAGAGTGAGGGCTTTAGGTGGGGTTTTGCGAGCTCTGAAATGCTTGAAGCTGGACGCGAAAGGCGCGAATGAGGTCTTTGGCAATGGTGAGGCTACTTTTGGCTTTGCGTTGGAGGCTTCGGGGTGATCATCACTGTTACCTTGGCCTGCTTTCAATCTTAGCGACCGAGTCACGACCATAAAACGTCAACAGCATATACCCTCCAGGAAATGAGCCAGGGGTGAATCCTCGAAGACGACTGTTTCCATTGACTTTATTCGACAGCCTGCAAGAGACAAAGAAAGGCATGCTTTCCTACCGGTCTTTGCCGGGTAGAAATTTTCAAATCTGACAGCAAAAAGGTGGAGGACTGTTGCTCTAATTGTCGATTGGCAAGCTTACGAAAAGATACCAGCTCGTAATACTTGAATGAATGCGAAAGGGAAGAAATTATTCACGAAGTTGGTAACTGGGAACTTCGGGCGTGCCAAGACCGACCGCGTCTTCGGGATTAGGTTTGCAAGATGCAGCTAAATATACAAAGGCAAGGTACTACGGGTGTGGGTCGGAATCCTTTCGCGCTGTCTTGACCACTGGTGTCATTGAAAGTACAGGATTTTATAACACGACCCTGCATATTTGCCCACGAATCTTTACATAACCTCAAGTGCAAAACAGGCTCATCAACGGATAGTTTAAAGGAGCATTACAAGTGGTAATCGAGAAGTGAGTTCCGACTAATTCACATGATGCGTAATTCTGTGCTCAGTGCGACCCTCCTCGAGATCTTGTAGCTCTTTCTCCATGCACCCTAATTCCATAGACTAGATTGAGAGTGTTTGGTAATGAGAGGGCAATTTATCTTGGCACGTTGGATAAATCCTTCAGCAACCGTGCGTGGATATGCAACGGCGCTGTACACACATATGCCGTCTTTCGAAACTCGCTGACAGAAGAAGATTGCGCGTAAAATTCGGCTGAGACCAATGGCGATATCTTGTAGAGTTACACAGCGATGTCAAGTCAAGGTATGTAGAACCTTGAATATTTCGCTGTGCTCTGCTCAACCAAATGTGCTGCTTCACAGCCCCAACCCCATGAGACTTGACATCTCTTGCGTATTTGCACTTACGGTGCTTCTCGACCAGATATCTCGTAGCATTACAGCGTCAATGTAACCTGGTCTCGCATCCTCCTTCTGAACGTTTGGCTGGTTCGCTCCTCTTCAGTGCATTATGCCGCTTCTCTCTTCCCTTCCCGAACCTCTTTCTAGGCATTCGTTAGTAAATATGATGTGGCTATCGTTTGACCACATTTACCAATGCCTTCATAGTTCCATGGAGCGCATGCCTATGGTTTCGTCGGAACTTGGGATCTGTCCCTTTCAAAGAAGGGTAGCGGTGAGTCTTCGGTTTCTTGATCCTAAAGAAGAAAATTGCGTATCAGTGGCTTGCAGTTCCTCCACGATTTTAAACGAAGGAAAGGGCTTTACCCATTCTTATGTGCCTTCTTCTGTTGATTGTGCTGCGACGAATTTTTTGATTCTATGATCAGTTCGATCAATAGAGGTTATACAGAATTGGACCATTTCGTAACCTACTGGCCATTGTAGCACTTGACGTCTTCAAAATTGGGTACAGGAGCGTTGGAAAATAAGACGCACTCGACGATCGCACAATGGACTCGCTTATTGTTACTAGCGTTCATTGTATTTAAAATACCTAGCCTTGGCTCGTGCGAATATCAATGCATAATCCCAAATCAACCAAATTGACTATAGACAGTCAACGCTTCATTTTCCAAATGGTATACTATACAAACTATGAGCAGAGTGGTATTTGGAGCTACTTTGTCCGCAATGAGTTGTCCATGTGTTTCAAAAGTAGGAAGATATCAAGCATGCAAAGGCTTGCCAAGACTAGGAATATGCTATCAGCATGTAAGGGCTAGGAGTTGGTCAAAATTACTTATTTAGCTGATTAGCAGCTTGGAATATGTGGACAACGTGTTACATGTGTCTTCTGACTTACATAATCCTTCACGCAAAAAGTGCTTGATACAAAAACCTCGCTGATACTATAAACAGCAACCCTTGAATCGATCTATGGTCCTCAAGATGTTATTTCACAATGACGGGTAGAAATTGCTGAGCTTTCTGCCCAAGTCCCTCGACTGGTAGGATATCCTTTGCTTTCGAAGCCGCAACGGTTGCCGCCCGCTTCAAATTTTCGTTTTTCAGGCGACGCATATACACAAAGAGGACTATAAAGAGGATTTCGACCCTGCTCCTACATAAGCATTGGCTCTGACTTGAGCTCCTAATGACCTTACCTCTCCTTGGTCATCATCAGAAGGCCTTGAACCAAGATTCCCTTCGTGATCTGTGGGCCAAGTCCCTTGAATAACGCCAGCGGTCCTTCGTGCTCAACAATGTATTGCATCACCTCCACAAACGTCTTGAAAGGTCGATCTCTTTTAGCTGGCGGTGGTCTCGACTGTAGCCCAACCTTTGCAACGATCAAAGGCTGGGTGACAATCGTAGCGAGGGCTTTTGAAGCAGCACCGAGGACTACCAGAAAATTAGCGGATAACTTTTCTGGGGATCTGTGAGATGCAAACAGAATGACTCCCATGGGCGGAGTCTGGCCTTATTAGCGAAAAACAAAGACCTCAGTCTCTGATAAGCCCCATATGTAATTGCTGGGTTGACCACAAGTACCAAGCTTGCCTTTAAGCCTCTCCACAATCCAGTCCACCCATCCTCACCGTACAAGACTTCTTTCCCAGTATCTACGAGGCCCCGTTTATCGCCCTTGGGCTGTGTCTGTTGCCGGGTGGTAATCACGGAGACTGGTATCGTGAAGACCTGAGCAAGGGCTCCTGCAGCTGCCCCCAAGGCAAGCTCGGTCGGGGTGTCGGGAGGATTCGCCAACTTCCGAGTCGAGATATAAAGCGCTCGGACGACAGAGTACCAATAGAAATAAGCAAAATTGGTAGATGCAACACCAATCAAGGAGCTGTTGAAGCCAGCATACAGCCCAGCCAGCCCCTCATCCTGGGCAATTTTCCTGACAGCATCTAGTGTCGATTTATAGTGAGCCTCATTGACAGTCGGCGAAAGAAGCTCGGTGTCTTTTTGCTTGACTTGCACTTGTATGCGGGTTTTGACTCTATAGAACTAGTCAATTGGAGCTCAACAGAAGTTTGGTGGATCATTACATATCCAGAGGGTAGACAAGAGCATTTGCAAACACGGCACCACTCGCGCCCGCTAAAGCATTTCCCCATGGCGGTAACGGAGGCGGACTACCGCGATGTGACATTGGGGCGTTGAGAAGATGATGAGGAATGGGTAAAAGCGAAAGGAGTGTGGCCTGGGTCCTTACTTCACCATCGTGCCGGGGTATGGAGGGACTTCAATGACCCGAGATGTATAACAGTGGTGCGCACCAAGGTACTCAATCACAGACAAGACACAATTATGGTCAATGCGATCATCTTTTATGACGGAGTAAGCCGAGGCAGAAACGCAGGCGGGGTGCTGAAGAAGGCTGCCAAGACTTCCATCCAGCCTTCTTGATCTGTGAGGGCTCCTTGTTCGTTTATATAATGCGAACAAAATTTCCTTTGAAAGCTGAGGGCTGATGGCGAGATGGCTCTTGAGAGCAAACAAGCAGAGGGATATATTCAAGAGCCAGTATCTCAGCGTGTCTTGTCTACGCGTGAGAAAATCATTGTGCTTGAAGGTTCAAAGCTGCATGGCTGTCGTTTCCCGCCCTGGTCACCGCTAGTGCCAGCTTCAGAATTCAAAGATTCTTTCCAAGACGATACCAATTTCCAGCTATCGCAAGCCCAGTACAAGGAGCTCAATAGTTGGCGAAGATGTTCAGACATCTTTGATGTGGCGGGCAAAATTATGTCGGCTTCCAATGGGCAAGCAGATTCGAGTTGTCAAGACTTAGTGCAAGACATGACCACAGATTGCTCCGTCGTTGCGAGCTTATGTGCAATCACAAACCGCACTGAACGGGGATTCACCAATCTTTTTGCAGGTATCTTCCATCCCTGGAACCCAGCGAAATCTTCACCAGGTACGTCTTCGAATGGAAAGTACATTTTTCGTCTCTATTTCAACGGTGCCAACAGGAAGGTTGTCATCGACGACAGGCTACCTGTGTCCAAGACAGAAAGGAATTTCTTCGTCACTGATCGTAATTGTAAAAGCTTGCTTTGGCCAGCCTTAATCGAAAAGGCATACTTAAAGATGAGGGGAGGCTATGATTTTCCTGGGAGTAATTCAGGAACTGACCTTTGGATCATCAGTAGTTGGATTCCAGAACAGCTATTTCTTCAAAGGTAGGCCCCTCATCCCCGCCCCAATATCCTCTGGTGAGACATATGTTACACAACTGACGAACTGAGCCTTAGCGATGAGCTTGATCGCTGTTCGCTATGGCATAGGCTTCTCAAAGCCTTCCACTATGGGGATGTTCTTATCACGACAGGAACAGGCAAAATATCCGAGACAGAGGAAAACGTTCTTGGTTTGATTGGGGAGCACGATTATACTGTCTTGGGTCTCAAAGAACAGCATGGACGGAAGCTTTTCTTGATCAAAAATCCATGGTCTCGAGGTATGAGTTGGAAAGGAGATGATCACACTCTTGGAGGACTTTCGGAAAATCTCCACCATCTTGGACTTGGCGCATCCATGACGAAGGACCACCCTGAGCATTGTCTGACTCCCGGTACGTTTTGGATGACTTTGGACCATGTATTCGAAAACTTTGAGTCGCTCTATCTCAATTGGAATCCGGGCTTGTTTAGGTACCGAACCGATTTGCATCTATACTGGGATCTGACTAATATCCAGAAATCGGGCGGCAATATCCGTACAAATCCACAGTATATCGTTAATTCACCGTCTGGTGGGCTTGTCTGGCTTCTATTGAGTAGACATTTCATCTCTCGTTTGCCAGCTGGCCAAGGTCACGGAGGCCCCAGCACTAGAGATGCTTCTGAGGGATTCATCAGTCTCTATGCTTTCAAAGACAATTCATATCGAGTCATCATTGATGAGGGTGCCTCCGCAACGAGTGACTACGTTGATTCGCCAAACACATTACTGAAATTAGACATGGCACCAGGCTCATCATACGCCATTGTCTTAGCGGAGCAATCTCTCCCCAGAACTCGACTCGCCTTTACAATATCCTGTTTTTCACTGTCTCCTACAAGCATTGAGCAAGCGAAGGATCTTCACGCCCACAAGCATGTTTTTCATGGAAGGTGGACCAAATCATCAGCTGGGGGCAATGCCAGTGGTCCCGCGTACCATTCTAATCCTCAGTATCGCATCCAACTCATGACAAGTTCTGACCTTGTTTTATCACTCGAGAGTATCTTCGATGCTTATCTTGTTCACGTAGCCCTTATTCTGACCAGTGACAAATATCTTCGCACAGTGGCTTCGCGAGACATCATCGGCAACAGTGGTGCCTATAGAAAAGGGTTTGCGGTCGCAGAGATTGAAGAGGTTCCCGCAGGGTCGTACATAATTGTTTGTTCGACGTTTGAGCGGGGTCAATTGGGTGATCTCAATCTTCACGTCTCGTCAACAGCATATTGTGACGTAAAGCGTGTCCCCATCTTCGGAGCCGGACGGTTCGAAGCAGCTATGAAGACAGCGTCATTCGCCCCGGAGATAGATCGCTTAGTCTTACCGATACTGACGCATCGCATCAACTGTATCTCGGTCACCGCATCGTCAAAGACCAGCGACCGGTCTTCTATGCGTCCAGAACTAGGGTCGCCTCTAAGGGTCGCAATTGCATCCGGAAGGGGATCGTCAATGCAAACAATTGCGGCGAGCTCTAACGGTGATTTCACCGATACAAGCCATGGAGGAGCTTACGTGCAGGACGTCACCATGCAGGTAACAGAATGCAACAGTCCCGGTGTGTTCATTGTGCTTGAGCGTCTGGGTACGTCGGGCTCAAGTCAAAGTGAGGCGGTCGATATCCTTATCCAAAGTGATGAGTTGCTACAACTTGGTCAGTGGATCGGTGAGGAGGCTAAGGTTTCCTTCTGACACGTGCTACATCTACGTTGCTGAGGAACCGTTGGCGAGTTCCTCGTTGCAACAATGATATCCTGGAATATCAGGATACCGGAAACTATGTTCCACGCGATTCCATTTACCAGAGTGAGACTGCTCGGTCAACCGTTCTGCAGATTTCATGCCGGCCTTTCCTGAGCCGCGCCAGACAACTCAGGCACGAGAGTAATGATTCTGTGGAAAAGATCGATTCCCCAAATCCTCAGTGGGTCAGGAAACCGCATCGGCCGTAACTGCGAGGACAGATCAACAGACTCTGAAACAGTGTGAACTAGAAGCAGCTATACCTTCCACCAATCCGGCATTTCAGGGCCTCGAAACATGCAAGCGGTGCGCCTGATTTTCTCAATTTCAAATCAAATATTACGGTTGAATTTGGTGAGGCTTTTGTCAGCCTTAACGGTCGGGTCGAAGGCACAGGGGGCACTGACCCACCCGGATGATGGTTCTCTCCGTCAAATGTTTCAGCGCTAAGGATGATTATGAATATAGTCGGACGTATCCACAAGACGCATTGTGAATGCCCCAAGACCCCATGTCAAAGCCTCAGGAAAGGTACTATTGATGTCGCCGAACGTTGTGCTGGCCTTCCCGCTCCGCCACGATAGACCTGGACCATCAATTTCCTTAGATTTCGGGTCATTCAAGAGCAAGCACAACGCTGCGCATCGATGAAGACTCCAATTCCTCAGCTGTAATCTATGATGAGTGCATCGAGATGACCGCAGCGCTTGGCAAGGCAACAGAGCTCATCTCCGCTGTTGCATGTCAAAGACCGCGTTTCCCGGAGCCTCAGGCATCGCACTAGCAGAGCCGGTTCCTGGACGCCTGAACTTTGAACCTCCCAATTCCACGCAATCTGGTGAATGCTAGGCCAGTATCCTTACCGAAGCATTACATTAGCTTCTCTACACTGGAGCGTGCTTGTTCTTCGCCCATGCCATACTTACTACTGTGTCATCTCATTGTCTGCCTGGAGTCTTCTGCCGGCATCAACGCAGTCACAGGGGAAGGGAACTCATGGTCCCAAGTTGAGTCTGGAAGACCATCCGTGTTGACGTCCGTTTTCCTTTCGCCCTCTCTTTTTCTCCTCTCCTTCTCTTTCTCTCTCGCCATGTTCCCAAGATGGCATACGATTCGTCCGCAAGCCCAACGCTTGGCCTGTCACGGCACTTCTCCTATGGCTACAGTTTACACCTGGTTGGCCAGTCACGCCGTGCCCCTGTCCCACTCGTTCCTGATGACGGATTATCTGAAGAGCCCTTAAGCCGCAGGCTGCCTCGTGTTTCAGTACGCACGTTGCAAACTCTATCTCGTGGCGGAGCCCTACAGTGTTGCAAGCGTGTTCTATGCAGAACGCAATCAAACGTCTTTCGCAACCCTATGCTCGGCGATCGCTCATCACTCTACCCATGGGAGACTTTTGACTGGTGCCATGAGTGTGACTCTGGGGGCCGCTAATTGTCAATGTTTGTTCTCGGAATACGTCGATTGGCTACGGCTGAAAGTGTTCCACGTGCTCCCTCTGCCCTAGTCAGTACCGGCTCCTGGGAGACGAAGGCCTTAGGTTTTGCAGCTACGCTCTGCACTGGTGGTCATCACAAGCAAACCAATCAGGCCTCACTCATAATGCCACGGACTGACGTTAGTTCTAGCGGCTACCACCTTGGGCACTGAGATCTCTAGGTTGCTCACCCTACTGTGAGCATGAAGAGGCAGTGATATCTTGATGTGGACTCCCGTGCTGTTGTCACATCTCTGGTGCCTTGTAGTTGAGTCACTTGTCCTCAAAGGTGGGTGACATTGCAAGGCCTGGCTCAAAACCCGCTACCCAGCTATCACTTCGAGGGCCACTGGAACTCCGCCTTTTTGCCTGAGTCGGCCTCATTGGTACAGATCGGCGGAACACGATCAGATTGTTGGTAAGTACCTTTCGATTTCGCGCGGGTGGCGGATGTGAGTATTGCCCTACCCTTTGACAGCGACATCCCGCGGGCACACCCGTCCTTGAACTTCTCCACCCCTGCCTGCTGTGTGGATGATCTGAGACCAATACACATACCATATTGGCCACCGCTCATTTCCAAATATGACTCCAACGCAAGTCGAGTTTGTGCCTTATAGAGGGAGCTCAGCTTACAAGCAACAACGTCCGACTATATATCGGTCTCTCGGTGCTTCCATCGATCATTGTAGCATACTTCTTCCTGCAGTCTCACCAAGCAAGTCTTTTGGTCAATCATACCAGACGCTGACTGCTGCCGACATGTCAGGCTACCTCAACCCAAACCCAGAAGATCCCCAAGATCTGTATTACCAAACTCAGGGCACCTACGCTACAAGCAGGGGCCGGACCAATACGCCCTCGGGATACTCGCAACAGACGCACTGGGAGACCACCACATATCCAGACATGTCCCAGTCTGCGTCCCACTCTTTTGCTGCTCCAAGCCAATACGTCTCATGGCCAAACACATATCCTCAGCTGGGAACTCCTGACTATCCGCAAAGTCATTACTCACAAAGCTCGGCTCCAATAGTCCCATCGTCACCCTACGCAGCACAGCCTTGGCCAAACGCTCCATGGCCTGCCTTACACCCCGATGATGTAGAGGCGCCTTCGGACAACTCTCGCTCAACATCGCCAAATCCTGGAGATCTGGCGAGCTTTGGCATACTCCTTCCAGATGGTCGAAGCTGGCGCTGTTCATATCGTGGCTGCACTTCGCAAGCCACGTTCACTAGGGATGCGACTTGCGCAAGCACTATCGACGGCATACAAAGTCCCTGTTCTGTCGACATGAAGACTGTCCGCAGTCGAGTGAAGGCGGCTTTTCATCGAATAAGGATCGGGTAAGCATAATCTGTCTTTCGTATAAGTTGCTTTGAACCCGAGACCCTATGTCAGCAACAAGTTCCATCCTCTTTTCTGCTTCGCGGCTTAGAAAAGAATTACCAAATTTACCCTCGTCTATGCTCAAAGATGAATCTCGTGCTGATAAATGACTTCATGATAGCAACGTCACGAGCAACGGCATGCTCCAGCAGTACCGTGCTCTTTCAAAGGCTGTGAAAGAGTTTTCAGCAGAGTTGACAACATGAAAGATCACGTACGAAGGATTCACAATCGAAAACCCTCCTGAATTTTGCTCCGAAGGTATTTCAAAGTCTACAGCAAACATCTGAAAGGTGGCTCTGGTAGCTGCGAGACCGGAAAGGTATGGATGGTATGGAGGTAAAATACTTTGGACTCGGAAGCCTTTGCGTATACAAAGGGGGTGCATTGTACAGTCTTATTTATGCTTCTCACTTTTCCCAATATATATCTCATTCTATGTTAATATCCGTCATACTCGACATTTGCGATCAGTGAGATACAGCATGACCAGTCCAACATACATCAGGCGCTAGCTCAGGTGGCTACATTTAGACAGTGTTGCTCTCACACCCATCCGATCTCGAGATGTGAACCAAGGATCGCTTGGCGAAACTAACAGGTGAATTATCTGGTCTTTCAACATCTTGTAGACACGTCATATATATTAGATACACTCAATTTTGTTTGCTGTGTCCGAAACCGAAACGAGTCATCGATTTTGCCTACATGCTCTAGGTGCGCCAACCTCACGGTAAGCAAGCGAAACCGGGATGAATGTAAATGATTTGACAAGCACCCTTAATACAGCAAAATTTTCATCAACATGTCCAGGGATCTTGACTGGCTGGGAAGATCTCTGGTGAGGTACGGTATCGCGAATTGTACAGTACGAGCTGATCAGCATGTCGAACAGCAGGTTTCTGGTGCAACTTCTATTCCAAGAGTCCGGCGGGTCTACAATTGAAGCAAACACACCGAAAATTAGAAACCTCCTACCAATTCCTGTGAGGGCTACTTTAGAGATTGTCTTCATCATCAACACCTGTTACAATGTTTTTCAACCATAGCAAAGGTAAGTACTAACCATTGGACCTGGTGCCGAGCCTTGCACCATCTTGTGTAGGTCGCACCTATGGCGTCCAGGTCGGATGCCATGTACCTTGCCTAATAAGAATACCTTTGGCAACTTTGCCAGTTTAAACACCTTAAGATCATAGTGCAAGCAGCCACCCAAGGTCGTCCACCAGACGTCACCAGAGTTGGACACAAAGAAAGAAGAGACACGTGTGGACATATTGGCCCTCATCTTTCGTTTTTCAACCATTCAATTTCGGAAGAAAGACAAGAGACAAGCCTCAGGGTTCGGGCATTGCCTCAGATTCTCCACGTCTGTACGAGAAGTGTGACAATAAACTCGACTTCACCGACGTTTGAGATCCATTACGGGTGTCAAATACTTGACCGAAACCTACCCAGCAACACCAGGCCGACTACATTGCAGACAATGAGACACAGAGGAAGACGCTCGCTTGGAGGCAGGGGACCTCTGCGGCGGGCACACATCCCCCTGCGCCCTATCCGTTTCCCAGCGTCTGTGGGGGCGGAAGGGAGAGGCAAAGCCATGCACGAAGGATGAAGAACCAACAAAATCCTTCGCGTGTCCTAAGAGGCTGCAAATAGATAATCTGCATAACCGAGATTGCGGAGGTTGGTGTGTGCGACGTCTTGATGCAAACGATTGAAACATCTCAAGCCGGGAGGGTACCGCACAGCCCAGTAAGTTGTTCCCGTGACTGGAACAGCGATGGAGAAAAAAGATGTCAGAATGTGGCTTCGCATTAAAGGTTTCGATGCCATCACGGGAGCGAGAGAATCAACACTGCCAAGTAGGTCTCTAAACCTGGAGAACCTCGGCTTTGCGATGCGATGGGGGCCTTCAATGTCCATGCTAGACGGCACAGCTCGCTTTTGTCGTCTGGCCTCTCACCTGCAACATCACTTGAGCAGTTCTCTCGTCCATGATTGCTATCGCGATCCACCGCCATAGACCACAGCGCTTATGGCAGTAAAGATTCTTTCAGGCAAGGCTCGCGAGCGGCGCGAGCCTACGAAGCACGCGCATCAATGTAGCGCATTTGCGACCCCTGGTGACCCCTGCATGAGAATACACGGTGTCGCACACGTCGATTCGCAAGTCGCCGTACTGCTCTGGGAGTCTTGCAAGGCCGCAGTAGGGCACAAGTCTCTTTGGACACTAGGGAACATCTCTCTTGAAAGCTGGGTTGAAGTCAGGTAGGGAAGACCAATTGCGATCCTTCAAATAAGCATAAATACGAGCCAGAAGATATGATAACAACCTTCTTCCTCCTCGTCTCCCGAGATGGTGCGACGAGGTCTTCAAATGTTGGCTGGACCAACACCGTCGCATACTTGGCCCGATGGTTTCATGGACGGCGTGCTCTCATCGAGTCAGATCAATGCCGTGCTTTACATGCCAGATTGCGTACCCGCATGACGTTGTCGGCGCAGCATTGTCGAAACAGAGGAAGCGAGATCGATGAGAATGGAAGCTGTTGTCCAACGAGACTTGCCATTACCATTTCACGTTTGAAACGTAAGCTCAATCAGTCTCGAATTCCCTTACCGTCGAGCCCATCTCAGCCTTCATTCTGGCCTGAATCTCAATCGCATCTCTCGCAATCTTCACAACTTGCATGACGACTCCCTTCCAACTCAATGCAAATGTCGGTGCGGCACGACAACGGGCAACTCTTCATGATCGTTTCAGATACGACCCACTGCACTAGACGCAGCCTACCCCCAACTTCTCTCTTCGCCCAATCTGTCTCCTCCCCAGATGCTTACAATCAGTCCGTCTTGACCCCCTCGAATGACAACGTGGTCAAATTAGCCCTGATCGACGCATTGGGCCAGCCGATCACATGCCGCATTCACCCTTGCCGTACCTGACACGATTCCTGTTCACTGCTCCTACCGACCCTTACTTCCAACAGCAGCAACAACGATATCACGACGCATCAAACCGCTGTCCACCTCGTGCCTCTTTGCCTGCTTGCCCGTCCATTGAGCTCTAAAAACCTTAGCTCTAACCATGCACGTCAGCCGAGCTGCAGGTCAAACATCGATTCCAGCATAGGAGAAGGTCGCACCACGTAAGACGAATGCGTACGCCTAAGCGTAGCCTGCGTCGACGCTTGCATCGCCCATTCTGCATGGCTTCGAAAAGAGTGTGGCATCCAGGACGCTTTGGGTGAGCAGAGCCTCTGAGCATCTGCACTGAGCCGCATACGGGCATGTAATCTTGGTAGGAGCCCAAGGCGTGGCGCGGTTGTCCAGGCTACGAAGGCAACCTGCAGCGGCCGAATAGCGTCGACATATATAGCCATTGCGACATAAGCTGAGGACTCTAATTCACTATCGTACCGTTGGTATCGTAGTGTCGATAATGGTGGTGACGCTTCGAAGCAGTCTAAAGGGAGTACCAAGCGATGTAGTGTTGAGGCTCATGCCTTTATTAGCACATTAGCGAGTCATGAGTATAGTAAAATACATGTGTTCTCGAACGCTGTTAAGAAAACACTTGTCATGCCTCCCCTCTGAGCGCCTTGTCCCTTGGAATTGGGTATCCTGTCGTTGTCAGACGGATCAGCTCTCCAACGAGCAATGTATTGCTTAGTCGCTAATGTTTCAAGGATTCTCGTTCTACTGAAATCGTTTTCGCCAAGTTATATGTCTAACGTATTGTTGTATATCATCGAGACCCAAGACGTCGTCGTCTGCCTCGATTTCCACCGTCTAATCGTTGTGACAACACATCCCGTAGTTTCGGATCGTTAAGGTCTTTATCCATGTGATTGACGCGAACGTGCCTGATTTGAATCAGTTCCTTCGTGACGCATCTCGCCTGCCCTGAGCATTTACCTTTGCAAATTGTCCGGTCTTGGGTACTTATGTTCTCTTTCCGGGCAGAAAGGACACACGTACCCAGGTGACTGATGCACCAGCCCATGCCGTATCATCTCATTTTTCCTCTTGAAACCTTTACCACCCTCCGACCTCGCACAATTAGGTACAGGGCAGTAATGCGGCCGGTTTTGCGAATGCACGTTTGCGTGCGAGCTACCATTGTCAGCTGTCATCTAAGCAAACATACATGCAAGCTCACTTGAGAAGATATTGGGTCTGGAAAGGTTGTGCATTGCAGCCGTCGTGCTTGCACCTGAACGATCCATTGATTATCGGTGGGCCTGGGTGCGGTATTAAGGGGGGCAGGACCCGACCCGCTCTATCCATCTCGATGGCTTCTGAACTTTGTAGCGGAGACGGCGCGCCCTTATAGCTACTTGTGTAACTATCGGCCGATTGTGGGGTCAAGGCCTCGCTCCCGTGACGAGGTACGAAAGGAGGAAGCTGTACGTTAGGACGTGAGGGCGGTGACATGTTGGTAGTATCTCGCGGAGATGGATTGCTGTAAGCCGGCGAAGGCTGACCATGCGGAAATTGTGGTGAGAAGGTGCTGCTCGATCGGCTTGAGGGGCTAGGGAAGCGAGACATCTTGGAGCTCATAGGTGGCGAGAGCACGGAATTCGCACCTGCTGGCACTAATTGCGAGCGAAAACTGTTCTTCGGTGGTGCTCCATCGAGAAGTGGTTTGAGACCACTGTCGTGTAAGGAAGGCAAACCTTGAGGAAGATTGGGGGACTTCGTGGCATCGATTTGTGGAGATGGTTGCATGGCTGCTAACGTTTCGCCCGGCGATGATAGTGTCGTCGGAACCGTATATCTCCGGACCGGCGACCTGCTTAACCTGGGTGTGTCGATTGAAGGTATGCCATTAATACCTAGACCGGTCGGTCCATCAGTCGCTGCTCTTGGCGGCCGTGACTTAGACGAAGCCCGTTCAAATTCTTCTTCTGACAGCGTCTGTGATGCCGCGTCTGAATAGTGTCGACTCATTCTCGCAGAAGGGCATTGCTCTTCTGTTTGAAGGCGAGGGAGCTCCGGTCTCCCCCTTCCATTCCCCGCAGACCCTGCGTGGGTGTCATCTCCAACGTTGGGCATGTCGGGAACCTCTATTGAATCGACGGGCTCCTCCGACTTTGCGACCACTTCGCTCATTGCATCACCGTCCATGACCTGGCTGCTGATCTCAGAATCAGACTGCGGCAGAACCTCCTCGCCCGCCCTGTTGGCCAGTTCTGGATGATTAAGACCGCCCATGAATCCTATCAGAACAGCGTCCCCCCTCGAGGCTTGAGCTTTCCTGGGTCGCTTCCTAGGTTTGGAACGATCAGAGACCGGCTCTGGAGTCGTAGAATAGTCAGATGAGATGCAATCGGGGGAAGGCGTGGGCTTCAGATTAACTTTTGTAGCAACTAGTGGTGGGGAATCCGTGACCAGGCCGTCCTGGGGGTCGTAGCTTACCGCCGCCAGCTTGACGCTGTTGCGCTGGAGGGGAGGACACCCCTCCGTGCTCCAGCGCAAAGGACGTGGTCGTCAACGTACCTAGCCAGCCCTCCTTCGAGCTCACCTATTGATCATGTTAGATTACGTCCGGGTTCAGCACATACGTAGACAACCATGCCGAAAAGCCATGCAGCCAATGGCAATTGACAGTATCAACCTTTCATGAGCAGGACTTCTTCAGTAGTCGCAATGCAGGAATGTCTCTGTCGGCGCGAGCCTCGTCGATAGACTGCGTGCGCAGAGGCGGGGTCTGAACTGCTCAAATGCACAGGAGTAGATTTTGGCAAGGAGATGAGTCTTGAGAGAGGAATGGCATAGGAAACCCAAAAGGAAAGCAGGACATCTGACGTACCCGGATTGAGGGTGCTACGGTCAGAGCTCCTCGGGGACGGTTGTTCCCGCGGTGGAGGCTCTTTCGTCGAGAGGCTGAAAGCGGACAAGGCTATCTGGGTGAAGAAGACGGCAAGAGGGTGACGATAGCTGATCTTTCAACTCTGCAGCGAGCGAAGGGCATGGTATAAATGAAGCCCAAATTTGACGAGCGTTTACAGATGTTTTACAGAGGATGAAACAGATCACGGCGAGGCTCACGGGAGATGACTGATAGATGATGGTGATCCGTGATTGTTGTTGGCCTTACTGCTTGAGGAGTGAGGAGCGAGGCAGTGCTCGCACCACTTCTCTCAGCCGCCTCTGAGCGTCTGTTGGAGTTTCGAACGCGTAAGTGGTGTTTCAGGGCCCGAATGTCGGTTCATGATCTAAGCTTGCATCACCTTCGGTCGCAGATGCGAGATTGTCTTATGGGAGCAGGATGGGAAAAGGGCTGTGTTGCACCCTTTCTGGGAAGGGGGGGCGGGAAGAGCGAAGGAGTAGCAAGGGACTAGTACGTAGAGCTTCAGCTAGCAGCAGCAGCAGGGAGCCTCTTATGGTAGTAGGAAGTCCAAGAAGCCAGGAGTCCAGGATCGAGACAGGTCACAGATGACAGGGTAGGGGAAAGGGTCAGTCGTAGCCTGCCTTTAGGTTGGCTTGGTTTGGGTCGGGGGGTCTATAATGGGACAAGTCAGCGGTAGCATCCTCGCCGGGCTCACCCTACTCGATCTTAACACTAGCACCTAAGAGTCTGCCTTGGGAAGTTTTAGAGTGGTCGTAGACTCGTAGACGTTGCCCTTGTTGCCTCCTTGAAGGGCTAGGTGGAAGACAGGCAAGACAGGGCAGGTTACGGCCTCCATTCTGACGACTTCAATGCCACTTCCATGCTGGCTTGGCCCCTGCTACCAGTTGATTCATCTCACCATCTGGCCGGCTGCTTGAGACTTTCTTTAGCTTTCCAGCCAGAGCACCTGCAGCAGTAGTGCCTTGTTTGAGCTTTTTCTCATACCTGCATATTGCATAATCCCATCGTCCTGGACGCGGGTCACCCGTCGGCGGTCATCAACAGTAATACCTTACTGACCGTCGGACGCGTCGCAAGTTGCGACATGAGAGGAGCTCGAGATCAATCGCGAGCGACACTGGAAGTGTTCCGTGGCTGGAGTTGCTGTCTGACGCACGGCGTCTAGCGGTTCTGCCCTCCCCTCAAGAAGCCACACACACAACGCGGACCCGTCACGACGATCCATGGATACTATTATTATTATGAAGATCCGTTACCGAGCGTCCTGATTGATGATAATAATGATAATAATAATAATAAAAATAATAAAAATAATAATGGGACTAAAAGCAGAAGAAGCCGAGCTTGCGAATGGGGCTTGCTCATCCGTCGACCGAGGAGGAAGTTGACTTGCTGGCCCAAGCTGGACCAATACCTTAGTTAAGAGTGCCTCCTGCATCCTGCACGGCTTACGCGAGATCTAGCCCCTTAGCTTCTTCAGCCTCCCCACGTCTGACAGCGTCACAGCAACATTAGTGTGGTTTGGTTCTCATGGGGGCGCGGGCAGAGAGTACGGTAGGAGCTTGACGATTCAGAGCGCTGTGATCGAAGATTATTGGGTACCTCCGTAATCTTCCCACAACCGCAGAAGAGCCTCGACTTCTGTCACGCATACACTAGACTAACCACATTGGGGTTTAGCCACCTGTTCCTAGTGGTTTGAGAGCCGGGACAGTCTTACTCGACTCGCGGGCTAGATATCTCATACCAAGACAGAGAAATCATCGCAGCGAGCGTCTTGGACATAACGATCTCCTGGGCATGCCGCGAATGATGCAGTCCATCAAACGTGCTTGTTTACAGCTTGGCTCCTCTACCGCCCCCTTTTTCCGTTTGAATCGGTCTATGAGGCCAAATGTGAACTGGCCATATGGCCTCATCAATCCTCCAATTTCCTTTGCCTGCTCACTACTAGCCTGCCTTTGTGCATATCTCGCGGCAATGCCTTGCATAATGACACAATTGCGAAAAGTAGCGAACACGTGACCCCAATCTACTTCTCCTCCAGGGTCCCATTCAGCCACTTCAGCATACCATCCTATACACTGCTCTTGAGTTGGCAGCACTGGCAATGGGTTAGAGGGCGAAAACGCGCGGTTTGTCCGTGATTCTAATCCGCTGATTGGGGGGTCTACAGCGAAACAGTATGGTGAAAGAAGGTTGGCAAGATCTGACAGGGGATGGCCAATGGTGGACATCTCCCAGCTGAAAGGCAGTCAATTCACCACCCAAGAGAATATGGCGGGTAAAGACTCACTCAAGGATTCCAATGACCTTAGGTTCAGCATGATGATACACGAGATTATCAATCTTGTAGTCACCATGAATTATGGTCCCGCGGTCTGTTGGCTGGAATGTTGACCCTTTCAAGAACGAGACCGTTTCATCGAAATGAGGGATGTCTCCAACTGGCTGCTTATTCTCAATGTCGACAGTCTGTGCCTGTGAAGTCGAAATGGCACTCAGTGTCCTGATCTGACGGTTGTAGAATCCAGAAGGTTTACCGAACCCCGTAAGGCCAACAGAGCAAGGGTCAACCCGGTGTAGTTTGCCTAGAACACGAAGAGCATCCCTCCACCTAGAGGGCCGATAGTCAGCTTTGGTTGCTTGCAACCAGAGTGTAGGCTTACATCTCCCTACGGTCATGCGGGGGAACATTTGGGAAGGAAGCATCGTCAAATATTCTGCCATCCAAGAATTCCATCACGTAGAATACAGTCCCAATGACATCTTTGTCTTCACATAGGCAGTATGTTCTGGGTACAGGGACCCCTGTGTTTGCCAATGCGCGAATGATACGATATTCGCGGTCAACCTGGTGGGCGGTCTTGGACAGGAGCTGCCCCGGTGGCTTCTTGCGCAACACATATTTCTGTCCATCCGCGGCCTTCAGCTGGTACGTCGGGTTTGATTGCCCATAGCCAAACTTGTCTAGGTGTTAGCCCAAGCCAGACGCCTCGAGAGGCCTGAACCCACTTGGAGGCATTCGATTGGCAACGTGATTTGGCTGGCATTCCGCTTTAGATATCGCGACAACTGGTTTAGGTCTATAGGCTGCCGGACTGGCCCGGCCATGCAGAGCAAGATGAAGTGTAGTAGCTGAATTTGACTGTTGAGCCCATCATGTGTATCGCAGGGCGAATGGGCATTTGTTGATATTGAAGGTGACGAGGAGGGGTCGTGCCGAGGTTGAGTAAATTGAACGTCTTTCAGAGGACTCTAACTGAAAACAGATTGAATTAATTCCCAGGAGGTACCGGTCATGTGCAGCTTTCACTTAGTCTAAAGGTGTCTGAAAATTCAATTGTCTCGCATTCACATATATGGGGTATCTCTATGCTCTGTACCTCATGCATGATCGTAAAGGTCGTCAGGATAAGCCAATGGGCTTTCAAGCGCGCTCTCTTAAAGTCCATTTTATATCAAAAATCAGTGGCTTTCATACGTGGTACTCCTCTACCTCTTAGTTTCTCACTGAAAAGCTCCTTTCCTGAATTGAATTTGCCGGGGAAAAGATCTTTCACTGTACCATTCTGCGAAGCAGTACCCTTTATAGAGATGCCGAGCAAAGAAGCGCTAGTGGTGTTGTGTTTGTCCCTGTCTTGACCTCCTCGCAAGACCCTCCCTCTATCAATACCATCATCCCTCTTAGCGCGACTGTCCGGCGAACGGTCAAACACTGAAGTCCTCTGCGACAGCCTTTTGTCTTCACTTGCTCCGTCCACGAATGGCACGGGCATTCTCCCAGCAAAGAGGTCCGCTGTCTCGTCTGCAGCATCGAATGCATCTGTTCGGCGGTGATTGTTCCCTGACGTTAGATGGGGGAAAAGCTCCTTCTTTCGGGTCACCGCAGCGAGTTTGTTACTGAAAAGGTCTTTGCCTTCGGGTTGTCGGTTCTTCTGTGGAAACAGTTCCTTTTCTCTATTGTTTACTTCAAAAGGTGGTGTACGCCTTCGGTGGCGCAGCGGGCTGATGCTGTTTCTGCTGATAGGTGAGGCACTTCGGTTACGCGAGCGCCGATATGAATGGGATCTTCTTCGAGTGCGCTCATGACTTGAAGAGAGGGTTCCTTTCGGTGCCTTTGGAGGTCCACTATCATCGTACATCGATGCATCAAACCCTTCTTCAGCGTCGTATTTTCTTCGCCGTCGATCTTCTTCGTCACTATATCTTCGCTTCCTGTAGTCTCTTCGATTATCTTTTCGTCCATCTTCTCCCCGTTTTCGCTCCCGCGGGTCATGTTCGGGATGCATGAGGTAGAACCGGCTTGTCTCATGCGCGCGCGGACGCTTCCGATCCGTGATAAGAGCAATTCGAATCTGTAATTTCGAACCTGGCCGACATCCAATCGGTTGAGCAGGCCTCAAATCCAGCGGCGAGATGCTCATTGGGATGTTCACAGATTGATCTGTCAGATGTAGAAGCGCATTGCTAGCAACGTCGGGCGTATGGTAAATCAGATTTGCCGAAGTATCATCAATCCACTCAAGCCGTTCCCATTGCGTACCAAAATGTTCCAAAGAATATTGCTTGATGTTCTCTGTAGATAGATCGTCTAAACCTCGTAAATGAACCTTATTTGCAGCGATCTCTTCAGGTGACATTAGTAAAGGGCTGTGGCTAGCTGTTGTGGATATAGCACGGTCTTCTCCCTGAGGAGCTATGAGAGGGTCCTCTAAAGACTTGAAAGAAGATCAGTCGTAAGGTTGCGCGCACCGCAGTTCCCAGTACTTACAAACTGCATCTCGTCTTCTCCATCTAACGGCCCAAGGTCAATGTCCATATCAACATCCATGTCTACCATGGATGCCGAGATATCGGCACGATCGGCAGTGTATGTAGGACCGATAGCAAGATTCGTGAGTGGCTCCTGACTTTCCATTGCTTAATGTGGAAGCTGCGATATCAATTGCTCCAGGAGCCACCTGGAGATGTAAAAAGGTGAAGTGAACCTCAGGCAAGGCTCGGCTGCGGAATTAAGGCGCAATATTCTTCCGAATTTGGAAGCTCCGGTCAAGGTTGCATATAAAGCTAGTATTCGAGGGCAACTGGCTTCTCAAAGCTTGCATTCATCTTTTCTAGGAGGATCTCTTTCTTTTAAAAAGGGCAGCCAGGGTCCTTCCTCTATGTCCCCGTGTGCTTAGTGATATGGCTGCTCGCAGACTTTGGAGACTTCCTTCTCTTACTGCTTGTCTCTCACCAAGGTCACTTGCTTTATCTAACGGTTTTCGCTTTTTCAGTCGAGCAGCTCTGCGCTGCGCAGGTGTCTATGCACAGGTTACCGTTCGGCCCGGATTCTTCACTCGCCGTTCGTATTTGCCGGAGGAATTTCTCAATTTTCGGGCCCATTTATTTTTGGTTGTACCAGCATCACGGTCAACTTTATACTCTGTTTTCAGCCGTCGCGAGGCTACTGCCCAACGGTCATTGTGCTCAATCTCAGCTCAGCATCTTCCTCCTCTATCAATTCTTGCATAATTGACATCACCAGGTGTTCTTCAGTAGTGTTCTACTTCTGTTGGTCAAACCTCTGCTTACGTGCTTGCAGCATGGCTGCGTCCATCGCTGGTCGCTTTATACGAGGTGAGGTATCAGTAACGACGGTATATTCTGCACTTGTATGACTTACCTGTGGGCCAAGCGAAATTTCTTTCGATTTGAGATTGGTGTTGCGCGATGCTCTGCTAGTCCACCTGATTGACTCAAGCATTGCACGTGGAAATCGAAACTCAGCGTCTTCACTTTTATTATCCTCTTCGTACTCACTCGAGTCGTCTTCCTCTTCGTCCTCAATATTACCTTCCTGTTTAGCATCCTCTTCAGGCCCTCCTCTCTCTAAGCCTTTGGCAATATGATCGTGGTACTTAGGCTTACTGTAGGCATCATCCACTCCCGGAGTACTTGTTTCGTCATCATTGTCATCACCCTCCTGTTCGTCCCTATTGCTACTGCTAGTGAATTCTTCTCTATCTTGATCGCCCATCACTGAGACTTCTCCACATTTTATCTATTTCGGAAGCTTCGTATTTAATCATAAAATATTTGGCAAGGTTTTCTCTTTCCTCGAGTGCATGTAAAAATGGAGGGTCTAGCGGCTCCTGAATAATCCAATCGAGGTCTGGCCTAGGAAACCAATCATAGCACGGTGTCGTATCTATGCGTTTGACAGTCGGGATTTCACAAGTTTCGCGAAGAACTATTCAGATTCGGTCGCACCAAGATCCATGGAAAACAGGTCTTCAAAGACCTTTCGTGGATTGACGAAGGTAAGGTGCGGGGTCGTCAATGATTCCTCATAATGTTCCAGACTGGTCAACACATCGATAGAGCTTGAACCGTCTTCCAAGGCCCTCTACGGGTCACTCAAGTCATCGACCCCAGCAAGTACGCTCGCTATCATGACTTACATGAGTCAACTCGGTCAGGTATTGCCTGATATTCAGATTGTGGGCTTCTATCCTCGTTGATACCGTATTAAGAAATGGCGCCAGCGCTCTATTTGCAGTGTTCCAAGAATAATTGAATGATCCGAGGAGTATCAAACTCGCAGACTGAATGTTGAGTGCGATGAGAATTTGCTCGCCTAGCGAGGTCCAAAAGTACAAGATTAGATGCGTAAAGATCCTGACGCTGGCAAAGGCGAAGAAAAAGGAGAAAAGCACTAGAGAGAAATTACTAGCGCAGTCGTGAGAAATATAATCGACCGATACAATAGCACTATCTATCATTCCGAAGCCAAAAAGGAGCACAATAGGAAAGGTCATTGCGACCTGATGGCAGCACCCGGAAGATGCTGACCGTGCTTGAAAAACGTGTTGCTACATCATGGTGGAGGCTATTAATGACATACGAAATCTCAAGTTTCATGACTAACATGACACTATTCTGGCTTTGGCTCTGTTTGATGTACGGACGAACCAACGCTAGTCATTCACTGCAATGGAGATGCCATCTTTGGCGAATTAAACACCGTGTCGCTACGCTTGGACCTAAAACTCCGGTGTGCAAGCCTCTTTGAGGCATGTCTTGCGTAGAATGAGAGTCCTCGATCCATCTTGACGTATACAAAATGCTATAAAAGCTGTGAGCTTCTTTTGACCACCCAAAACCCCTGAACTAGCCAGCTATTCCTGACGCTCATTAGGTCCTGGGTGAAACGACGGAATCTATCCCTGTGAGGCTTCATAATACAGTGTCACAACCTAGTCATGGACTCATGGTGACTATTATAAAATTCAGGTTCATCAGATCTACGTCCGACTTCAAGAAAGGTGATTCGCATCTTTTGATAGTTTCCGAGGTACGTCAGTATGAACCTATCAGCACCGAGGACGCAACAATAAGAGGTTTTCGTCTAGGAGCTAAAAAGGTGGCTAATTACCAGACACAACTTCGGCCATCGAGGTTTCGGTGTGGTTTGCCAATTTTGCGGTGGTCATAGGCTGCTACAGACTACCAATGCGGCTGGAGTGAAGAGTGAATATATCTTGGCAGGATATCGCTTTTTTCAACAGAGTCACTAAAGGTTGTGAGGGGAAGCACGTGGAGCATGGATTCGAGTCCATGTAAAGTGAACATGATGGAAATAATCAGTTTATTGACTCCTATTGTAATATAGCACTCCGGAAACATTTCTCAATCGTAGCATCCCAGGGTATCTTCGTTAAGCCACTGTTATACCAAACGCCACAGACCGAGCCAACAGAGCACACTTTCATTTGACAAACATTTTGCACGTGTGAGGAGGTGAACTAAGGTCAGCTCTCCGGAATGCCCACATGGATGTGTATAAAAATTCAAGGGTCGCGTAGGTAATCAAACATCTTGGTCTTCCCGTCATCTGTCGTCCAAATAGCGTTCAAGTTTGATTCTAACCCATGTTGATTAATTGCATTGTGAAACATTACTACACTGGATCGTCATCTCAAGATTGACAGAGCAGAGACGTCACGTCTATCTTTCCCGTACTAGTTTTAGAGATGGACTCATCTCCGTGGTGAGGAGGGTTTGGTGCCTGTTCGTCTGCTGTAATACTATGTGAAGGAAGCTTTGGTATTTCCGTATGGGTCCCAGGCGAGCATATCAGTGTTCGTGGCTCGACACCACCAAATGTTGGATAGTGTCTAGAAGGGTAAAGGCCTCCAGAAGAGGATGAACACGGCCCGGCACTCGACAAAGGGTGGCTTTGAACGGTGGCGTCTACTCCCATTTCGGCAATTGATGGGAGGCCTTGAAAGGCAACAGGCGAGGCATCTGCAGCTCGATACTGTGTCGGCGGTTGGCGTGAAGCTACAACAGAGAGTTCGAGTAGCCGGCTCGACGGCATAGGCGGGTTAAAGGCTTCTTGGTGCAGCTTCGAATGAGGCCAAAGATGAACGGGCTGAGAAATCCCGGTCTGCGAATTGAGAGGCTGAGCCTGATCATACTGAGATGTCCAACGACTCAGTGGATAGTGTGTCGGAGCGTGCGGGTAGCGCTGCGAGTAGGGATGCTCGGGGGGGAAGTCACTGTACGCTGAGAACCATTGTCGGACACGAGCGAAGGCGCTTCTCCAACAGAGTCTGCCATGGAGATGTCAGACCGGGTCGGTGATATCATCTGCGCTCCTTCGGGTGACTGGCCTGAGAACGTACTCAGTTGCTGATGGCTTTGCAGTGACTCAGGCGGAGTACGGTGCAGGGAGAGTTGCTGACGGCGATGGGCTGAATCATGTGCTGCTGATCTTCCAGCGGTTTCACGTCGAACGACCATACGCTTTCGTCGGTTGACACCCCCATTGTACCAGTTCTTGACGGCATTATCACTACGTCCTGGTAGTCGTCTGGCTATCTCCGCCCATCGCTTCCCTATTTGGCCAACTAGTTTCTCAATGAGCGCACCCTCCTCCGCGGTGATTGGAGCATGATTGAGCGCTGGCTTGAGATTTTGATGATATCGTTCGCGACACTGTTTTGGTGTTCTAGTGCCCACGATCGCTGATATTCGGACCCAATTCTGGGGACCTCCGCATGCGACACAGCCCAATAGTGTTTGATCCTCCTGTGGACCCCATGGCCCACGTTTGTGCACCACAGGAGCCATCGCAGCGCCTAAGCGCAAGCGTGTTGCAAAACTTCTGGTTGTCGAAAATCAGACTTGCAAGGTGAGTTGCTGCTAGGGAAGAGGACTCACAGCCTTTGCAGCGAGATACCAGTCACGCCAATATATCTCAGAGACTTAAGCGGGGGACTGTCAGAACGAAAGCGGTTCACACTATTGATGTCTTGCGTCCAACGATGGAGGAAAAAGCAAGAACTTTTGGTGAACCCGCTGTAATTAATTGGACACAATGATACGTTGTCAAGAAATGTGCCCTCGATATTTATGAGAAAAAGATTTGGAAAGATTCAAGCGCCTCACAGAGCCCAATGGCTGAGGATGGAACGCAGACTCGTTTTTAACCTCAGCACAGAAGCAACAGCCGAAGCCGACTGGCGGCGATGAAAGTAAGTTTTGTGACCTATTTTGTGGTTGGTAAAGAATTTGGAGAAAGAATGCTGTTTTCAGTGGACGAAAGAGAAAGGCTCTGTAATTAGCTACTGAGATCCATCGAAAGGATAATGGAGGGCACAGGATACAAATGGCGTAGGTTACGGCGCAAAGCTGAGGTGGGAAACGGAAAGAGTATAGTAGCAATGAAGGCCGAGTCGAAGTCGCGGCAACCGGCAATAATGGGAAAGTGGCTTTTTGGGCGTAACTTTTGGATGAAAATAAAAGACCAGAAAACGCCATTGACTCTGTCTCGTCTGTCCCTGGTTGAGGACTGAGACTAAGGTCGAAGGGTCAAGCTTTACACAATTACCACTTTCAGCTGATTACCCTAATCAAATTGCTACTACCACGCTTAGCACACTCGCGATGATGCTGGTGGGCCGCTCCGTCTTCTTAGTTAGGGAAGGTTTCGTCGAAGGGAAGGGGAGGGGGGTTGACCGTGTGTTGAGGATGATGCGTAACCCACACACTAAAGCACCGAAAGGCTCTACCTTAGCTTGTATGATTAGCTCCCTTGGCGTGCGTAGGCTCCCCCTGCTTGCCTTAGTCGTAAGACTATTTCTTTACCGCTGGAGATCAGGTAGCCCACCCAGCCAATACCTGTAACGATACCGAGCCTACCTTTTCAGTCGACCCATCCGCTCAAACAGAGCGGGTCAGTGCTGTCCGATCTGGCCGATCTCTCCTTGTCTCTCTCCTAGCATCTCCTTTGACGGTGGCGTCCCCCTGCACTTACTAGCCCATGCTTGTCCAGTGTAGAGTATTGCTCGCATTTATTCCAGCATGTCGACCCAGTCCTGGTGGTCCCAGGTTCTACCACACAATATCGGAGATAGAGTGCCAGCGACCGTTGAGATAAGCCGTCTCGCCCCACTTCCAGATGGGCTTAAATGATGCCAGCGAAGATCAGCCAGAGCCGCAGATCTGCACCGAAGGATCATCCTCCGAAACACTGCCGCGTACTTCCAATGCAGACAGAGTCGAACTGCGAGCACCTTTGCCATGTGGAAGTCGCCCCCAACAGGCCTGAGGCTATCCGAATGTCTGCGGTATGTTCGGAAGCTTTTGGCCCTTTGGAGTTGGTTACTCGACTGTTTGCAGGGGAACTCGCCTCAGCAGGGTGTTACAGACGACTAAACCAATTGGGGCAAATGCAAACGCCCGCTGCCAGATAGGTGAACCCACCGTTAGGTGATGCAGCGTGCGACAGATTAGAGGGGACAGGGGGGGGGCATATCAGCGACGCTAGGATCGGATAGCCGAGAGCATTGACAGGGGGTCGCAAATCGGACGCGCAGAGGCGAAAGACAAAAGTGGGACATGGTGGGAGATAGTCGGGACAGCGTGCGCTGAACATTCGTCGCCGTAGTCCCATCGAGGCTAGAGGCTTCCCCTCTTTGGCGAAATTCTCCTTGGTTTCGGCCGGAAGAGGCAAAGATGGCTGTTCCACGATTTGGTTAACGTATAACGGTCTCCCGATTGGTGCAATCTCTGATTCGCGGGCAGATGCGTACGTAAGGTATGGATCTCTGCTGCCGTACCGCTGTACGAAACGGCCGTGGACAGAATACGGCAGGACGTTTGGCTGCTGTCACCTTCCTACTAGAATACTTTACACCCACTCGTGCGATCGCGCAGCACGAAGGAAATGTGGGAGATGCTCGGGCGAAAAAGGTGCCAGGTGTGTGGTCGCAGCAAATGTTGTGCCTTGTCTCGTCCTCTGGCGCGCAGGAACGCCATCATTTGCCGCAAGATCTGTTCCTCATGCTGCATCTCACATGCTCCTGGAGACCTGCAGGTTTGCAAGGCATGCATTGCCTGGTTTGTGTTGCGCACTGTTCTTGTTGCCCTTGGAAGATGGGGATCGCTTGAACACTCGAGAAACTGAAATGGCAGAATGGCCGCCCCTTTAATCCCTTGGAAGGGTCACTGCTCTTCTAGATTCACGCGTTTTACTTCATACTCCCGTACGTACAAAGCTCTCAGAACTGGAGGCCTTGCTTCCGGCATTTGGCCTTTGGTACTAAATACCGGCTAGTCCAAGCTCAAGCGCCGTAGCACTGCAGCGGCTAAATCGTTACGAATGCCTACCCCAATTGTCCGTTTTTAGGGTTCAACTCCTGCTGATGCTCTCGGGCTGGAACGTGGAGATTATTTGGAATCCTGGATCGCCAGGATTGATTCGTGCTTAGCGATCCAGCCAGATAACTAGTAGTGACACCAGGAACGCTAGGGTAAACCTCATAAGGCGCCCGACCATCACTACCATAACCGCCTAGCGTTCACAGGTCAGTCATTAGGCCAGACTATCAACGTATATGTGGCTTGACCGTTCTATGCTTTACCTCACTATAATTTCCCATTCAGCGGCGACGAGCGCGTGAAGAGGATCCGCGACTCGAACACTATCATTCCAACGCTCTTCACACAAGACAAGGGTTGGAAGCATGGTGGTGAGCGGAGACGACCAGTGCATTAGCATGTCATACGATGGCCCTGACAGGCGTTCGCAGGTACCTTGTATGCACCACGTTGCTTCGTCTCGAAATTGAGATCTCCAACGAACACAGGCCCCGGCCGAGTTGGCCCGCTTACGCGAGAGGGAGTGACATGGGAGAGAAATGAAAGCCTGGGCCTACAAATCCAAGCGGTCCCCAACCACAAAGGAGCTTGGTGCAGGTACCCCACCGATCTGTGTTCTATTTTCTGAACCTTCACCTTATCACTTACCGACCGATTCGCGAGCTGGCCTGCGGATCCGATCTGATCCCAAAATCTGTTGACTTATCCCTGCATTGCGCAAAGGTCTCAGATCCAATGGATCGCTTATTTGCTAACGTCCCGTGACCCGAAGCTTTCCATGTGTTCTGCATCACACAGCTGCAATCTGTTTGACCGTTAGTACCGTACCGTAAGCCTCCACCCCTCGTGCGGTTTCACGCTGCGTCGTCCATTGTTGCGGCAGGCTTGAAGCCGAACCCAAATGCCGATTTAGCATCAATGACCTTTGATGGTTGTGTTCCTCGTTCGGTTTACGATGCGCCTCTCACTTCGACTCGTCCCGAGACGAACCCACCTTGCCCGCAGGCGTCCAGCGATACTCCTGAATGATACAGGGTACAAAATGCATAGGCCTCAAAAGACCCTGTACGGTCTCAATACGTCAGCTGGCATGCAAGTCCAAGCTAATGCACGTAACGGAGGGCTTCGGTCACTGGGAACATCCTCTGATGTACCATTCACCCAATTCGTTTGTGGTGGATACCGCTGGAAGAAATGGTTGATGCTCATAGAGCCTAGGTCTCGAACGTGCGAAGCGTGCTTTTGCTTCGAAACGAGAGCCCACGTATGTACACTCAGGAATGGGAATTACTCCTAACAAATCAAGACGACCGTTTGTATCCTCGCGGATAACACAATCAAACAATATCCAACACTATTTATCCATATCATACGTGTATCCCGCAACCCGGCAAAGCGAGCACTTCGCAATGCCAAATGCCCCGTCTACTGTATCCCGAATGACCAATTATCGCTCTGACTCCATCGCTACAAATCGGCACTTCCACATACAATCATATTCCTCATGAAACGTAAGCCTTGCTGAAATCTCCTCGCTCTCACAGCCAGATGTCGCCGCCTTCCCGAGCCACCCATCTTCGCCAAGCCTCAGTATAAGCAGCCTCTAGATCCCGAACCCAGCGCCTGGTGTCGAATAAAGCACTCGTCCAACGACTTTCGTACAACAGTTTGCGTAACTCTACCAGTCTGCCCACTCCAAATCCTGCTTCGCCCTCGTCAAGTGGATAATAAAGGTCACTGGCCAACTCTACCCCTTGTTCCTCGTAAGCCTCATCATTCGTCGCAATAAGGTCCGATGCTGCTCGATCCCCTTCACTATTTCTGGGCAATGCCCCGCGCAATATGGAAGCCGCCATTCGAGCGCACATCTTGTGCTCATATCGAGGTAATGTCAGGAGAGGTGTGCCGGACCACAACACATCCGCCGCTGTTGTATGTGCATTGCATTCAGGTGTGTCGACGAACAGATCACAGATCCGGGCTCGTGCAATATGTTGCTGTTTAGGCGCCACGTCCGTGAAGATGATGCGTGAGGCCACCTCAGCCCCTACCCATTGCATTGCCGTTTGTCGCAGATGCTGTTCTCCAAGCTCTGGGAAGCGCAAGAGCCAAAGGACGGCTCTCGGAACCCGCGAGAGAATACGCAGCCATGACCTGAATGTCGTTGGCTCAATCTGTTTCGCAGTCAGCATATTTGATGGCCCTATCAGGACAACAGACTCTGACCTTGTAAAGTTGGTTGAAGTTGCCCAGTATTACAACGTCGTCCGCCAGGTCAGGGAAGAGCTCTTTCCTCATTTTCCACCGCCGTCTCTGTTCATTCCTCCAGTCCAGTTGCTTCTCTTGCGCGTCGGGGGCACTCTGTCTGTGATCACAACAGAAAAATGTGTCACGAGTAAATATAATATTCTCCCCGTAAACCCACTCATCCAGATCTTCCCTGTAATTCCCATCTAGCACAAGATCTTGTAGGTCTACGTTTCCTCTGAAGGGTCGTAATGTATTTGGCGGGATTGCAATCCTATCGGCCAGGAGATAATCACACCATTCAGCTCCTAAAGTTCCAGCGAACCCCATGAAAGACATTTGTATGGGCGCAGCTCGCGCAGCAAATACTTCATTCTTTGCTCCCCTAGTGTAGCCATTGAGATTGACGAGAATGTGGATCCCATCTGCAACAACTTGATTGACGAGGCGCTCTATTGACCAAGAGGAGGCATCATAAAACGTTGGAGATTCACGCTCAATCTGATTGCGATGTACAGAGCCGTCGCTGGTCGTGGTTGCGTAGCAAGTTGCCTTTACTCTTGCCGGGTTGTGCATTCCGAATACGGACTGCATGAGGTGAGCTAGTGGGTGATTGTTGAAGTCCGAGGAGATGTATCCGACATTCAGCTGAGGTTTGGGAGGTTCTGGAGGCTCGTAAACACTGTTTGGGAGCCAGGGGGCCCGCAATGTTGTACACGAAACTCGAAGCCCATTTCGCTGTGAAATTTGACGAATTTGCTTAGCGGACAGAGGGCAGGTGAAGGTGTGAAAGGGCAGGACGGTTGGGGCGCTCGGAACAGCTAAGGCGGCAGGCAGCCGTGGTCGAATGCGAAGGGCTGCGGAGGACTGAGTATAGAGGCCATGCTTCTCTTGGTACAGCTGCCATGTTATGAGTCTCGTTGCACGCTCCACCATTCGTACCACTTTTGCGCCTTCCCACGGCTCCTCTGCCCAAGAGTGTAAAGTCGTATGGAATCCATGCAAAGCAGCGTTTTTGATGCTGCGATGTAGCTGGTGCATTATGTAGTCAATACTATTGTTTTTCAGAACACCTTGGCCCCAGTTTCTACCTTCTCGAAGTTGCTTTCCGACTATCGCCACAACACGTTCCATCCAGCCACTGCTGGGGGCCGAGCAAGCTTTTGAGTCATATAGGATGCCTTGTTCATCCACGTGCCATCGATCCAAAGTGGTGGGAAAGTAGCCAATCCCACCTCGGCCCGTCCAACTACACACTGAATTCAGAGCATTCGCGAGACCACAAACGGCCTCGGCAAAGTCAGGATTCGACGCAACAGCACGCTTGTAGTAGTGGATGGCATCTTTAATGCCACCTTTGTCCTTCACAGCATTAGCGAGGTTCGCTAGAGCAATATCGAAGTTCCCATCACACTCTACAGCCTTCTCATACATCTTTATAGCTGCCGAAAGCTGTCCAATATCCTTGAATAGACTACCCAAATTCGTATACAGATGAGTGTGTCGAGGATCTAATTTCAAGCCATAATCGTAATATGCTAAGGCAAGAGCGACACCGCTTCCAGGAGTCACGCCCGAGGTTGACGTTGATGGGCTTTGATGGGAGACAATCTGCTGATTTGTTCGCGCTGATTGCTGGACACCAGCTAGCAATATCCCAACATTGTTTGCAGTTGAAGGACTTGGTTGCAAGGACAAGGACAAGTAATAGAGCACCAGGATTTCCTGAACTCCAGTAGTAGCTCGGGAACTTGTAGCTGAGGCACCACTTGACGACATTCCGTCTTGGTATATCTTTGCCAGCGAAAGAAGAGAGTTACTAATGATAGAGACGGCAGCTTTTTGGCCCATCCCCTGTGGGATGGTCTCTAAGCCAGGCAGATTGCCGTTCGGGGGAAACACTAAACGAGCGGTTTCCAGAGCTGTTTCGGGTGGAAGTAAAGCCGGTTCGTCGTGATTCTGTTGTCCTTTAGACAAATGCCCTAGTAAGTGCTTTTTCTCTGAAAAAACTCTTAGTATATGACCAATCAACCCTCGAATCCTGTCGGGATATTGGCCAGTCCCAATCAAAATGGCATCTTCGAACGCTTTAGCAGCTTGGTCATTCTCACCAGACTGATAGAGGACGTTTCCCTTCCCATGGACTAAAGCTAGTAAACGGCCGTTGTCAGAGGAAGGAATAGCGTAGCTGCCTGATCGGTGATGTGAATCGGAGTAACGGTCCTCCTGATGACCAACATTCGAGGACACTTCCGATACAAGAGCTGACTCAATGTAATCAATGAGCGCAACAGCCTCCCTCCCTCGGTGCTCTTCATGCAGAAGGCCAACCAGATGCTCAACGGCCTCGAAATAGCTTGGCCGCAGTTGAATGGATCGCATCCAATGCTGCTCTGCTTCACGCCGTTGCCCCAATGCAAGGAGAGTGGCTGCTAGGTTCGACATTGCCTCCACGTTGTTGGCATCCTGTCGCAGGACTTTCAAATACCATTTCGTAGCTTTCGAATATTCGCCGAGTCCGTAAGCCAGACAGCCATTTAGAAGCATGCCGTCTGCCCATTGCCAATTACTCTCTTGACAAAGCTTGCTCAAAATTTCCATCGCATTTACAGCAGCAGCCGCCGGAGAGGCAGGTGTTGGGTGTTGAGTAAGTCGCGCAGGTACATAACTAGGGTTTTGTGTATGCGCTGACAATCTGAAATGCTGGGACTGCGGTTGCCAGCCCCTTACAGAAGCATCTCCGTGGGCGAGCTTATCGTGTTCGTTGACCAAATAGGGCGTTGTCTGTAGATATTTCACGTTATTCTTCGTTGCACAATCATTCTCCTCGAGCAGACTGCCAAAATGGGACGAAACATTCCCATGCGAAAGAGGCTTGGTATACGAGGCATTAGCAGGAACAGAATCTGAACTAGACCGACGATGTTTGCTTGACCAAGAGGGATAGGGACGCCGCGGCATTGGTGCGTACGATTTTGGCACCGCGGTCAATCTCTTGCTCGATTGCTCGTCTCGTCTCGCTGATTCGATTGATGCAAGCAACCCACAGTACGTTCTATACGCCCATTGTAAGATTCTTTCCTTGAATTGAGCTTGGCCCGAAGCTAAAGCAAAGCTTGGCTGACGCTCTTCAAACATGGCAGAGGCCTCGGACGTTCTGACTCTGACCTTATTATCACTCAATAACAGCGTAGACTCTGCCGGTGAACCTTGCTCAATGGCAAGCTTCGAGTAGAAGTCATGTGGTAGACTGCTATTATGCGAACCATTTGATGTCTGAACGACATCATTATTCCCATGAGAATGCCCTTGATGATCCAGGGAAAGGTCTCTGCCGCCAGGGAGGCTTGATAGTCTACATCTTTGATTCGAAACTGTCTGCTCGTGAGCAAGTTGAGGCATTGCTGGGGAACATGCATTATTGTCAAGCCTGAAGTCTCGCAGCGGAGCTGGTCGATATGGTTCAAAGGCCCCATTCGGCCAATACGGCCCGAACGGACCTGGAGCTTGCAATGAGGTAGGGCCTAGACATGGCGGCCACATGGGCTGCAAGACCGTTGGTACACTCTGGTTACTTACTGTGTTGAAAGGATGAGTATGCAAAGATGACTGGTGTAAAACAGAATCCATTCCACCGGCCGGTGGAGCATTCGGGTTCACGTTGGCGTCGAGCTGAGCTCCCGCCATGGGCGTTCCATGTGACCAGTTTCCTGCGTACAGAAAATCACCCGAGCCTTGCAAAGATTCAGCCCTGGCCGCAAAAGACTGCGGTGGACGACAGGAGATGGTATTGGATATCTGAGGTGGGAAGTCTAGCATCAGTGACGTCCCTTGTGCCGGTCCAGAGGCTGGCATCAGAACATGTTTTGGAGCAGGCGGCTTCGACATCCATTCTATTGGTCTTCCATCGTAACCAGCTGCTAGTGTTCCATTCGGGGTCTTGCGGCGGAGCATGTGTTCTGACGCATCGTCTTTGAGATTGGATATACCGGAGGGAAATGCATACTGCTGCTGCTGCTTCGGACCTCGAACGAACCCCTCTTTTGGGACGAATAAGGGACTCTTTTGGTACTGGTTGAGCGTACGACCAGCGCGAGAAGGTGTATTTGTCTGTCGCGGTTGATAGGAATACCTTTTGTGCCCCGACGTTTCTGGAGCTATCTCAAATTCATGGAGCGTTTGCGCTTGATTGCGCCCCGAGAGCATGGCGACTCAGATATACAATGATGTACATCGCAACATGTTGCGAATAGCATTCTGTTCCCGTGAAAAGGCAGCAGCGTCTGGCTGAGCCATCGGCCGATATGTTGTAAGTTGTGTTCCAGTGAAACAGAAAGGCAGCTTCTTGAGTAAGGAGACGAGCCTGACGGGATGCCCTGAACGGTGGCTGTCCAGCGCAGGAGCGAGGTACAGCAGCGGCGGGCGTATCTGCCCGAAGCGGAGGAGAGCTGCCCAGCCAATGGAGACCAAATCTTGGAGCTTGTCGATGAGTTCTGGAAATGACTCGGAGGGAGCACAGCAGCGACTGGAGGCTGCAAGGACAAGTAGTTGAAAAGAATAGATTAGAATGGAAGAAGAAAGATTAAATAAAGAAAGCAAGCAAGCTGTCAGAATTTCGGAATAGGACAGGGCGGTGTTTAGTTGCGAGCAAGTAAGCGGGATCGACGCCCACTAGTAGTAATCTACCACTCACATGCATATGTGAAGACGCAGGGAGCGCACTGCAAAGCGCCAGTGCGTGCAAAGTCTACCCTGAGGCTCCACTTCTGCATGTCTTTGGCAACGGCTCGGGCTGTTCAGCTGCGGCGACACTTCACAATATGAGACACTCTTTATAGGCACCTTGAACCTATAACCCAGGGCTTTTTCCACCCACACTATCGTCATGTAATATTTCAAAGCCTGGACATAATGGCTGATGTTGACCTCGAGCAGAGCATGTGTCAAGTGCAGCTTAGAGGGGACGGGGTAAAACCCGGTTGACAAGTGAACCATGAGTTCGATTAGGAATTCCCACTTGCTGTGCCGTCGGACCTTTGGGGGTCTACTGCTCGCTGTAAATGCAGCTTTGCTTCAACGTGTCACTCTGACTATTGTTCCTTTCACGGAGCTCACAACTCGCGACTACTCTACTAGTCGTAATTCATGTATTCATAGCATCCTATCCGGCAGGCAGCTTCACCGAGTTATCTGCTACATACCCTCGCTAGTCCTCCATCCGAAGATCGTCAAGCTACGCTGCAAAAATTGTATGCTAGACATGAATGGACCGCAACAACCACTTGCGATAGCAAGGATGTCGCGGTGAGTATTCAGCGTAAGATGAGTCAATCTACTTTGCACCAAAATAGGCCAAGACCATTTTATATCCTGACCCAGTAGGGAGGAGGTCGAGGCCAGAGTGTTGGCAAAGTGTAAAGGGAAAGTGGTTCGGGGGCAATCGCAGTGTGTAAGGCTTTTTTGCAACTTTGTATGAATTGATCATTCATGGTCTACCTAAGCGAGGCACGCGCTCGATCACGAATCGGGAACTATCACGGTATCAGCGAGGATCATTATAAATTGGACTTGGAAGCGAACTTTCAATAGCACCGCTGTCGATTTCATCAGATATGTCCTTTGGAGATTTTCCGTCTACTTGACAGCCCACGCTGAAAGCTGTACCAAGGACTTCCTTCACCGTACCTGTGAGGTCTTTTGCTAACGACTTGAACCGCATAGTCCGAGCAATGCTGATAATTTCCTCTAGAGGTATTGATTTGGAGTGCTTGATGTTCTTCTCTTTCTTACGGTCGCGCGGTGGTTCCTTTAGAGCCTTAATTACTAGGGAGGAGGCCGAAGGAACAACTGAAACGGCGGCTTGACGATTTTGGATAGTGAGCTTGACCGTGACGCGAAGTCCTTTCTAGCAAGATATAAGTAGTGCTGGTAGAAGAAAGGAAAGCACGGGTTGCCTACCCAGTCCCCTGTAGCTTTTGCGATGTCCTCTCCTACTTTCTTAGGCGAAAGACCGAGGGGGCCAATCTTCGGCGCCAGTGCTGACGATGCTCCTACTTCTCCTCCGGTCGCTCTAAGTGTTCTTTCAATCACGTCAGTCGGAAAGCTCTTTCACTTGTCGGGGAAGGTTCTGCACATCTCCTTCACTTCGTTGGGATCGAATTTGGGAGCTGGGTACACGGTCAGCAGCGTGACCTAGATTAGTCTCTGGTGAGAGCATTTACCCATCTTGACTTTGAATAGATCGCTCCTCGCGAGATTTCAAGGCGGAGAGATAGACCTCAAGTCTGCACTTCGATCTAGTCGAAGTCGAAGATTTAACTGGGCTATTTCATAAGTTACTTACCTTAGGTTGTGCGCTCCATTCCTTGGCGTGGGGCTGTCACCAGCCCTACGGTATTCAGACCCCTTTAATTCTTGGACAACCTTCAAGCACCTTTCCTAATTGGGTATGCAACGTACGCGGCGACGTAATTTATTTAAAGGCATAAGATTATTCTATGTTCAGAATGATAGTAGAGGACTGTAGAAGACTCATGCTCTACGTTGAACCCTCCGGGAATTCGCACTCTTAAACGTCGGTCAATGATAGAGTGTCTGGCATTGTTATGCATCGCAAAGATCTGAGTTGCAGGACTATCCATCGCGTTTAGCTACTCCCAGATACTGCGAGTCTAGCAAAGAGTCAGCCAAGCAGAAAAGGACCACATTCGCAATTTACTTACTTCATAAGGTGGTCCATAAAGCTTTGCAAGGATACATCATCGGTGAATATCGTCTGAGCCGACTGGGCACCACCATAGGCATTGGTTATATGTGTTGTTGATGGGTTGAGTTTCGACAGAAGAAAGCGGGCTTGGGAGCCCCCTGGTCACAGATGATGAATCTTGGCAAAGGGAAACGGTCTTGCACCAATTCCTGCATTCGTCAGTAAGATTTCAGGATTCACGGCAAGCAAAGACCAACTTACCCGAGCATCTTCCTTCGGCTGGTCTAACAGGGTCTTGAAATTTGCATAATCATCTTGATCCTGATATCCGGCTTTCCTCCACTGAGCAATAGTCTCGCCATTGAAAATGAGGATTTGGAAGAACGTATCCAGCAAAAGAATGTGCGTAGGCTGTATAGATGCCGAGTCAAGTAGAACGGGCACACTACCCTCCTGGTCGAAAGTATAAGAGTCCAAGGTAGGCTGGATCATAACAAGAGAGTCTCCAACATATTCGTGGTTCAGAACATGTCTATAGAATGCAGTCTCGTCTGGTGAGCTGTTGAAGACCTGTAAGAAATGGCTTCGACGCAAATGGAACATGAACTGAGGGTACAGGGTGAAATTCTTTTCAAGCCTAAAAGATGACGGGTCATCTTTACGATACTCTGCAAATCGCGCGCACAGCCGAATCAGCATTCGATCCACCCAGCGAAGCACATCTGGCCCATCGTCAACTTCAGCTTTGAAGACTGCTATCCGTGACATGAGTACGGCTGCTGCTTCTTGGTCGAATGACTGAGCGATAGCTGGGTCACCAGCTGGTCCACTTAGACTACGAGCAACAGTAGTCACCCGTAAGTGAAATTGACCGGAAGAATGCTGATAATAGGTTAGGAACTGTAGCATTCCCTTCTGGGGTCCCTGCTGATGCTGGGCAGGTCCCCCTTGATTTGCTATTTCAAAGTAGATACCATAGCTCGCTGTCGGATCAATACCACACATCTTCCAAGAACAAGTGTTGCCAATGCCACATTCAGTATCGCCGACTATGGGAGATTTTTTGTTTAGTGAGACTGCGTGACCGATTAGTCCGGTCACTTTCAGTTCTTTCGTCGCCAGAACTTCCAGGGATGCATTAAAGCCCATTAGTAGGCTGTCCTCGGCATCCTTGTCAAAGACTCGAACGAATGACTGCTTGAATTGCGACGAAGTAAAACTGTCTGTCAGTATCATATGACCTCCCGTCGAATTTGGCAGCCCTTTCATTTCAAGTAATCCCACTTGGTCAAGACAGCCAGCAAAGATATCGATAACATGTCCGTTATGCGCGGTTCGCTTTGCAAGGTTGTCATAGAACTATAGTCATTAGAAGCATATCCTGTCTAATCACCCGAGGGCACTACCTTTAAGGCTTTCTTGTAGTACTTGATGTTGTCATGATCGATATCATGATGAGATCTTATTGGTTCGCGAAGTTCTGGGCCTACTACCTGACCAGGACCCTCGGTTCCAGGGCCTCCAGCGAAGAGCATTACACGGCCTCCAGCATTTTGAAATAGAGACTCAAGAAGGCCAACGGCGACACTGAGAGCTATACCCGTACATCTGAGCGAGCGTCTATCGTTCGCCACAGGCCAAGGATCCTTCTGTAATTGTTCAAGTGCGTTTGTAAGTTGGAACTCGCACTGCTGTACCGGAAGGAGGAATCTCGCGGCTGGGTTGACTACCGCTGGTCGTCCGGGCTGGGCAGGCACATTTGGTCGCATCCCAGCCGAAGGGGAAAGACCGAGCATCTCCTGTACCTGTTTTGCAGTATAGTCCTTGCTCCCCCGGAACACGTAAGATTTTGCGCACTCGGTGTAGCCTAATTCATGCACTTGTGCCTGTGCAATTTGAGCGGTACGTCGCCGCGAAATCGAACATGCTCACCATGGTTCCATATGTGATGAGCCCCACAAGCGCGTTCTGAGGCAGCAGACTCAGGCTCATTACCAGCGAGTCCTTTAGAGCCTTTAGACTATCCTCTTCTTGACAAGTATCAACCACATAGACGAAAATGGGAGGCGCGGGGGCTGGGCGTGAGAGCTTGTACTCTATGGTTGTACTGGATGGATGCAATTCGGGAGGAATATTGTCTTGCGTGATGTCTTTGTAATGTTGAGGGAGCTGGTTCCGAGATAAACAGAACGGACAAATCCACAAACGAGCCCGTGTATCGACAGTGCTGGCTTCGTTAGCAGGGTTGTGCATTGTCGAGTGGGCTTACGCGAAAGGATTCAAGACGGCTCTGCATGGCTGCTTGCAAGTAACCGGTTCATATCTAAGCACAGGGGTGTCCGGTTTTTCCTTCAATGGGGTATACAATGCTCCTATAGGTACGACGAGGCGCGAGGCTTCCTGTCGGCGATTTAGCACGCTTTTGATTGGGCGCACGCTTCATCAAAGCACCATTCTTGTACTTGGAAACGTATTCCAGCTCAATCTAATGCCATCACGATCCTCCACCTCGCTCCACTGGTCTTTCAATGCATCGTAGTCCATTTTGCTCGAGGGTTTCACATTCCAGGCCGCAAAAGGGCGTTGAAAGTAAGTTAGGCCTCGCTAAAGGCTTTATTTCTCGACGTTCAGTATAGTGACTCAGGCATAGGAGACACTTACCCCTCTGATGCCACCGACGAAAAGAAGAGAAGCGAGAGGTTTTCTATCCACACGTATGTTTGCTCTGAGGATTTACGTATTATACGTTTCGCCGCTTGATTAGCGGCAGAGCGCGGCGGCCGCTAAACCTTTACGGTGTAGTGCATAATCCCAAGGCTTTAAGATTTTCCCCTCGGTCTCGATGATGTCCTTCCCACAAGCGCCAGTCCTATACATTACTTACAATTGACAGTCTCGCACGTACAATGGCATGACTGGTTTCGCACTGAGCGTAGACTGAATCGACCCAACACTGGGCGCCCGGATTCAAGCGGCTGTGATGGCTAGCAAGGAGAATTTGGGAATCAGTAGCGGCCACATTTTGTTCAAGCAAATTCATGATTTTAGAAACTAGATGTAAATCACTTGACGGACGGGTGTGAATCCGCGCACGAGAGCTCCGGAAGTGGGGGTGGAAGTGATACGAAGATATTTGATGTCCATCGGCTCGTCGTTCTCACATTACCAACCATGTGCGAGTAACTGTATGTGCCCGGGCCCAGTGACTATTAGCAGCCCAGTGTGTTTGCAGAGCGAGCGCTGCCTCTTGGCTGAAGTCTTCCCCTTCGTCGTCAGTCTGTTCCAAATTATCGAATTTGCCAAGCTGCAAGCATTTTTCATAGTGCGGGATGGCTAGATGTGTCATTCCTAGCAGATGATAAGCACGTCCAACATTGAATTCAGCTTCTTGTTGCTGGGAGAAATCATTTGTCTCCCGCCGACTATCGTAATATTCCTTGAGGAACGCGAGGCCTTGCATCACTATATGGTGGCGATTCTCTGCCTGTCGCTTGAAAGCCCAATGCACGTAAGACATCGCCAATGAAAATTTAATCGTCGCATTTTGGGAATCAATGGCTAGAGCACGGAGAAAATAGTCTGCGTTATTTTCAAGTCAGTCTCTGCTTCTACTTTTGCACCATGCGACATGGTTTTCTTACTGATTGCGTACGCATAACTTCTCCCAGCGTACAAGATATAGCCGTAAAGCATGAGCAAGGCGACATCCAAAGCGTTTGCTTGCGAGGGCATGTCATTGTCATCCCCGGCCGTGGTCAATCGATGAAGACTTCTTCTCGGCCCTTTCAACCCAATAGAGAAGTCCATGGCCTTGATCTGCCGGAGAATATATTTTTGAGGGGGCCGGAATTGAATAAGCGATGCTTCGAGTTGCAGAGTCGATTGAGGGCGGCGAATAGGCGGTAGCCATCAGTCACAAAATGATAGCGTGTCATGAACCATCTTGCTACGTTGCAGAGTGTTTCGTCATCCTCATTGAGTAGTGCACATGCTAAAAGCTTCCTTAGCCATAGAATTGAATCGAAAGGCATTTTGCAGAACTCACTGAACCAGCAAACATGAATGAGGAAGAGAGCGTCATGAGAATGATAGAACACGTTAGCTCGAAGAGCGCTCTCGACATTCCCATATGCAGATTTCAGATGACCCTCGCCTGCCTGTTCAAGGCTTGTCTCAAGGAAAATATTTAGCCACTCCGAGAATGAGATGTCCATATACGTGTCGGGTATTGTCATCTCTTCTCCATCTAGGGTGACTGTGCACATTCCATTAATTAGCCCTTTTAGATACTGAAAGGCTTCCATACCAATATTAGATCTTGATTTGGATTTCAAAGCGCTCTGGTCGCTTTTCGACAGATTAGCTATGACTCGGGCTTCTTTTGAGTAGCCATAAAATCTAGTGCTCCTATCACTAGGGTAGAATACTTTCTCGTCCCGAAAAGTTTGGAGTAGTAACTTAGAGGCTTCAAGCCAAGAATTTCGTTCTGACACAACGAGGTCACCAGCATGTGCGGTCCTCCAGCGAGCATACAAAGCCTGGACCTCTGCCCTCTGTTCGGAAGGCCGATGATTTGTTCCACGATAGGTTGAGAAAGATGTGGATAGCGCCTTTCCAGACCCTGGTAGAGATTTTGGCATTAGCGGGTGGAGTGTGTTTCTACGTTTGATTGCCATTGTTGCCTTTTGACCTCGCGGCACCTGCTTTTGCACTGGAATAACACAGCCTCTAGCTTTGTTACTTTGCTCCTTGTACTCCTTCTCCATGTTCCATAAGGCGATTCGAGCTTCCGTGAACGAAATGTCTAAGTCAAGAATCGCTTTGTAGCACTCTTCCGCTGCTGCTCTCTCGCCGACAGATCTGTAGCAAGAAGCCGTATTCATCAAGTACGTGGAGTCAACATAGCCCTCGACATTTCGTAAAGGTTCATAAAACAGCAAAGCCTCCCTGTAGCAGTTTTGTTCCGAAAGAGCATAGGCGACCTCACGGAAAAGGTCGGGATAATTGAAGACTTTTGCTTCAGGGCCGGCTAGAGAAGGCTCAAGCCAATCAAAGTGTTGCTGTCGAAAAACATCATTAGATTGTATGACATAACCTCATGCATTTGCTTACCATAGCTTCTGTCAAACCATGCTCTTCCGAAAACAGCCTGCATATGCCAAACTTGATTCGCAACTCTAGAGGAAGCCCGTCGCCATATTGTCGAGTTGTAAATTGACCCTCTACAAATCCCACAGTCGTCGCTCGACGAGGCTCATTCGCATAATCCCATTCTCTGTCATCGCTCGCAAAGTTTTCCCAGCACAAGTCATCTTTGCGACCAAGCATCCAGCGAGATAGGTACTTTAACCTAGATAGACCTTCCATAAATTGCTGCGAGGTGATGTACAGCTCAGCAACAATGTTAATGTCGGACCATGAAAGACTCATACTAGCTCCAGGCGTCGACTCGATACGCCCAATTGTGTCTTCATAATGGTGCAGAGCCTTGTCCGCGGCGTTCAACTCAATGTAGACTTCTGCTAAATGTCGCAGGACAGTCATATCACACGGCAAGTACTTTAGCATATATTCATACTCTCCAATTGCCTTTCGTTCATACCCTAATTCGCGGTTGAGGGCGGCTCTTTGATACCTAGCTTCGATATTGTGCCGATCCACAGAAAGAACGCGAGTGTAGCAATATAGAGCATCTCTCAAAACAGTTTGCCTATCCTGACTATCACGTTCGAGGATAAGGCTTGCGATTCGCATCCACATCTGGGCGTCCCTTGGTCGTAGATGGGCTCCATTCCAGGCGGCACTCAGTGCCTTTTCCTTGTCACCGCGGCCAGCGTGTATTTCGGAGAGCAAATTGTGCGCCTCGAACATCTCAGGATTGAACTGGAGAGCTTTCAAGGTAAAAAGTTCGGCCTCATCGAAATTCCGCTTTGTGAAAGCCATGGTGGCTTTAGAGAAATGCGCTTTAAATTCCACCCCAGGTTCAAGAGGTTTACGAAAGCCCCTCTTGCCCCCTCTACGACCTTTAGAAGCACGTTTTCGCCTGCTTGAACCCAAAATTTCACCCGTGCTTCCAATATCAGCCTCTCGTCCATGACTTGTCAAATTAAGCGAGAGTAGTCTGTGCGGCAAACGTGCGTTTCCTGTCTCGTCCTCACAATCTGCTGCTTCCCCATCAAAAGATCCATCGGACATGTTTTCATCTTGACTACTGACCGTCAGCACTGTAGAACGCGTTGCTTTCGCGGAATGATTGACCTAAGCGCAATATCAGAATTCAGGTAATCCGAGTCCATATCGCCATCGTCCTGGAGGCCTTTCCTAGCGTGAACACCATTCTCTTCTAGGAGTGCTCCCGATGATCCACTACTGCTAGCAGCATCTGAGGAGTCGTGCTGTAAGTTAATTGGACTCGCTTCATTTCTCGTGAGCCATGGATAACTCGTTACGTAGGCGGCAGTATCCGGATCGGGGTACTCATGATCTGACGGAGATGATGAGCCATCTTCATTCTGCTGGCTATCATTGCATATCGATGATGACAAGCTCATTTTCAAGGCGAAAAAAGAGTTTAGATAGCAACAGACATGGAACGCTGCCCGGGAGACCGGAAAGGAGTGTCAAGTCTAAGAAGAGGACGCGTAGCAGTGGGGTAACTTGATCGAACAGATCTACAATGCGATTGCTCGTGAAATCAAGTTATTCAAGACTCAGCTGTGATCAAGAGTCCCGAAAAATAGCAAACCAGAAGCCATGTCTCTCAGTGGCTTGAACAAAACCCTATTCACCAGATGATAATGTGCTACAGCCATCAGGTGAATACGTGTGTATTACGTCGATGCAAATTTGTTTGGCTCATCAATTTGGTCAGTCACAGAATGCATAAGGCGATATGTGACATGATAAGATGCCACCATACGGCCTCGGCACCCTCATTGGCCACCTAATTTTAGCAAGACTACCCTAGTTTCTGCAGGTGTTAGCCCTAACATTTGCCCGAACACAGCCTGCGCCATGCCTTCTTCTTCCTTTCGACTTCGCTTTCGCTGTCTCATGGGTGGCTCCTCTATCCCGAACCTTTTCACTTCTATGGTCGTCCACTTCGATCCATGACCTCTTAATCTGACGGTCGAGCCATCAAATAGAGCGTCTAGGGCCGAGAGTGATCCACCATTGGCCGTAAGCGTTGACCGTTGACCGTCCAATTTGTTTCCGCCCTAGAAGTGTAGTGGCAGTAGTAGCCACGCTCCTACTAGGACTCAACTTCTATCTGATCTACCATACTTGATACATCTAAGAGCTTGAATCCCGAATTCCTGCTCGCCGCAGCCCACTTCTATGCTATCAGAATAGCAGTTTCACTCTCCGCTTTGGGTGCCTTGTCGACACAAAATCCTCTGCAACACCATCGACCGCTCCTTTGAAGACAGCAGGAACTGCAGGAGCGCATGACAGGCCTTTCAAGATAGAATCAAGAGCTTTCATATTATACCTAAGGATTTGCCAACCATGTCAAGCAACAATTTTATCGGCAATCGAAACAGCACGCCCGAGGCTTCGAGCTCATCCTTGCGGCCACCGCCTTCGCGGTCTAATGTACCAGGACATCACCTTCGAGCATCTGCTGATATGTCGACGTACAGCTCTGCTCCCCTCTCAGGCCGCAATATAAGACCGGCCTCGGAAATGCTGCATCAACAGGCGCAATCCCAACAGCTTGATGCAGCGGACAAGGCAGCTGAGCAATGGATTGCAGAAATAGATCAATGCGAAAATACTTTAGAGGAGATGGCAGGCGCAACGACTGATCAAGATTTCAAAGCCGAGCTGACTGCTATTGAGGAATGGTTCAGAGTTTTGAGCGAAGCTGAGCGAACGGCATCCTTGTATGCCTTACTTCAGCAGGCAACTAAAGTACAGATTCTCTTCTTCATCCAGACTTTAGAAGAAATGCTACGAAAGCATCCAATGCCAGGCATACTCTCTTCTTCAAAAGTTGGTGATCAAGGTCAGTCCATGTCCCATTGATTCCCCTCTTTGCCTCCCTGTGGTCTCCCTGCTCTTCCTAAATGATCTTACGTCACAACGCCCTCTTTACTGACCTTCAGATCAGATCGTACAGGAGATATGTCAGGCAAGCTCGACGCAACCCGTCATTCGCTTGGAAGACCTTTACCGTCACCCAGCAACAAGCGAAACTCTGGTCTCGATCCTTCCACCATTGTCGCTATGTTTCCCGATGCAGCAGCGGCGATCGCGAAAAAGAAAGCAGAATACACGCAACACACTGGCAACGCACCAGCTTCAAATCGGAACAGTGTCGCTATTGGGGATAGGTCGTCTTTAATTGCGCCATCCATTACGGAACCAAAAGAACACAAGGACGCCACTTCGCAACATACCTCAATTCCTTGGGGTCAAAGAGGTAACGAAGTCCGTCCAAAATCATCGTCAGGTACCCAAGCTATGGGTCATTTCAGCCAACCACCGCCATCGGCTGGGCTTCGTTCCCCACGCCCTCTACAGCTGTCAGGTGACGGCAATGTTCAGAGTCAGAGCATTAGTGTCTCAGACAGCTCAAGTAGTCTACCCATGCTCTCCCCATATAACGTGGGCAATGCTAGCTGGGCCTCAATGACGAACACTCCCATGCAACCATCTTTCAACAGTAATCATGCAGCAACTCAGGCAGATATGGTAGCAAACGCAACAGCAATGAAACTTGCCGCCCTCTCCACCGTCAATAACCGCATTGCCCTTGATGATGTACGAAAGTATCGTCGCACTAAATCTAATGAAGGTGATGATACTTCTACGCAAATTCCAATGTCTCCGGGCTTTCCACAAAACGTCGTGGTTGTCAACGAGAGTGGGCAGCTGTTGAATTCGCATGCCCTAAATCCACAACAACTAGCAGCTATTCAGGCGCAGCAGCAGGCTCAAATGATCGCAAATCGCGGGAGACCAGAGTCACCAGGTGTGCAGATGCAGACAAGCAACGTGAACAATTTGGCATTTGCCTCCCCTCAGAACAACGGTTATCTTGCTGCATATGATCCTTCTGTTGGCTTGGGTGGTGGAATAGGGGCACTGAATCTCGGCCAGTATGGGATTAGCTCGGGAGCTGCGCACGAAGGTTACCTATCGGATCATTCGGAGATGCGTGGCAGGTCACCAAGGGGAAGGAGAGGAACTTCAAAGCCGCCTGAGGATCCAACCGATCCAACACTGCTACAAGATATTCCGAGCTGGTTGAGAAGCCTGAGACTTCATAAATACACTGACAATCTCAAGACCCTCAATTGGACAGATCTCATCGAGCTGGATGACAAAGGGTTGGAGGACAAGGGCGTGAATGCTCTAGGTGCAAGAAGAAAGATGCTTAAGGTTGGACACCCAACATGTACTTCACTTGTAGCCACTGACTTGTGTACAGGTATTTGAGCAAGTCAAGGAGGCAAAAGCCGAAGGTAAACTTTAGATCGTACGCTCTAAAGCTGACCGATGTTCTTGCTGCGCCCAGCAACACGCTCGTCATATGACCGCGACATTTGCTTTTCGTGTACTCTTGTTCCGAGGGAATATGAGTCTGCATAGCTGGATCTGCATTTGAGAAGATCAATCCCACATACAATGCAAAATGAAAATTTCAGTCGTCATCCGACTGCACATTAGCCCTTGTCCCAACATAATAATAGCTCGGCTTTGATGATAGTAAAAGTCTGAATTGCTCAAGCTCAACATTGGGTTGCTGATGTATGTACCTTTATGCGCCTTGGTAGTGGGACAAAAGGGCCCGGTCCTGAGCTGCCCAAGAAGAGAGTCCAGTTTCTTTGCAATTTAAGAGTGGCATTATGGCGCACCGCGGCTGTTGAAGGAGCGCCAGAGAAAAGATTGTCCGTACTTGGTGTAACGGTCTCGGCGTCAGGAAATTGGTAATTACTATACGAGAAGATTCTCGTCGGAGCAATTTTTCGCTCATCTGATTGGCTGAAAATTGTTACTTGGTCAACCTCCGGCTTTATTTGCTTGGCATTCTGCATCGCCTGTGATGGGCCCCACCGACGGTCAGCCCGCTATTCACCCAGTCAAGACCTTTAACCTCTACCCACAGCGCCCTAAGTCATGGAGTGTGCCGATTATTCTCTTGCAAAGGTCTTGGCTAATCCTGCGGGAAGATATACCTGTATAAACACGACAAAGTCGACCTTAAAAGAAGCGCCCCCTCGACGCCGCATGTCGGCCAGACCTTCTGACTATCACAATATCGCGGTTACTAGAGAGACTTCTGACAGCGTATCTGCAATAGTAAAAGAATCATTGCAACAGGGCAGAGAGGCTAAGCAAGGGAGCAATGTAGATTGGAAAACTGAAGTGAGTGACAAATGGAAATTATCCTCGAAGCGTCGGGCGTCTATCATTCCACGAGACAAGATAATCTGCGGCAATCAGCCAATTGACGAGATTGAGGACAAGTACCAAAGTCTCAATCGGTGCCACATGCGTAAGAAGCCGCGAAGGCGAACAATTTATATACCCTCAGATGACACGACAATCTTCACAATCCATCCTGGAACATGTTCAGGTGATGCCAAGTCTGATGGATTGCTATTGCACGATGAAGTGCCCAGTGCGCAGGGCATCCTCCACTCACACGTCACTGACAGCGTACGCAAACCAAAGCTCGTGTACAGAAAGATATTAGCAGGAGCTCCAAGAAGAGCACCCCCGCGGCCGACTCTGCGCGTGTTACCGGAACAAAGGGAGAACTCGTTTCAAGGTAGCCCAGGAAAGGGAAATTTGCCCCTTGTAAATTCACCAAATGGGATGCGCGCTCAAACAAAGGAACAGGATGTGGCAGGCAACGACTGCCGAAAGTCAATCAATGCTAGAAGTCGCCGCAGCCAACATTGTGCAGATCAACGTGACGTCTCGTTAGATAAAGGTCCAGTTGGGTACCATGAACAAAGACCATCTGTATTTTTGAAGCAGGTGTCTTCCAACGCGCCAAAGAACGCACTGGCCCAAAGGCGCAATTCTAATTACCACTGTGGAGCAGGCTCGCAGATAAGAGCTGCGAAGGCTGAACTGACACCTTCAAAGATAGTGCCTGAAGCAACGTTGCCGAGGGTGACGAGGTATGTGAGAGTGACCAATAGACATTATCCGTTACTCCAGGAAGACATCGAACACGCTAGCCTATACGAAGATGCGTGGCTTAACCATCATGAGATTGCTTTGCAACAACTTCTCAACAGCATATTACAGTCCACATCAAAGGTGGCTCCGGATAATGCTGGCTTCTACGAAGCCAGGAGAGAAAGGATGCTGGGAATCTATCATGGACGTGAATGTACGCTTGCCCACAAAAGGCTACAGGCCTCATTGCTCTACGGTGCACTTAGTTGTCCAAGGATTCCAAGGATGACAGGAAGGGACTCTTCAAGACACGAAACAGACCTAGGGATCAGGCGAGGATTCCTTCATTTCTGGCTCAACTCGTATGATCTGTCAAGTCTTGCACCCGCTGTGGAGGTAGTCGTCGGCCGCCACATGCAAGGTTTAGATGAAGTGCGCCTAGATACTGGCATCGTTCAACATAAGCTGTCAGACAGTTCCGACAATGTAAACAGGAGGGCCGTTAGAAAGCAAAGAAAAATTGTGGAAGCCTTCCTCGAGACTTGTCTGCTCTGCAACGGAGACGCCCCCGATTCTGACCGGGCGACTTCGACGACTTGGTCCTGGCAAAAAACGGTACTAAGGAGCTTGATGCTCATCTTGCTATTAGATAAGGCGAAAGGGGAAGGAGTGATCAAGTGCAATCTGTTCCGGTCGCGGTCCGCATTCAAGTCATCTGCCGATGCTGTGGCCGGTGTATCTCGCCTCCTTAATCCAACGTTTGTCGGTATCAATCGAATCCTGGGCCATCTACAATATGGCATCTGCCACGTACAGGAAGAGCTCTCCGACTTTTGCTTTAATATTGACAACCTAGCTGTGGACTTGAGAGATGGCATTAGGCTTTGTCGAATTGTAGAGCTCTTGCTAGGCTTTTCAGAAAAAGTCAAACATAAAACATCCTTAGACCCTCATCTTGAAGGCTCCATCGCACTAACGGTTGAAAAGGGTTGCGACTGGTCTCTTTCGGAGAAGCTCAAAATCCCTTGCGCAGGGAGAACCCAAAAGCTGTATAATGTCCAGATCGCCCTCAGTGCTTTGGAACACGTCAATGGATTCTCTAGTGACGCACAAACATACAAGGCAGAGGACATAGTGGACGGTCACCGTGAAATGACCGTAAGCTTACTTTGGAGACTAGTCGCGACGCATGGTCTCGAATTACTCATAGACTTCACAGAGCTCGAAAGGGAAATCGTAAGATTTCAGAAAGCTAAGCGTCTTCTTCAACGAAAGGATGACCATAATCAACAACTGCACGCTTCGAGGGATGGTGGAGAACCCGAATCCTACTTCGGCTTCCTAAAAACATGGGCGAGGGAAATAGCTGCACAGCAGTGTGGGATCAGAGTTGACAACCTTACCACAGACTTTGCCAATGGTCGTGTGTTTGGAGCGATCGTGGATGAGTACCGTCGTTACATACCGCACACAAGTGTAAAGAACATAGACGTTTCCGACAATGCATCCGATCTAGTTAGCAAGTTGCTGAGCATTGGATGTAGCAAAGCGTTTGGTAAGCTAAAGATCAGTACATCTATAGACTCCCCAATACTGATATGTATATAGCCAGCATTTTTGGATGGCCAAAAGACGGGGGACGGGTCTTCGATCGTGAATTCGTCATTGCAACATTAGCGTTTTTATGCTGCAGACTTCTCATGCTGTCGCGAAGGGGTCGCGCTGCGGTGACCATACTCCGAGCATATCGCAAGGCCAAGATGCAACGGGTCATTCTCCAAAGACTCACATCACTAATGCTCGGCCGCAATTGCACGGAGGGAGTGATGCAAGGGACGCTGGAAACGTCGGAAGCAGGACGCAAGAACATAGCCGCCGAGCTAGTTGCCAAATCTATGAACATTTGCTCTACGGCGGATGAAGGGTCAGATATTTGGCTACCACAGAATGATGGTGCCAGGTCGAACATCAGGCCAGGGTCGAGACCACTGGTACCGAGCGACTTTTGCAAAGCAAAGCTAGAGCGATGTGAAGTTGACATGCGGGTGGGTCAAACGGCAGCATTTTGTGCGGCTCACGTTGTTGTTCCTTGCAAAAGGAGAGGAGTCTAGACCGTTCCGTGGATTTGCCTTTCACAGATACGCTAAGTGAGACTAAACTCTAAATTCCGCCTTTATTTTGCGAACAGATAGGGGAGGTCGCAACGTCCCCAACATCTGCACATCAGTAACACACCATGAAGGGCATCGCTCAAGGCTCGAGTCGGCCTGTAAGCTGAAGGACGTAAAGAGTGGGCGAGAGACCAGTAGACGGAAAGCTCGAGAGAGTGAGTCTGGATGGTTCGGGGTGTTCATGTCTTGGCTAACCTTCGGTACTTGCCGCAGCATCCGTCCGACTTGATCTAGACCTCCTTACGCTTGAGAGACTGATTCCTGACTTGCGTGATGCCGTGTCTATTCGAAGGAGGGCCATGGAAAGCCTTTGACTGTCTCCGTCGCCCGCCCTCCACATTCGCTTCGATTCCAAGTCTAGACCCAGTGGAAGATGGTGGACTGGATTCTCTGCCGCGTGCCCATGCTTCTTCTCGTGAACGAAGGCGTCAGGCGAGACCGTCGGGCTGCCTTTCATCAGAGTCAAAAAGGTGGCACACGGCCTCATTATGCATCCCTTCTACACAGCTTGGGAAATTACACAAGAACATCTCCCTTGCTATCTAAGCACTCCTACATATTCATAGTCTGTCTGCTCCATTCACATACTCCATCTTTCCTTCCAGCGTCAGCAGCGGCGGCCACTATCCTAACTACCGAGACATTAAGATATCGTTTTACTACTCAAGACTATGCTTCAATTCGCTTCTCTTCCGCCCGAGCTGGTCGTTGAAATGCTGCAATACCTTCCCATCAAGACCCTTCTGGACTTTGGCCTAACATCAAAGCATCATTACGACATGCAACGAAGCTCTCTGGCGACTCTACGACTCGGTGTTTTCCATTCCAAGCTGAGCGGCGTGATCAATCTCATGGAGGCAAGCGCGCACAATGACGTTCTCCACAGCGTGCAATTGGTCCTACCCTGGCAAGGCTCGAAAAACAAAGATTGTGTCATCTTCATGCAAAACACAAAGGTACAACAGGTACTGAGGGAATACCGGCATTCTCTTAAGAATCTGGAAATTGCAGTTTGGGACGTGCATGAGGAAACGGCGTCTTTGCTTGGTCAGCTTCACAATCTGAGGCACCTTTCCATCCGGCTGGACCATCCACACACGAGGCACCCAGCCGTGAAACAAGGGTATTGGCAGGCGGCTCAAGGGTCAACCGCTTGGAACTTTCTAGCTTGCAAAGCCGGTAGAAACGCTTTGGGGCGGCTTCAGAGCTTAAACCTTGAACGATCCGGTATCACAGACTGGCAGTTGCGAAAGCTACTGGAATGTAATCCCAAGATCGTCGAATTGCGCCTCCACAAATGCTTTAATTTGACAAAAGAGACGTTCAAGTTCCTCGCCGTTAATAAACCCGGCTTGAAACTCGTAAAGCTGCATTTCACGATGGTCAGTAATGAGCGTATTGATGAGCGCATACTAGAATACATTGGCAAGATGAAAGATTTGAAAGTAAGCTCTCTCTAGCCAACATTTACTATTGCGACTCTTGTGCGTCGTACTAACATCTATTCCAATAGTCACTTTCTTTGCGCGGCTGCCACAACATCGACTGCGAGGCGGTGAAGAAAATGAATAAGCGATTGAAGCTCGCCCATCTCTCACTGCCAAGTACACCCAAAATGTCGGATCAAGAGCTTGAGGTGGATGCTGACTATAGGTGAGAATCAGCATTTTGGCTATCGAGATTATCGGGGATTAGGGACATCATGCTCAGGTGTCGAGAAGTCGGCGATGCCGCATTGCTACCCTGTATAGGCCCTTCGATCCAGAGAGTTGACTTAATATTACACGTCAACACTTCATATGACTCCGCTGATGCCTTTTCCCGTCTTCTTCTCTATTGTTCCAAAGTGTTGTAAGTTTCCAGCCCGAATGTCATTAACACTTGGAAACCCCAGCCTCCCCTACTTTTCCTTTCAGACTAATCTCATGGTCTCACGATGTGCTTATGCTGCATCTCTCTGCTATTCACTGTGACGCTGCTGCCGAGATTTGAATTTACCATGGATTCTCTTATCGAGGACATGATGCAGCAGACTCCAACTTTCATGCGTCGTATCTTGTCATTTGAAGGTAAGCGACTTCCCCGTCTGGTTCTTCCTCACTCATGGCCCGACTCGCTCCTCAGGTTTCCATGAGACCCTTGCAAGCCTAGCTACAGAGCAAAGCAAAGCAGCCTACATGATTCGTGTCATAGCCGTCGTATTCTGTCGACTGAGCCAAGTCTTTGGTGCAGAGGTACAGCTCAAACTCATGCATGAATATGTGAAGAATGTGCCGTTGCTGACGGGAAAACAGAGAGTATCTACGGAGCCTAATGATATCCAATATCATGTCGTTCGCTCTGACCACCTCTTCCATCGCCATCCCTCGACTTTCACTTCGCATGATCTCCGCAAGCTAGAGGATCTCTACTACGCGACGTGTGCTAAACTCAAAGACTTCCTGCATCAAGCTAATGTTTTGATGGACAACAATTTCAAATTACCAGATGACGACTTATTCCATTTTGATGATCCACCATTCAGCAGCCTTAGGCCCGTCACTCTAGGTTCATTCAAGTCTTCTCTACTTGCTTATCAAGCCATCCTTTCTGGCTACGCTTTGGTGGAACTTCTGGAGAACAGTATTCGAACCGCGAGGAATGACTCCAAAGCCAAAATCACATTTGAGTCACCGGATACTTTTGGATGTTCGCTTGAACAAGGAGCAAGAGAGACCCGTAGCCCCTCGCGCGCGACTGGACAAGCAATCGGTGTACTAGAAGCCCAACCGATCGAGCCGATAAAAGACATCAACAGGGATCAGAGTCGGCAATTGTCCAATATTTGCAACATGAGTAGCGGGATGATTTTCGCGCAACTCGCAGAGAAGTACAGGTCCCACGTCCCAGAAACCGAAAAGGTACCCATCAGCGATCTCGTCCTCAAGGAAAACCATGCACAGCGAGAGGCTGAATTGTATGTGAGTCCGTACAACCTGGAAGAGCGAGCCAAGAAGCTCTTTGTACCTGGAGGTGCGGAGATGCCTTGCATCTGCGACCCAGAATGCATCTGCGCCCCTTTGTGCGCTAGTGACCCAACGCAAAATTGTCTTTGCGAAGAGAACGGGTTGTTTGTTCGGGTCACCGAAGGAATGAATATCGACGATCTTGATGTTCCGGACCTAATACGATGGGAGAGACAAAGTTCGGAATTCAGCAGGAGTAGTGCAAGCTCAATTATCTCCGAGAATCTCACAAGGACATGCCAATTTCCTACGCAAGCATTCGATATGGAGCCTGCGCCAGCAATTTCAGACCCTTTCCAACATCGAGATGTCACACCACATAAGAGAAAGCAAGATGTTGACGCAAATACTGTGTTCGATGTGTCTGAGGTAATCAGCAGCAACGCCTCTCGGTATGGTAATCTCCTTCCCACTCACTTGAAAGACCAGTCCACGTATGACGTGATACTTGCGCAAAGTGCCACGGAGGGCATGGAGAAGAAAAGGATAAGCTTTCCGCATCCACCCATTTCAAGCAGTGTACAGGAGCATGTACATTCTAGCTTCCAAGGGAGCGCTTTGAGACGCACCAGTCTAGCCAAGCGCTTTTTCGGCAGCTCCAGCAATACTAATCTATTCTCGCGAAAGCGTAACAAGGCTTAGGATATCATGGCTAGCACCTTAGAGTCTACATAAGCTATATATAAATGAAATAAGAGGTCGCTAGCTAATATATTATTATTATCCTTTAAAAAAACTATTTTATTAATTGTTTAAGTAATATACTACTTTACTAGAAATATAAATTAAGATTTTAAATTTAAAAATATATTTATAAAATAATAATTTTTATATATAATAGTTTTATAAGAATTTATAATAAATTAAAAGAAAATAATTTAAAGTAATATAATATACTAAGGCTTAGCTAAGACTTATATAAGGAAATATAGTATATATAAATCTTAATAAATAATATAAACTATATAATTAATTAATAATAAGTTAATAAAAAGTTATTTAAAAACTATAATAAAAATAAGACTTTATACTAAACTAAGTAAAGTTAAATTAAATTTAATTAAAATATATTATCTTATTTATATTTTAATTTATAATAATATATTATTAAAAATAATTAAAAATAATATTCTTATTATTAATATAATATTATATTTATTTAATATATATTATTATTACTTTTTTTAATACTTTTAATTAATTAATATAAATAGCCTTAATTAGTTAAAAAAGATTTATATAAAATTAATTAGTTTTTAATTTAAATTTTTAATAATATTTAATTATTTAATTTTAATAATTTTATAATAATTTTAATATTATTTATATTAATTTAAAACTTTTAATATTTTATTATAAAATCTTATTAAACTTATATATAATTTTATATATAATTTTAATTATTTATTATTAATTAAAATAAAAAAATATTTTTATTAAAAGTTAGTACTATAGTAATATTAAAAGAACTAAGAGACTAAGGCTTTTATAGCTTAGTAAGTCTATTCTCCTTTATATTTTATTATTAAGTTTATTTTAATAGACTTAAAGCTTTAAGAGTAAGTAGGACCTATTAATAAATTTAATTATAAAAAGTTTTTACTTTTAAAAAGAAATCTTTAATATTTAGTTCTTTAAATAATTTAAATATTATTTTAAATCTCTTAAAATATTAATATTCTTATTATAGATTATAATAAGAAGAGGATAGAAATATTTTAATTAGGCTTAGCTTAGCTTTACCTAGCTTAGTATAAGGCTTTACTTCTATTATAGCTTTTAAATAAATAATAATAAATTTATTATTAATTATTATAATCTAGATTATATCCCTCCTAGTTATATAGAAATAATAGTATTAAGGGCTTAGTAAGTATTATAAACTATTATTATAGATATAGCTTTAGAGGGAGGCTTAGCAGCCCTATATATAGTTTCTATATAAATAGAAGGGGATCTTCCCCTTATTTATATAACTTACTATATAATTAAGGAATATCTCCTCTACTATATATATTTCCTCTCTTAGTTACTACATTCTACTATAATAGTAGCAATACTATAGACTAGAGACTAAATTTTTTTCTAATTTAATTAAGTCCTTTATTAAAGCTAAAGTAACTTAGTTTAACTTTTATATTAAAGTAATACTAGCTTATTAATATTTTAATTTTTATTATTTTTCTTTATTATAAATATAGCCTATACTTACTTAGCTATAAAAGAGACTATATTTATTATAACTATATATTATAATTATATATTATTACTCTAGAATGTTTTCGCTCTATCTTTATAGAATACTATTAATCTAAAATATTAAAAGTATTTATTCCTTCTATATATAGTAGTTTTTATCGCTTAGTACTATAACTAATCTAGAATACCTTTTAGTTTATTACCCCTATAATAATTATTACTTTTTATAAATATATTACTATAGTATTTATATTTCCCTTTATTTCTTAATTAAAATAATTATCTCTTATTAACCTTTTATATTAAAAATATTAATTAATATTATTTTTAGTTAATATATATTTATTCTAGGTTTTTTATATATAATTATTTAAAATCCTTATTATAATTATTCTAAGCTAGCTTTATTAAACTCTTTTACTTAATTAGATTAAAGTATTATTATACTTACTTTTTATTTAAAAAATTTTAAGCTTTAGATTATTTATTAGGCTGCTATAATCCTACTATTAACTATATTATTTAATATATTACTAATAATAGCTTATAACTACCTCTACTTTATAAACTTTTTTCCTTTAATAAATAAGATTACTAAGTTAAGTCTAAGTTACTAGAATTAAAAGTTATTTAGCTACCTAATTAAGTTTATAATTTATTAAATATATATAAAGCCTTATAAACTTTTAAATATTAAACCTAATTTTTTTAAAAATAACTTACTTAAATAAACTTATTATTAATAAATAATATATTACTATACTATTTTAGCTTAAAACTAAGCTTTACCTCTATTAAGTTAAGTAGTTCTTAATATTTTTTTAGCTAGTCTTTAGCTAAAGAAGCTATTTATTTAAAACTAATTAGTTTTAACCTACTTATAATCTAGGAATAAAAACTTAGTTTTTAAAAATAATTTAGTTTAACTTTTTTAACTATAGATAAAAATACTATTTATAGAATTATATATAAAACTTTAGTAGTTTAAGCTACTATACTAGGTCCTTTTAAACTTCTTAGCTCCCTAGGCCCTATAGAATTTACTAGCTTATCTACTGCCTTAGCTCCTTATAATAGTAACTAATAGTTAGTATTTAACCTAAAATATTTTAACCTTTTTCATAATAATAAGTTAGTTAATATTGCTTTTTAAATTAAATATACTAGTAAGGATATATATTTTTAAAATATTTTTACTTTTATTAATTAAATATAAAATATTACTTATATTTATAATACTAATATTATTTATTTTAACCTTTAGCTATTCTTATATAGCTAAACTCTAAGATAGTATATATTAAAGTTTACTAAGGGAGAAAAACAACTTATAATATATAATAATAAGATTAAGAAATAGGAAATATTACTATTAACTTATTTTGAGCTTACTAAGTTAATTAGTATAGCTATATATTTAAAGAAATATTATATATTATTAAATATAGTATATAATAGAGAACTATATAAATATACTTAGTTTATATTTAAATTAATTAAAATTACTAAGTTTAATATTATTATAAACTAGTTATTATTAATATAAAATAAGCTTGATTTTAATTTTTAATATAATATTTTAAAGTTAAATTTAAATATATTAATAAATAAATTTCTATAGATATTAGATACTAAAAAGTATTAATAGTAGGGATTAAGGTTTTAGCAAAAAAATAATTATTTTTATTAATTAAATAATTAATATAGTAATATAATTTTTTTTTAAAGTTAATAGGGTGCTAGGCTATATTATTCTAATTTCCTATTTTAGTTTTCTTATAGCTAATAGTTTTATAAGAATAAATATAAGAATAATACTTATTTAAATTAGGCTTAAAGGAATAGTAATTAATTTTAACTAAGAATAGGTTTTTAGCTTTTAAATACTTAGCCCCTAATAGCTTTATTAATTTAATTATTTATTATAATAGGAAGTATATTAGATTTAGCTTAATAACTTAATAAATTAAATTAATCTCTTAATAATAATTTTAAAAGATTTAGCTAAAATTTTAGCTTAAACTATAATAGACTTTTTAATTAAGCCTAAAGCTAGAATAAGGTTTATAGAAATAATAATACTTTTAATTAATAATATTTAATTTATTTTAAAACTTATTAAAATAAAATTCTTATTTAAAATAAAAATAAAGGTTATTACTATAAAGACTTAGTTAATAACTATAAGAATAACTAAGGGTTATAGTATTACTAGGATAATATACTATCTATTAAGTATATACTTAATTAGGATATAAGTATAAATAATATTTTTTTACTTAATAAGTCTTATAACTAAAATAGTTTCTTTATAAACCTAATTATTATATATTAATATTAGAAATATAATTAAGCTTTTAACTTAAGAAATATACTATATTATTATTGTTAAAATAAAAAGTATTTTATGCCCTAGTATATAAATATTTAAATATAAAAGGCTTTATTAATATTAGCTAAGGACGTTTTTATTATTAAAATAAAATTATTATTATTTAAAAGTATAATTATAATTAAGTTATTAAATATAGTATTTAGCCCTTTTAGCTATACTTTTAAGTATTATTACTATATAATTATAAATATCTACCTAAGCTAAAGCTTATTTATTAGCTATTTTAATATAGGCTACGCTATAATATTTATTAATAAAAATAAACTTAATAAGTTATACTTTAATATAGAGATTTATAAATTACTAAGCTTAATTTTTATTAAAGGATTAGGAGATATAGTCTATAATAGCTCCTAATATACTAAGCTCTTATTTCTTATTAAAGGTATTTTATTAAATAGGACTTCTACTTAAGTAAAAATTATAATAGAAATATATTTAATTTAAAACTTATATACTAATATATTAATAAGCTAAGATATTATTATATTTAAGGGTATAGTTATTAACGCTTTTAATAAGTATTTTATACTTATTAAATACTAAAACTTTTAAGCTAAGATTAAATTAATTTATTATTTAGAAAATATTATCTAATATATCCTATATTTTAGAGAAAGAATTACTATTTTTTTAAGGCTATAAAGAGTATTTCTATCTATTATACTAGACTAAACTTATTATAGTATAATTATTTAGTTAAGCTTAAATATAAATCTAAGCTAGGTAAGTAAAAAAGAATTCTAGCTTATATTATTAATTCTAATATATTATTTATTTAAGTCTATAATATAACTTTAAGTAAAAAAGCTAAACTAGGTAAGGTAGTAGAATTTAAATAAGATTCTTATTTTATAGTTAATTTTAATAAAATACCTTTAGCAGCTATAAATTCTATCTATTTATTAAGTCTTAAGAAAAAGCTTTTTAGAGGCATTATAGTATTAGCTTTAGTTACTACCCTTCTACTTATAAGCACTAGTATAGATATTAATATTTAATTTATTAAAGCTTTTAATAGTTTAAAAGTAAACCTATTACTTAAGTA